CGCCACATTTCGGACTCTGGATCCCCATGATGAAGATGGACCAAGATGCGCGGTCGGCAGCCGGGGGATCATGACTGCCTGGGAGTCTAAATGCCTCCGTTAGCGAGGGTAGCCTCGCGGTGGGACGCTCCCGGATGATCACTAAGCCCCCTAGTTAGTTGAAGGATAGCTTAGAGTGGACGAGGGGGCTTAGTTTTAGCTTAGGGAAAAAAGCGTGAGGCTCTGGCCTAGGAACGGAAGTAGAATTTGGAGAGGTTAAGATCCGCAATCAAATATAGCGGTATATATGTATACCCTAATGGCTGCGTGGATAGATTCTCAGGATCCTTCTAGCCTCCACCACTGGACACATCAAGAAAGAGACCGTCTAAATCTATCAATTCGGGAAACAAGAACGCATTCGACTGCCTCATGTGGGTGTAGGCACGGTTTGAGTCGAACATTAAAGCAGCACCCATCTTCCACCGATGCGACGAATTTCGATCCCGTCGAACGAGGAACTCGTCTCTATGCTCCGGCAATGTCACCGTCGATAAGAATTGTGCCAGTGCTGGAGCAGTTCTTGCTTGCAATGCCTGTTTGGCCCTTTCGATGTGATCGTCCAGCACCTGGTCTGTGACATTGTTGTACGGGCTCAGTTTGATATGATACAACAGCAACGCTGCAAAGCAAACAGATCGACACACATAGAATGGAACAAGAGCCAAATTCTTCTCGCAGGCAACTTGTATCAGTCTGATGGCGTCTTGCCGCGCTCGCTGGGCGATGTGAAATGTATCTGCCGACACAGGAATGTCGTTATGCATGGCAAATGACCATAATTGAAGCATCGAGCTGAGGAAGAATATTTCTTCAAAGTCGGTTGGATGAGGGAATCGAGTCTTTCTTAATTCGTCGAACTGCGTTGCAAAAATGTTGATGAGGCTTATCCTGGGGATTGGGTCTGCCAGGCCTGAAGGATTCGATGCTCGGGCACCAATGGCAATGGCTGATTCAATGGTGAGGTGGGATATTGAGCAGAGATGAGATAGCTGCTGTGGGACTGTTGCTTGGTCCAGAGATGAAAGAAGTGAGAAGTCCGCAAACTAGATATGCTGTTAAATGCCCGCTATCTCGAAGACTGATTGATCACTCAATTGTCCAACTTACAATGGTCGCGGGTACTCCTAATCTGCTTGCAAGTATCTGGTTGACGATAAAACAACCTATCCAGGTCGTGCTTCTGATTGCTATATCCTCTGGGGTAAAATTGGGGTCAGACACAGGATACTCGACGGCCGGCCGTTGGAGTCCAATCTGCAAGGCCAACTGGCTGGCAAGCCCTCCATATAGGAATGAAGGGTCCGACTTCTGTGATGTGAAAGGTAGCGGCCACATGCAGAGAATCAGAAAGGCTTGTACTGTCTCGACAGTTCCAGACATGTCTCCTGGAACAAACAAATTGGCAATATACGGCCGTGTTGCTTCTTCACATTGAAGCCGCCCCATTTCTGTTGAGGCCACTCCGCAAATTACCCAGAATAACAGAGGACATCGATCGTATATCTCTTCAGGAGATCGACACATTAGAAATGGAAGGTAAGGATAACATCGGCAAAAATAGATGCGGAACAGCTCATTCACCTGCGAAGCTGTCAGTTGAAAGTTGTTGCTGCCTCTGTACAGAACTTTTGGTTGAAATGGCTTTTGTGTTGTTGGGAAGGACATCATGTCTGGTGCTGTTGTAAGATCCTCTGGCCATGGCGACGCATTGGTCTCCAACGAAGAAGCAGTATCCACGGCACCAGTGCCTGTGTCCATCGTGGATGTGATTGCTCGTAGTCGAGTCACCTCTTCCTGCAACTCTGCCAACATGCGCCTCTTTGGGGCACGCCGAAAGTTGGCCCCAAAGACACATCTGGCATTGGCATCTCGACATCGCGTGCAACCTTGAGGCCCTGCAACATCTGCATCACAGCCTGTCTTCCATTGCCGACAGCGATTGCATGCTTTCGCTCTCATGGTTACAAGAGGCTGTTGTCGTTCCTCACACGAAGCGGAGTCATCTCAAGCCTTCTCCGATCAACAACAGTGGAATCGGAGTCTTATATGACTCTGGAGGCCCAGACCCCGCATGAACTTCCCCGGATTCCTCCTTGCATTGCGAAAGTCGCACTTTGTGGGTCTATGTAGGATCCCCAGGCAGCACTGAACCTCGCGGTAAGCTTGCAGCTAACTTAAGGGCCGAGGCATGTAGAGGCACTACCCGGGAGGGATTAGTGTCCTGCGTAAAGAATTTCGCTTCGAAGCGAGATTCGCACCTCAAGTCGATACATCGCAGTGATTGTCTCACACAACTGGGGGGACCAGCACAATGAAGGCATCCACGAACAGAGTAGACATAGCCCGATCCAGGCCCGGTACCGGCAGAAAACATTGCCTAGGAATGAGTTATAAGTATACGAATTTGTCACCTTCCGAAACAAGGTCAGCCACCAGATCCAGGTTCGTCCACTTCTACATCGCTAACTCAAGATCACTTTCGTCAAGATGATTCAGGCCAAGAAAACTGTGCGTATCTGCTGTCCCATAGGGAGCATTGGTTATGGGTTCGACGTACAGCGTCTTTATCAGGCCATTGAGATGGGAGCAGAAGCTCTCATCTCAGACGCTGGCTCTACCGACAGCGGACCCCAGAAGTTGGGTCTGGGAACGTCCACGGTTCCGCGAGCATCGTATGCCAGAGATCTTCGCCCCATGATCGATGCTTGCTACCACCATAAAGTCAAAGTCTTGATTGGCTCGGCTGCCGGAGACGGTGCTGACCACCATGTCGATGAGTTTGTCGACATCATCGAAGAATACTGTAGGGAGAAACGGTACAACCTGAAAGTCATCAAGATCTACGCGTCTATCGACAAAGCCGAAGTGCACAAGGCTCTCGATGATGGCAAGATTTCACCTTGTGGAGCAGTTCCTACACTCACCCATCAAGACATTGATGACAGCTCCCGCATTGTCGCTCAAATGGGCGTGGAGCCATATCTCGATGCCATGAATGCTCATCCGGACTTTGATGTCATCGTCGGCGGTCGGGCCTATGATCCTTCTCCATTTGCTGCCTTTGGGTTGTGGAAAGGATTGACGAACGTTGCCAATCTTTTCAACATGGGCAAAGTCCTCGAATGTGGTGGCTTCTGTGCGAAACCGAAGTGCAAGGAAGTCTTCTGCACCGTCACGGAAGATGAATTCACAGTGTTCCCATTGGACCCACGATCCATCTGCACTAAGCAATCGCTTGCAGCCCATAGTCTGTACGAGAATTCCCACGCTGATTTGCATCCTGGACCCGGGGGGACTCTCGATCTGAAAGAATCTTACTATGTTGAGCACGAAGATGGCTCTGGCACGGCTGGAGGAGCAGTGTTCCACGTGGCGAATCCTTACACCATCAAGCTCGAGGCTGCCAAACCCACAGGATACCGCAGTATCTGGATGGGGAGCTTCCGCGACCCTATCCTCATCGGACAAATCACCTCTTTCCTTGAGGATAGAGTTAGGCCTCGACTTATGGCCCTTTTCAAGGGTGAGGACTTTGAGCTTAATTTCCGCGTTTATGGTCGAGACGGGACCATGGGGCAATACGAGTTTGATGATTCCAAGCCAAAAGAAGTATTCTTGATGGGAGAAGTCAAGGCAAAGACACAAGAGCTTGCCAACAACGTCGCTTCCATGGGTCGCGTGGCTTGCGTCCACGTGCCATACCCAGGTCAGAAGGGTAATGGAGGCAATTTCGCAATGCCCTTGACTCCTCTCGAGATCGACCTCGGCCCAGTCTGCCAATTCTGCATCTATCATCTGATGGAAGTCGAAGACCCAAAAGCCAACTTTCCTTGGTCTGTGGTCGAGATGCCCACCTTTGTTGAAGATGCAACTCCTCGTCAGCTAGATTTCGGCTTTGATCCACCTGGGACAGGTTACCATTTGGACAAGAAAACACCCGTCGAACCAATGACTCCCGAGAATGAGGCCAAATTGAAACACCTGCTCGAGCATGGCGACGACAAGGGTGACGGTAAGATCGCCTTGCCCGAAATATGCGACGTCCTTCGATCCAAAGTTGCTGGACCTTACGAGATTGCCTTTGATATGATCTTCTACAACATGGATTGTCTCAACCGAGCACGAAATTCGGGCGAGCTGACTAGAGAGAAGATTGCCAAAATCTACAATATTCCCGCAGACAAGGTCATTGCATGCCAATTCTTTGAACAAGCTCTAGCTTTCAAGACCACCATACCCAGAGACGGTGTTGCTGGTGGGTTCAAGGACAGAGACTTGCATGCTAGTCAGCAGTATATCCCATTATTCAACATCAGAGTTTAGGTTTTGATGGGTAACCGAAGCGACGCTTTGAACTACATTAGTTGTAGGGTCTTAGGACGTGTAGGCAAATATATTCCACAGTAGTTTAGTAACGAATACCTTTTTGCTTGTACTAGCTCAAAATCCCACAAAAATCTAGACATTCTCTGCCTCACGATGCTATTTCTGGTCTTGACGATATCTGTCGATTTTGACTGCCGCTTCCCAAAATCGTAGATAAGATGGGCTCACCCTAGCGTATAAATTGATTATCACTCCGGTATCACCACTTCAACATTGGACAGGAGGCCAGGATGTTGGTGCCTCAATTAATTGTTTCGGGTGAGGGTGACACATACGAGACCATTCGTTTTTGACAATCCAGAGAGGCATACTAGCTTGTCAAGTTCATGCTGTTGTTCAGCTGTCTTATATTATTAATGGCAAAGCCTACGATAACGGGGAGGAGGCTGTCACGCGAAAGAGGGACGCCCAATTAGTTTTTGCAGATCTGCTGATCCGGTTTGATTCTGATGTTATGTCCTATTCTTGCTTTCAATTTTCACTATTCGGCGCCATGCCGCTATCTGGAGACGTTTGCTTCTGCATGGACAGCAACAAAGGTCATATCAAATCCAGACTGAGCCACCTGATACTCAATCTTTGAATTCTCGTTGCTCGACTGTGGGCGCTATCTCCTGCTTGCTAGCCACGATATCCATGATAGAAGGTGGCAGAACCTCGCCATGGCGGTATCGACGGAACTTCCGAGTTGGGGTTTTCTCCATGAAGAGATGATCGATTTCCTCGAGGGAAAGCTTCCGACATTCTGGAATAAAAAAGTAGATGAAGAGCGTCGTACCAACACAGAATGACCCAAAGATAAAGCCAACCTTGGGACCGAGGGCGGCATATGGTTCATACCAAAGATATGGAATCGTGAATGCAACAACAAATTGGGTGACAACATTGACGGTGCTGGCTACCGTATAAGTGACATCACGCATTCCTATGGCCATGTCAGCAGGCTTGGTCATATTTGAAGGCTACACTGAATACTCACGAGAGCTTGGGATCTCCGAGGTAATGATGTGGTAAGCTGGTGCCCAGCCAAAAGAGAAGCCGGAGTAGAAGATGGTAAGCATCGCACTGATTCCCACCAGGACAGGACGGTCAGGTGCGGCGATCGTTCCCAAGCCGCCCATGGTCAAGAATGAGCTCGCTTGGATAATTGAGCCCGTTAGAAGAATAAACCTGGTGAATGTTTAGAAGCTGAAAGACACCCAGGAAAGAATCACTTACCGACGACCGAGTCTGTCGATCAACAACATCGAAGCCACAGTGAGGACAATGAAAATGGCGGTGTTTATGCAGGACATGGCAAAAGGATCTAATGCTCCAATCTCTTTCAAAAAGATTGCTCCATATTTGCTCGCAAAGGCTTGACCGGTGATCTGAATGCAGAAATTGGTACCCACGACGATCAGGGTGCGCCTCAGATTGGTGCCTTGCAACATTTCTCTGAATGTGCCTCTGTCTTGTGTCGTCATGTTGATCATGGCGACTTGAGTGGCATACTCTTCCATAATCTCCTCCTCGGTGAAACGACCCTCGCGATATTTTCGAAGGGCGGCGAGAGCCTCTTCTTGACGATCTCGGACCAGATACCAACGGGGAGACTGTGAAGACAATGATCAGGATCCTGGACGCAACTCATTGTCAGAAGAACACCCACCTCAGGCATGAAGAAAACAGAGAAAAAAACAATCACCGGGATGACCATGAAGAGGCCAAGCGGGATCCGGAACGACGCTTCGCCTTGGATTTTATTGGTTCCATAAGTGATGAGAGCTGCTAGGAATGACCCAAGCTGGAATCAAATTAGAACAAATGGCTCAAAAGGAGGAGGGAGCATACCATAATCCCAAGCTGATAAGTGCCGACCACAAACCCTCGAACATGGGCAGGGACGATCTCAGATTGCATGACCGGGACGGTGGCTAGCTCTTGGCCAATGTAGATGTAGTTAAGAACACGAGCAACAAGCATCTGTTCCTTGGTTTGAGCTGTCACCAGCAAGATGGCGGACAAAACGGCCCAGAAACACATGACGAAAAAGGACATTCGTCGACCATAGTGTCGACCAAGCCAGCCACCGAGAATGACACCAGCGACCTGGCCGACGTACGTTAAACTGTTCAGTAGAGACAGGAAATACGGCTCGATGGCGTATCTCCCGGTGACTGGGTTAAAGACGCCGAACTTTTTCGCGAAGGAAGCCATTGCCTGGGTCGTATTGTAGGTGCTCAAGTCTGAATCATGGTCAATCGGGCCGCCTGACCCATAGATTGTTGGAGAGCTTACCCAATCCAAAGTTGACCTGAGAGAGCATCAGGACAAACACGGTGAATGTGAGGCGGCCATTGAAGGCCGCGATGATTCCCTTGGTTTTTCCTGCCATGGTGGTGCTGGGATGAATTTTGAGCAGGGTGTGCTTTGATTTGAAAAATAGAACAAATAGTAAAGGGCACAAGAAGGATATATCTACGTCTGAACCATGTACTGCCCTTCTGAGCATGTTAACATTCAGCCATCTTGGTGGTCTGTTTTTCCCCGTGTGGTCAGATGTGAACTAGCGGCGGAGAAGGGACGAGCGAGAGGTCTAGAAATGGTGGTACTAGAGCCGCTCCAAAATCACATTCCGATTTTCGCAATGTTCGGGCGACGCCAAACTTGTCGGTAATTTGATGTTTTCGCAATGCTAACTCGCCACATTGCACGCATGAAGTCAGCCCGTCGTCGAGGCTGGAGTCTAGAATGGATCTTTTGACCAACTTCACCTAACTGGGATCTCATTGGCGCTCCCCATAAAGCATTTTCCATGTCCTTTCACATGCGTTGCCTTAAGGCCGAGGGAATGGAGGACCAGAAAGGACAATATGGGAAAGACCTACCTGGTCGGAAGCGTAGGACCGTCTCACGCCTGGGTAAGTACCATGTCAAAGTCGGAAAACACAGGCATCTCAGCTCTCAAGGGACGTCAAGGTGACAGCTTGATCAACTCCACTGTGAACACGATCTCAAGCACGAGAGCATATGAAACGAGGCGCCATTCCTCAGACGAGAATATCACAAAAACAAGATCATCAGACACCATGTGTGTCGTGAATGAGGATGTGGATGTGTACCATAGCTGATGCAAGTACGCGATCAGAGGGCAGTGCTACTGCCCAACGATTAGCAATGTGAGCTGACGACGACAAAGACCTTGGCGCCTTTGAAAGGATTGAGATTGTGCAACTCATGAATGCATCAGCCAGAAGTTCCCTGTGAAAGGATTGCAGTTGTGAAGGGGTCAGCGACGCATGAGCTGGGTTCGACGATGTAACAAAATGAGAAGCCCTACGTCGTCGCTCCCAAGGGCTCGGCGGGACGATTACCCTGGTATGCCACAAATCTCCTGCAAAATGTCGATACCTTGTCGTCGTCGTCAGGCCCACTAGCTGCGGCTAGGGCGAAACCAAATCATTCTGGGATTTGGCCGAGACCAAAATTTGCCCAAGCCGTCGGCGAACAGGCGGAAAACAAGTCCGCACTCTCTGCACAGGCGGCGATCAAGGGAATCCAGGAATTGATTTCCAGGGTGCCAGCAGTGCCATGTCATGGAATCCTTGCTCTAGACTCTAATAAGGTCTGAGAAAGGGCTCGGCATTCTGAGCTGCATTCTGCCCCTGCACACGAAAGTACAGAGGATGGCACGATGGGTAGATCAGGACTCGGGTGTTGCTGTAAAGTAGAGTATGAGGCCACGGGTGTACTCGACTGGCCTTGCAGCTGGTCCGCAGGCAACGACCAGGCTATGGTCAAGTAGAAGCGATTCTAGGTGGGCTCCGAAGACGCCCTTTTTCACTGATCATGGATGAGTCCGCCTTGGGCACCACGGACACGACAAGGGTTGCCATGGTGTCATTTGGGCAGTCGGACATCCCACGCTTTGTTTGTCAGGAAGCAATCCAGCGTGGCAGGCTGTGACCTCATCGTGCACAACCCAACATAATGCGACAGCATCAGCAGGAAGACGGAGCTTTGATCTCTGGATTGAATTGGACCATCTTTCACACGTGGTTCGTCTCTTTTGAGATCTTCTCCCTTTGAACCTGCCACGATTGCACCATGCTCGAACGGGTGGGAAATGACCAACATGTGTCAAATCGTGGAGAGATGCAGCAATGTAAAGTCAAAGTCAGCTTCGACGCCGATCTAGATCTAGCGTATCCGAAAACTCTGAACAGCTCAAGATATGTCAAGATGTCAATCTCGTCACGCAAATGTCATCGCTAAACGAACAAGCGGACTTGCCAATGAAGTTCAGCCGCCAGCGGCTCTGGCGGTGGCGGGGAGGGCGCGATCTGAGCAGTCCATTAGCGCAGATGACGGTTGGCTAAGCAAGTTTGATGGAGGAGACATTTGACAGGTGCATGTGACGGCCAGTCTTCGGATGCCATCCAGGCGGTGTTCGGATCGGTAGCTTGTTCTTAGGTGCTACGCTAGGCTTTGGTTTGACAGATCAACAGCTCATCAATAAAAGTAATTAATTAACAACTGGGGACGGCTAGACAGAGACGGAAATGGCAACAATTTCAGTACCGAGTCTTGGTCAGCATCTTCTCCTCGGCGCCTCGTAGATGGCCCATGAAACCCTGGGTTGAAAACAAGGAAAATTCCCTCTTTGGAACAGATTGACTGAACCACTGCAGGCTGGACGAGTCATGCCCAAGCTGGGGTCGTTAATGCATCTCATCGGCTGTTGAACGCCCTTGTCAAAGATACGTAGGGTTTGCCTGGCATCTGTCGAGAGGATCACCAAGGAATGCAAGGCTCGTAGACGCAGGTCTCGCCAACCACGACACGCGCTAGTATTGAACTGACACTTCCTCGACATCTGGCGCATCACGTCTTGACCGGCACCGACATGACCGGATCGAGAGAGTCATCGCATTAACCTGCAGGGTGGTATTGTCCAGTAATAGTAATGGCGAGGTTAAAATGTTTGGTCAACAAGTGTCAAACCAAGCATTCAGCCCCAGAAACGCAAGGTCACGATGTGTATGCCATGCCACCTGGATCTAATCAGAAAAACAGGATGGCCATCATATGTGTAGGTACATACTGCGCATGTGAGTGTCTGCATTCATGCATCCCCTGCATGGCCATCAATAATTCCAGGCGTATGCTACGAATACGAAGTGCCTTGATTGCTCACGACCTTCGAAGTAGGGGATATCTCCCACCAATCCTAGGCTTGACAGGGACCCATTAGGTACCTTTTTATCCTCCACGAAAAGGCAACCGAACAATACTCCGTAAAGTAATTTTCCAAGGTTTGGGCCTGAGTGGACCTGTTCGGGCGGATTGCCTCCCCGTCGAGACTGCGGGTCACGGGTGAAGGACCACAGGAGATTCGACATTGACATCAGCGGCACACTCTGTAACACGGGTATGTGGTTTGTACTTAGCCCCAGATGACTAGCGGGGGTTCTACCCAGCCGAGTTGATGGTACTTTTACTGCCCACGCACAGTGTTCTGGAAATGAATCAGGGGCGAACCCGATGTTGGTGGTGCAGCATTAGTGCTCGATACCCACTTCACTGCTTCACTGCCGCAGCTTGATGACCCTGCGGAGTTATATTTTAACGGTAGCGAACTCAACACAAGTTATTTCCAAGGCATAAGCAGCAATGACTATGCGTATGCCCAGTCGCGCTCGGCTCCAGAACTGTGGCCTAAACAAAGAATGTGCGTACTTGGGTTTCAACAAAAGTCCCGTCTCCCAATCGGTTGCCAGCCGGTATGCTCTGTGCCCTCTTTATGATTGCCATGATCATCAGAGCTGCATCTGGTCTGCCAATGTGCTTCAGGGTCAGAGTCACCAGAGGTAGTTTTTTTCATGCGCACAACGACACCAGGCAACGGGCATCCATCAATGCCCTCCCCCAATTTGTTTTTGCAACCGGTCGGGCATGACCGCCATCTTCACCGCTCGCTGTGAGTCAGTTGTCTGAGCAGCCGCTGGAACCACCTCATCACGGGGTGACGAAGATCGCTACCAAATCTTGGAGACGGTGAGAGTCGATCGTCCCTCCAAGCCACGGTCAGCAGGTGAGCAGGTAATGCCAATTTGTGTCTGGTGAGCGGAGGACGTGTGATTGCAAAGGCCCGTCTTGCCTCGGTGTGCGTACCACCCAGTCAAAATCACGCTCGATTGCTGCGCGACCTGAATCGATTGGATTGCTTCTGCCCTTCAAGTTGCCTGGCGTATCTGGGCCCAATGCAAGCCATCCACCCATCTTTCTGCGTCTCCAAAGGCGCTAGGCTAGGGTGGAAAGGCAGAAGCTTCTGGGTCTGCTCTAGCTCTGAGAAGCAACCCCACCACCGCATCATTTGAGAGTACGGAGCCAAATAGACTTTGAACTAAAGACCAGCAGACGCTTCGGTAAGCAGGCTCCCACAACTCCCCGGTGTTCGGGAAGCCAGGGTTCAATCCCTAGGTTTGGCGCTATGTCGTTGGTCAGGGGCGAGTCCTTGCTATTCGACGAATCGCGCGAGCTCCCGTTAGACTTGAACTTGGTGCCATGGGTCGTGGCACACGAATTCCATGCTCCGAGTTCTCACAGAAAGTCCACTACCCTAAAACCATCCATTGCATGAGCCTGGGGGTCCAGAGGAACCACTGTCACGGTTCCCTGGACCCAGGCTTGTCCTCATTCACCGACTTCGCCCTGTCGTGGAATCGTGGTGATGGTCATGAGCCATTGAGCATCTGAGTTGTCCACTCTGCACGCGAGACGACAGTACTTTTACCGAGTCAAGGGTAGTCAACTACGACAGTACAGTACGTACGGAGTATTGATCTGACCAATTTATGACCTGAACGAAGCACGGACTTTTCCTCAAACCAGCTGACCTTTCTATTCTTGGGCTGAAAATATGTCACTATTCTACAAACCCAGGACAACAAGGCCCTCATCGCTCGGTTTCTGGCTGCTACCCTGCCTTCGTCTGTCGTCCTCGCTAGAGAAGGATTCCGACGTTGGGCCAACATCCTGGTAAAAGGATAAAGTCCCTCTTGCTTTTTTCTTTAGCTAGCCAGCATCCAGGCTGTTGTGTGCCGTGTTTCCACTTTCCAGAAAGCGCAGCATCTGACTCTGGGGACAGACTGGCGCATGCGCAGCCAGCTCAGTTTAGAGAAATCAAGGATCCACAGTATCAGAGCCGGCCTCGAGGGTCGAGAGGCTCGGGGACTGTGTACGAGTAATGCGTCCTCTACGTACCCCTGTCGTCGCATGGCAGCCTTGAAAAAAAATGTGAATCCACCCGTCTTGGGTGCCCTTCCAGTGTTATCCCATAGCATAGCCATGATGGGAGAGGCTGAGATTCCTGCCCCGTTCCCCCCATGGTCCCAGCGGGTCCAGCGTAGTCTTCCAGTAAAAGTGATATGGCTCTGGCTAGTGCGCTCTACCTCCCGCTCCACTATCTTACGGCCTGAGGTATCGCCCGGATTCAGTAACCCACATGATGATGACTGCAAAGTCTTGGATCCTCAAAAGGCGGTTTTATCCTTTCCAACATCCGCCCGGCCGTTGGCTCACCGTCCTGGAGTCCTGACCCTGCAACCGTGCTCGCCCACTTGCCCCTCTGTCCCGTCCAAGCCAATGTTTCATCTTTGTCCATCTTCCCCGAGCCCCAAGTCACGCACCACGTTACCCCCCCCCTGGACTTGGCCGATTTTGCCTCTGCGACTATTTTGTTGTCAGTTGCGCTAGCGGTCCCAGAAAATCAGTCCATGTCTCCAGCATTCCTCGTCATTCCCAGTCCCAGTCCCAGTCCCTGGTCCCTGAGAAGCTGACCAGTAGGCCTTCGCCACTGGGTCGACTACTTTTGTTTTATGGTTTTTTGTTCGAGGATCGGGTAATTCGCAGCAGGTCTCGCGGCTTGCCCGGCTCCTGGATCTAGCGCATCGGATGGAGTCTCCCACAATTCGCTACGGTGGACAAGCACACTCGGATGTTGGAGATTTGCCTGACTATCGTGAGCTTCCGCGCTCCCTCGCGCCGTGTGACAGTGGCTTCGTCTGGCCATTGGCAAAGCCAGTTCTCCATTCTTTGCTCCTCGAACCAGTTTGATGCTGGCATGCTGCCGTGTCCTTTGATATTCCCGTCCGCCTAAACAAGCCCACCGCCTATTCTACGCGGCCGGCGGATGCATCATTCCGCCAAAATCAACGTCGACCCGCTCCCTGTCGGTCTGTCTCCTGGAATTTGCCCTTGGCCCTATTTACTTAGACTTGCTTCCTGCGCCTGGGACGTGCTCTGGCACCATCATCTTTTTTTTGTTCCTTTGCTTCTTCAACCCACCCTCTACCCCTCTTGCTGTCACCACCGACATCCCTCTTCTCCCTCCCTCTCCCTAAGGGCAATCATGCCTCCTCTACTCACCAAGCTCTTTCTGCGTGACCGCGGCTCGAATACCACACAAGACCATTTTCCGGCCCGGCAGTTGTTCGTTCTCGGTACGTCATCTCGCAGACCACAGGCCCGAAAATGGAATGCTTTTGCGGAACGAACGCACAACTAACGCACAATGCACAGCATTATGTCGGATATGCGAACCAATCGCCTTCATGTCAATATTTCCATATGCATACCGTATGATTGAGACATTCAACATCACCTCCAATGCAGACCAGATATCAATTTACGCCGGCATGCTCATCACCGCATTTGCATTTGCCGAATTCTCCACCGGCGTCATATGGGGCCGGGTCAGCGACCGTGTGGGAAGAAAGCCCGTCCTTGTCATGGGTTTGGTCGGCACCGCCCTCAGTATGCTTTCTTTTGGCTTTGCGACAAGTCTACCGGCAGCCATCTTGGCCAGGGCACTAGGTGGACTTCTCAACGGCAATGTGGGCGTGCTGCAGACCACCGTGGCCGAACTGGTCACCAAAAAAGAACACCAACCTCGAGCATATTCAATCATGCCTTTTGTTTGGGGTTTAGGCTCAATTATCGGTCCGGCCATGGGCGGTGCCTTGGCCCAACCCTGCGAGTCGTATCCTAGGGTATTCCCTCGAGGCGGGCTGTTCGACACATACCCGTTTCTGCTGCCCAACCTGGTCTGTGTCATTATCTTGATCTTCGGCATCATCAATGGCGTCCTGTTTCTGGAAGAGACCCATGCGGAAAAGCGGGGCGACAAAGATTGGGGTCGTGAGTTCGGCCAGGTCTTGATCAATAAGATCTTTCCCTCCCGCTCAACAAAAACCAGCAACAGTTATGATTACATCAACGATCAAGATGCAATTGCAGAAGATGATGATCCTCCTCCAGGCTATCGCAGCACCGAAGGATCTCCCAGACTCGAGTCGACCACGACCGTCACGTTGCAACCAGACCTGGAGATCCTGAGAGAAAAACAGACCCATGGCGTAGTCAAGACATTCAACCGTCATGTCGTCTTGATCATTGTCGGCTACGCCATTCTTGCATAGTAAGTACTGGTCTCTATTGGTTCAGGTAGGACATGTCCTAACAAACCCCACAGCCACAGCGTTTCATTCGACGCCTTGATGCCGATTTTACTAAGTGAAGACCGAATGACCAGAGAGCAATCAGAGCAGACGGTACTACCGTTCAAGTTCCTTGGAGGTTTCGGCAAGTCGACGCAATCGATCGGCTTTATGATGGCGGTGCAAGCATCCTACTCGATGTTCGCACAGCTGTGCCTATTCCCATATCTTGCCCGGAAACTCGGCTCTCTCCGGGCATTCCGGTCCGTGATGACCATCTGGCCAGCACTGTACTTCATCGTACCATACCTAGTACTGTTGCCCGAAAGGCTTCAGACAGGCGGGATCTACTTGACGTTGATGACCAAGATCACATTTCAAGTGATTGCATTTCCGTCCAACGCAATCCTCCTGGCCAACGCCGCACCGTCCAAGTCCGTTCTGGGAACGATCAACGGAGTGGCAGCGTCGACCGCCTGCCTGGCTAGGTCGTTGGGCCCCGTCGTAACTGGCTTGATCCACTCAGCAGGACTGAAACTCGGATACAACGGACTCGGCTGGTGGGCCGGCGGAATCGTTTGTGCCATTGGAGCTCTGGAAAGTTACTGGATGGAAGACACCGAAGGTCGCCGGGATCGACCTTCGGCGCCAGAAGAACCCAATACCTGCGAGCCTCTGCTCCACAGCGCGGTTGAACCGCCAGAAGAAACCTCTGTACTACAGACCGACAGCCTCACCTTGATGGATGACCTGGACCTCACGACCCCGCGCAAGCATGAATTTGATTTCGACCGCAAGGAATGAGGAGAAGAAGGAAAGGAAAATGACGGATTTACTATTGTTTTTTTGGTTTTCTTGCTTTCACTCGTTGCATCATTTCGGCGTTTTGACTCGACTTGGGTCTTGAATCCACCCCAAAACAAGGGAGATCAAGGTTTGGGAGCACGGGATCCCGACAGGAAGAATCAGCGAAATCAACTCGATTAAGGACTTGACTTGACACTGGAGAGCATCACACTTATTTTACAACAAAGATCACACGGAAGCGGCGCAAGCTACAAGATTTCCTGGGGAAATATAGAGCTAGGAAAGAGACGAGGGACAAAATTTCGAATGGGCGCACTAGAAGGACGAAAGGAAGGGGGCGAAAGGCCCCCCCCCATGGGTTTTCGGACTTTGACTGTCATTTTTTCGTTTTCATTTTTTCTTTGGGTTATTGTTTGGTCCAACGCGCACTCAACAGGCGAGAACGAAAAGACTCGTCTGGAGCGTTGGATTCAGTCAGTTGTTATTTTGTTTGGGAGGCTTATTTGGTTCAAGATACCTCGCGGGCTTTGTTCCCGGCCGATTCTTGTTTTTTGATTTTTTTTGGTTTGCAACTGACTGTCGCTATCGCTGTTGGAATAGGATTGGATTTGGTCTCGTTGAGACACCATCCCGTGGAGTGGCTATTTGTACGTTTGTGTATACTACTATGCTTGTCGTCCTTTTTTGGGGTCAGTCAGGGTGTGTGTGTGTACGTCTAGCTAAAGATGTGTATGAGGACTCTTATGTGATCAGAGTCAGGAAAGATATTAAATCATGATGATGGGTCCGCCCAGGTTACGATTCTCTTAACAATTTGTTCACTGGGATCTGAGAATGTCCCAAGCTCCAACCTATGTACATGAAACACTCAATGTCTCGAATACACTACATACCTAGGTACCTAGGTACCTACGGTATACCCCATATTATACCATGTGACTAGAGCGTCACCGCCTGATAGCTTATTATGGAGTTCGATAGGGTGGAGATGTATAAAAGTCAAGAAACCTCGGTCCGTCTCATTAGCCATCCAAGAACGGATCCGCCCTTGAGTACCGCAACATTGCATCCATTCTCATTCTCCAATGAAGTTCCATCTTTACCATTGCCACGCATTACCTACTTAACCTCTTTTCGGGAATTGACTTTCTCCAACTATTTGACGAATTCGCCGGGGAACCTCCGCGTAGTTCATCCCCAGACAAATACCGAATTGACCTCCAGTTTACATGCTTTGTATTTCATATCAACTCCTCACAGCATCCCATTCATTATTGCGATAATAGGCTGGGAACTCACTCACACGGCGAGATAGATCATATATCTATATAGGCCACAGCTGGATTCCAATGGCTATGGCTCCAAGCAGAGCATCTAGCGTGCTTCTCCGCACCGGGGCTCTGAGCACAACATCAGCACATCAAATATCCTGCGCAGCGCGCTTGAGGTGCTCGAGATCGCTGGGATGGAGATACCTGGCCTCTGCTGCGTCCACGGAGTCATCAGCATCAGCAGCAGGCAAAGTGGCACCACTTGAGGGGATTCGAGTACTGGACATGACGCGGGTATTGGCTGGGGTAAGTCCGTGAGATACAAGTCTCTATGCGAACCGCAGAAACTAAGTAGCTATTCTTCCTACATACGACTAACTGGGAGGTTTATAGCCTTATTGCACTCAGATTCTGGGCGATCTTGGGTATGTGTCTTGCTTTACCCCCTTGCTGCCTTATTTTCATACTGACCTGTCCTTCCCCCCAGAGCCGAAGTCATCAAGATCGAACACCCAACTCGTGGCGATGATACCAGGGCATGGGGTCCTCCGTTTGCAAAGTACAAGGATGACGGTGTGTGGGACCGCTATTTTAGAAATGCATGATCTGTACTGATTCTTGCCATTGCAGCTGTGGTCAAGGGCGGTCAAGCTGGAGAGAGTGCTTATTTCATTGGTGTAAGTTACCTACACTGGAGAACTCGATTCAAGTTGCGATGTTATGTTGTATCAGCTCGACTGATTCCTCCCTTGTGCAGGTGAATCGAAACAAGAAATCTCTGGCTCTGTCCTTCCAGCACCGTGAAGGCGTTAAGATCCTCCAGGAGCTAGCCAAAACATCGGATGTTCTGGTTGAAAATTACATTCCTGGTAAGTGTGTGGTGGCCACAAGTAAAGATGAGTTCTAGAAATCTGACATTTGTTCGCCATGCAGGTTCGTTGAAGAAGTATGGTCTGGATTATGAGAGTCTACGGAAGATTAATCCTCGGTATGTCTATGATAAAAGCCCTCGCCTTGAGTATCCTCGCTATGATTCTGACCATTCCGCCCTGCCTTGTGCAGCCTGATTTACGCCTCAATTACAGGCTACGGTCAGACAGGTCCGTACTCGTCACGAGCCGGGTACGATGTCATGGTCGAAGCGGAAATGGGATTGATGCACATTACTGGAACCCGAGATGGGACACCAGTGAAGGTGGGTGTTGCTGTTACTGATCTGACCACGGGCTTGTACACGTGTAATGCCATCATGGCATCACTGCTGGCACGACAGCGGACAGGACAGGGCCAACATATCGATGCAGCGCTGGCTGATTGTCAAGTCGCGACACTGGCAAACATCGCCAGCTCGGTGCTCATCTCAGGCCAGCGCGACGGTGGCAGATGGGGCACTGCACACCCCAGCATTGTGCCTTACAAGGGCTTTGCTACCAAAGATGGAGATATTATGCTGGGCGGTGGTAATGACCGCTTATATGGAATCATCTGCGACAAAGTGGGCAAGCCGGAATGGAAAACCGACCCTCGCTTCATCACCAACGACGTGAGGGTGAAGAACCGCGACGTCTTGGAAGCCTTGATCGAAGAAATCACAAAGACCAAGACCACCAAAGAGTGGCTCGCTATTCTCGAGGGGAGCGGCCTGCCCTACGCGGCCATCAACGACGTCAAGGACACCTTGGACCATGAACATGTCAGAGCACGGGGGATGGTGCAGGAAATCGAACATGACAGCTGTGGCAAGATCGAGGTCGTTAGTCCGCCTGTCAAGTACTCGGAGAGTGTGATTGGAATCCGTTCCGCCCCTCCCACCTTGGGTCAGCATACCGATGAGGTCCTGACCGAGGTTCTGGGATGGTCAGGTGAAGACGTGCAGAAGCTCAAGGCCGACGGCGTCGTCGCTTAAGCAAAGTAGTCGAAGCTAGCTGCGGGAAGAAGACGATCGCCATGTGTACAGTACGTCATACATCAAGAAGCGCATAGAGCCGCGGGTCGGAAAATGGTTTTTAAGACGTTGAAGGAGAGCATTATAGCTGGGGACGGGAAGAGGGCGAAAAGTCTCTGGTGGAAAACATTTTCTCGAGCCACGTTGCATATCAAGTGCGGACTCGCCTAACCATGCAGCAGGTTGTTCTGTAGGTTTGATAGACGTGCCAACCGTGCCAACCCAATGTCTGCCCAACAAGGTTGGGGCCCCCTATCAGAAGATCCTCAGGGATTTGATCCCAGATTCACACTCATCGTGATCATGATGCTTCAGCACGTGGAACAGATGGCCTGCCTGCCTTCCATGCGTGCCAGGGAAGATCCCAGCTCTGGTATGAACCACTTTACCGACGCTCTGGATTGACAAGGGAGGCTGACCCATGTCTGGCCCGGAAGGACTAAAGGTGGCCCGGACCCTGTTTCACCCAGGTCAAAATGAAGTTGGAAAAGGCGTTGGGCACTGGTTTTCTTCAGCCAAATCCTTCAAAAACATCTTCCCTGTCACTTTTGGCGAGGAGTTGTTGTCGTCGAATTTGCCGCACCATTTCAGCTGTCTGAGCCTCTTGGTCCCTCTCTGCGTCAGTCATCTTGGACTTTCTCTCGAAATCTCTCTTCGCTTCCCGTTTGGATCGTTTGACTTCTCTATGTGCCTTGTGTTCAAGCTTCTCAGACCATGCGATCGTGCTTTCACGTTTCCTGTGAGGTTTGCGGGGCAATTCTGTGCCTTCTTCGTCTCGTTTCGACAAGTCCAGGCGGCGTTGTTTCTCGTGCTGCTTGTCTTTGTAGGCGTAATTATCCCAGTCGACCTGAGGTGCTGTGTAGGTGTTTCGGTCCCAATTCTTCAATTCCGGCATCTTAGGCATCCTCAATAAACCCCAAGCACATGCCTGATCATTCCAGTCTATCTCAGCCAAGCGAAAGATCGATGATGCCTGATGCTTGGAATAACTCCTGACCCAACTCACAAATGCCTTTTGAGCTTTGTCATAAAGCGCCCGGTCTTTCAACACAAGTTTCTGAAAAACGCTCTCAGTAGTCAAAGCCTCCTCAGGAGAGATGGACAAATCAGGGGTGGTGAGCAATTCGATTGGAGTTTGCCGCACATTGAGAAAAGAGACATAGTCCTCTTCACTTCCAGGAAGCAAGAATACCACACTCAGGCCTTTGCGGCCTGCTCGGCCAGCACGTCCACATCGATGCAAGAAAGCTTTGGGATCAGAGGGAGGATCGATTTGGACGACCAGATCCACAGCAGGAATATCAAGTCCTCTGGCTGCCACGTCAGTGGTGAGCAGCACAGCCGATGTCGTGGTATTGGTGAAGCGAATGAAATTCTTCTGACGGACAGTAGCTGGATGTTTACCGTGCAAAGGAACCAAGACTGTGTCAGAGGGCAGGATGGCTGGGAGCAAAGCTTGGAAATAATCGACCGCGGCGCACGTGGAAAGGTATACAATCGTTCGTAAGGGAGTAGGACTGAGTTCTCGAAGTAGCTTTGCCAGTGCTGGCAGCTTACGTGAGGCAGGGGTGACGATATATGTCATTTTGAGACTCGCAGGGGTGCGCTTATCTTCGACGCCGTTGGCGCCTTTGACCTTGACAGCGACTCTGACAGGGTTTCGAAGGCCGACACGAATGATTTGATCAACGGCTTCACTAACACTGGCGCTGAAGAGTCCAGTGCGGCGCTGTTTGGGAAGGTGATTGAGGATCTTGGTCAGATCATCTTTAAAGCCCAGGTCGAGTAGTCGGTCGGCTTCGTCGAGGACAAGAACTTCGAAAGATGACTGGGGACAGTGGACGAAAGGCGAGGACAAGATTTCAAGAAGTCTACCAGGAGTCGAGACGAGTATGTTGGGGGATGTCTTGAGAAAGGTACTGAGATCTTGGGCAGGAGTTGTCGAGCCACCCAAGAGGAGTTGAGGAACGACTTTCAATGTGGAGGATGGGAATGACTCTGTCGGCTGGTCCGAGTCGGTGTTGGTGGAATCTTTATGAGATCTCACGGCAGCGGCCGAAGGAGGATGAAAGTCCAGGATCGAAAGAAGGACGTTATAGATTTGAGTAGCGAGTTCTCTGGTCGGGGAAATAATAATGGCACCAACATGGTGCTTCTTGATGGGTTCATCCAAGCGCAGTAATCTCTCAATAATGGGTAGGAGAAATGCAAGGGTTTTCCCACTTCCTGTGACGGCCTCAACGACAACATCTTTATGGCCCATGAAAAGCGGGATGGTTGAGGCTTGAACTGGGGTCATTCTTGAGAAATTCATGGCTGACGTGGCATCGAGGACCCATTGGGAGAGGGGAGGGGTGAGGGAATCCCAGGCGCGAGAAGAGGAGGGCTTGGGAGCAATTTTGCCCCTGTCTGGTGCCATTGTGGACGGTGTGTATGTGTTGCTGTAGCCCCAAGGCGCAGTTAGACGACAAAATCAAGATGGAGAGACTCGTGGGAATACGAAGAATGATAAAATTGAGTGGAGAAATGTGTTTGTGGTAATGATGCCGAACACTAGTCCGTTTTCGGGTCGGAGCAGCATTGGGGGAAATGCTCCGCCGTTTCCATGTAATACGGAGGAGCAAGTTAACAATTAACTTCCTTGCTTCGTCTTTGTGTCTCCATCTGTCTCGTCAGCATTCTAATGTGTGGAATGAACGAGATTCGTCGAAATCATAGTTCCAAGCCTTGTAACAAGGCTATGAAAGTTTTTAAAGGTCTGGGCTCCTTGTTGCTGGTGGAAACCTTTTTACCGATGTCTCTATCGGCCTTCTAGTCCTCCCATTGGTTCTGAGTCTTCAAACAGGGTGCCTCATCTCGCCAAGTAAGTATGCTTTCATTTCTTAATAAAGACTCTCGTGCTGCTTCGGAATGGTTATGGCTCTCTGCTCCCTTGCAATTTGGTTGAATTTAAGGACATCGACTTCCCACGTGCTGTGATAATGTCTCACCTTCAGTATTACTCCTACAAGGGGGAGGGGGAGGAGAGAATGAAGAATTTCGGGTATAATCAAGCGGTCAGAGTAGGCGATCGGATTGAGTGCTCTGGGCAAGGTAAGATGTGATCTATGAGTAACCTGACTGTCCCTTAGAACTGACGGTATCTAGGTGGATGGGACCCGGAGACAGGAGAATTCTACCAAGACCTTGACGAACAAATCGACCAAGCATTCAAAAACGTGGACATAAATCTTCGGGATGCTGGAGGCCAAGGATGGTCTCAGGTGTATAAAGTCAGCTCATTTCACGTCCCTCTTGGTATGGAAGCAGCAGGTGCAATGATTCGTAATTTTGCAAAATGGATGCCCAACCACAAACCAATCTGGACAGCTATAGGGGTCGCAGGCCTAGGCGGAACGACTGAGATGAAGGTTGAGATTGAAGTAATTGCCCATGATGAACAAGGGGCCAAGGCGGCGAAGCGAGGCCAGTAATTCGTCACTGAGAGGTTGTGGTATGAAGAGATGGAAGGATGGTTTAGAATGCTTTGTCTGAAGCATTAAATATCACGTGCCAGAACACGTGTCAACGCATAGATATTGACGCGACTGGAAGGAATGTGGCAGGAACATGTGATCTGTGACTCGCAGGTGGCCTCGGCTTTAAGCTGATAACCAGTGGTGAAGCCCGAGGCCCGGGCGTGCATTGGCGCCTAATCTGCCCTGATAGGCGTCCGTTGCATCCACTGTTACTACCCGAGCCACCCGAGGATTATCGTCCTTTTAACGCCCCTTGGATCTTGGACCCTCACCTGCTCGCCAATATTCTCCTGCCTTCGTATCATTTGCTAGTTTTGACACGTGTGAACCACTACTTTTTTTCTCTGCTTCTGCTGCTGCTTCTGCTGCTGCCTCCACATCCGCCTGTGCCACCATGTCAACTACCAAAGTCTCGTAATCCTGCAGGTTCGTCGACATCATTCGATAATTCCATCTTCTCTTTTTCGTTATCCACAATGATGGCTATGTCTTTGAGTCTTCTGTGAGGGCCAACACAAACTCCTCCCTCATCACCTTCAGCGACGCGGTCGCGACTGCCGTCGCGGGTTCTAGCCCACAAGGAAGTCGCACACGCACACACGCGGAAGGAAGGCACACCGATAGTTGGCATCTTATGCACATGCGCCTTCCCCGGCACATGAACTTGATCAGATAAACTCTTTCTTTACCACCACCTCCACCTCGACCACCTCGACCAACACCATCCTATCCTCACCTTCGCCTCTTCACCTGCTCGATGTCATATCCTTACCCTATCCCTGCCACGCCCAGGGTCATTTCTCCATCTCCAACCCCATCCGAAGCCTCCGACCTACAAGATTCTTATTTCGCTCCGGTCACGAGATCTGCCGCCAAATCTCAAAGACAGAAATCTCCTCATCCAGAACCAATTCATGAAGAGAAAGATGGCTCCGGGTCAGATTCGAGTATTGACAAGAGAGCCCGAGCCCGGTCGAGAAGTCCTATCTTGACACAAGCCACACAGTTGAATGGTACCACCGGCAAGCGAAGGCGCATGAGCGGCCTCACCACCAAGACCCCAGTTGCCAAATCCGAACCACTAACCAACGGGTCCATCCTACCGTCCCAATCCAACGGCCATCTATCTCCCTACGATCGAGTCAAAAAATCATGGCGCGAGTTCTCCCGTTCACCCTCACCGCTCGGCTTGATCCCCTTGCACCGTCATTATCGCACCTTTATTCATAAACACGAAATCCCCCGCAAAGCCCTCCATGTCTCCATCGGCTTTTTCACCCTACGCTTTTATACATCAGGATTGCAGACCACCGCCATCACCCCATGGCTGTTAGGTGCTCTTGCCATCATTGCCCCGACAGATCTTCTCAGACACCATTCCGACCGCTTCAACAGGTTCTACATCCGCGTCTTGGGGGCTTTTATGCGTGAGACCGAAGTTGATGGGTATAATGGTGTGATCTGGTATCTGGTCGGTGCTGTGATCGCCCTCCAATTCTACCCCAAAGATATCGGTGTCATGTCTATCCTCCTTCTCTCTTGGTGTGATACCGCCGCCAGCACCTTTGGTCGTCTCTACGGCCGTTATACTATCCGCCTACGAAGAGGCAAATCCCTTGCAGGTTCTCTTGCCGCATTCGCCACGGGTGCACTCGTCGCTCTATATTTCTGGGGTTGGTTGGCGCCTAGAACAGGACCATTCCCAGATGATCCTGCCAACGGATTCATGTATCAGAACAGACTGTCTCTACCCTCGCAGGTCAAGGAACTCCTCGGTTGGGGACCGGACCAGGGAGTATTGGTGGGCAACCCAGCCTTGGCAGTCATGAGCGTCTGCACCGGGCTAGTCGCCAGTCTTTCCGAGCTGATAGACATCTGGGGATGGGACGACAACCTGACCATTCCTCTTCTCAGCAGTGCAGGACTGTGGGCGTTTTTACGGTTCTTTGGATGAAACAGGGCATCAGACTGAACGCAAACATACTCGCAAGAGGTAGCTGGAGGGGTGGGAATGTGATTTCATGTCATTTTCGTTTTTTCATAGCAAGCCGCGACATCTCCCAGGTTGATGCATATGTGTATATTTCTGTGTTGGGTTGGACAAGTGATATAGTTGAGGGTCCTGAATGTCCCACGAGAGGCATGAGTTCACGACTTAAGATACCTTGACCTCTAAGATGTTGAAGTGATTGAGTGGGTGGTGGAAATGCCCAGTAGATAGATAACCTCTAAGATGAGATATTCCAATCCAAACAATTCCAACAATGAAATCTAGACGCTGTTTACCAAGTCCTATCGTATTTACAACCTACCTATTATGATTCGATGGCCCGGAGATGGAATCCGTCCAAGAAAAACAGGGCTGTAATGATGATCCCTCGTTGGGGTGGGGGGTGGACCTATGAACCTATGATGATATCATAGTGTTCGTTGCCCGCATTCACATCACATCACGTCAAGTCAGATCAAAGAGGGAATGACTGGACATGGTGACATATGTACCGTAGAAAGAAAAGATCTTGAGCTTGCTCTCTAGGTATGTAGGTACAAATGAGCAGGAATAATCTTCATGCTCAATTTAAATCATTGAATGTAATTTTATCTTCCATACCTCCATCAACTTCAACTTCAACATCATCTTCTTCTTCATTATCATCAAAAAGTATATTGTTGTTTATTCCCCTTCACCCGAACTTGATTTATATCTGGTGAATAACTTCGACACCAAGATACTTTTATCTGCCCTTCAGATCCTCAACCTGGATATCTGATTCCTGTCTTCCAAATCCCATCTTGACCCATCGACCCACTCCGAAAATGCAGTCTCTCCGCCTATCCACACTACGGACGGCGTCGCCTGCCTTTACAGCGCATCGTCATGCGTCTTTAGTACAATGTCGCTCTCGACTCAGTCATCCGGTCTGTTCAATCCAAACCCGTTTCGCCCACCAATCGTACGGCAACGAGCAGTCTGGCCAGGAACAAGGAAGAGATCTCAAGAATCCCATGTCGCACCTCGAACACCCTGGGCCTGAGTCGCCTGCGAGCAAAGGCACGAATCAGAAATCTGGCTCTTCTTCATCTTCCTCGTCGTCTTCGACGACCAAGAAGGAGAGTGGCAGTGGCGGCGGTAATAGTAGCGAGTCCACCTCACAAGGTGGATCTCCACGCATTCATCGTCCCGTATCTGCTGCAGAGAAAACAGATCCAGACGTTCGGAAACATAATGAGGAAATGGAGAATAGGACTGAGAGGTCGGCCAATCAGCTGAGTGAGGATGATAACAAGGTCAATAAGAATTTCTGGAAGGGTGAGTCTCTGTTCCCGTCCTCTCGAGTGACTTCGAGATCCCGTGAGACCAATACTGATTCTGATGCTTGACCCCAACTAGGTGATGTCGGTCCCAAAAAGGAGAAGTGACATGTTTGCACATTGGGAAATCTGATTGGTTATCTGAAGAGGCGTCAGGTTGACGTTAACACTGACCACAGATGATGGTGGCATGTATTGTTAAGCAGGTTGCTGCATAATTAGCTTGGGGCATGCAATGACCAAATCATTGACATTTAATCGAGCCAGCTGTGATGACAGGCTTGCTTCAAAGCCGTGGTTCAAACCTTGCGCAAGCGCAGAATATCTTGTAACTTAACCTGTCCCCTCTGACCCCATCCGGCCTGACCTTGTTCAACTTCAGGTCGAACACGCATATACCAGGATTGAGCTCTGGCGTCGAGTTCCTCCTTTGTCAGTGAAGATGCCCAACTTTGACAGACCGAGTCGATGGCTTTGAGCATCACAGCTGCCGAATGCTCGCGTTTCTTGGCCGCCGTGGGGTGCTTTTCCTTTTCTTTCTTGCCAGTTGGTTTCTTGCCTGCATCGTCCTTGACCGCACCGTCGATCAAGACCATCGACCTCAATAGGTAGGATCGTGGAGCTGCAGGCTTATAGATAGGAGGGCCAGCACTCCCTCCTTTGTCTGACTGGGCTGGTATGAGAGGACCATTGGACTTTCGTAGTGCATCAAGGTCCAAACCCCAGAAAGCTTCGACTGGAGTAGCTGTGTCCCCATCAGGACTAACTACTTGTCTTCTCATGACGGCAACTTCTCGACCCATGATCTTGATCTTTGGCTGACCCATCGCCCAGCCATCTTCTTCAGCTGTGGGGCCTGTTGTTAGTCCGAGATACTTTGCTTTGCTTTGAGCTCCGGCACTGACGACGGCTTGGGCCATACTCCATCGACTGGATAGGGGTTGTTCCGGGTGGGTATATGCAAGAACAGAGATCGTGAATGCAAGGAACAGCGGAGCACGGTTGGTTTCCACAATCAAGTCTTGCAGGTCTTCTACTGATAAGTCGGTGGTCGGAAGGGCAAGAAGAGTCTCATCATTGTCCGCGTCAGGACCTGCCCTAGCCCTCTTGGAGGCAGGAGAAGAGGACTCTGAAGCCTGACGTTTCTTTGGGTTGGACACACGCTTGGCGGCATTGATCACTTGTTTGAGGACCTTTTCGTCAGAGAAGATGGGCTTCAAGCTGTCCGCATCTGCCTTGGAGATGGCCTCTGGCGTACTGAGGTCTAACTTGCGGAGAGGATGGATCTTTGACATGGCATCTTGCAGAGGAAGCTTGGCATCTTTGGTTAAGAAACGGAGCAATGCTTGAACCTGAGCTGCTGCCGCCATTCTGACATTGCAGGTAATGATTGCGGATGGTGCACGGTGTCAACTGCAACTGGCCTTGATGTTCCACCAGGTGCAGGTCGTATTGAAACCAAAAGTCAAATCATGCTTTGATGCATCAAGGCCAAGAGTTTTGGTCTACTGTAGCTGACGAGCTGTAAGATGGTAGGTACATGTGAAGTTCATTAGGGCATTGGGAAGATGCAGCGAGTGATCTGTCAAGTCGAGGTTGAGATGATTTGAGTAACGAGGTACCATAAACAGCCTCGCTTGCCCAGCGACACTGCAAAGGTGCTCGCTCGGTTCTTGCCGTATTTGAATTCTAGGCACCAGTGGAACTTTTGCACTAGACACCTCAGGTATTGTCGAACAAGAAGTCGAGGTCAAAGCCCGTCGTTACGCGGTTTACTTCTGTGCTCCGCTCTAGCCTCAGTGAGGTCACGTGTAAGAATAATGAATCATCCGGTCACGGTTGTACGATACTCACAATTAATAAAAATGGTACCATCGGAATGAGGAGAAAGTTGTGTCTGTGAGTCCACAATGTCGTCAGTTGCCCAGCTTCAACTTCCAAAGGCCAACCGCCTGGAACAGTAATGATCAGCATGCATGCCAAGGCCCACTCCAGATCCTGGCCCTTGTAAACCGCCCGCCACAAACGACAGATGAAAATCGTCTCCTGGTTGAGTGACTGCTGGCCAGTGATTACTGACACGCTCACCAAGAGAGTTTAGTGTGGAAAAGAGGTAGCAACAGGGAAAACAAACGTCAAAAGGGAGACAAACCCCAAACTCAAATAATCAAATGAATGGTTGAAATGAAAAGATCCCACAACCGTGGTCGAGAGATGAACTTTAAATTCCCTAACTTTAGGCTCGTTTAGCCCAGTTGACCCGCCTACTACCGCTGGTAACTGCATATAGGCTTCTGGAGGGGAAAGGGACGCCTAGCAGATAGGTGGATTGGCGATTTCGACATCATCCCTGGGCGGCTTGGGCCCCCCCAATCCTAACTGGACTGACTGGATGAGGGGACAGGGCCCAGCATGATTTGGGGCTGCTGTTGTGCCTCTCTTGGTGTCTCTTGGGTGTCTCTCGCAACCATACCTACCTAGTCACAAACCACGGGCGGCGAACTACCAGCGACGGACTGCCAGATCAACCCCCATTGGCATCTGCCGAACGACTGGCTCAGCGCCTTGTTCGGGCCCTCGGACCACTCAGAAAATCCACCACTTGTGTAGCTCCGACCTTATTTCTTCCCATTCCATCCCTTACTCGTCGGTTCCCATCTTTACCACCCACCCTTGATTCTTAGCACCCATCCTTCAGCTCTCGAACGAGAAGTTAGTCCCGATTGCTGGTCATCGACAAAGACCTGAGAGGAGAGCCCTGGGACTGAGGACTAAGTGAAGGAGGGAGTGGCTCTGCCCGACTTGAGTCTCGTCCACCTTTTTCAACCTGCGCTCGCTTTTGCACCTCCAGTACTGAGGTTCGCACCAACCATCCACCACCGCATTTCCTCGTCCCACTTGGACTGGCACAGGCGCTGCCACGGCCACTGCCACTACAGCACTGCCTCATTTGCTGCTGGGAGAACCACTCGTCTGTCCATCCATCCATCTCATTCCTCCATCACCTATCCAACTCACCACCATACACTGTTGCTCACTCACACCTGTACAGAGACTTTCATCATTCTCGACACCCTACCACCCGGTCCCTTTGCCACAACCCCATCCCAGCCTCTCACGCTCTCTGCCCACTCTCCTCTCAATTCCTCTTCTCGACTTCCACATCCTCCACTCCTCGTTCATCAACATCATTTCCTCTAAGGCTGTCCGCCGCCAGAAGGGGTGGCGCTGCCCCAATGGCGCGACGACCGGGTTCCATCGACTCCTTCACCCCCGACGGCAGACCATTATCAATACGGGGTTCCAATAATTCATCAAACCCAAACGTCTTCAGTGATGACTATGCCGTCGACACTTCCGACTCCCTTAACTCCCTCTCACGCTCTCAGTCCATCACCTCTCGCCCAGAAAGCCTCTCGGTGATACGAGACTCCCCAGATGGAGCAGTAACCAGTGACTCGCCTACTGGGCTCTCTTCAACTGTGGCAAACTCATCGCCATTGAATCGTACCTCGTTACCTGAGGCCTCCTCTATTCCTCAAAGAATTGTCTCGATATCCTCCCACGCCGACACCCACCGAACTCTGAGCACGTCGTCTCACTTCTCAATACCCCGAGCCCCAAGCCCATACAACGGACCTACTGCTCCCAGTCACCCATATGGCATGTATAGTCAGGTCACTCGAGCATCCAGCATCATCAGTGATTCCACCATTCGACCTGTCGATTCTCCTTTTGTGCCACAAGGGGGTCCAGAACATCCTTATGGCATGTACCAGAACACTGTTCCTGAAGAGGAGGATGATGCTCAATTATCCACCCCCTTGGGATTCCCTGTCCTTGGTTCTTCTGCTGCATCCGCCTCGCAATCATCAGGGAACGATGTTGGGGATATTGTGGGCACAGATGGCCATGTCGAGCAACTTCCTCCCTATAGTCGTTACGCCGACAATGTTATCGCCAAAAGTGATTTGGATCGGATAGACAGAGGAGGTGCGGTACCATCTTCGACTGAATCCTTGACGCCTCCACCCACCACCGATATTTCCTCGACCTCCAATATCGAATCGACCCCCATCACTCCGTCCACCACTGATGAAGAGCTTGCGCGAAAAGAGGGCATGAAAAGGAGACGGACCAACCGCAAGATTTTCGGCCTTCCCTTTTGGACCTTTGTCACCGTAGTAGCAAGTGTCATCGTTGCCGCCTTGGTGGGCGGTGTCATCGGCGGAGTTGTGGGCAACAGAAAAGGCGCGGAACACGCTCTTGGGTAAGCCCTGACACACATCATATCTGCCTTCACAACTAATGCAAATCGACAGATCAAGTACCACCACCACCACCGTATGGCTGGACGCCGATCCGGCGTCAACAGATGGATCCACGGGGTCCTGTCCCACCGGCCATTTTACCTTGCCTCTAAATCAATCCGCAGAAATCGATACATGTATTGTGGATCCCCTCTATACCAACACATGGGGTTGCTTGGATGTTGCCAAACTCGGCATTAATGTTTTCGAGGCCCCCAACGGCGGGCCTCCCGTCTCTGTTGTTTTTGACGACTATTCAATTCGTCCCCAATTATTCAAATATGGCCCTCAACCAGCCGATTTCAATGGCTCCGCCTTTACCCTCGCTCCTTACAAAGACAAAGAAGATGACGAACTTGGTGTCGCACTATTCTTCAGCGTTCTCTTTGACAAACTCAGTATCTGTAAGTGTGTTGGCTAGCTGTCTACGACCCCACTAACTCTTGTTCAAGTGCCCGCAGATGCTCTTTCACCCCCTAATGAAAAGAAACGCTCGATACCTGCCCAGCAGTTGACTGAGCGTCAGACGTGGGATGACTCCACCTGGTTGAAAATCGGCGACCAACCATGGTATTGTTTCTGGAATTCGACCATTAGCGAATTTTGGATCTTTCTCAACCAGGATATCGACGATTTGAGCGGCGCCAGTGCCACCACCTCGAGCGATACTTCGACCATCACGACGCCGAGTAATCCTTATTATACAAAGAGCTACAGCACGTCAGACGCAACAGTGTCACTGACCGAGTCATCCACCGTGATGGACCCTTCCAAAAGCACACCTTCTCCGAGCATTCCAACCAAATCCTACACCAATGGCAAGGTCAAGCGTCAAGCAACTCAAATCGGCTCCTCGGGATATTTCCCCAAGTTGGTCAAGATGGTGGAGAAGCGGAAACCACACAGCAATATTCAACCGTACTGCCAACAGATGCAGGTTCTCAATAACTGGCAAATCTTGCCCATTCCAACGGTGCCCACCATCTGCATCGACGAGAGCGAATACAGTCCCGCCGCAGCGACATCTACATCGTATGGTAAAACGAAACGGTCGCCAGAGGAGATTCAGCAAATGGGATCCAACTGCATTTGCGAGTGGTTCAGTGATTATTAAACGAGGATACCGCAGTTTGTTTGCAATACTTTGATGTCTTGACGAGATTACGACAAGCCCGGTCTTTCCCCAGGAGGGCATGGCTATTGGCTGGATGGAGTACAGGTTATTTTGGCACATCAAGGCAGGGATTGTGTGTGATAGGGCATGGTTCGAGCTTCGTCAGTCCCCCACTGTTTGTCAGACAGTCCGGGAACTATGGATCTGACGGTTGGATAATGAATATATCTGTCGGTAGAAGGGCATTTCCCAGGCAGGTTCGGATATGTTCGAGGATCTTTAAAAAATGGCCAGAAAAGCTTGACCCTGTATTGACTGTTGTTGACAGTGAGACTGTGCGTGTGACTCTAGAGCCAGTATGAGGAGTCGATGTGTTTACGAGGCCGCGTTGCTGACACCGCGTCGAACATGTCACCACGGACTTCGATGCCTTGCTTGACCTGCCAATATTTATTTTTGGATCCACCAACGGATCTATTCGGAATGGCTTCGTGTCAGACGCTTGAGTCATGGGGCCCTCGGGCTTCTCTTGTGACGGAAAAGCTTGTCTACATGTTCATCAAGTAAGGAGTACTCGTTGACATACTTGTAAACGCATTTCGTGTGAATGTGATGAATGGAAGTTCTGAGCTGGATGACTCAATCGTATTCATTTCTACTGTACTACACTGTATACTTGATCTTGGAATTCCATGACCACGTTGATCCTCCTCCACTAAGTACACCGCTCAAGAATCCATCTCTCTTCATTGGCCCATATTTCTTGCATGGGAGTAACTCCGTATGTATTAGGCGACGACAATCTCTCACATAATCATAGCTTGGGCAATTAGTTCATCCTCTTTTACAGATCATCCAGTTACCAGAATCAAATTCAGGAATAGTCTGGTTGATTTCTGGTTGATTTCTTGCAGCTGACGTGGAAATTTGCTCGGATCTTCGGCTCTCGAATTACGAGTAGTTGGACCAACGATTAAGCTCAGGCTTTCGGTCTCAAAGCTGGAGTTGAAGCCTAAACTGAGCTATCCGTTTCTATGGGTAGGTCTTTTTTTAGTGATTGCTTGTCATTGCTCTGTGTCGGTAGATTTGACCCTTTCTTTGTCGTTTTGTCGTCTTTAGTAGGGAGGTCTATCAAGAGGTGTCTCAACGACTATTGTCACTCAATCCAGTCAGGTTAGGCTAGCTAGGTTCCTCGTTGTCGGGTATCTACCTACCTACCCAGCTTACCTAGCATCTAAGCGATCAAACATCCCACTCACACAGCAGCAACCTTCCACTGTCAGCAAGACTATTCCGTATATCAAGGTCCAAGTCAAGATCACTCGCGACCCACCACCCACAACACTCAATCCAACAAGCCAATTATCATGTCCAACCGCCGCAAATGTCTCCTCATCGGCATCAATTACCTGGGCTCCAAACACCAACTCCAAGGCTGCATCGACGACGTGATGAACATGACTGAATTCCTCGCCTCACGAAACTACCCACGCCACCCACTCAGCATGGTCACCATGACCGATTCACCTCAAACCGCCCCCACCTCTCCTTATTACCCATCAGGCCACAACATCCTCGCTGCCATGGATTGGCTAGTCTCAGAACCCGGTTGTATGTTATTCTTACATTATTCCGGTCACGGTGGCCAGGTACCGGGGCAGCGTGAAACTGGGTTCGATGATACTATTGTTCCTGTTGACTTTGAGTCCATGGGGATGATAGATAGTGGTACTTTGCATCGGCATCTGGTTTCGGCACTGGCCCCAGCGTGTACGTTGGTGATTCTGTTTGATTGTTGTCATAGGTGAGTAGTAGGGATCATTCGGATTGGGTTTTTTTTGGTGTTTGCAGAGGGGAGAAAGGGGAGGGGAAGGGTGAAAGTTATGCTAATCATCTCTTTGTCTCTCGTCGTTTTCAACAGTGGATCTGCCGTTGAACTTCCCTTCGTGTATCGCACCGATGAAGAGGGTAACCTGAATTTACTCGACAACTTGCGAATGGGAGCGAATTTAATCCGCGAGGTGAGTTTTCCAGGGTATATTGGCTTGTTCGTTCCCTTTCGATTAACCACTATTTCTCAATTTCACTTCTCAATTTCCGCCTCTGAAATCGCAAGCTGGTGCTCCTTCTCCTCAATGACTAACCACCTCTTCCTTCAATCTCTTCCCATTATAGGCCAACCATCTCATACATGGCGAAATTCGCGCTCAACCAGGTGACGCCCAACGTCTTCTTGCTGGCGCTACCTCCTTCTTCCGCGGTCTCAAACATCAATGGAACGACGAACAGGCCGGCGAAGGGTTACAAGAGGTCGATGATTTCCAACAAGATTGGTCACGCGAGGGAAAATCCGTCTTTATGTTTTCTGGATGTCGTGATGAACAGACGAGTGCTGATACTTTTATTAATGGGAGACATGTTGGTATGCTACTTTTCTGGACCTGTGCATGGTTTTACATTGGATTGGATTTGGGGTTGAAATGCTGATTATTGTCACTCGCAGGAGCCATGTCTTGGGCTTTTCTTGAAACCATGAAACGAGATGTTAACTGGAATGTCAGTTATATTCAGGTAAGCTGACCTACCTCACTGACATCTAGGAGGTTTGACATTCTGCTAATGAACGTCATCCCAGATCCTGCAAAACACACGCTGGTTACTTCAACAGAAATATTCCCAGGTACCTCAGTTGTCTTGTGGGTACCAGTTTGACTTGAACAGTCCGTTTCGAATATAGACAATGTTTGGAGGATAAGGGGTTGAAAACAGGTCTGACTTACCGACTGGTAATGACCAACGACGAATGAGAAATGACTGAGAACAAAAAGATCAACGAACTTCAACATAAAACTTGTACGACTGTTTTTACAATCAATATTTGAAATGCAAGGGTGACATGGTCTCATAGATTAAGCGAGAGCTCGATCTCCGTAGCCAAATCCATACCGTTTTTAAGCATGCGATGAGACCTACAAACCTTCGTCATGACCAGAGACTCATCAATGAGGACCATCTCACTTCGCTTCGCCCTCCTCGCCTTCGCATTATCGGCATCCACGGCTTTACCGAGCAGACCCGACTGGAGGAAGCGAACCTCAAATCCCAGAGCCTCACCGGTATCAGGGTCAACACTGAACAGAACCTCATCCAACGCCGTAGGACCATAAGTCAGTCCATCTACATTCCCCCATCCGCCACACTGTTGGGAAAACGGACCCGCGAATGAAGCCAACAGTTGAGATACCGGATCGGACGTCGAGTCTACCAGTGCATAAGCGAAACTCACACGCCAACTCGCCAGGTCAGTTCCATTAGGACCGGCTCCTTGAGCCACCAGACCAGTCGGGTATAGATTGGCGGTGACGATGACCTGACTGGTGTTGACACCGAGATAAAGACCTACGAGGCCGAGAAGGTCTGTGCCATTGTACACCAAGCTGTCGAGAGTCAATACCGAGCCGTTGGTGGAATTGTTGGTGTCAAGGATCACAGTTGCCTGTAAAGCCCCCGATGGATCGCTGTAGGTGCCAGCCATCAGAGTGGCGGCTTGTTCTGCCGCTGCAGCTTGCACGGCAGGAATGAAAATCTCGGTCACCAGATCACTGATGACAACAACGGCGACGCTGCTAGCGACGCCAGCACCTAAAATCGTGAATCCGACGTTATAGTCTGGCACGAGTCCCCATCGTGAACTATACAGTCCGACACCTCCACTCTTGGTGTAGAGTCTAGTGGGAAAGCGGGATGTGGGCGGGTAAGGAACAATCTCCCATGGTGCGCCGATGATGGTGTATGTGTCGGGGACGAACGTCGTGGGTTTGAGCCACCATTCGGTTTGTGCTTTTGTCAAAACACTGCTGTTGAGGATCGAAATGCCAAATGTACGTAGATCGTTGATTGTGCTGTAGATAGCGCCACCAGGCTTGTATGGTCCGCTGTCGACTCCGTACCAAGAGGTGTTGGCGTCGATGGGAATGATGCCAGTGTCGAAGTTTTCAGGCACGGTGTAGGTGGTAGAGTTTAGAGAGATTTCGGCTAGGGCTTCGGATACTAGGTCTTCGAATGGAGATGAGGTGATGTTCTCGAGAGCATATGCGAGAAGTTGGAAGGCTAGGTTCGAATACACTGGCGCGTGATTCGGGCTGACGATTGGGTGGCGGACGAGGATGTTGTTGAAGAAGGCTGAATGTCGAAGATATTAGAACTTGGAAGATAGTCTTGTGTGATAGAACGTGATTAGACTCACCTTGTCGATCTGCAGGGAAGAATAGTCCAGGAATCGCCTCGTAGTAAGATCCGTTGAGTGCGGGAGTTGGGGGAAATCCGAATGCGACCATCTGCTCCTCGCTGCGGGAGGCTCCCCAGACTTCTCTCGACACACCAGCTAGATGTGATGCCAATGAACCAATGGTGACCTGATCCCATCTGATGACATCGACGTCGCTTGCATTCTCGGTGGCGTTGGCAGCTTGGGCAAGCTCAGGCACATATTGAGTGATTGGATCATTCCACACTTGAATCCCCGCATTGACAAGAAAGGTGTAAACGGTGAAAACCTTGGTGATACTGGCGACGCGGTAAAGCGTGTCTGAGTCGACCGAGGTGACCCCCTCGGTGTTGTTCTGTAGGTCTGGAGCTGTCCAGTGATATGTGAAGAGAGGCCCGTTGTCGGCGACTGACCAGAACTCGATAGAGAAAGCATTCCCGTCTAGAGGGAACACACCACTCGTGAGGAATTGGTCAAAGGCCGCTGTCAGATTGGCAGCCGCTGCGGTGATTGCTTCGCTATCCGCCAGAGGTCCTAGAACAGGTATGCTAGGAGTGAAAGCTGGACATGATTGAGCAAAAGTTCTGGGGACAAGGCTTGCGAGAATACTCGCCAGGTAAATGAGGCGGATAGCCATTGTTAGCTGGAGAAGGTTTGATACTACCTATCCTTACCTGGCTAACGAAAACGGTACGTACTTTGCGCAGGAATGTCGGCATGATGGCCTTTTTATAACCATTGCCTCATCATGATCGCTTCTCGTTCTGTCCGAGAGGATCTTGCAGTACATAGACCGTCGTGGTCTCTCATCGAGCTTAGGCAATGCTAAGCGTCGAAGACGTTAGCGAGATTCACGCCAGGCACATTCTTGGACAGTATGAGGGCCACCCCAATCCGGCACGGTAGTTTCGAAGAATTCCTCGACCTCATACTAGTATCCCAACTCGTCAAGGACATGGGTAAACCCCGCATAAAAGCGAGTTAATAATAGAGGAGCCCTGCAAGCCAAGAAACCTTCTTGGTGTTCATACGGGGGTTTGTCCCCTTGAGTTTACTGTGATAGTCGCCTACTTACCATGAACATGCATATCTCGGAGGATCATGGCTTCGATTGACTCGAGGCTACCGCATAAAATATCACGAGGGACACATGATCTAGTCCGCGATCACTGGACCCAGAGGTACAGTGATTGAACTTCACGGCACGGCTCACGGCATTTTTAGTTTCGGTGGTACTTCAGTTCATGTACTCGGATCCCCACAGGCAACAGGCAATCATGTGGCCACAAAGTATAAAGTAGCTATTTATGATAACAGGTCGCAATGAACGACATCAAAAAATAGAAAACGTCGGGAACGTGCTCGCTCGCTGGAGGACCTCGGCAACGACGTCCTCCTCAGTTACCACTGCTGATAGTGCGGGCATATCATGGCTCATAGTTGTCACCAGTAATAAGTTTGCAACGGGTCAAACACCTGCCGGAATCCGTCACGGACCATCGATCGAGAGAGCCAAGGTCCACACAATAATATCCTGCCTTGTGTTGGAGTCGAATTGCATGTTGCATTTTGGTCCATCACCCCACCAGTCCAGGATGCACGCAGGACTGCAGAGCACTGTAGTAATATATGATGAATAACTTGTCCATAACTACCGAGTACTCGTGCTGCTAACTAGTCTCTGCGTCGGTCTTTTTAGGGTGATCTCGTTGTTTACCGAACCCTCCAAGGTGCCGGTGTAGCGAGGATTGCCAAGCTAAAGACCGAATCCATGCATCATGAGTTTTACGCATATCTGCCGATGTGGCCGGGTTCTTCGCTTGTCACCAGCATGATTTTATGACATCTAAAGAAACAAGAAATTGATCAAGCCTGTTCGTACACCGCCTCGTGATTTGTAGATTGGATAAATCGTGCGTTGCTAAATGATCCTTAACTCGGTCATGATAATGTGTAAATATACTCATATTTGCGACACCGACACCAGCCGTCTCAACTAGCCAAAGGTGCTGAATGAAGCAAGCAGGCTCACGGGTACCTTTCCCTCTCGACTGCCACCACTCATGTAGAGATTTAGTATGGCCACGCTCAGGAGATGTGCAGAGTTTCACGAGTCTCATTTGTCAAGCAAGATTCCCAACAAGACAGTCAAACTGGTATTTCTCATGGGCGATATTGGCAAGATGTGACGGTTTGCTCTCAGCTTCCAGAGTGTCGACATCATGATGCTTCTGTGAGGGTAACGTCATGGTGACAGAGGCTGGTTGCCTAAAATAGCTGAGCATTCACCTCGATCGGTGACGAGAGAAACATGACATCCTTGGAACATGTGTCTGCTAACGTGAAACTCTGTGAATATGTATTTACCACAGTTCATCTCTCGTAACAAAAAAGGGGGGACTGGATCACGTGTATCATGGTGCAAATCACGTGCAAGAGTTCACTGCAAACAGAATCAAAACGCCAAGACTGTGACGCCTGCGCTTTTCGAGTCGCAGATCTCGAATGACTTTTTGCTGATGGTCTCGTTCAACTCGCAACCACTTTCACAATGTCATCGCTCTTGACCTCTACATTGATATCGACACAGAGGTACTATTGACTCAAGGCTTGCATGCATATCTGCCGCGTTACGACATTCGCCGCTAGGTGTCTTGCCTATTGTTTGGCCTCGCCCTCCTTGTCTTAGACTCGAGTGTCTCACCTTTTCCGCAGAACTGACCCTTCTTCATTCTTTACATCGTATTTTCCATCGTTCTAGAAGACAACATGGGTGTCCCAGCGCTCTTCCGATGGCTGACCAAAAAGTATCCTAAGATCATCACTCCTGTCATTGAGGAACAGCCTTATGATATTGATGGAGTTCAATATCCGGTCGACACGACCAAACCCAACCCCAATGGAGAAGAAATGCACAATTTGTATCTTGACTTCAATGGAATTGTTCATCCTTGCTCACATCCAGAGAACAAACCTCCGCCTGCCAACGAAAGCGAGATGATGCTCGAGATCTTCAAGTACACGGATCGCGTAGTCAACATGGTCCGGCCTCGCCGACTCTTGATGATCGCAATCGGTAAGAACACCCCCCCGAGTCAACAGAATCAATGCTAACCATTTCTCAGACGGTGTGGCCCCTCGTGCAAAAATGAATCAGCAACGTGCTCGACGTTTCCGATCAGCTCGGGACGCTAAAGAGGCGGATGAAAAGAAAGCAGAATTCCAAACCCTGCAACGCCAACAGTCAAATGGACAAGACTCTTCAGTCGAACAAGTAATCCAGAAAACTTGGGATAGCAATGTCATCACTCCTGGCACGCCGTTCATGTTCATTCTTGCTCTTTCCATCCGATATTGGGTCCAATGGAAACTCAACACTGATCCAGCCTGGGCGGAGCTGAAGGTCGTCATTTCTGATGCCAGCGTCCCAGGAGAAGGTGAGCATAAAATCATGCAATTCATTCGTTCCCAACGGTCCGACCCTGAATATGACCCCAACACAAGACATGTCATGTACGGTCTGGATGCCGACTTGATCATGCTTGGAATCGCCACCCATGAGCCTCATTTCCGTGTTCTCCGAGAAGACGTCAACGTCAGAGATGCCAAAGCAAAGACCTGCAGATTGTGCGGCCAACAGGGGCACTATGCAGAAAATTGCAGAGGCAACGCAAAAGCAAAGTCGGGAGACTTTGATGAAAAAGGAACCACTGAAGAATTGAAGCCTTTTGTCTGGCTCAATGTTCCAATTTTGCGTGAATATCTCGGCGCAGAAATGTTCGTGCCTGGTCAATCATTCCGTTTTGATCTCGAGCGTGCTCTCGACGATTGGGTTTTTATGTGTTTCTTTGTCGGAAATGACTTTCTGCCCCATCTGCCCAGTCTTGACATTCATGAAGACGGCATTGATAAACTCATTGCAATTTGGCGCGACAACATTCCCATCATGGGTGGTTATCTCACTTGCGATGGTAATGTCGATCTGGCCCGAGCCCAGGTCATTCTTCAAGGTCTTGCCAAACAAGAAGATGCTATTTTCAAGCGCAGAAAGGAAGTCGAAGACAGGAGGGAACGTAATCAGAAACGCCGTGATCAGGAGAATGCTGCCCGGGAGGAGCGGAATTCCAAAAGACGGCGAAGCTCTCCCGATTACTCAAAGGGTGGCAGACTTGACACCCGAGCCCCAACCGGTCCTGTGGAAACCTTTGAGGCTACTAGCTTTCCTATGTTGGACTACAATGCCATCGTCAATCGCCAAACAATTGACAAGGCCTCGACATCTAACAAGAGTGCGGCGGCCATCCTCAAAGAACAAATGCTCGCCAAAAAGGTTGCAGAAGCTCAGAATGGCACGAATACCAACGCTGACTCCGATAATGCCACGAATGGAGCTTCGGTAGGAGGTAAACGAAAGGCAGAGTTGATGGAAGATGAATCTGAAAGTGGTACCCCCGGTCGAGCCACACCTGTCGAGAAGCCCAAATTCGATCCAAATGACCCTCCACCAGACACTGTCAAGCTCTGGGAGGAAGGCTATGCCGACCGTTATTACGAACAAAAATTCCACGTCTCGCCAAACGATATTGAGTTTCGTCACAAGGTTGCTCGTTCGTATGTGGAGGGACTCTGCTGGGTGCTGCTTTATTATTTCCAAGGATGCCCTTCTTGGACTTGGTATTATCCCTATCATTACGCACCATTTGCTGCCGACTTTGCAGACCTTGACAAGATGACTGTCAAATTTGACAAGGGAAAACCTTTCCGACCGTATGAGCAACTTATGGGAGTGCTACCAGCCGCATCCAACCACGCTATTCCACCAGCATTCCATCCCCTCATGACCGAGCCGGACTCTGATATTGTTGATTTCTACCCTGAAGAATTCGACCTCGACGCCAACGGCAAGAAACAATCATGGAAAGCCATTGTCCTTTTACCATTTATTGACGAAAAACGACTTCTTACTGCAATGGCAACGAAGTATCCAGAATTGACGGATGAAGAAAAGGCTAGAAACGAATTGGGCAAAGATGCGCTCCTGATATCAGAGAAGAATCCTTTGTACGACGATCTACTACAGTTTTACTCGAAGAAACCCAAAGATTCAGTCAAACTCAACGTCCGTAAAGGCCATCTTGCAGGAACCGCCACCAAAAACGAAGATTTCCTACCCGGCATGGATTTAGTTGGCCCCGAAGAAAACATCAAACTTGAGCCTGTGGTTGAAGACGATCGATCTCTCAATGTCCACTTCACCATGCCACCACCAACACACGTCCACAAAAGTATGTTGTTCCCAGGTGTAGTGCTACCACCACCTGCACTCGATCAAAGCGATTTGAACATCCTCAGATCAAAGGCCAGATATTCCGGCCGTGACTTTGGCGGCGCACCACTGTACGACAACACCAGACGAGACCCTCGTGACCAAAACCGAGGCGGCCGTATCAATTATGCAGCTGATCGAGCACCACTCAATTCTGGCGGCCCACCACCTCCAGCCTATGATCAGAATAACCCTTTTGCAGCATTACTCGACCCGAGATTCGCACCTGGTGCTGGCCGCGGACCACCTCCTCCACCTCCTCCACAGAGATACGGTGGCCAGCAAGGCTATGATCAAGGATACAATAATGGTCAAGCAGGCGGATATTACAGTAATGGAGGAGATTACCAGAATCAAAACCAAAATCGTGGAGGAGGACAGTATCAATCATACAATAATGGTCAACATTCTCGATATCAGAATGGAGGACGTGGTGGGGGGGATGGTAATCAAAATCGCGGTAGAGATGATCGCCGTGGTGGCGGCGGCGGATACAATAATGGGTACGGCGGAGGTGGTTACAACAATCAAGGTTCATATGGACGGAGATGAGGGGAGATGTAGAAGTTGAGTGGAATGATGCTGCCTAACAGGGTGGTACTGTACTGTACAACGAAAAGTCGACTATTGTGTGATGTACTGATGATGTCTACCTGAGTCCTGGTCGTAGGTTGGTTGAACCGACTGCGCAGAAACTATCGAAATAGAGAGATAGAGCAAGGTACTTGTTCTAATCCAGCAGATTGATTTACGGAATGGTTCATACCATCCAGTATTCGTTCATTTATCATCACGTTTGTTTGTGGGATGGGTTAACGGAGTTTTGTATTGTCGGTTCTTTCGTATCCCACTGTCTGTATGTTTCCTTAATCCCAAAAAAATCATCCTTACAACACTGCAGTTCATAGCTACCAATGTCCATTCCAAACAACTATTCCATAACTGTTTCCAAAGTATTGAAAAAAATACAAAAAAACGACGGAAATGGGACTCGAACCCACAATCTTTGCCATGATCCAAAGGAGAGCACCTGGAGGAAGTGCAGAACTCGGACCGGAAAGCAACGCCTTACCATTAGGCCATCCCGCCCAAATTTAGGGTCAATAAATTCAGCGTGCAGTTGGACCGCGAATCAGATACATTTTCGGGGAAGTTGAATTATTATAGCTTCATCAAAAGTGGGGCATTAGGGGCCTGAGATATCATCTTGGTTAGGTACTGCTACATGAATTTCATTAAACCAACATGATGTTCGTTTTGTCTGGAACAGGTTGAATTACTGAGGTATGTATAGGTAAGTAAGTTGAAAGACCTCCCTGGGGTGAGGGAGCTCAGTTCTATTATATCATATTTGGGGAATCTACAATATTGTACAAAGATACCTAGGTACCTACGATCGACGTAAGTATCTATCTCTTCACTTTGGCCCAATTCTATCCATATCTCCCATATACTTCCTCAAAACCTCTGGAATCATGACACAGCCTTGATCCTCACGCCAGCCGTTTTCCAGAATAGCGGCCAAAACTCTGGGAACAGCCATGGTTGTGCCGTTTACCGTGTGAGCGAACCGTTTCCTCGACCCCGCGGCATCCAAAATTCTGGTATTCAGTCTTCGACTTTGATAGTCGGTACAGTTGGACGCTGAAGTGACTTCGCCCCATCCTCCGTCCCGGCTCTTGCGGGATGGGAACATGGCTTCAATGTCGATCTTGCAGAATGCGCTTGCACCGAGATCGGTCGATGGCATTTGTAGTAATCGACATGGGAGACCCAGATTGGTTAGGATTTCGACTTGGATGTCGACCATTTCTTGCCAGAGTGGGCCGGACCATTCGGTCAGACTGTCGTCTGAGGGGATGGTTTCCTCGGGAAGGGGACAGTTGGTCCAGCCAAACATTTCGACTTTGGTGAACTCGTGCACACGGTATAGACCTTTGGTGTCAACGCCTCGTGCGCCGGCTTCGGCGCGGTAGCAGCGACTTGTACCAACCATTCTGATTGGGAGATCTTGTTCGTGAATGACGCTGTTGGCGTGGATGCCTGCGAGAGGGATTTCTGCTGTGGCTGATAAACTGCGCGTGGGTTTCCCAGAGTCCTTTTCGGGCTGGGATACTTGCCAGATTTGTTGCTCGTCGTTCTGGTCTCGAGGTTGGAAGCCGCATGAGTTGGCGATATGCGAATAGACCAGCGATGGGGGTGTGGTCATAGACCAGCCTCGGCGCATAGCCACGGATAGAGCATATTGAACAAGTGCTTGTTCGAGCATTGCGCCTTCATTGAGCAGATAGTAAAACCCCCATCCTGAGGTGTTGGAAGCGGATGAAAAGTCCAACAGTTTTAGCTTCTCTCCGATACTGGAATGATCTGCCGAGTCGGGGTACTGCGGTGGGCTGGCTGGATCGTAATTGATGTATCGAATAAGTCGAGGCTCGTCGTCAAGAGGTGTACTTTCAGAGGTCAAGTTCGGGAGTGAAATGGCAAGATTGTGCATTTCTGTTTCAAGGGTTGCCAGTTCAGCCTCCCGTGCTGCCACCTCTTGTCTGATACTCTTCATCTCCGCAATCACCTGCGACTTGTCGCCCTTGGTCGCATTGACTTGTTTTTGCAGGTCCTTGACCTTTCGGCGGGGTTCTCTCAGGCTATGGTCGATCTCGCTGGCTGCCACGAACTGGTCCTTGATCTTTTTCGGTAGATCCTTGTGACTGGCCCAATTCCGGACCACGGCGTTGTTTTCGTACACCGAGACATTGTTGCGGATCTGAGTAATGGGAGGTTGCTGTTTCGGTGCGCTCGCAGGGCGTGCTTCCTGGAAGTAACGTGGAGATGTGCTATAGTTTCTTCGACATCGAAGCAAGAAGCCTCTAGGGTCTAACCTGGCTCTTGACATCGGGGTGTCCAGCTTGCTGGTGATCTGGGGAGATTTTTATTTTCCATGTGCAGTTGATGATGTTTGGAGAGAGGTGTTGATACTCCACCGTATAAATTTGTTGAGTGGAGTGTTAGTCTTGTTGCGCAGGCGTGCCTTTATATCGTGACAATGAGGGATATATCTTGAGGAGCCACCTGTAGTGGTTTTCAGGGCTTACTTGAATTCAGCGTGTCGAGTCAATAGCATTTTCCATACCAGGAAGCTTGGGGACAATAGCTAGCTCTAACTTTCAATATGCAAGAATGTGTCAAAAGCGGTATCTACATGACACTACTATATGCGACTCCACTTGCTCTTCATTCTAATCTTTTCTCCAAATGCCATAAAGAAAAATGGAACTGGGATCATGGCCATTGCAAAGAATCCAAATATGCTGGTGCCCCAAGGGATGCCCACATTGTGATAAAGAGGACCGATCACAAGTGGGAATGCTCCAGCAAAGCAAGAACGGAGAAAAGCTGTTGAACGTCAACAGGTGAGACAAATTAGCATACGCCAGAGAGAGAACTCACTGTTTGCACCCACTGCGCTTGCAGCGTATTTCTGAAATGTGTCGACCAGGTAATTCAAGGCTGCCTGGAATATTGTGAAAAAGCCCACACCCACCAAGGTAATACCAATGCATGGTGCGATCCATGGGTATCTAGCAAAGATTAGAGTCTTCTCTCTCTAACGAGGTGGTGGGGGGAGTCTCACCTAGGATCAGCGGTCCATCCCGTGAGAAAGAGTCCCCCTGAGAACAAGAAAGAGCCAAATGCCATAGGTGGTAGACGAGCTTCGGGAAGGACGGATTTGCCCGTTTCTACAATAAGTCTGTTGTATCGAAATTGGTTGAATACATTGATCGCCGCTCCAATAGATGCACCAATGAATATGCACAAGAATGGTAGTGATGCTACCACCTGCGGCCACCCACGACCTTCGCCGAATATGATTGGAATAGCACCTGAATAGAGTCAGTGCCTTGAAATGATGTCTCGTAAATAGGAGAAACCAACCAAGTTGCATGTAGAGAATACCATAGCAAAAGCTTGCGTACAGCGCTATCAATGCACAGATAGGAGTTGCCAACAATTGGAAGGGCCGAACCAGAAACTTTGCTGCCAAAGCCTTGATCGATACATCCCACTCCTCGAATTTGGCGTGGAGAGCCCAGTTCCCGCTTTGATGGCGTAAACGGCGGGCTTTGTAAACCAACAGCCTCGGGGGATATGATTCGTCGAGAATGATAATGTCTGCAAAGAGAACGACGAGCTGGATGATGCCAGTGAAATATTCGGTCCATCTCCATCGCAGAGACGGTTGAACAACCAACGCAGATGAGACGATGGGTCCAAAGGCAGGGCCCAAGACCACAGCCATGGCATACGCTGCGATGGCGATACCCCGTTGGGAGGATGGGAAAAGGTCGCTCAGAACACCGCCAGTGTTGGTGACGGGGGCCGCGGAAAAGAAGCCGGCAAAAAATCTAGTGATCATGATGGTTTGAAGGTCTTTGGCCGATCCACAGGCAAAGAGAAAACAAGCCGACACGAACATGGGCGGCATAACAGCATTCCTGCGGCCAAATACTTCGGATAGAGGAGCCCAAAGAAGAGGTCCAAGTCCAAAGCCAAATAAGAATAAAGATGTCCCAAGAGTTGCAACTTGTTCACCTACTTGAAAATCACGGGCGACTTGAGCGGTTCCAGGACTGAACGCGCTGCTGGCCCAGCTAGCGGACATGGTAGTGAAACTGTACATTGCGGTGGTGATAATTTTCTTCTTCATGGTCCAATTGACTGGACGGTATGGGTCGTCATCGCCATCGAAATCAACCAGGTCGTCAATAGAAGTCTTTTGGGTCTCCAGTGGGTGAGAAAAGTTGCCAATTGGTTGTCGAGTCCTGAATCGAGAGAGGACGGTTTCATGCCGGGAGATTGCGCGACTGAGGGCTCGATCACGACCAGTCGCAAAAGAGCCGGATCTGTGTTTGCGTTCTGGAGTTACATCTTCACCCTCCTGAGATTCATCGTCGGTTGGCCAGTCATCACCATAGTGTTGATCCGTGGTTTCGTGTGACCATGTTCGCCGCGAAGACTGCATGGTCATAAACTGGTCCTGGGTATAAGGTCGGCGAGCGTCGACAGCTTGTCAAGAATTCCCATGGCAGCAGGATCAAGAGCTCAAATAGCCGGACTTGGCCTTGTTATAGGTCTTTCTTTTGACTGTTGTCGACATGAACCGTTGGCGCAAAGTTGGTCTGAGGGTTTCCCCGGCCAATCCAACAGCTTTGAACGCTTTGGTGGGTCAGCCATGTTTTGCATCGGCAACTCAAATTTGCGTAAAAGGAACTCAATAGTCGTACGCACAGGCCAAAAGTGCTCGCGGCATTTCCGCCACATTTGGTAAGCGACGATATTAGAACCATTGGCGAAGGTTACTCAGGCTATGGGGTAAAAGTTTACACCATAGGTAGGGATTAGATAGCTGGCTGGTGCACGAGAACCGTTTCGGCACGGCACTATCCATGATACCCTACCTGGTATACATCTCTTCAGAGTGTGTCAGTAGGGTAATAGACACCCTCATCGACCAGGACAAATGCATGTGACAGAGACACATCGTAGAAGATTCGACTGCCCTTGGAAAACACTATGAAACTTTTATTCGTAGCCATTGGAGGCTTTTAGACGATAGGGGTGGGGTTCGGACAATGCGGCATATTTAGAGATATTTTTGCATGGCGAGACGAGGGAAGAAGTATATGCGCCACGAGTCAAAGGCCATAGCAGAACTCGGGTCAATGGATCATATGCCTAACAATAAAAAATCCAATGATCACGACGATCTTATTGGTCTACGTCGAAGTCTCAGGATATGCCGTCACCCGACCAGAGATTACTGGCAGGCTTGTAGTAGATCGCATCCATAATGCGATCTTCCACATGCCTGAGCATATAACTGTGTTTATGCTAACCAAAAATGACGTGAAATGAGAGCTACTAGTGAAGCCTCAAAAGTGTTTTCCTCAGGGATAATTCATGGAGGTGGTACGGGGTTAGTGGCTTACAACCTGATGACTACCTAGGTAGTATCCCGCGAGCCTAAGTAGATCATGGTGATGTATGAATTTGGGTATGCTCACGGTAGCAGTGGGCTTTTATAAAGGGTTGACTCTGCGTCGTGGGAGTGCTTCGAATGGTTCTGGGCTGCTGATCGTTATCACTGTGCAGTGTGCCCCACTCCCCCAAGCTCATTCCACAACTTCAACGCGTATATCGCGTATGCGGTCAGCGACCTCCGCAAGGCCTCAATGATCATCTTTTGTCATCTGCATTGAATGACGATCTTTGTCCTTGATCAATGCTCTATTGTATCTGATGCGCTTTAATGCAGGGATCAAGATCCTACCAGGATGTGCTACCTCAACCAGGCAGCCGCATTTTAGACGGCAATGACACCCCACGTCCTCACACCAGGTAAATACATATAATATTGGGCTTCCCACTCATGATGTTACCCTATCGTAGCGCCCATCAAAGACCGAGGACGTCTTACCATGACTCGTGTCAACTTCGAGCCTGAGGGTGATGCAGTGGAAAGTCCCCCAACTGAAACTCAGAGGCTGCTTCCATCGACAGGGACTTCACCCGAAGGTCATCGCTCGCATATTAATTCCAGAACACTATGGAAGATATATGCAATCATATTCTTTGCCAACATGGGCGTCCAGATCCTCGGTCCTGCCCAAACACGGATCTATGAGACTATTTATTGTGCTCAATGGTACAAAAACCACCCTTTGGATGATTCAATTCAGCATCTGGGCCAGATTCCAGAATTTCTCTGCAAGATTAAAGAGGTTCAACAGCCCGTCTCCAGCCTCAAAGGCTGGTTGGAATGTTTCGGTGCCATTCCTGGCCTCTTACTCAGCATCCCTATGGGAATCCTGGTTGACTCGATCGGGCGGAAATATGTTGGCCTTTTGGTGGTGACCACCCTTTGGCTGACCCAGGTCTGGATAGCATTCATCAGTTGGTTTGATGGTGCTATTTCTCTTCGCTATATATGGTGTGGGTCATTTGTCTATCTCTTTGGTGGAGGGGTAATTGTGGCAGAAATCGTGATTGCTGTAGGCGATGTCTCCCTCGGGATCTAGTTCTGGCTGCTGACCATTCTAGTGTATTCTTACCGATATCAGCTCCAAAGAGGAACTGTATGCTATTCTCTCGACCTTCTCTGAGTCTCCGCTAACATTCACTAGGACGGTTAATTTCCTACGGACCAGCGCCTTCAATGCCTTTGCCAAAACCTGTGGGCCCATCATTGCTGCTATACTCATGCGGTACGATCCCTGGCTCGCAATCTACACCGGGCTTGCCATGCTCCTATTTACCGTCATTCTTATCATTCACGTTCCGGAAACATTGCAGCTGCGCGAAGGATTCGAGGCCACACAGAGGGGACATGCAACGAAGTGGTTCTCCAACATCACGTGGAAAGAAACACGAGAATCACTACGAGAGGTGATGAAGATCTGGAGCGACTGGCGGCTATGTTTCGTGGCTTTGACATATCCTTTCCGGATGTTAGCCTACGCTTTAAGCGATCTCATCCAGCGATATGTGTCGAATCGCTATGGTTGGACATTGGCCGATGCAACACTGTTATACTCGATCCAGGCAGCCGGGGCAGGCATTCTGCTCTTCACATTGCTTCCATGGATCTCGCACCAAATCGATATGAGATACTCATGGAGTACGATCCACAAAAACGTGGTCCTATCCAGGGCGTCTTTGCTGGTTCTTGCCATTGCGTATGTCACCATTGGAATTGCCTTCAACATCCCCATGTTAATAGTAGGACTTTTTGTTGAAAGCATGTCGACAGGTTTGCAGAGCACCATGAAAACTTTGGCCTCGGCTTTAGTGGAAGGTGAGGGCCAAGGGAAGGTATTTTCGCTGCTCGCCATGGTGGAAACACTGAGTACCATGCTGGCATTCCCCCTTTCTGCTTCCTTGTTCAATCTGGGATTGCAAAAGGGTGGTGGTGCTTGGCTCGGTCTGCCATACGACATGACTGCCCTATTGGCATTTGTATGCTTCTTATCTATGTGTCTACTGACATTTGAGGCACGGATGAGAATATGATGGATTGTGGTTGTTGATTTCTCGGGGCTGGCCTTACCATAGATGTCTACCTAAGGTAATTAAAGGAGAGGTACCTAATTTGAGGCTTGCGGTAAAAGTTGATCGGTGGGATGACGACTCCCCTGGCACTCATGGTCCTCAGTCAAGTCAATGGCGTCATTAAATGCATGATTGCAGCCTAAAAGTACCTACGGAGTAGGTTAAGTACTCGTAGGGCCGAGGGGCCCTGGTGTCCGGTCCCTAGCCTCTATCCAGGTACCTCCTACCTAGGTATCTAAACAGCCGCCAGACGCCCGGGCACCCCCCGTCTCTTCTCGACTTGCCCCCAGATGATGCTTATTCCGCACTGCTCCAACTGGTTGGTCCACCCTTGAAACTCCCCGCATCGACCTGCATCCTTAGTGGCACCTCCATGCATTTTCTAGGCGCCCCAAGCCCCCCGTCATGCCCAATCCGCAGCTTGAATTGGTCAGCGAGATCAATAATTTCCATGCCCGATTGCGAATCTCCGCATCAACGACTCTGACTCTCGTGCGACCAGGCGGACTAACAATTGACTGACGACACCGATGGTGGGAACATCGACACCTACAATTGCACAATTGATTCCATGATGTGACCTTTTTTCACAACGAGGCACCTCTTTACTCCCCTCTCTCGACAGCAAGCCTCTGTCCATCCATTTTCCCTTCACTTCCTCTGTGTCAATCCAGATCGTTGAGACTGCACCACAATCAACTACAGAACACACACATTTCATGGCTTCCGCGACAGGCATCCCCGAGAGCAATCCCGCCCTCGAGGAACAAGAACCTCTACTTGGACGGCCAGGAGATGCCACGCAACTTCAAGGCCAGCGCCTACCATGGAACCTGGTCACTGGAACAGGTGAGTTCGCCAGAAACAATTCGATGACCCACCAATCCAACCAGTTCACTACTTACTGACACCCCCTCTCCCACTTTATAGCCATCCTCGCTCAAGCCGGAATATGGATCCTAACCGCTCTGGTATGGGCATCAGTCCTTGAAAACGACATCATCTTCTTCTCCTACCACCCACTCCTCAATTCGGCCGCAGTCCTCCTTTTAGTCCAGGCCACACTGGTTCTCCAGCCCACGGCGGCTCAGAAAGACAAGATCCAAGGAACATATGTGCATTCAGTGTTGAATACGTTGGGTGTTGCAGGTGAGTTGAACACTTCAGACACATCAACCAAGTCATACTTTCTTTCTCACATAAGGGCAATCCTCGCTAACCATCCTCCCCTCCACCAGCTTTAATCGCCGGCCTCGTCGTCATCGAAATGAACAAGGCCTCACACCCCGAAACCCGCTTCCAAAGCACGCACGGAAAGGTCGCTCTACTCGTCTATATCCTCATCTTCATCCAATGGCTTGTCGGCCTCGCTCAGTTCTTCACCCCAAACCTGGTCTTTGGATCCGTTGACAAGGCCAAGTCTGTTTATAAATATCACCGGTGAGTTTCTCCGTTCACTCCCATTAAAGTGTACATCTAATGGTAATGTTAGGATTTCCGGCTACGTTCTCACAGTCCTATTCCTGGTCGTCGTGGCTTTAGCGACAGATACTGCTTTCAACCATAATGTACTGCACATGAAGTTATGGGCTGTTCTTGTCTCAAGTGCATTGGTTTTGATCGGTGTGGTTCCAAGGATCAAGAAACGGAAGTTGGGTTTCTGAGTTGAGGCGGTTTGAAATATCACCCCATTAATTGTATTGCATTGCCTTTGAATTGGAAGACCTGGGCTTGGGCTTTCGCTAGGAATATTCTGTGGACGGATGCACACGGACAGAAGGGAAGGGAATTTCTTCGGCGTCGTCGCCGAAGATTCATCGCTTGATCAAGTTGGTTGCAAATTGCATTGCACGGTTCTGCTGAAAAGCAAGCAAGCACGCAAGCATTGTCATACTGCATTATTAGGTATGCATTTTGGGCAAGCGAGAAAGCGATACTACATGATGATAGCTTGTCATACTTTGTGTTGGACTCAACAAAAACCTCATCCTATGTAATAAGAGCAGAGATCGATCCATTATCGACTCATTCAATACGAGCGAAAATGAAAACGAAGCAGCAAAACAGAGGTCAAAAAGATGCTGGGTCGAATCTTCACGTTGTTCTATATCTCCCACGTGAATTCATACTCATCGTGATGCTACTAATAAATCATCATCGCACGGCCACGTCGTTCGATTCACGCCTGTGAACACTCCGATCCTGACCTGCAGCCAGTGCTTCGAGTCTGGCGGCCTGTACGCGGTGTTTCTTGATGATGGCGACCCATTCAGGTTCAACGGCTGGTTTGGTTGGTGGTGGTATTGACTCTGGCTCTGATGCTGCTTCTGCTCCTGCTTCTGCGTCCGCAGCGGTGTCTTTGTTCTCATCCTGTTCGTCAGCCCTGGCCATTGTCTTTTCAGCACCGGACTCATCAACCGCGGAGGTGGTCGGTTCTGATATCGACGTCGAGCCATCCTTCTCTTGTCGCTCCATCGCCGTCCCCGTTGTGACATCTTCCGCCGCTGCCGTTGTTGTCACCAAAGCTGTAATCAGACTGAAATCCGCCCCTAATCGGCCGAGACTGTTTGCCGCATAAAGCACTTGCATTAGCAATGACTCTCTCGCTGTGACGTCGGTAATATTAGGAAGATATGTCTGGAGTGTTTCGGTCAAGAGAGAAACAAGATGTAATGGAAACGATGAGACCGCTGGTGGGAGGGCTAGGAGATTATGGAGTGATGATGACGACGATGAATCTAGATTTGCATTGTCGCTGTTGGTCGTAGATTCTTGTTCTGGCTCTGGGAATGTGTTTCGGTACATGCTGATGGTTGCAAATGACTGTTCTCGGAAAATCTCAATGTATCGCTTCAGGTATCGTTCCGTTTGTTGTCCAGCGGATGGGTTATATGTTGAGGTGGTGTTGGAGCTTCTTCGAGTTGGGTGGCTGCGAGATGATGCGTTGTTTGATGAGGATGATGGTGTTTGATCGGGGGAGGCTTCGTTGGCTTGTGATAGACGTGTCGCGGTTTCCTGATCGGCAAGTTCGCGAAGTGGAGCTAGTGCTTCGGTCATGCTGAGGAAGGTCGCTAGTCGAGCACAGAGGAAGAGAGCGCCAAAGTGGCCTTCATCTTGTGTGGGATTTAATGCTTGCGTTGAGGTGGAAAGCGATAGTTGAGTAGGCCGGGTTTGGGATGAGTATGAGGTATTCGTGCTCAGTTCTGGAGTGACACGTCTAAGCCAACCGATTGTTCGGATGGCTGCAGCTAGTCGGATGTTCTGGGATCGTAGGCTTGATATTAAATTCGTCGTCATGTCTTTCATGGCAACTTGAGCGTCAACCAGAACAGATTTCACGAGTTGAGAGTCTGGATATAGCGACTGTAGGCGTTTGATGTGTGCGAACAGGTCAAGAGCTTGAGAGTAATTGGCACCACCGGCCACTGCACCACCAGCTCCAGATGTTCCAGCAGAAGCGATCGTAGCGGCCAGAAGGTTGGGTAGGTCAAGAATATCCTGGACTTTATCTGCTTGGCGAGCTAGGAGTGCGGCTTGTTTGCGGGCGGCGAGTAGTTCATTGTCTTCTCGTAGTTTGCTATACGACGTGGCAAACGTGACGGCACTCTTGTCGAGATTTGGGATAGATGCTCGAATGTCATCCACTGATGAGACCAGCTGTGGTAGAGACTGGCTGAGGGTGGAGAGATGGTCTGAGGATGTGGTGGTGGTGCGGTGAGATCGTGATGAGAGGGCTTGAATAGAAACGAGATTGCTTTGTGATGCTTGTGCAGTCGACTGAGGCTCAGTCGTGGTCAAGTCCGCCAGACGAAGCGACACGAGACGGCTGAGATATTTCGAATCATTCTCCGATGGCGTTGAACGGGGGTTCTTGAGATGTGGCCGGAGCAATTCATACAGCGCATCTGCCATTTTGAAATCGGGATAGAAGTGGTCTTTCAACCGTAAGACGTATGAACCACGCTAGTACTGAAGACTCCGAGTCTAAGGCTCTGTCGTTTTGGCCAGTCCATGAGCTTCACGGGGTATTCTGATCGTGGGAGAGATGGTCGAATTGTCGAAATGAAGTCTGGACACAATGTCAAATCATGTGATATCAGGTCTTGGCAAGGCTGTTGCTCAGCCTCGTAAAGTTTCACTTAGAGCACTTCAATGAGCATCTTCAAGGACCACGAGGATAGATAGATACGTAGGTAGGTATTCTCGGTCTTGCAGGATTTATTGTTTTATGTTGATTGCGCTTCTCTATGCTTCCATGCTAACTCCACATCTATGCCATTCAACTCATGCTTGTCTCATCTCTTGTTCAATCATCGGTATGCAACGGAACTTTGTCGTCTCTCGAGTCTCTCGTCCTCTAGAATCTGTCGCTGTTCCTTTTCTTCTCGTTCCTTCGTTCCAAGCTCCAAATCAACCTCATCCACCTCGGCATCACTTTGGTCACCAAGAGCATCGGCCAGAACTCGGTTAGGGTCGTCAAACTCGCCACGGAGAGCCGCTCCCAAAGATCTGGGATATCTTGCCTTGGCCACTGGAGTGGTTGCCAGCTCTGTCTGTTGCTCCGACCCCACCTCTGGTTCAGGTGTTTCTTCCGGACTATCGTCAGCATCAGATCCGAATGGTGAGGCCGCTCCAGATCTCGAGCCTCCGCCATCTCGGCCCAGGTAAGATGACTTAAAGAACCCCTTTTTGTTGCTGGCTTTGATACCTCCGTCCAAGGACATGGCGCTCACCGAGGTTCGAAGGTTGCTGGTCGATCGAGGCCGAGATGTCGCGGTGTCTCTGCTCTTACTGCGGGGCATCTCCCTTGCTTTGACTCCAAGGGTGGTTTGGGATTTGGCTCCAGCCGATTCTTCGTCAGCCTCTGGTTCGTCCTTGAACATATCGGCAGTGTTCTTCCGCGTTGGTCTGGGCGCAAAGCTGCTGCCAGACGCATCGTGTGCTGTCCTTTTGGAGGCCCAGCGTCTCACTGGAATAGGATCTACGGGCGGAGAAATAGTTGAAATGCTTTGCTTCCTGGCGGCTCGTTCCCTCCTAAGGTCCGACCACCTCCGTAGCTGATTTTGAAGCACGTAGCGTCCGTTGGGGCCATGTTTCATGACCAGAAATTCGCAATGGTTGATGTTCCGCAAGTCCTCAAAGAATTCGACGCTATAGTGGTACCAGGCCATGAGAAATACACGGCTGCACAGTCCGTGAGTGACGAGGATGGCCACGCTTGCCATGTCGTTCTCTGAGAATCGCCGCCATAGAGATCCATTGAAGGAGGAAACACGATCGTAGACATCGGCTCCACTCTCTCCGTTTGGAATTCGATAGAAGAAATGACCGTAGTCGGCACGTTCCCTCCACAGTCGTTCCGTTTCTTCAGTACCCGGCTGGAAATTCCCAAAGTCCTGCTCTCTCAGGCGAGGCTCCTCGTAGACTTTGATGGATGATCGGGGAAATGGAGACGGGACAGGGTCGTTTGATGTCAACCCATTCAATATGCCTTCAGTTGTCTCTCGAGTCCGGCGGTAAGGCGAGATGAAGAAATGAAGAGTATCATCATTGCGGAGTAGAGCACGAAGTTTCTCGCCAGCCTCGAGAGCTTGTTGATGTCCTTCGGCAGTGAGGCCAACCTTGTGATCAGGGACTGACTGATGAATGGTCTTGTCCTTGTTGCCTTCGGACTGCGCATGTCGAATGATGATGATGAGCCGTGGCTTGCCCATGTTGGTTGAGATTTGAGATTCGTTCTACCTATATGGAGCAATTCCAGACGAGGGAGATTCAGTGCGTGCTTTATGAAGCTTCAGTAACTTGATAATAGACAAAGCTCTTCTCGAACGAGCACAGCACCCCACCTCTGTAAATAAAGATTCCGGAACACCGGCTCTGGCGATTCCTTTTGGACTTGAGCTCGAGAGCAGCAGTATCAATATTTGAGACAAACAAATGGTGTGACAACAGGGAGCTTCATTCAGCAAGCTCAACAGTCAACAGGCGGTCTAAGGCAGCACGAATGATGAGATGCCACAACAGTATCAAAAATAATCTAGTGACAGCCTCGCATTTCATCATCGGGCGACAAACAGTCGGTCGGGCCGCCAAGATATATTTCCTAAAACGGATTAGTTCAATATCTCAAGATTCGCGACTCGGACGCGAATTGATTTTCCTTCGTAACCTCAACTTGTCACTCGCTATCCACCACTACTTTACACCTCTATTCCAATTCGATATCCTTCTATCAGTAACGCCGTCGCATACGTCGATCGCCCACGCTTTCGACCCCCGAATCCCCAGCACGATCCAATTTTGCAGACGATAAGAGAGTGGCCCAGGATGAATCCCCAGATGCAGATTTACCGGCAGTATCCCCAGCAGGCTCAGGGAAGGGCCCCAGCCTCGCGAAGACCAGGTGAGCAGGATCCCAGACATGTCTCCCAAGGACTCTTGTACCATCGTCTCTGCGCGTTACCCGAAAACCTCAGAAATGCAGTGCTTGCCCGTCAAATCTCTCTCATGCAAGCCGAGCAATTCATTTTCCATCAGATGCAACAATATTACATGCAGAACCCGAACTTACCCGCTACAGGTCAAATAGCCCCAGCGCAGCATAGCCACCAACAAGCTCAAGCTCAATTGGTTTCACAGCAAATGCAACAGCGTAATGCCGCCATCGAACATCAATTGGCTCAGCGCCGCGCCCGAAAGCCGACCGACCGGAACATGCCCGAAGGTATTGATGACCTAGTGATTGGAGAAGGTGTGAAACAGTACAAGGAGCTTCGAGAAATGGAAAAGAAACTAGATCATGCAATGGCGAGGAAGAGACTAGAGATTCAGGACTCTTTCAGCAGAAACATCAAACGCCAGAGAACCATGCGCATCTGGATTTCCAACACCGCATCCAATCAACTCTGGCAAGTTAGCCCTGATGAAAACAGCTTCACATTCGAACGAGAGGGCGAACCCACGTATCAAGTCAAAGTCGAGGGTCGGCTCCTTGAAGACCCTGAAGATGATATCCTCTACGAATCAGATGACGAAGACGCCAAACCAACTGAAGCCTCCTCATCTCAGCAACCATTCAAGCGATTCTCCCACTTCTTCAAAGCCATCAGTGTCGAGTTTGACAAGACTCATTCAGCCTCAGGAGACCCAAACTACCAAGTATCATGGAAAAAACAAGCTAACAGCGGCGAGTTGGACCATTTTCGTTTTCAACGTAGATCGGACGAAAACCTCAATGTCTCCATCTTGTTGACCCGAGACGAACAGCCCGAGAGATTCCGGCTCAGTCAAGCGCTGGCCGCTACACTCGATATGGAAGAAGCTGATCGCGCCGAAGTCGTCATGGGAATCTGGGAATACGTCAAAGCAATGGGTCTACAGGAAGACGACGAACGCCGCACCATCCGCTGTGACGAGCGGTTACGACAGATTTTCAATTCCGACACACTATTCTTCCCTCAAGCCGCCGAACGACTTGTCCCACATTTACATCCTCTCCCACCGGTCCGACTTCCCTACACAATCCGCGTTGATGAAGCCTTTCAATCAAACCCCGAACCCACCGTGTATGACATTCAAGTCACGGTTGAAGATCCGCTACGGGCGTTGATCTTGAAGATGACCCAGAATCCCGAACATCAAGCGACCCTGCGTCAAATTGTACGGACTGATGACGAGTTGGCGATTCTCGTGCAAGCCATTCAACACCACAAAGCTCGTCATACCTTCTTCACCTCGTTGGCCAAGGACCCCAAGAGATTCATGGAGCGATGGATGAGTAGTCAAAAGAAGGACTTGAGTGTTCTGCTTGCTGAGGCGGAGAGAGGGGATGTCGCGGGTATGGAATATGCCCAAAGTGGCGACACTGGATCATGGAGCGCGGATCTGGTCAATGAGGCAGTGAGATATCGTCTGGCCAGGGCTGAAGCAATTCGGTGATATGGCTTATGTCTCCTGTATGTGTGTGTATTTACAGTTTAAGCATGGCGCTATCGGTGGTGCTGGTGCGAATGCTGGTGGTGGCTGGTTGCCTGCGTACTCGTGTGAAGTACTTGACGCTCATGGACTGAGAGCGAAATGGGCAACATGGGAAATGTTACAACAAGAACTTGAGGGATTCGAAACGTAGATGCTGGTGTCTTGAATTTCAAGCATACCACCTACCTTGATTGCTGTGCGGCAAAATCATGAGTGTATTATATCTATAGGACTGTTGTACATGGCCAAAGTTTGGACCTCTTCAATTTTCAGGTAAGAGGAGCAGAAAGGTTGATCAACAGTCGACATCATCGCTGCTAGCGTACCATCATGCTGTCCAACAAGCCCGCGGTGAAGCGGGTGACCTTGTCCACACCCTCGCCATTAATGGCGGCCACGGGGATAGCGACACAACGACGATTCCAAGCATTCTTCCTACCACTTGGATGCTCGACCGTGCCATTTTCAACACCTGCGACATAGTCTCTCAACGCGAGGAATTCCTTCTGAGTTACTGCCGAGTCCTTATCAGCCTTGGTGGCGATCACAAACCATGGTTTGGATGAGATGGGTGGAAAATTGAGCGGTTCGAGGTCCCTCCCCGAGTCGGAGATGTCATGGTTCGAGCCGTCAGATGATTCTGGTGGAAAGATGAGGATTTCCTCCCCACTGTCAGTAATGATCCTGCCTCGAGACGTGCCTCGTGACATGTTTGCTGACGCCTGTGTCGCTGGGTCTTCAATCTTGAACGGAGACCATTCTACCATACGTCGCTCACTCTGCTCGTTGACTTCGGCATCTCGAATCTTCTCGTACTCGCCCAGCTCTTTCCATAGGTTCTTCAGTGCCGTAACGGCGTCTCCAGCGCTGAGGTCGACGACAAATGCGAGAACTCGTGCTCGTTCAATGTGCCGTAGGAACCCGAGGCCCAGGCCTTTATCCAGGTGGGCATCTTCAATCAGTCCTGGGATATCGGCTATGGTGAAGCTGGTGCGTGGCGAGCTGGCGTCAATTCCTGACTTGACCAGGGGCCTGCCCTCGTTGTTGTCAAGCACCACCGTCCCGACGGTGGGCTCTAGGGTGGTGAATGCCCAGTCTCCAATCCGCGTGCGCGAGTTGCTGATGGCCCTTAAAAAGGTGGATTTACCGGCATTGGGAAGGCCGACGAGACCGACATCGGCAAGGAGTTTGAGCTCGAGTTCGAATTTGATGCGCACACCCAGTTCGCCTTTTGTCGCGAACTTGGGTTTATTTTCCTCTTTGGTCATGAAATGAGGGTTGCCCAGGCCACCAACACCGCCTGCGGCAAGCAGCAACGGCTTCTCTGTAGGCTCATCGAGGTCCAATGAGATAGGAGCTGCGGGTTGTAGGACTGTGAGATGGCTTCTTCGAGGCTTGGGCCGGCCTGGAAGGGCATCCTTGACATGTTTGGCCTCGGGACCGGTGACACCAGCGTATAGGATCCATTTGTCCCGAAGGCCCAGGTCGGGAATTGGGGCAGGTTCTTCTTGTTCTTCTTCAAATGTACGACCAGCCAGGTATTCTTGTATAGCCTGTTCCTCCTCTGCGACAGGGTCGCTACGGGAGACTTCCCTGATGACGGTGCCCACAGGTACTCGGATGCAGACGTCCTCGCCTTTACGACCACCTTGGCCTTTCCCTTGTCCACCAATACCACGTCCAGCTTTCACAACCCCTCGGCGGGCGATCTTGTGCAGACTTGTTTCACCAGGAACCGCCTGGATCCAAACATTCCCCCCTGAACCACCATCTCCACCATTTGGGGGCCCGTCAGGAATGTAGACATCGCGATGGAATGAAACACAGCCATTGCCTCCCGAGCCTGCGTGGATGGTAAGGGTGCACTTGTCGACAAAGACGTTTCGGGCGTAGTCATCTGGGGTAGGGTTTAATCTAGAGGCGCCTTGAGTCGGGGGAGGTATTGGTTCATGGGCTGCAGCCCGGCGGGCGGCATTTATCTCAGCCAGAGACGACTGACTGCGAGAAGGGACGTGCTGCCATGTCGTGCGCCTTAACTGAGCCGAAAAGAGATGCGGCGGGCGGTGACATGCGCTTCGAGAGATAGGTCTAAGAAGAAGACAAGGATACAGAAATGGCAACAAGGTGCCTTGTACTCCACTCATCTTCGCAACAGCATACTCCGAGGACCTAACAATAACAGGTCATGGTGTTGTGAGCGCGAGACTGGTGATCGAAAAAAGTTGACCAGATGTCGACAAGGCTGATAATCTTTCTAATAAGGCAAGTTTGCCGAACACTCAGCCTCGTCACGGTCGCGCCTTCCGTATGCTTCTTTCTTTCCCTTGTTCTTCTCATCGCTTTGCATTTTTTCTTCCGAACACATGACGAACACCACTTCAAGCCATAATCTGCCGTCTTGACATTTACCAATTACTTGGGTAGGTTCGTCTAGCCGACGAGGGTGAGAAGGTCAAGTGAGATACTGCCCTGGTGACTTTCCCCATAACGACTTCCTCTCGTCGAAGGAGCGAAGGGCATCTCCTACGAGTCCAGGAGCGTGCAAAACACCTTCTTCAGTCCTTTGGGCTTGACAGCGACCCAAGGTCAGAGCTGAACCTGCAGAGGAACCACTTTCTGTGCGTTGAGAACGGTAGGCCTGAGTGTCCTAGCATTTTGTTCTAATCTCCACCAGATCCCTCCCGTCAGAGCAATGACAGCGGCTTCCCCCTGAGCTTATCCTATACCACCACTCTGTTATGCCAATTCATCTGCCTACAGAATATGGTTGTCTGTTCGCAATATCCCTTGGCATGTGTCCATCATCCTCTCAAGAGCATTCGACTGTTCAGCCTTCCATTCGACAAGCAAGAGAAACCATATTGACTCTTCTATCGAACATCCGCATTGTTTTCAGGCCATTTGATTATACGTTCAAGTATCAATGCTTTCGAGTATCTGTGCTCCATGTCGCCGCTAATTAACGAACCGCTCTCCTGGAAAAGACAAGTTCGGCCTTGAGTATCTTGCCCCCAGATACTTTAGTACCCCAGGTTCAGAGGCGATAATGGCAAAATCAAAGTATGCTTTGGTGGTTGCGCTCCTGATACGCAGCTCCGGCTGGCAATGCCATGCACATCCAAAGCATCCGGCTCGAGATTCGTGGCAGAATGATAATATCAGCCCCAGCCCTAACGCTGTCGGTGGCAGCGAGACATCGGCTACTGACCTATCCACTACTTCCAGTACTAGGCGCTTTTGGATGGTTTCACTTTATGCGATCTGCTGGATGCAGCAGACTGAAAGCCCATGCAGATCTATTATTGGACATAGCGCTTCCCTAGCAGCAGTCAATGTCAAGACGCAGCATCTGATGCCATGTCCAGGGGATGATTACTGAAAGGTTCATGGTATCAGTATATCCAAGTTGACTCGCAGTGGGAATTCTGGATGGCCCGTCGCCCAACCACCAATGGTGGAGATGCGCAAGTCTTACGAGATCCCACATGAAATCCATATGGCGACATTGTAGAGATCACCATGCTGTCAAATTCTGGCACATTCAATATGCTACGTCCAGGAACGATCCGGTAACGTTTTTGGCAATGGTGGGTTCAATCAGAAGACCGCAGGTCTCAACAAATGGAACGACAACCTTTTGAGGGGCGTGACTATTCGCACAAGTACCACGTGACTCTTAGCATTACCAAGGCGCTATTCGGCAACCAAAGGTTTTATACCCTAAGACTAGTCTCGATTAGGCAAGTGCTATGGAACTGTGGTGGTTCAAGGACCATCCTAATTAGGACTAGTGCGGGCTGAGCCTAATTAGGAAATTGAGGGGTGCGATATAAGAGAGCCTATTATCCTGAAATTAGTTAAACTTTCCTAAACTACTTAAGTATGTACCTATACCGCCTAAACCTAGTACCTAAAGCCTACCGCCTAAACTCCTTACTTGCCTAAAGCCTACCGCCTAAATAAGTACCTAAAGCCTCCCGCCTAAACCGCCTAAACCGCCTAAACCGCCTAAACCGCCTAAACCGCCTAAAGCCTACCGCCTAAAGCCTACCGCCTAATACCTACCGCCTAAAATGGAAGCCCTGCCTACTACTCAAGCCTATTCCTCTAGTGTCACGGCGGGCACCAAAACCCTAGCGCTAAGGTGCTAAGGCCACATAGGAGAGACGCACATAAGACGGACAACCTTCGGGGGTGTTACTCAAAGTCCTTCAAGACTTTGAGTCTCTATGATACCTACCGGAAGGAAGAGATATAGCTATCAAACCTGGTACTTCTATTGATATAACTGCCTTAAGCTACACGCTCTTACATCGATGGAAGTTGGAATCGGCCACAAAGCCTTTTAAGAGAGTCTCCTTTGATATCATCGTCATAGACAAAGGATACAATAGTGACAGCTACATTATCCACTTCAAGTGCTACAAAACGAGCATGAATCATATCTACTCTCATGCGAACAAATATGAGACACTTAAGACACTTAGTCAAGAGATATCTCAAACTAGTCGAAAATCGATATAAAAGCCAAGTGACCTTCATGAGGCTTGACGGAGAGACCTCCCTCGGCAGAGACTTCGACTCTCACCTCCACGAACTTGGGATACTGGATCGATAGAAAGGACTCCTAGTAGGTACTCAGTACTTACAGAGTAGGTACTTTAGTAAGTAGTTACCTACTTAGTAAAGGACCACGGCTACGCCCTAGTTAAGTACAACTTCAGATCGTGATTACTTTACATTTCGAGAACGAGATCAAGGCAAGAGGAGACTGAGCGGAAGTTCAGTTTTTATTGAGGATTTTAGTAGTGATCAGTCAATTCTTAGATCTTGAATAGTACTAAGTGCTTCCTAAGGTAAGGAACTTCCAAGTTACTAGTAGTGGGTACCTTGAAGTACCACCTACCTTGCTCTTCATTTCCTGTCCCTATAGTAGGTACTGTAAAACCTGGCGCCTCGTGATTCTCTATATTAATAGGAATAGAGCAAACGTCGAACCAGAGTCCAGCATCGAACTAGCATCGAACCAGCATCGAACCAGCATCGAACCAAGATTCGGATAAGAATTAAACTGGAATTAACTAGAATCCTCTATAAGATCTATGCAGCCTTGTCGTACTGAGTAGTACCGATAGTAACTAAGCCCTCCAGTACCTGGTACCTCTACGCTAAGCTAGATGCAGATCAGATCGTGACACATTATATAGAATAGAGGGTTGGCCCGGGCTGGCCCGAGCTGGAACCGGGCTGAAACCGGGCTGAGGTGGGCTAGAAGTGGGCTGGCCCGGGCTGGGACTAAGTCAATCTTGATTCATAGTACTTACTTAATTCGTTTGAATCGAGTCGATCTAGTGCATCCTGGTACCTATAATACATTTTGATCCAGGTTAGCTTAGTATGGAGTAGGTACTACATAAGTACTTAGGTAAGTACTAATAGTATAGCAGAACTCAGGTTCTATCTAGCCAGGTCAAGTAGAGCCTTATAACTAAAGTTCAAGTTTAAGCACTCATCTCATATTTCACCTTTTCACGAAGTTTCTGGCCATATTTCCAGAATAGCCACGGTATTGGAGCCATTGCCAGGGTACAGAATGCCAAAATTGAAGTCGCCCAGCCAACCCCGAGTGCGACATACATCCTCAGAGCAAATAAAGGGAAGGCCGCCGACATGGCGTATCTCGCAAACATGGCAGCACCAGCTGCCGATGCTCCGTATAATGGTCCGTACGAGTCCATCATAAAGGTGCTCGCGGATGCATAGATCAAGACAGTCGACATGATTACAATTCCTTGAAAAAGAATTGGGACGATCCAGTGAGTTTCCAAATGGGCCGTCCAGCCAAAGACAGCAAGCGAGACAGGGAGGATGAAAGAAGCGATGAGAGAGGGGTAGAGACGATGCTCAGGCGGAAATCTTTCGTCTGCACTCGAAGAGGTGTTCGAGCTTTGTTGGCGGTACCGTTTCAAGCGAGGTTGATAAATGTAGAGATCGATTAAGATTAGCGGAAATGGCGCTAGCCCGGTACCCGCCATCAGCCCAAGAAACGATAATGATTGCCCAACGAGATCGAAATCGTAGTAGTGTTCAAAGACCCAAGGTGAAGCGATGACGAAGGTGTACATCAGCCCGAAGAGGAAGCCGTTATAGAGGCAGACCAAGGTCACTATTGTTTCCGTGAGCATCATATGGAGAGGCCGGACCAGCAGTGTCGTGACGAAAAAATTCGTAGCGGCGTAGAAGGAGCCAGGAGCTCGCTCTATAGTAGTCGATGTTCCTCTTTGGCGGGCCCGACTTTCAAGAATGGTTTTTTTATATGTTTCTTTGATGAAGAGAATAGGCAGGTAAGCAGCCACAAGGAAAAAGAGAGTCACCCATTGAGTCCAGCGCCAACCTCTGCTCTCAAGGACCAACCCACCAAGAAGAGGGCCGAAGACAGCCCCGAAGAAAGGGATGGAATAGTAAAATGCAAGAGAGATGGCTCGATATCTGCCAGCAGTGTAGTCGATGATGGTGGCTGAAGCATTGCTTATTGCTGGGGATGCGAAGACACCAGCAAAGAATCTGCAGATAGACAGACTGGTAGCATTCTGTGACAGCCCAGCACCGAGGATGAAGAGTCCAAAAATGGGGGTTGTGCTCAAAAAAACAGCCTTGCGCCCGAAAGTCTCACTGAGTGGTGCGCCGACTAGAGGTCCAAATGCCAGGCCAACATTGTACAAGGACAACGGCAAGATAGCCACCTCTTCTGAGACGTTGAAAAGTCGAGCAACCTCCACATGGGAAGGGCTGTAGATGGACGCCGCGAGCGTGCTCACAAAGGCCAACAAGGTGACTGCAATTGTACTTGCAATTCGACGTCTGAGGGAAAAGTTTCGTGGGTTATCAGGGTCATCTGGCCCGTCCCAATCAAGGGTGGAGGGTGGAGGAGGATTTGGAGGTAGAATTGTCTGGTCGAACGCATGAGGCCGCTCGTCTTTAGTCATTTTGGAATTTCCACATCTTGGGTTGCTGGAAGATGGAAAGAAATGATATTTTCTTCCTTGCAGTTGTCATCAACGAGCAGAATTTTCAATTGACCGACACTTACAGGAAGAGGAAGGAGCGATGGGATCATGGAAAACGCCGTAGATTCGCCTTTCAGGCAAGAACGATTGTCAGGCTGTCGTTCGGTTAGGGAAGTCACATCTACATCTTCCCCGCATTCTCGTTAGCAGTGAGTGATAATGGTGGAGGTAAGAGCAGCCCGACCTTTGGGGAAAGTTGAGTCAGTCCTTGCCTAATTGAGTCCTACTTCCTACCTCGGAATACCGTAACTGTAGTCAGGAGCTACAGAAGGAAGAAGGATCGATCGAACTCTGATTCCACGTCAGATCAAGCATCAGATCAAGCGTTATAGCCAGTCCTTATTAATACTGTCCTTAAATCGCTGAAATTATCACGAATCTATTCTGAATCAATGCCGTGTGATATTTTCACCAATGCCGCTTCGAAGTTGTACAGTATTTATATTATATCGATGCGCGATCGGATGAAACGTCCGATGCGAAGTCAGAGAAGTTACGGTGTCAGATCATACATTGATTGCTACTACTACTAGGTAACCTACCACAGCCTGACGCAGGCCGGTCCAAATACTTTGCAAAATACTCAGTATTTTGGGATGGAACTGGGAGATTCAAACTACCAGATGCGATGCGAGCAGAGAAGGCTGACGTAGACTACCAACCCCTACCTTCCTGAAATCGTCCAGACGCAGCAGGATTGCTACTCCTCTAATGGGAGAGAGTGAGTCTGCTAGTACTTGCCTATGATTAGTAAGTACTAAGTACTTACTAAGTACCTACTTACTTAGTTCTACTATGCAAGTACTTCATATGTAGGAACTTAATCAAATCGAACGCTGAACAGGCATGTTGGGGTACATTTGATTCGGCCTGGTCAACAGAGTCCTCTCCCAAGTCACAAAGGCGCAACGGACTCCTTGCCTTGGCCATCACAGGTGGCACGGGACCAGTCATATGCAGGGATTATCAATTATCCAAATGATTTGGCACTGAGATTGCGAGCCAAACAGACATGTCGATCGCATAGACGGTACAGAAGTCGACTACATGATAGGGTCATTTAGCTACAGTTGGTATTCTTACCCGCCTAGGGCTATCCAATCTGATCTATTAGGGGGACCTCTTCTTATCAGTACCTAAGTGGGTAAGGCACTTGCGAGTTATCCCTGTCTAGAGTCCTCGCGTGGAATGGCCGTTGCATATGGTATAAGTGCGGAGGTGACGACGCACGCCAACGTTCTGCTTAATTGGACTCAGATGGGGAGGGAGGAATGAGGTACTGGTAGGTCAGTAGTTTGAGTTGTTTTCTACGGGGGAATAATTATAGATACTAGACTGTGGGTGTGTAACGGCGCCACTTCTCTGAAGCAAGAACGGCGGATATCGGTACAACGAAAAGTGAGTTGCCATGAACAATACCATGTTAGTAAAATTCAATCAACAGAACGGCCCGAGAGTGTTCCCAAATGGAAAGCTTCTTCTTGCCGCAGTGGAGTTTCATCGACACGATGGCATCCCCACCCGCCTTGCCGCCTTGGACGACCTGGAGGACGACGTTTCCGGAGTTCCCAATATACGATGACCCCGGTGGATTCTATTACCCTCAATCTTCAAAAAAAGGCTACAACTCCGAGCCGAACTACTACTCATTTCAATGCTACAGTACTAGTGCTACAGTACGTACTCGGATTTCATGCAGTAGAACGTCTCTGAACTTATCATAAGGAGTACTCTCACGTCTCGGCGCTGCTTTGCACCGCTAACGAGGTAAGGGCCTTGACATTCGGACCCTTTCAATGCTCTTTTGGCAACATGGGTGCTTTTGTTCTCGGTTGGCTCGCCTGCGTCACGACTGCCCGGCCAAGCACGCGATCTCCCACTATGAGGCTTCTTGGTATCCAGTTTGTCGAATCTTTCACCATGTGGAGAGTGCCAAGTTGTTCGACTGTCACGTCAAGGCTGACGAGTGGAGCGGAAATTCCAAGATGTTGATCCCCACTGACGAGTGCCAAGTCTATACCAACCTTGAATCCTTCGCCGTGTCCGAGTGTCTCCCCCACCTGGTGGCACCGACCACGCGACAAAGAGCCAATTCATAGTAATAATCAGTTGACATAGAGTTGCTGGTATGGCTGGGCGTCCGTCAGAGAGGGGGCACGCAATTGTCTCTCAACACTCGCAAGGACTTATGCATCTGGTAATAAAAGGGCCTGAGGCCCGCGAGACAACTACGTGGGGTCCTCTCTATTGTCCTTTCACTCTCAGTGATCATCCCCCTTGGCCAATATCTCGCCCACCAAGACCTATATCCAGTCGCATGGTCTAGATCTGCGTCCTTGATACTTTTTTTTGTGGCTTTGTTGCGGCGATGAGGCTCATTCAAGGCCTGAAGAAGGTTGGGAGTTGGTTTGCGCCTCCTCCCAAGCAGTCCGAAGATGGTCGCGATCAATGGCCGTCCAGGGCAGCATTCTTACTGGCTGCCATGGGAGGGTGCGCTGGTCAGGGAAACCTTCTGCGGTACCCGTCTGTGGTGTACAACAACTATGGACTCCAATGGTTCATCCCGTACCTCCTAGCCGTCTTCCTCATCGCCATACCAGCCTTGATCTTGGAGATCTCGATAGGACAAGCATATCGGGCTGGCTCACTGATTGCATTTAACAACATCAATCATCGATTGAAAGGTGTAGGTCTTGGTCCCGTCCTGGTCAGCTTCATTGTTGTGCAGTACTTCACCGTCAACCTCGCGTGGATCATGAATTATTTCCGGAACTCCTTTATAAGCCCACTTCCGTGGGAAGGACGGATCGAAGATTTCTACAATGACGATGTCATCGCCAACCCAGCCCCCATCGATGGCAGCCTCAGCGCAGATGGAAAATCAGTAATTGCATATACTGAGTATCCTAGCGTTGCGCTGATCGGCGAAACCGTTGGCTGGTCTGCCTTTATCTGGTTCTTGATCTGGATTTCCATCTTTCGTGGAGTTGGTCTCACTGGCAGAGTCGTTTACTTCACCATGGGTCTGCCAATCATTACCACCATCATCATTGTCGGACGTTCTCTGTCCCTTGAGAATGCCGGCGCAGGTGTTCGACTGCTCTGGGCCACATGGAGAGGAGGCCAGTTGAGCTCAGGCACAGTCTGGCAGACCGCCGTCGGTCAGGTTTTCTTCTCCACTGGTATTGGCTTTGGCTACTTTACCTCCTATGCATCCTACAACGCAAAACACTCAAACGCCGTCATGGATGCCTTTTTGATTTGTGGCAGCAATGTTCTCTTCGAAAACTTTGCTGCCTTTGCGGTGTTTGGAATTGTGGGATATCTTCGACGATGGCCCCAGGACGGCGTTAGGCTCGGCGCATTTGTTGTCGGTTTTCTCACTCTTCCAGAGGCGGTTCTTCAAATGCCCGGTTCGAATTGGTGGGCCATTCTTCTCTTCTTCACCCTTGTCGTGCTCGGGTTCAGCTCAGCTTTCGTCATGCTAGACGCGGTCGCTACCATGGCTGTCGATTCTGGCCTCAAACTCTCGCGACCCACAATTGTTACTGGTCTCACTTTGATTTCCTTCCTCATCTGTCTGCCATACTGCACGGAGTTCGGGTACTATCTGCTCGACGGAATTGATCGGTGGATTAACAACGTTGTACTGATCTTTGTCGTTTGGTCTGAGGTGGTTAGTGCAACCACGGTTTATCGATGGAGAGATGCCGTCAGCCAGACAGGTCTACCTGCCTTTGCCACCTACAACGTGGGATACTTTGGCGCTCAAGTCTTTGGCATCTCCCTTGCTCACGGGATTGGAAACCCTTGGGCTGGTGCTGTTGCTGGAATCGGCTTTTTCATCCTGGTTTCCATCGTCTCTATCTTCATCTCGACCACACCACATATTGCACCTCCCAGCTTCTGGAAGTCGCACCCGCTACTCGCTCGCTTTTGGTATTTGGCATTCTATTCGGTCAGTGGAGCTCCTCCAGTTGTCATCATTCATTCTGCTAACTCTTTCTCACAGGGTAACCAATTGAGACGTGACCTAAATACGATTGTCGGCACCGGACGCAACTGGAAGATCCCATTGTTCTGGCCCTTGCTCCTTCGCTATGTCAGCGGCCCAGTCCTTGCAATCATCTTTAGCTTCGCCTTCCCCGAGTTCCACACTCTACGCTACGATCCATTGATGATTACCGGGTTCATTGTTTCCATGATCTGCCTTGTCTTGATCATCCTAGGATTTGTCATGCCCAGGTATTACAACTTCTTCATCCCTCCTCATCGCCGAGGCGAGGGCTCAGAACAAACCATCGCAATGGAACCGAGACTGGAGGTCGAGGCACGGCGTATGGGGGATGTGGATACGGAAAGCATTGATGTCTCCTCTCCTAGTCCCTTGGATGCAGAGAAGAAGGAGACAACTCCTGAACCCCTGCATAGCGGTCAGGAATCACACATTCGCTGAATACCAAATTCTTCAATGACCCTTTTCTGGAGAGCAAGGTATATGATATCTCTCAGAAATAAGTAATATGTCAGCCAACCTGGTAATACATCTGAGCCTTCTTGAGATACCAAGAAACGACGAAAGAGTTCAGAGACAGCCATCTATTCATCTCACCTCTTTAATTCCCATGACTGCACTCGAGTGACCTACACATAATCGTAGATTAAGATCGGATTCTTCAACAACATTAATAGTGTTATTCAACCATGTGAATGCTTCCAATTTCTCCAATGCCCCCAGACAAGGCTGCGTTCACATAGGGCGGCAAGTGGCTCTAACCTAATTATTGTATACTCGGCCCATGGGATTATCCGCTCCGACACTAAGACATGATGCCACGTGCTGTTCCTACAACTCAATTTCAAAAAGTTGATCCTATTGCCAGATTGAAGAACACCACTTCCGTTCCGCCCGACTCCTGTACCTACTTGATCAACTCTCTACCCCCTTCCTCCGATCTCCTCTACCTATATGCAGCCCAAATCTCCATTGAGATAGCCCGGAAACCAAGGCAGAGCCCTCGGCCAACGCCGAATGAATGAACGCGTTCCTCACCTCCCCCTCGCCGCGACCATGAACATCGTCCCAAGATGATGCGAATGTTAGAAGCACAGGCGCCTGCTCGACAGACTGCCACCGACACCATCCAGACCTTGAGTAGTCGCCTGTCAAGTGCTACTCTACTGGAAGACCGCCGCGCTGCCATCCTTGGTCTGCGCAGTTTCGCCAAACTCTTCCCGGCCTCGGTTGCCTCTGGGGCACTACGAGATCTCATTGCAGGCCTTCGTCGAGATGCCGAAGACCCCGATACCCTCAAGGTCGTACTGGAGACCCTGTTGATGCTTTTTGAGCCCGATGAGACGTCCCCCGAGGCTTCGGAAGAGATCACACTATGGCTCGCGGACGAATTCACTCAGAGGCAGGACAATATCACAGCTTTGCTGGACTTGCTGGAGCTGGGGGAGTTCTATCCTCGTCTATATGCACTTCAGATACTCTCCCACGTGTCAAGTGCACGCCCACAAAGGACACAAGAGGCGGTCTTTGCTGCTCCCCTTGGCGTTTCTAGAATTACCAATGTGCTGGACGACAAAAGGGAAGCTGTCCGGAACGAGGCACTAGTGCTTCTAGTTGCGCTGACGCCATCTTCGGCAGAACTACAGAAAGTTGTCGCTTTTGAGAACGCTTTCGATCGGGTCTTTGTCCTGATCGCCAACGACGGCGGTTTGACGCATGGCTCAACCACTGTACAGGATTGTCTTTCCCTTTTGGCAAACCTGTTGAGCTTGAACACATCCAATCAGTCCTACTTCAGAGAAATGGGCGGCATCATGAAGATCAAAAAGCTCCTTGCAGCTGTCCTCGAGCAAGAGGATGGGAATGAGGGCGTGTCGTCCTGGATGAAACCTCAACGTGATATGAACCTGTGGGGGATTCTTGGCGTGGTACAGCTCTTCCTCGCTCGTGGTGCTCAAGGCACCCTGTTGAATCAGCAGGCATTTTGGCAGACTGCTGTCCTACAGACCATCCTTCACATCGCCTTCCACCCAGGCTTCAGTGCTGGCGTGCGTGCAAAAGCATTACAGACTTGCGGCGATTTGATCCGTGGCAATCACGGTCTTCAAGAAAGATTCGGCGACCTTCCGGTACAGATAAAGATTGCCGATGGTCCTGCCACAAACGGCCACACTCCGGAGGACGTGCGTAGTAAACAGCCTGTCAAGCCCGTTTACCAGGAACACAACGTCATCGAAGCCCTCCTGGAATTGGCACTGGAATCAAGTCCAATCGCCCTGTTCGACATCAGGCTTGCTGCCCTGTCTTGTGTCAAAGCATTTGTGGAGGGTCATGCTGGAATACGAGCTCACGTCCTCCGTCGAGCAATTGAAGGTCATCGGAGTGGGGATGATGCCATACCCAATATGCTCACAGTCCTTCTTGAGCCTCCATCTGCCCGCACCAATGCAGATCCATATCAACAGTGGGTGGCAGCTGTGCTGCTCATGCACCTCGTCTATGAGAATGCCGAGACCAAATCCATGGCACTCAAGGTGACGGAAGGAGATGCTGAGAGTGGTGAGGAAGTGGTGACCTTTGTGCAAAGCATTGCAAGCAATGTTATTGCAGGCATTCAGCACGTTGAGGATGAGCGAGCCCTCATTGGATATTTGATGCTCTTGCTCGTCTGGCTTTTCGAAGACCCAGAGGCTGTCAATGATTTATTGGGCGAAGGAAGCAATGTCCAAGGTCTGATCACTGCTGTCAAAATTACCAAGAGTACTATGCCTCTTGTTGCCGGTCTGGCAGCTTTCTTGCTTGGAGTTGTCTATGAGTTTTCCACCAAAGACTCCCCAGTGCCGCGGACTACGCTCCATGGCCTCCTGATAGGCAATATGGGTCGCGAAACTTATGTTGACAGCTTAACCCGACTTCGAGAAAACCCCTTTGTGCGCGACTTTGAAGTTCTCCCCCAGGCCGGGAGTGGAGGCCTTCCAGACGTGTTTTTTGACAAGACATTTATTGATTTCCTGAAGGACAATTTCTCCCGATTCTTGCGCGCAATTGACAGAGATCCCAAGTTTGAAGTTTCTGTTGTGAGTGAAGGAGTACAAAAGGGAGTGTCAAGGGATTTGGTTGATAGTCTTCGGGCTCAAGTCGAGGAGCAGAAACAAAGTATAGAAGCGGCCAACACAGAACTGTTACAGCTGAAAAGAAAATTGGAGCAGGAAGAGCTGGACCACCGTCGGACGCGTGAGTCTACCGGCGTCGAGCTCTCCCGGATCCGGCAGATTAATCAAAGTTTGCAAGCGAATCACGAAGAAGAAGTGGCCAAGCTTCAGAGAGATTTTACGCGTGAACGAGATTCGCTGTTGAAGAGTCACGAGGACGAATTGCATCGACGTCGAAACGAAGGTCTTGGTACGTTGGAGAATGCCAGGAAACAGCATGAGAGCGAAATCAAGCGGCTGGAACAACGCATAGCATCGATCACCAAGGAAGCAGCCGACGAGCTCGCATCCTTGGTACAGAAGCACAAGCAGGAGATGGTCGCTGCAGAAACTGAATTTCAGACCACCCAACAAAAAACGGCAGCAGAAGTTGCAGAACTGAAAAAGACCATTTCAAGCTTGGAGTCTAAGCTGGAATCTCAGCGAAATGATGCTACTCGAGAGCTATCTACAGCGCAGGCCGAGCACCAGAAACAGCTCAAACTTCTCGTCTCTGACAAAGACAGCGCAGATACTCGTGCTAAAGCTGCCCAAAGCGAATTGAAGTCGACTGCAGAGAAACTTGACCAAGAGATTGCCCGGCGCAAAGAGGTGCAAACAGAACTGGACGATCTTCTGATAGTGTTTGGGGATGTCCAGGCACAACGATCAGCCGATAAGAAACGGCTGAAGGAACTTGGCGAGGAAGTCTCTGAAGATGAAGACGAAGGAGACGAGGAAGATGACGGCGAAGACGAAGACGAGGATGGGGTGAGTGGAAACGATGATGTTGACTAACCTAATCCCATTTAGCGACCTGTTGCCATCTGAGGGTTTCTGTAGCATTGCCAGCATGGACACAAAAGCCTCGTCGCATTTAGAATAATACCCTGTATGAACACATCCAACATACCACTACCCAATCTTCAAGCTCTGATGTCAGGCTGCCTCGTCTGTGAATTAGTCACCATGCGGGACTATGAGGTTCTCTTGAAATGGCATACTGACAAGGCTGAACGCTTAGTCATCACGTGCATCCAATCGGAGCGGAGAGTCGCCGTACCTGCCAAGATTTCATTTGATGCTCGCATTTTGGCGGCGCTTTTTGATGACTCTGTCTGTGAATGACTCAATCCACCGCTTCTCACAATATATCTCCCCTCCCCTCTCGTCCTCGACAGATCCAGCATTCGACTACTGCCTGGATACGCCATGGCGGTCAATTTTGCTGCAGAAGAGGCCGCTACTCTACAAAGATGGCGAGAGATTGACGCTTTCCAGACTCAACTGCGCCTGTCCCAGGGCAACAAACCCTACACTTTCTACGACGGCCCACCTTTTGCGACTGGTCTTCCTCATTATGGCCACCTACTCGCCTCCACCATCAAGGACATCATTCCCCGATATTGGTCTATGAAAGGCTACTACGTCGAGCGAAGATTCGGCTGGGACACTCATGGTCTACCCATTGAATATGAGATTGACAAGAAATTCAACATCTCGGGCCCTGCGGCTGTGAAAGAGATGGGAATTGCCAAGTACAACGCTGAGTGCAAGGCTATTGTCATGAGATATGCCTCAGAATGGAGAGAGACCATTGATCGGCTGGGAAGATGGATCGACTTTGACAATGACTACAAGACGATGAATTCCACCTTTATGGAATCCGTCTGGTGGGTTTTCAAGCAGTTGTATGACCAGGGTCAGGTCTACCGCAGTTACCGAGTCATGCCGTTTTCCACTGCCTTGAGCACTCCTCTCAGTCAACATGAGGCCCAGTCGAACTACAAGGATGCCCAAGATCCAGCTGTGGTTATTGCCTTTCCTTTGGTTGAAGATCCCAAAACCAGCTTGCTGGCATGGACAACTACCCCTTGGACCTTGCCTTCGAACATTGGCTTGGCCGTCAACCCTGAGTTTGAATACATCAAGTTTCTGGATGTTGAGTCCGGCCGTCAATTCATCATGCTTGAGAAACTGTTGCGAATACTTTACAAAGATCCCAAGAAGGCCAAGTTCACCATCCTCGAGAAAATGAAGGGATCAGATCTCAAAGGCAAACAGTACATTCCTCCTTTCAACTATTTCTATGACGATTTCAAGGATCGAGCTTTCAAAGTTCTGAATGCCGGCTATGTCACCGACGATGACGGTACCGGTGTGGTCCATCAGGCCCCCGCCTTTGGTGAGGAGGATTTCCGAGTCGCCATGGAGAACGGTATCATCAGCCATGACTCGCTCCCCCCCAATCCAGTTGATGATACGGGCAAGTTCACCAAGGAAGTTACTGACTTCGCCGGTCAGCATGTCAAAGAAGCGGATAAGCACATCATCAAACACTTGAAGGGCACAGGAACACTCATCCGTGACTCCCAGATTACCCATCAGTATCCCTTCTGCTGGCGGTCTGATACACCTCTCATTTATCGTGCTGTCTCAGGTTGGTTTGTCAATATTGCCGGTAACGACAAGGTGCCGAGTATCATTCCATTGATGTTGGACGGCATTGCCAAATCTCATTGGGTGCCAAATTTCGTCAAGGAGAAGCGGTTTGCCGACTGGATCAAGAATGCCCGTGATTGGAACATCTCTCGCAATCGGTATTGGGGCACACCTATTCCTCTGTGGGCAAGCGAAGACTACTCCGAGATTGTGGCTATTGGCAGTATTGAAGAACTGAAGAAGCTGAGTGGCTACGAGGGTGAAATCACAGATCTACACAGGGACAGTGTCGATGGAATCACCATTCCCAGTCAGAAAGGAAATGGTGTTCTTCGCCGAGTCGAGGAAGTTTTTGACTGTTGGTTTGAATCCGGCAGCATGCCGTACGCCTCGTCCCATTACCCCTTTGAAAACAGCGAATTCTTTGAAAAAACCTTCCCTGGAGATTTTATCGCCGAAGGCCTTGACCAGACCAGAGGTTGGTTCTACACTTTGGTCATCCTCGGCATTCATCTCAAGAAAGTTTTGCCTTTCAAGAACTGTGTGGTCAATGGCATTGTCTTGGCTGAAGACGGAAAGAAGATGTCGAAACGACTGAAGAACTACCCCGATCCAACCACAGTTATCGACAAGTATGGCGCTGATGCATTGCGTCTATACATGATCAACTCTCCCGTTGTGCGAGCTGAACCTCTCCGCTTCAAGGAATCTGGCGTCAAGGAGATTGTGGCCAAAGTCTTGCTCCCATTGTGGAACAGCTTCAAATTCTTCGAAGGACAGGTTCAACTGCTCAAGAAGGTTGAAGGTATTGACTATGTCTATGACCCCGAAGCCGAGAAGACCAACACAAATGTCATGGACAAATGGATTCTCGCCAGTATCCAGAGTCTGCTGAAGTACATCAATGAGGAAATGGCTTCGTACAGGCTCTACACTGTCGTGCCCGGCCTACTCAATCTGATCGACGAAACAACCAACTGGTACATCCGGTTCAACCGAAAGCGACTGAAGGGAGAATTGGGTGTAGATGACACTCTCCACGCCCTCAACACCCTGTTCGATGTTTTATTCACCCTCGTCCGCGCTCTTGCTCCCTTCACCCCCTTCATCGCCGACCTCATCTACTCCAAGCTCCTTCCCCATATTCCCGAGTCCCTGCATGGTAAGGACAGCCGAAGCGTGCACTTTTTGTCGTTCCCTGAAGTTCGAGAAGAGCTTTTCAACCCCGTTGTGGAGAGACGAGTGGCCCGAATGCAGAAAGTGATTGAGTTAGCCCGACAATCACGAGAACGAAGAACAGTCGGCCTCAAGACACCACTCAAGACACTGGTGGTGATCCACAAAGACCAAGAATACTTAGACGACGTCAAATCCCTAGAAGGATACATCACCGAGGAACTGAATGTACGAGATCTTGTCCTATCGTCAGACGAGGAGAAATACAATGTTCAATACAGTGTGACAGCCGACTGGCCTGTTCTCGGCAAGAAACTCAAGAAAGATGTTCAAAAGGTCAAGAAAGCACTTCCTGACCTAACAAGCACGGAATGCAAAGCATATCTCGACGAGAAGAAGATTGCAGTGGCCGGAATTGATTTGATCGAAGGAGATCTCGTGGTTCGACGATCGTTGAAACAGGACGACAAGTCCAAGGATCAAGAAACCAACTCTGACGACGACGTCTTGATTATTCTAGACGTGGCCATCCACCCTGAACTCGAACAGGAAGGACTGGCACGCGAAATCATCAACCGAGTGCAACAATTGAGAAAGAAAGCCAACCTTGTACCAACGGATGACGTTAAGATGGAATATCGTGTTCAACAAGACCCGGATAACATTGGTCTAGAGGCAGTGTTCGAGTCGCAGAGCGCGTTTATTGAGAAGGCATTACGGAGACCGGTGGACAAGCATGTGGTGACTGAAGTCGAGGGACCAATCACTAATGGTGATGAAAAGGAGAACATCATCGCGGAAGAGTTGCAAGAAGTTCAGAAGGCGACGTTTTTGTTGAGATTACTCAAGTTGTGAGGGATGAGAGATGAGAAATGAGAAATCAGAGAGAGATGGATGGGTGGATAGATAAGATATGACAGGTCAGGTCAGGTCAGGTCAAGTCTAGAGTGCGTGAGTGTGTGAGACAGTTATGACTTGCATTATGAGAATACAAGAAACATACATGCATGGTTCCTGTATGTATGTATGGATGTATGGCCAGCGCTAGATTCTAGATTCTAGATTCTAGATCGTGGTGAAAGTTGAATGAAAGACGCCGAACAATGCAATACATTCCATCCTCCCCTTCCTTCCAGAATGGACGTCCTTCTTGTCTTTGGTCATGATTTCCTCTTCGCATGTTTCTACCCACCAAGCAAACCGGAAAGTAATTAGCAACAATAGGACAACGAGAGAAATTGCCATCCTCGATCTCAAAACATCTCGGGAGGGAAAGGGAATAAAACCTAAACATACCAAATAACAATCCTTCAAAGCCATAAATTCCTTGACACACATATCTTTACTGGTCGATTGATAATCGGCAACTATACATTTTCCATAGACGGCGGCCTTTAAAAAAAGTAGAAAGGTAGATGTTAGAACCAGGTATTAACTTCATGGGGATAAATGTTGGGGGGTTTTGAGATATATATATAGATATATATATGTCTTTCTAAGGAAGGCGTGATTGTGATGTGATATACGTACCTCAGTTGAACATTTAGCGACATGAGATGCGAATTTCTCAATTGGCCTTGTTCGGCCGGCGATGGTTGGCATGGATGCGTGGGTAGGTGGATGAATAGGGTTTAATGTCGATTGGGATCGAGTTTGTCGTAGTGGTAAGTTCTATATTCTCAAGATGAAGAGAGTAAAGTGAAGGAATAATGCTCGTTTCGATTCTCTTCTAACGGAGTCAAAAGGGTTGTGGTGGTGGTTGTGGTTTCACGCGAAATGTTGTGTTGCCATTGCCTGGATCATAGAGTCGCTATGTCGATCGTAGAGGACAGGTGAGTAGAGAATCGGATTCAATCAAGTGGAAATGTTCAATTAATCTAGGATGTACTGAGCTACGGTCAGGACAATATTCTCACCATCAGGATCAAGTTGAGGTCATGATTTCTCGAGACTCATTCTCGTGGATTTAATTGGTCGCTAGGTACCTACTATAAGTAGGGCGGCTAAACTGCTGTCCCGACATCAAAATCTTCGAAGGCAACATCATCCGTACAAGCACTTAGATCGAACAAACTGTCTCTTTTGAAAGCTCTTGATTTACTTCATGCAACATTATAATTTCGATTAGCTCAAACTTCCTCTCACACTCATAAAGGTCGTTTTTGCGCACTCGATCTTGAGTAATTAGGTAGGTCACCAACGAGGTAGGTAGTAGGTAGGTAAGTAGGTAGACTAGACAGACTTCCAACTATTCCAGGTCATTCATGCCAACATGAATCGCCCTGCCCATTCTCATACTTGGTCATGATCCTCTTCACTGCTTTTTTGGCTTTACAATCCTTCCCCAGCTCGACTCCTTCCAAAGCGATGAATCCAGCGTCATGCTTATGGGCCAGTTTTTTTGGAACTCCTTCGACGAATCCGTCCCGCCAAACTATGGCAATTCCCAGGCATATAAATCACCCAGCGCAGCAATCCATTCAAACCATGACTTCGTACCGCGCGCAAAAACATGGACCAGAAACCAAGTTCCCGATCCTAAATGACTGTGATTAATGTCCACGGCCAAGTGGTCGGTACAATTTTCTGGTTTTTCTCGGCGCAAGAACTTGGACCTGCCGCAATGATGACTGCATGTGTGAACAACATACGATATAAACAATGACGATTAACTCATGTCTGACCCCTGATAACGGGGCGGTGAGGATGCAGTATGTTCATGATAACAGAGCTGATTTGCAAATCATAGTCAAGCGTAAAAAAGGGTCAACATTGGGTCTCAGGGTGGATGACGACCTGGGCCAACACAGCGTGATTGACTCACGAAACCTGCATTTGGCCCTCATTCTTCAAAGTAGAAGCCGTCATCCCCAGTTCTTTGGACACCACTCATCCGATGCTCCTGAGTCCTTGACCGTGTGAGATTGACCTCATCGAATCGGTCGTCATCAGGCTCTCTCGAACCACCGAAGCGCTCCTCCATTGTACTTTCATCCACAAAGGTGAATCCTTGGAAAGCATTCTGCATTGTGGGCGAAAGAGGAGTCGAGGCTGGTGCTGCACCCGCGGCCAGGGCTGCCGCACGTGCGTTGAGTGAAGACGACGTGTTGAGGGCATTGGTGAATTCAGGATCAAAGTTGGATGTGTCGGCCATTGAGGTCAATTTTGGCTTGAAGGGTGGCACCAGGTTCTTCTTGCCGAGGGCGTCCCAATCAATATCCGCAAAGAACGGATGCTCGATGAGTTCTTGCGCATCTCTCGTCGCACCAAGTCGGTGCTTGGGGTTTCGATTGAGTAGTCCCTTGACAAAATTGCGACCTTCGGTGCTCAATGCATCTCTAGGGAATCGAACTTTTCCAAAGGCAATATTTTTATACATTTGCTGCGTGTCCTCAGCGTAGAACGGACTCCATCCACAGCACATCTCGAAGACAAGGACGCCAAGCGACCAGAAATCGACCATCTTGGTATAGCCCTGCTCGTCGAGGAGTACCTCTGGGGCGAGATATTCGGTCGTACCACAAAAGGTGTTGGTAGTGTCGTCCTGACTCAAGTTGGCCTTGGATAGACCAAAGTCACACAATGCAATGTGGCCATTGGCATCAAGCAGGATGTTTTCGGGTTTCAAGTCTCGGTAGACAATGTCGTGATCGTGGAGGTGTTTGAGGGCGACAATCAGCTCGGCAATATAAAACTTGGCTCGGTCTTCCTTGAAACGGCCTTCTTTTTGAAGATGCCAGAACAACTCTCCTCCCGACATAAAGTCTGTGACTAGATACAGATCGGTCGGAGTCTGGAAGGAAAACTTGAGGCCGACAATGAAGGGTGAATCAGTCATTGCCGTCCGGACCAAGATATTTCTCTCTCCAATGGTATGCTGGATTTCCTTCTTCTGAATAATGACCTTCTTGGACAGGACTTTCATGGCGTATATCCTTTGTGTATCCTTTTTGCGAACCTGGTAGACCTGGCCAAAGGTCCCCTTTCCAATGAGTTTGAGGATCGAAAAGTCATTGGGGCCAAATTGTCGCTTGTCCACCTTGGAAAACTGCATCCGAATGTGGATCTCTCCAGTGATGTCCTGGTCCTCTTCTACACGGGGTTCGAGGCGGAAAAAGCCTTCGAGGGTGGGGTGCTGTTCTGTCAAGTTCAAACATAACCTGACATGACCGAGGAAGGCATCCGCCGAACCACGGTCGTATACAGTTACGTCGAGCTCTGACCGAGGACTGACAACATCACTAGCATAAAATTAGCATCTGCTGGGTCAGGCGGAAGTATAGACGACATACAATGTTGCTTCATGGTCCCACTGAGGATCTGTCACCTTCTCGAATGGCCTTTCCTCGCCCGTGGAGCTACTCTGACGACTTCGCATGGGGATGGCCATTGGCTTTCCCATATCGCTGTCTGTCCTACGAATGGGGACAGATTGTAATGAGGCCACAGGGCCCTTTTGATTATCGCCATCGACCTCCATCCGATCCAACTTTGGACCTTTTGAAACATACTCGTTCCACTCAAATTGACAGACCACATAAGGGTCGATAGAGGGCCGTATGTTTCGACCTTCGGCAATTTTTATGGACAATTTTCCACGAGGCAGAGTGGTTGAGGGGAGGGAGGAACGGCGGCTTCGCGTTTGGTCAGACTCCAGCTCGACGGGTGGATTTTCAGCCGGAATGCTCGTGCTTGAGAGAGGAGATCGATTTTGGTCTCTTCGATCCTCCTGTGACAAAGCTCGTGGGGTTTGAGGGGGAGTACTCTTATCACGCGGCACATCGGCCACGCCCAAAGTTAGCACACTTGATTCTTGTTCAGATTGAGACGGCGGACGCTTAGCAGAATTTTCAGAGGAGATTTGGGGGGAATGCGGTTGCGAGGAGTGCGTAGAGGTAGGGTTTGATATGTGTGCAGCGGAGACAGTGCTCTTGGTGACGCTCGAAACAGGTAAGGATTGATGGCGACGGTCTTTTCTGCCAATGGCGGAGGTCTTGGGGAGCACAAAATTGCGCAGAGCTTGGGTGATTGATGCAATCCCACCCTCTGCCACGGAGGAACCATTCTCTGCGGCCTCGCCATCCCGATGTACCACCGACGCGGCAGAAGAGATCGGGGTAGGGGGCAAACGAGAGGCATCTGTTCCTGAGCCAGACCGAACGGCCTCACCGAGAGAATCCTCAGGTGGAGGGGTGGGTACTGCGGCGGGCTCCCTCTCCACCATGACCATAGAGCCTGACGAGGCAGAAGAAGATCTACTCGCGGGGATCCCTCTCTCGCTCTCAACGGAGACAAACGAAGTTTCTTGATCTTTTTCGGGGTATGTAGCAACTTGTGATGACCGGGACGGTGTATTCTGAGAAGGATCTCTACCCACCTGGCCAAAGTAGCTCATGATGCCTGGGAGTCGCTTGTCGTGGAAATCAGGTCGAGGGGTTTCGACGCCCGAAGGCGTGGGGGACCCCGAGCCGATCTGCTCATGGAGGTCATCGCGGGCGTCTTGCCTGGCACTACTACTCGGTGAGTCAGCAACGAGGTCCGATCAGATTTGCCACCAGCATTCAAACAGTACAGGTTCACTAAGCGTCCAGGCACAGGATTAGGATTCAAGTGGCGAAACATGGTTCGAGGCTGGCGAGAGCTGTCATGGGAGCTGGAGGGGTCACTGGTCCAGCAGGGAGGTGCAGTCAAGGCATCTCGACTTGAGAAAGTCGATCTGAAGGACTACACGCGGCGGAGAGGCTTGGTATAGAGTGGACAGATGCCCAACCATCCGTAGCCGACCCAAGGCAGCTCCGTCGCCTGGGGTAAGATGTAGAAGCTCAGGAGGGACGAAAGTCGGGACCTACTTTTGTGCCATGGCTTGTCTCAGTAGATCGGCAGCGTGGTGAGAGTTGACCCCAGTCTGCGCCATGATGGCGGACTAGCAATGAAATCCTCCTCTTCAAACCGTCTGGGACTGTGTCGGACAACAGCCGATGCAGAGGTGGCCGCACTCACCCGTCTGCGGAGGGACTGAAGCTCCTTGGATTTCCGGGTTTGGGTTCGAGGGGTGACGAAGGTGGTGCAGAAGTTGGAGAAAATCGGAAGGTGGTCGGCAAGGGTTGCAGAAGTTTTATCGGGGTTCGTGTCGAGACCAATGACTGGTCGAGGGGTTGCGGAGGCTGAGGTGTATGTTGGGAAATCGGGGGAGGACAAAGGGCCGTCAAGTGATGAAGTAAGAGTAAGAGCAGAAAGACAAGAGGAATGGCGATATAAGATGAGGTAGAAAATACGATCGATCCAGTTGGAGTTTTGGGAGGAAAATGTGGGCTATTATTGAGATGGGGGGGTTACAACAATCCGGAGGCGAGGTTTGAGGGAGTTCTGGCTGGTGGCAGAGTGGCAGAAGCAGACTAATAAAATGGTGGGATGACGACGGACTGAGGCAGAAGCAGAGTTTAGAGGCAGATTGTCAAATGGATAAGAGAGAAGAGAGACTGATTAGACAAGACAAGAGACAAGGGACAATAATGGGTGGGACGGGGCGAGGGACGAGAGAGAGCGAGAGAGGGACCAAAGGATGCGTTGAAGCGTGGGAGGTGGGAGGAGTAGCAGCAAGAGGAGGGGAAGCAAAGAAGCCCACCAAAGCAACAACATCATAAACCATTGAACGATACCGTAGGCAGTAATCCTAGGCGTGGTAGGGCAAGTTCTGGCGCCCGGAGGCATCAGTTGAGCTCACCGGTTGGGCACCTACGGCACAAGCCAGTATAATGCCCACTCGCCCGTGCTTCTAAGTTAGGTCCAAAAGCAGGTATTCCTCATGCCAAACACGGTCTGGAATGGCGACAATCACCGCCAACTGCCAACCGGACGCAGAGAATTCTAGGCCTGCCGCAGCGGGCGAGGGCGAAATTCCCACTAGATACCTAGGTAGGTAGCCACAGAAGCCCACCCATTTCTTATTTCTTGCATAACATAAGCCCACTCGCCCAGCGAACCACCGCCCGAGGGGCCCAGAAGCCCAACAGCCCATAACATTGGACACCCCTACGTCTCTCACGCTCCCCCTCAACCCTTGCCTCACCAACTACTAAACAAACCCATGATTTATTGGTTCAGCTCTCAAATGCAATCCTGATGACCATCAACGCACACAGGCTGCGGCTGAGGCATCTCCCTTCATTGAGTGTTCCCATAATCTCCTCGGACAAGGTACCCGCCGTCGAGGTTCTTGGACCATTGAAAAACAGAAGAAATGTTACCGGCCCGTCCGCGGCATTGCATCAATAATCTGGCACGGCCTATATGGTCGACGTCATCGTCCGTGTTCGGGTAGTCCGAGGTAGACAAAAAACCCCTCTGAGATTCTCCATGGCATGACAATTGAAAGCGACTGTGCCTCCTACCTAGCCTGACCTTCCAATTAAGGACGAGACATTACTCAGGGATAATTAAACACCTAGCTAGCAAAGTATCTAGGTATTTTGCCATCTAGTCACTCTTAAATTACACATAGTCCTTGATTTCTCGAGATATGCGTATCATTATTGCCACATGCTTGTCCAGAAATTCTGATAGGCAACCACATGTCTAGAGGGTGATGTGCAGGAGTTTAGGGCCAATCAGCGTCTCGGCATAATTAGCCATGTGTCCAGGTGCTTCCAGCTCTCGGCGAGACCTTGGACCTTGGTTTTTACGTGGGGCAAAAGTCTCTCTGCCTCAGTCTTGCACGCCTGGCCAACTAGAGAACCATACGCAGAGCCTCAATCCCTCATCCTTTTCCATTCTACTCATCCAAACCCCTTCGTTTGTAATTCTATTTACAGTATGGCTGAGTATCATATGACACAGAACGTGTGTGTCGATCGACACATCCGCAACATCTTGGATCTGACGGAGCAAGGCCCCGAACTTGTGTAATTGCAGGGATATCCTCAGCCTTCACAAGCCCCGAGGCTGAGCGATACTCCTGTACAACCAAACCATCGGTTCTGTAATACATTCGACCTGCCATCTTGCATGATGTGCAAATCATGTACTACGCAATGAGTACTCCTTCCGTTTAGTAGTCTATTTGCGTTGTACCACCGTAGCATCAGCAATATCAGACAAACGGGAGCCATATGAAAAACCTCTGACTTAGTAATAAAAGCGCTTCGTGAGTTTTCACTTCGCCTTAGTCAAGATGCCATATCACGTGATATAAGTCCGCCTGATCACAGCTCGCGTCGCGCACTCTGGGAGTTTCGCGTTATTATTTTGTCAACCTCAACTAATGCGATTATTGCGACTCCGTTATGGCAACTATCAACTCCTACCTTCCCGCCCTCATTTCGCTTCAATAGTGTTTTCGGGCTTGTAAAGGTTGTCGCATTATGGCTCGGCGTCCGCGCCTCGCAGCGCAGGCTGCTGCTGCTTCTATGCGTAAGATTGCACATGGACAGATCACCCTTCAACAAATCCTCTAATTGACTCTAGGCACTCCAATTCCCAATATTTCCGACAACGAAGATGAAGTCATGCCCGACGCCCCACCGACTGAGGCCGCAACACCACAAGAGGATGAAGACACCGAGCAGAATGACGCCGATGACGATGACGACAACGAGGAAAACGAAGTCGAAGATGAAGATGCGCCAACCCCATCACGAAGCTCTATACCTGTCTCTCGTTCAGCGACTCCTCGACGGCGAGGGCGTGGAGGTGGCCTAGGTTCTCGAGGTGGGCGAAGACGTTTGGGTCGTCCGCCCAAAAACAGACCCCCAGTAGCGTCCGAGGACGAAGCCAACGATGTGACCGAGACGAGTACTCCTAAAAGAAGAGGCGGTTTCCGTGGTCATCGCGGAGGCAGATGGGCCAAGTACAAAACAGGTTCCACGAGAAATTCCCATGCTCCACTCGACGCGGATGGTAACCCAATGACCATCGTCAATGACGAAGTAGAACTTGAAGACGATCCAGAGGGGGAACAAAAAGTCGACAAAGACGGCCAACTGCTGGAAGGTAGAGAGTACCGCGTGCGCACTTTTACAATCTTGGGACGAGACGACAGACTGTACATGTTGTCGACAGAACCAGCACGTTGCATTGGTTTCCGCGATTCCTACCTCTTCTTCCAGAAACACAAGCATCTGTACAAAATCATCATAGACGACGATGAGAAAAGAGACTTGATCGAACGCGATCTGATCCCTCACTCATACAAAGGTCGCGCCATCGGAGTGGTTACGGCGAGATCTGTGTTTCGCGAATTCGGCGCCAAGATCGTGATTGGCGGGAAAAAAGTACTTGACGACTACTATGCTCAAAAAGCCCGAGACCAAGGGGATGTCGAAGGCGAAATTGCTGTGCCAGAGGATCGCCTTCCTGGTCTAGGAGAACCGTACAACCGCAATCAGTATGTGGCTTGGCACGGAGCCAGCGCAGTGTATCACACAAATCTGCCCAGCGTTCCTGTTTTGAATGCAAAGGTGCAGGAAGCCAAGCGACGCAAGATCGTCATAACAAGTGACAACTGGATGTTGGAACATGCTCGAGAAGCAAGGTGAGTCAACGAAGTGATTTGGGAATTGAATAATTGCTAATTTTGATATCCAGCCGTTTCAACTCCTCTTTGGCGACGACTCGGACAGGAAACCTCGAGGGCGTCTACGACATACACACCAATCTCATGCAATGGCCAGCTCATACACAGCCAACTCATGCCCGGTGGGAGGTGGTGGTCGATAGCAAGCCACGAATCCCTAACTCTGATGATATTCCAACTAAGCTTCCTGCACTGGATCCAGTATATGGACGCAACTTTTGCATCCACGACGTATGTCTCGAGTCCGCGCCCGAATCTGCCCTGGGAAAGCCAGGAGCGGAGGCTGCTGACAATACCCTATCATCTATCCCTGCCGATATACTCGAGGAGCTCTCTCCAGAACAATTGGCTTCATTTCAGGAAGCTTGGGCTCGAGAAGCAAACTGGCGCAGCAAGTGGCGGACAGAACGCTTTGACGGTCTCAGGGCATATATTCCTGCTTCGGTAGAGTGGTTCCCGAAATGATCTTGTCCTGCTTCGCCATCGAGGTGTCTATGATATGGACTTGATGGCGCCCATCACTCTTACTTCACATACACATTGGCCGTCAGCATGGATTTCATTCTCGAGAGCTACTGAGTTGCTCAAGATGCCTGGTTCCGGATCGTCACACGGCTGCAATCAACAGACTGTTGGCCTCTGGTCCCTACGACCCCTAAGCTCGACGGTATGATTTCCTGGAGCCTTCGAGGCTCACTACGGTACAAACCACTCCAGAATCTACGGACCAAGGACCAAAAAGCCGAGGCGTATGGAGATCGAATGTCATCATTCCCCACACTATCCATGACCACCACAAGTCTATACCCTGTCCAATATCGGGCAGGTAGACTTTCCATTCGGAATGAGCACATCCGGCTTTCGCCTACCCCGGGGTATGTCTCCTCCAGCAAGACATGGTATATCCATCACGAGCAGTATGAAGGACCTCGGCTTGAGAAATTGCAAAGTACGTACGGCACATCCACGAAGACATGCAAAGCTATGGTCCAAACAGGCTGCTGCTTGGAGCACCAGTAGTAGAACGACGACAAGCACCTTGACCATGCAGCACATACGGATATGATTCGCACCGGGTGCGGGTGACAGTGACGAGCCACACAAAGTTTTGGAGAGTTCCAATACCTTGATGGTTCAACAGCATGGCTGGACCCGGTCCTCGGCGCGAAGGAGGAGAACTTTGACATACCTCCAACATCATTGGCTCGGATGGGATTCAAGTACTCCGTAGGGTCGATAATCGTGTGCTAAAAACTTGTAACAAAGTAGACCTTTTGTTGCTTGTTGAACGGCCCGCCAATTACTACTACTGGTGTTTGTTGCTAAACTTTTCTCGTTGCTTTCTGGATGCATCTGTGCGAGCGAGCAGGTAGTCAGTTCCGTAGCACCGCTGACCACGTTGAATTTTTTCATTCCCTGTGGGAACCCCACCGCTCATCTCTTCCCCATATTGGATGGATGGATGGATTATCTTTGTTGGCTCGGACTGGACTCGACGAAATGACCCAACAGCAAGCACCATAATTTGCTTCTCTTCCTTCCCTTCCCTTCCCTTCCCTTCCCTCCTCCCCGCTTAATTCTCGAAAACGGGCAAAGGTCTAGCATCCACCGGGAAACCCAACCCCAGAGATTGGAAATCAATCAACTACTCCGTAGTTGATTTTGTTATTGCTGGATTCCGATGCTCCGATATAGAATTGCGTCTTCTTCGTAAATGTGGTCCTTTTCAGGGTCACGGTCTCACAACTACTCCGTACATCTTTATCCTAGCTTCCTTGGCCTACTCCTCCTACAGGATTTCTCCTAGCCACGGAGATATGTACTGTTGGAATCTAGATATCGAGAGAACATGCGAGTATGCATAACAACTACTGCGCTGGCTTGGTCTCGACTTGCCATGTGGGACGAAGGCCCTCAACGGCGCATGACCAATAGACTTTGCCAGAGGTACGTACCTGCTAGCAGCAAAGAGGTAGATACTCCGCACTACCACGTACAGTACTCCGTAGGTAGACACCCTAGGTACCTAGCTACACACTGACTACCCTGTTACCCCTCGTGCCCCTACATCTTAGGCCTCTTTCTCCCTCCTTAACATGCTAAACCTGCATGTACGCGCAACCCGCCCCCCGGCCCATGGCCGTGGCCATGTGCCCAACGCGCTACCTTACCCACGTTGATGTACATACTGTCTCCGTACATATCTCATGAACGAATCGCCATGCATTCCAATGAGCAAAGAGCTCCATAACTCCAGAATCAATAATGGTCATTGAAAACTCGCTTGTTCATGTCCACTACGGAGTACGTACTTGCGGGATCCGGGCTCCATACCTACGGCTAGGTGCTGTCAGGAAGGATTTGCAATATCATTTCGACCAGTCTCGTACCCTTTTGACTTTCATCACCTGCAGTAACTTTGACGTTGGTTTCACCCTTGGTTTTGTTGGATAACCTAGGGTACTAACCCTTACGCACTAAGTAGTGACGCGCACCATTTGTGACGGGGAGACCTACTTGAGACACGGCTTGTGGTTCTGGAGTGGTATTTGGATTATGTACCTAGGTACATACATAGCCACCTAAGGTAGGTAGGTACTAGGTGAAATACCAAAGTAGGTAACCACGATTTCGTTGAAGCGGTGACGAAAGTCTGGTCGGGTTTGTAGGAAAGGTACATAGCCTTCCCCTCCATCGGCCCCCGCTCCTTTCCCCCAAATCGGAGTTCAATCGGGGCCAAAAGACAAGTAAAGAATTGGCTGCGGTCAGGGTCACTCACATGCACAACTGACTACCTACTTTAGGTACGTACTAATAAGTACCTACTGTATTGCTATAATATATTGGACCTTCAGGTATCACGCAGGTGCTACCTACCTAGGAAACAAAAGCCACCCATAGCACCTACTATTACCAGCACTGCTTAGCTCGATCTCACTCACGTTAGGTCTCATAGGCTGTTGTCAGCAACTACATCATAGTTATTATTACTCCCGGGCATACCGCCTCATTGCATTTATTAGCTAATACTTTGATGGAAGCCTTCTGCGCCCGAGACGAGTGTTCGTTGCTATATTTGTCCCCTGTATGCCTTGAGAACTCAAGACGTGGCCACACATGTCCTGATGACGATCGTTGGTCGTTCATCGGGAGCCGTGGTCTCTTCTCATTGGATTCTACCTGTAATGGTTGGATAATTTGTTCACTCTCCGTACGCACGACACGGCATGTTAGGCTTGTAAAAGAAAAGGGGGGCGATGGCCGGGACAGTGGGGGCGTCATGGATGCCATGCGGATACTGATGGATGGACACCACGGGGCACGGACGCAGTGGTCGTGCACGCACTTTAATCAACGGGCACAAATTTACTACTCCCAGCTCCAGTCTGTCCAGGCATTGAATTGAATTATCCGGCTGGTGGGGGTGGTGCTACTTGGACGGCTAGAAATATCTCATCTTGGGGACACCTAGGTAGGTGTTGCCGATGAGAGGCAAAATGTAGGTGGCACAAACAGTGCACATTAGGCAGTTTGAACAGCTGAGGTAACAACAGTAAACTACCTGCGAAGGAATTCGCCGACTAGCGGCCAAGCAAGCCAATGGAAGGACACACTCTACAATGATTGCAACCTGTAGAACTGTGATGTCTGCGTGACCATCTGCCCACCGATCATGTGCAATCATACGAATTGGAGCCTAGAGGTGGCGGCAAGCTACGATGCACCAAGGTCGTGAGTGATGATTCGACTCAACTCGTCTTTCTTTAGGAGGCAGAGCAGAAGTATGGATCCCCTGCGCACGGTGTGAAGAGGGAACTGCAGTCTGCAGGTGGATGGAGTCATACCATCTCTGTCTTCTGTCTTGGGGTCTTGGATTGATGTGACATGCCCTAATGGAATTTGCGTCAACGGCGCTTGAGGGGTTTGAGAACTTCCAGGCGATAGGACGTATGGGTTAGTCAGACCTGTGTCGTTATGAAGCCCGCCCGTAGCGAGTACGATATTAGATACACCTCATAGTAAGCAAGATGCCGTAGATCGCCTTCTGGCTTGACATCATTGCTGTATGTTGCGTATGTAATACATCACGTAGAGTTATGTATGGCCTTATAATGCAAGATCCGGATCGACGACGCAGAGCACAACTGTCATGATGGCGTGGTAGGAGGCGAATTATGGCAAATCATGTCTTGGAGCCACGGAGTCTTTAGGCTGCGAAGCCCAGAACTGGAAACTCTCGTCACCAATTTCTCAGCACCTCGAACGACAGGAATGATCCCAACTTTAGGGCTCAGGGCGACTCAATTTAGTGGAATGCCAAGCTTGTCGTCGGCCGGACCGGAGGGCATTGCAAACTTCTGGATTGGTTGAATTTTCGTTGAACCACTGAACCTGTCGGTCGGTGCAGAATTAACCACCCAGGCACCAAGACACCCAGGGTCGCCAGTCCATATAGGTACGCGCCATTAATTATTGATGCATAAAGTAGGAGGCGAGGTAATAATAACCCTTATTATCATCGTCTTAGGCGCCATTCGCTGCAGCTTGCAGTCCTCTAGTACTTGCGTCAAATTCTATGTTCACGTGCATCTCGTAGAGGGACCTGATCCTATGCATAGTGGGTAAAATTTTCAGTGTCGATGACATATGCGCTAGGTGGATATGGCCCTGGGTTATGCCGCCCTTCGGAAGAGTAAGACCCTGAACTTCAACCTCCATTGAAGCCAAGTGGCTCAGTTTTGCCCTGGAGAGTCGATCCAAGTTCACCTGAAATGTCCTGCCACTTCAGTCTGCCCGCCACTGAAGTTTCTGCCTCGTAGCCACTACTGTCCTTCTTATTGTGCAAGCTTTTATGTAGAGGCAATTAAACCCATATGGTCTACCTATGTACGGCCTCTTCAAGCTTCCATCCTGTTGAGCCGGGACCGCGAATCGTGCCCAAGAAGGCTTTCGAGAGAGCGAGGTGGCCACTGTGCCTTCTCTACCTCTTTCAGTACGCTTTTGCTGCACGACGCCCCTCGTCCACTGCATGCGCATCCATTTCCACAATTCCCCGATACCAAGGCGCGAGCCAGTGAAACGGCCAATGCCAATTGGACCCTAGCGGGTGGCACTGGCAGTTGGGCTGGCTTTCCCACCCCGAAGGGTCAGACAGCCTACAGGCTCAGCCAACAAGGCCACTCGTCCTGTTCGCTGGGTAATGGCGCTGATCCACCCTGCACCCAGCAAGCCAGGTCCCCTGTCTTGCCTGTCAAGCCATTTCGCGCCTTCGCCTCCGCCTTAGGCCGGTTTGGGTTGACGGGTTCATCATCACTCCCTATTCTGCCCTTGTAGCCTGGACCTAACCACTCTGCCAGTGCTAGACCCTTTCACCGCGCCCACCCACACCCACACCCGCTGACGCTTCAATTCCCACTCACTACTGCTACTACTGGCTGCAGAGACTCGGGTTGTGAGCAAACCCAGACCATCATCGACCAGTGACCACCGTTTGTTACCACGCTGCCATGCCTCTGCCCACTGCCCACCCACTCGCTCGCCTTCCTCCCTCAACCCAACTTTTTCACTCCCAGTCACCCAGTGCTAGGTAACGGTCACCCGCGGCCGAAAGACTTGTCATAGTGCTAATACTATTCACTCCTTCAACTTTCCCTTTCAACCTCTTCCTGTCTTGTCTTCTCATCATTCCTACCTCACTTCCCTCTCCCCTCCCATCCAAATCTCCTCTCTCAATCCATCTTTGCATTTGTTCATCCTCATCATTGACCTCAAGTCGGATATCGTTGGTGTCAGCCACAGCTGCTGTTCTCGGCGCTGTCGCAGCTTTCTGCACCCAGCCTACAGGTGGTAATTTCGGGCCCGAACCCACTCCTGCCTCCCAAGTGACGACTCCTTGCGGTCAGCATTGATTGCCACAATTTCCCACCGCACTACCGTCGCCAGGCTACCGAATTCGCCTCGCTTCGCCATAACATTTCACCCCCCGTCGCCCAGGCACCGTTGGTGGCCAATTTGGTTTCACTTCCACCCAAGGTCCACATACACTTGCGCGGCACGAGCACCCTCAATTCTTCTCGACTTGTCGTGCTGTGTGCTGTAGCCTCCTTCTTTTCAAGGCTCCAGGCTATTCTTGGTGGCTGTCTTATCAAAATCGCCTTTTGACCAGGTTGCTAGAACGCCTCCCGGGACCCTTTCGGCTCCAACGTTATCACCACAAAATATCGTCGTCCGCGATTTCACGCATTCCACCAAACGCGACCTCACCGTTTCTCTTTGCTCAAGAGTCAGTGCGCTTCTAGGTGACACTGTTTGGTACGTTGGCTCCCGTCTGAGTAGTCTGCCGTTCGCAAACACGCAGCAGCCGTGTCTATGACCTGAACATTCCCTGACTACCAGCCTTTTCCTTCATCACATTCTAAGTCATATTCTCTGCAGGCTTCCTTCGGACCACCGTGCCCAAGATTCCAGACCTTGAACAGCAAACCACGACAACCAGGTTCTGCACCTGACGAGCTTTTCACTAAGTCTCGTCGACCCATCATTTTACTGAGGAATTGTCTTACCTAAACATTTCGTCTCGACCTTTTATTCATCACGTCACATCGCTTCCAAAAATCAACCGCTCTCACCAACGCCACTAAACTTGTATACCTGTCCAACGATCTCAACTGTCGGAACTATTGTTTGACAGTCTCAAACCATACACCCTATGCTTGGGAATTGAGATTTGCTTTAAGATCAGCTACAGCTCGGCTTCAGAGCCTCTGGCCTGAGCCGCTGACAGCGGAAGCAGAGGTACGATCTTACAATCTTCAAGCCTTGTTTTTGGACGCTTCTGACTGATTTGTACAGAGCTGTGTGCTGTCTGCTCTGTCCACCTCCGACCAAACATGCCTTCTTACCACAGCTGGGGCCCAAATGGCCAACATTCTCGACTTCCTCTGACCCCGCCAGAATATGCACCCTACCTCACTCCCATGAGCGCTACATCTGACCAAGGGTATTATCAATCTCAGAATTACAACCCCCGGCGATCTTTGTCGACACGCGAGTACAATGACAGATATCATCAGCCAACCGGGTATGCTGCCCAGCAGCCGTTGACATCCCACATGTCAAGATATGGCCAAGGTCGTCTATCTCAAGAATATCCATACAATCGACCATACTCTGCTACAACTCAATACCAGTTCGGCGCTGTCACTGCCCCCATTCTACCGCCCATCCGTGTCAACGAGCCTATGGATTTCACCAACCAATTCTCCGCGCCTCTCGTTGATCCCAAACCAAAGGAAGAGAAGCCAACCGGTGGAGTTGCTCAGCATCTAGATTACGACATGGACCTGATGTCTAGCTTTGTTGCCGAGATGTCACAGAAACTGTAAGTTGACACTTCTGACCACCTTCAGTACATTTGCTAACCTCTCTCAGCGTCTCGCCAGAAACTGTTCCCACTCCTCAGTTTCGGAAGTACGTATCGCAGATACTGTCATCTACTCGCCTCCCTAGCTCGACCATAATGTTGGGCTTGTTCTACCTGGCCTCCAGGATGAAGCAGCTCAATGAAAGTGGACAAGCGAGTCCATCGTCTGGGACCGTCTACCGGATGTTGACCACCGCTCTGCTACTGGGCAGCAAGTTCCTCGACGACAACACCTTCCAGAACCGATCGTGGGCCGAAGTGAGCAGCATTCCTGTACATGAGCTCAACTCAATGGAATTGATTTGGCTTACTGCATTCGACTGGGAGATTCACGGCATGATGTACGACGAAGAGGAAGGCTTCTTCATGTGGATTGAGCACTGGCGTGCATATGAAGACAAGGCCAAGGCCAAACTTGCTAAGGTCAAGGAAATGCACAAATTGGCTCCTATCGAGACCAGTGTCCGACGCAGCCATTCCGTCACTCATCAACCACTGATGATGTCCCCCGAAGGACCTATTCCTCCCCAGTACCAACAAGGCTCTCAATACGATACTCGCTGGGTCAGGCCTTATATTTCAGAGTACTCGCCCGAATCTGCGCCACACAGCGGGCCCTCGACCCCAGACTACTACCCTCCATCGTGGTCTTTGAACGCCTCGGGTCCAGTATATGGTCGGCAACCGTTCCAGTCAAACACGCCGTCAGCGTACTCGACTCAGCGTACCCATGTTCCAACATATACCCCGAGTTACCACTACCCCAACAGTCTCACACCCACGTCCTGGATGACACATGGACCGAACTGCAATTGTTCCCTGCATGCTAAACAGGATTACTACTTCAGCCACACCGGCTATCCCATGCAGACCGTTGTGGGTTGAGCGTTCTTAACGTTCCAGCGTTTCAGCGACTTTTAAAATCAGCCCAAAAGTTACTGAGTGGCGTCTTATTTTTCAATGGTGTCCTTGACCATTACGAAGCACTTGATGTGCACTACCAGCAGACATTGAACGTGACATTGTGCCTGGCTCCAGATCCAGGCTGTCACCAGCACATGAAAACGACTAGGAGCTTGTCTAATGGCGGTATTATCTTTACGACTTTTTATGATGTGCACTTTTCAGTCTCTCGCTTTTCAGCATTTACACAGCGATAAACCTTTTCCATGATAGAGTGGTTTCTCTTTCATCACATTATTCACGATGGGTGGCTGGCGCGGTCACGGAGCGGTCACCGGAGGGAAAAGTCCGAAAAAAGTTTTGCGACAGCAGAAAATTTCAGTCGGTTGGAGTTAGGGCAATGGCAGTCGGTCAGGTCAGGTTACGGATTTTCGCAACATCTTGGTTTCTTCCACACTTTGCTTTGCTTTACGGACCTTGCTTTCGCTGGATGTTGGCAATGATGGCGGGTGGGGCTTTTCATTGTCAGCGTTTATGCAGCGGTGACGCAGCCCATGCGGCTTCTCCTGTCAAGCAACGGTCGTGTTTTCCAATTCTGTAATTAACTATTCTATGATGAACGTGGTGGTGGCGACGAAGTCAGACGGTGGCAGTGGCGCGGGTATCTTGGCTGATCGGGCAGAAGTGTCATGATACAGATCAAGATTGGAGCAGGCGACTGATTGCAGTCTGGATTCACGTCTTTTCTTTGTTGCAGACCTTGACTGAGGATGGACGAGGTTAATGATTCGGATGGGATCCTTATACCCCTGATAGATCTAGCGATGCTTCACCTTCGCTGTGTCTCTTTTAGAGCAATACTAACAAAAGACCACAATATTTGTTCTTGAATGTTTGTGCACTTGTAGTCTATGTGAATCAATCTGCATTGGAGGGAGTCATATTATCTGATTTCGTCGCAAGGTCGATCTGTGGTGTGGTGAACACTCGTTAAATCTGAAGTGTCAGACAGTGATTTTTGAGAGTTCTTTAACAAAACCATGCAGCAACCACACGAGGTCTTCGGCACTAACTAACAACATGTGATCTGTCTGACAATTTTATCTCCCACATTTTTCAACGGGCACTGTGTGATCCCCCACTCCATCTTGGGCCGTTGAAGTGTCCAAGACACACGAGCTTGACGACACACCATTTCGACCAACCAAGAATTAAGGGTTTGGTTGAACCTGACTTTATGTTAACAAAGTCGACGCCAGGGTCCTACCGTCGCCATCTCATCTGAGAGAACTGAGCGCTGTCGAAACTCCCAGAATGTGAATCAGGTAATTCATATCCAACGTCATTGATCTACCTCGTTCCCGACATGGCGGGCAAAAAGAAAGCAAAATCTGCCGAGCACAAAGCACAAAAAGCAGCGAAGCAATCCAAAAAGACGGCCAAGGGCGAAAAGAAAACCAAAGCCAAAGTTGCAGCAGTAAACGACGACTCCGACGCCGACGATGTCGATCTCGATGCCGTTCTCGCCGCATATGCCGAGGAGCAAGCCAAATTTCTCAAAATCACTGAAACAGCGTGTGGACCTCCATCAGCCCGATCATCTAGTACATTAGTGGCATCTCCCTCAAACCGGAACGAACTATTCATCTTTGGCGGGGAATATCACGACGGAAGCAGCGCTTCCTTCTACAACGACCTATTTGTCTACCAGATCGACAAAGGCGAATGGCGCCAGGTCGTCTCGGGAAACACACCTCTCCCCCGAAGTGGCCATGCCTGCTGTCGTGGAGGCAACACTGGAGGCATCTACATCTGCGGTGGCGAATTCTCGTCGCCCAAACAGAATCAATTCTACCATTACCACGATTTCTGGCATCTTGATCCAGATACCCGAGAATGGACCAAGATCGAACCTAAGGGGAAAGGCAAGAATCCGCCTGCGCGGAGCGGACACCGTATGACTTACTTCAAGAACTACATCATCCTGTTTGGCGGCTTTCAAGACACCTCGCAGCAGACAAAGTATCTCAACGACACGTGGATCTTTGACTGTAAGGAGAATGTCTGGCATGAGATGAAATTAGCTCCTGCGGCGCAGAAACCCGACCCCAGGTCGTCATTCAGTCTCTTACCTCACGAATCCGGTGCAGTTCTTTGCGGTGGCTACTCCAGAGTCAAAGCCACCGCCAACACAAACAAGCAAGGAAAAGGCGGTGCCGCGGCGGCGGGGGCAGCCGTCCGAAATATCCTCAAACCCATGGTCCACCAAGACACATGGTTCCTTCGAATCAACATCCCACCTCCAGAATCTCCATCCGGAACTCCCCCCACCATTCGATGGGAACGACGCAAACGACCCGCCAACACACCCAACCCTCCACGAGCAGGTGCAACCATGGCCTACCATAAAGGACGAGGAGTCATGTTCGGAGGCGTGCACGACGTAGAAGACAGCGAGGAAGGAATCGACAGCGAATTCTTCAACGAACTCTACATCTGGAATATCGACCGCAATCGATTCTTCCCCTTGACACTCCGTCGACCTAAACAAGGTGCTGCTGGTGGAGGAGGAGCCGGAGGAGGAAGTAAGAAGCAAAGTCAAGCTGGTGGTCGCGCACGTGATCGTGGAAAAGCCGATGAAGAGGAATTACTTCGTAACCTCGCGGCTCTACAGACAAAAGGATCGATTTCTGCGGCGGATGAGATTCAACTCGATCGAGATGCTGGTGATGAACAACGGCAGGTTGAAGAGGATGAACCCTCGAAGCGGGAATTAATCGTTCGGTTTGAAATGCCACACAATCGATTTAATGCGCAATTGACAGTTCAAGACGATGTTCTGTACATCTATGGCGGGACATTGGAAAAGAGAGATATTGAAATCACGTTTACGGATCTATACAGCATTGATCTGGGCAAACTTGACGGCGTTCGAGAACAATTCTACATCGAACCTATCAATTGGAATGTGACTACTACGCAAGATAGTGATGAGGAAATGGACGACGATGATGACGATGACGATGACGACGACGAAGATGAGGATAACAGTGATGAAGACATGGACGAAAAAGATGCAATCAACAGCGACAAAATGTACGTTGATACACCGCCGTCGTCAGTCGCCGGTTCTACTACGGCTGCTGCCGGAGCTTCCGCCATGGTGGTGGAAACCGAACCCGAAACAAGTGCAAAACAAGACTCACGACCATTCCCACGAGCATTTGAATCATTACGTGAATTCTACGCACGTACATCAGAAGATTGGCAACGCTTGGTAATGGAGACTCCCATTGCAGCTCGGTCTGGTGGTGTGGGTTTGAGTTCGGGGGCTGATCAGTCGGTCAAGGAGATTCGAAAAATGGCGTTTGATATGGCGGAGGAGAGATGGTGGGATTGTCGCGAGGAGGTCAGGGTTCTCGAAGATGAGCAGGAGGCCGCGGGGATTGGTGAGGTGGTTAATATGGCGGATCGAGGTGAAGCTGCAGGCGGTGCTGGTACTGCTGGTGGTGGTGGTGGTGGTGGTGGTGGGAGGAGACGGTGATGTTGAGATTGTTCATATATCATATCATATCATATCATATCATATCATCTCATCTCATACTCGGATCAAGAGGAAAAGCTATGGCTGGATTAGATGCAAGGATGGATCAATCAATCTATCGTATCATCTCTCAAAGCCCACAAATTCTTCATAACATCCGCCGTCTTTGACCTCACACCATCATGATAAATCATATTCGTTTGATATGTCTTGGTGCCCTTGACAATACCCGCCGTCTCTAATGAAAACCCCAGATCCACATACATGTCTTCGGTATAAACAGCAGCATAGACCGGAACAGAGTTTCTAGACAATTGATCTAGATCATATAAATCAGGCCAATCAGATCGATGTTCGAGAATTTGAGCGACTTCTTTGAGAGACTGAAGTTCGGCGTAGTCGTCAAATGCGCTTTTGAAGACCTGTTCGCCTGTGAAATGGACCGGTGTGACTTTATCTTTGTCTTTGCCGTTGTTGTCGTCGTTGTTAACGCTTTTGGCGTTTTCTTCCGCCACAACACGGTCGAATACCCACTCGGAGGACTCGCCTTGGGTATATAAACTTCCGTGCAACAAAGCATAGATGACATGTTGATCGAAAGCGGGAGACAAAGCCTCGACATCTGCGAGTGTAGGGCGGGTCAGGAAATCAAATACATCGAGATCATTCGCTGCACGCTGCACCAGGTCATGAACACGATCGAATCCACCGTGTGCGCCGAATGAGATTCCTGTACTGAGGAATCGTGCCCTCGACAGAGGTACGCCGCTAGGGAGGAAGGGTTTCTTCTCGTCCAGTAATCGAACTATGCGATCAACTCGCTCGACGTCTTCGCTGTACTTGTCGAAGTATTTCTTATTGCGGTCTGTGACTTGTCGATATAGGCGTCGGATCGTCTCGTCTGGTTTACGCTGTGAAACGGGGCCTAGACCGCCGAGAGTGAATACTTCGCGTAATCCTTCTGGGTGGAGGGATAGGTAGCTCAGGGATACAAATCCACCGTAGGATTGGCCCATGATGGACCATTGTTTCTGGTCTTCGGGATGGTCGGCTGTTAGGGTTAGGCGGATGGCCTCGAGATCCCTGACGGCGTTGTCGGCGCGGAAATGGGTGAGATAGTCGGCTTGAGATCGGGCGGAGCCTTTTAATGCTAGGGTTGCGGATGTGACGGTGTTCGACTGGCCCATGCCTCGATGGTCGAATGAGAGGAACTGTGAGTTATGGTTGGTTGATTGGGCTTATTCTCTTTTCTCTTGGTTCGGTTCTTTGATTGTCTAGTGACATGACAGACGGGAGAGGGAGATAGGGGATTGGGGGAAAGCTATCGGACTAAAAGTGCAACATACCTTATACCCCTTCTGAATGACATCCTGAGCAACAGGACTATCCTGTGGTCTAGGACCTCCAAATCCTGGACCACCAGTAATATAGACAAACCAAGGTAAAGTCTCTGGGTCCTTTTTGGTGGTAGATTTCGGGGCAGCAGGTTTGTCGAACTTTTCTGCACTTCGACAGAACAACCTCAGTCGTTCCCCTTCAGGCTTGGCGTGGTCGAGTGGAACTGAGAAGAACAATTCGGTCACAAGAAGTTTTCCGGGGACTTGATGAGTTTGTGATGATAAGAGTTTGGCGGGTTGAATGGGGATTTTGAGCATTGGTGGCATGGTGAAATATTAGGAGAGATAGGTACCTAGTAGTGTAAGAGGTGGGTGGGGATTGATTGGGGTTGGCAGAAAGATCGATAGGATCAAAGATTCATTGGTCAAGAGAGAAGTGAGATGTGAGATGTGAGATGTAGATTCTAATTTGGCTGCTGTGGTTGTGGAAGAAATGTTGGAAATGTCAGGAAAGTGAGAAGGAGAAGAAGACGAAGGAGACGAGGCTGACAATCCCCGCCATGACTAAAGGAGATGAAAGGAGACGAGGCTGTCGAGGATTCACTGTCATAACGCCGTTGGACTACAGCCTCGTTCCCTGTGTCAACCATCTTTCTAAGCCATGGAAACACAGTCATAAAAACACAAAGACTACATGATCATTCATTCTTTTCATTCTACTCTATTCTACCTTGGTTGCCTTTGCCCTAAATCGGTCTTTAATCTTGACCACCAAGCCTTTGATAGGTTTGACCAGTGTCTTCAGACGACCATCCCCGACTTCATCTACCGCCACCAAGCGCCTAACCAGGAGATTGTAGATACTTCCAAAGGCTAGAGCCATCACTGTACTCGTCAAGATGATGACATTATACGGCATGCTGAAATCCGGCGTGGGGAGAGGTAAGAGGAGGCTGGTGGTTCGGATATATACATCATTGAACACACCACCTTGACCATGATCGGCCAAAACCCTGATCACCGCAGGGGCGACATTGAATCCTCGGTTGGCATCTGGGGGATACTCGGTATATCGGAGGATTGCTTTTTCAAAGTCATAGGTCAGCATGACAGTGCTGGAGGGCGGTACAGACATGACCAATTCGAGTTGCGTGCCTCTCTTGCGGTCAACTGCTGGTCGATAGTACATGTCTTTGATGATGGATTCGTTGGATTCGGCACTATTGTGCGTCATCTGTGCTTTGAGGGTGTGCACATAAGGTCGCAGGAACCATGGTAGACTTTCGAAGTAGACAAAGTCGACGACGTGGGTCGGCGACGGATTGGTGATGATGATTCTCATCCCTCCTTGAGCTGCTCCGTGACCAGTAATGGTCCTTTCCACTCTCAACAACTCCGGGTCAAGTTCATGTCGAGTGTCTAATCCTTGCTGTGGCAATTCCAGGTCAAAGGCTTCCTTTGGTATGACTTGATAACATCTTCTCTCAGCCTCGCCTGGCGGAGATTTGCTCTCGAATCCACTGGCACCAATAAACACCATTCGATCATGTGGAACATTGAGACAGACGGATTTGGCTTCCGGTCCCTCTTCTTCGGCAAGGGGACAGGCACCTGCCATCGTCCTCCCAAAAACGTCCTTTAACGACCATGCCATGTCGTCCGTCATATCCTTGGGATAGCAAGTGTCGTGAGAATGGTATGGTTTTGTCTCATCGCAGATCAATTGGTCGTTGGGGACGGGTCGAGGGATGGGGTTATCTCTAGGTCTCTTAGACCTTTCAATGTCGAGAACCACATCAATGGTCTGGTCGATTTCAATCTGACAGTGACCAGGTCCTAGATCACACTTTGGTCTCACGTCGATTGACATGCTTTGCCAGGAGGCATCAAAGACCTTGTGACCATCCAACAAGCTAGATATTCCAGCCTTGCCTTTACAAGGCAGCAGCTTGAGGAACGGAGTCAAGTTCTCCGTACAGACGACTTCTCCAGGAAGGACGCCATGTAGCAGATGAAGATTGTGACCCTGTGCTGGATATGTCGCTACACTCTCAAAACTCCGGACAGGTTTGGTGGTCCTGGTAGAGTCGATGAAGTTGATGGACGCACAAAACAAGCCGGAAAGCGACTGGGTCAATTTCGACCATTTTTGAAAAGCCTCTTCTTCGGTGGCGGCATTGATCCAAGCCCATAACTCGACTCCTGTGCCGCCTTCCTTGAAACCATTCCAAGGTCTGGCACCCCAAGTCTCAGGGTCCCATCTCCCGGTGGTGAATCTCAAATGTAATTCTTTGGTGTCTGCATGTTTTAACGCCTGACCTAGAGACCGGGGGAAGTATCTGTAGTTCTGAGCTTCGTAGTCTTGAAGGGTCTCATTACTGCGGAAGTCGAAAGAGGCGAGGAGGGATCCGAGAGGAAGAGGAGTGAGGGTCAACTGTTCAAAGTAGTCGGTCGCACGGGCAGTCAAGGCGAAGATGGCGACGAGTAAGAAAAAAAACAAAGACCGGGACATGCCGGTGTCATCGCAGACAGTCTGCCAGCATTTCTCGAGGGTGAAGGAGAGACAGATGATGATGTCTGCGAAGTGAGGCCGAATGACCGCAGTTGGAGACAAAAGACACGGTTTGAGGACTTGAGGGTGCAGTTAAGCGCGAGTTATTTGTCTGACTTCTATTATTCTGGAGGCGACTACATAAACATGGGGAAATCAGAGCAGAAGCCCTAGTCTGACCATTATTAATAAGAAACCCAAATTAGACGCCCGCGGATGCATCCCACGTCTTCTTCTTTGCGTCGCTTCTGCAATTGCGGAGTATAGACGATCATTCATTCTTTTATTTATTCATCCACACTAACACTCACACTCACACTCACTCCACATCTACCTTCCTTCTTATCCAAGACATATCGACACCGCCGACCAAGGGCATAGCCCTCAGTCTCTTAGTCTCTCAATCCCTCCCACATCCTCTCTCGCTCTGCCACCTCTCCCATCCCATCCAACACCCTCGAAAAAGCGCTTCATTAGACCTCCAAGGACCCAGACTCAGACCCAGACTCAGACCCAGACTCAGACCCAAAACACAACCTGACCCTACCGAAACCCAACAAGAAAGGCGTCCGCAACCACCGCCGCAACCATGGCCGCCGAACAGCGCAAACTTCTCGAAAAATTAATGGGCGACCAATACCACGGGCCCGGCGGCGGATCCAAAACCGCCAACCTCACACTCACATCACCCGGTGTATGCCGCTCCTACCTGGCCGGAACCTGCCCGCACGATCTCTTCACCAACACCAAACAAGACCTCGGCCCATGCCCCAAAGCCCATCCTGAACTCCTGAAAATCGAGTACGAAAACCTGAGTGCCGCTGAAAAACAAAAGCATGGCTTCGACTACGACTATGTACGCGACATGCAGAAATACATCGACGACTGTAACCGACGAATCGACCAAGCGCAACGTCGCCTGGAAAAAACACCGGATGAAATCCGTCAAACTAATGAACTTTTACGCACGATTTCGGATTTATCTAAGACGATCAATACGGGATTACTCGAAGTGGCGTGTCTAGGGGAATCGGGGAGTGTGAGTTTGGCGACGACCGAGTTTTATAAAGTTCGGACGGCCAAGGTTGCGAAGGAACAGGCGGAGAGGGATTTGAAGAGTCTGTCGGATACGAGTGGGCCGTCGGGGCATCAGAAATTGCAGGTTTGTGATGTCTGTGGAGCGTATTTGTCACGCTTGGATAATGATAGGAGGTTGGCGGATCATTTCTACGGCAAGATGCATTTGGGTTATGCGCAGATGAGGAAGACGTATGAGGCGCTGCAGAAGGAGTTGAAGGGGAGGCCACCGCCGATTAGGCAGGGGCCGGAGGATGGTGGTTCGGGGACTCAAAGGGGAGAGGGGGGAAGGTATGATGATGGTGGATATGGTGATGGTCCTGGAGGTGGTGGTGGGTGGGGTGGAAGAGGAGGAGGGGGTGGAGGATATGGTGGGAGAGGGTATGGGAGAGGTGGTGGTAGTGGAGGAGGCGGGTATCGTGGTGGACGGGGGAGAGGGAGGTGGTGATGATCATCATCATCATCCAGATTCCCTATCCCTCCCCTATTTCTATCATGATCAAAATTCGTTGATACCCAGCCATTGCATAGCGAAGGAGTTCAGAAAGGGATGACTCGAGCCATAAGAGGCTCAGTTGATACAGTAATCGGTTCATTATTGTCATTCCCATTGCGGATGGTCTCGATGGACCATGATGCTCGTCATGTCATGTACTGATATGCATATGTATGTGCTTCTTTTTCCCATGTCCTTTGTCAAAAACAAATAACCATCCAATGCCGCGTTAAAATCCAAAAGTCCACATGCTATGCTTTGATTGAAGATCCTCGACAAGACGTCGCTCCAACGCGAGGACAGAATGCAATATCAGTCACACACAAATCTGCCTGCGTCACCATTACCGTACGCACACATAGCCTGGAACTTGGTCAACTCTGCACACTCGCAGCAGCTTCGCTCGATTCGACTTGTTCGGCCCAGCTTCCGCCTCCACCACCCTCTCCTGGTGATTGCAGACCATCAGTGGCCCATCGTCTCGGGTTAGGCGTATCCTTGGTGGCAGTGGCAGGAGTCTCTTTCGCGACTCGAGGTTGAGAGGAACCAGAGCCAGAACCCGGCAAGGCAGGAAATTCAGTGTCGGCAGAAACATCGGGACGGTTCTGAAATGGAGTATCATCCTGACCAAATCCCCCTCTTCCTCCTCCTCGCCCACCTCCACCTCGCCCTCCTCCTCCTCCTACTCCTCTACCGCCTCTCCCTCTCCCGCGTCCTCTCCCTTGACCCCTTCCACGGTCATCATTCCACTCATACTGCCGTAAGTCATCCCTCTCACTGTCAAATTGTTGCTGTGGCGTAAATCCATCCTTGAACCCTCTTCGTCCTCCACCTCTTCCACTCTCGCGGAAATCCTCTTCATTCTTGCCTGCATCCCACTCTCTTCCGCCCATGACGGCCATTTTCCTTTGTCGGTGCTTTTCACGCTCATTGTCCATGACTTTTCTCTCCGCGCGTTCGTGAGCTCTCTTCTCTTCTGCTAGCCGCTCACGTTCCTGAAAACTTGCTGCATCGGCTTGAGCTCTGGCGTGCGCCGCGGCGCGTGATTCCGACCGCTCTTTAGCCTCGGCCAGGCGTGCGGTCAGTTGTTCTTCGGTGAGTTTCGGTTTTCGCACCCCGCCTGTGGCAGTTCGATCCCCTCTGACTGCGGGAGGGCGCGGTTTCTGTGCTGGATCTTGAGTGGACGGCTCGGTGGTGGTTGTGGTGGTAGTTGGAGGGTTCTGGCCGGCGGAGGGGGTGGTGGTGGTCTCCTCCTCTCCTACGACTGGCTGCTGTGGTTCTGTTGGTGGCTGAGGTGGGACCTCTTTTTCTTTGGATGACGGAGTAGACTGCTGCTGAGTAGATTTCGTACTGTTGGTGGCCCATCTCGAGTCCATCAACCCCCTTGTTTTACTGGTTGCCCCTCCTCTTCCCGACTGTGGAGGGGCATCTCGACCACCGTGGTTGTTCTTATTGCGGAATCCAGGAAGTGACGACTCGTTCACTGGGCGCGAGGTAGGGGCAGAGGTAGCTGGTATCGATTCTCGCGGAGGAGGAGGTTGTGATGGCTGGGGTTGAGATTGGCTTGTTGGTTGAGCAACAGCAGGTTTCGGGGAGGGAGGGGCTTCAAAGGGAATGATCTCGTCGTCGAAAAGGTCGTCGTCCCCTCGCGACTGGGAGAAGTCTTCCATTGCCGGGGGGTGGGATCTGTGTTGAACTAAGGATACGGGTATAGACCCCTGAATGAGAATGCAACGCTAGGAATATTACCACTCTTGAATCAACGACTCGACTATTCTGTACGTTGGATACTTTGAAGAAGAGGATCATCTCGATACACGTGACATGGACGGTCTTGGCGCGTCAAGGACAGTATAAAGAGTGCTGCGATGTCACGTGCCATTCACCTCGACGTCGCCCCTTTTAGAACGACTCACCCACCCAGTCAGCCTCGAGCGATGATGCGATGCGCTCTGATCCGCGACCCGGTATAACTGATGACTCGAAATGCATCAATCCTAAGTAATTGGCAGTTCCTGCTCGCTCAGTGATGCGTCTGTTGTCGTGATGTGGAGACGGATAGAGTAACACTCTGACTTAGAGCATTCAAGCAATCACGCAGATCTACACTGTTAGAGTTTATGCCTGTATAGCTACTGTATTTCCTGCTGAAAGCTAGGCCACAGTTTTTAGTACCTAATAAATAGTAATCTCTCAACTATTCAATCAATCAATCAATCAGGTCTGCATAATACCAACGAACATGAGGAATCTGATGATCATGTACTACGACCTACTTGTTCTCGACGACATCATCTGTATTCATGAAGGCCATAGCCGTCGACAGCGACGATTTGTAGGTCGTGGTACATCGTGTTCAAGGACGAGCCGACATCGGTACGAAAGTGAAGATTGATCTGAGACATCTTGATGGTGCCGCTCGTCTCAGCGAGGAAATGGCGTCGGCCATCCTTCGCGGCTAGCAAGAAGTAGTCGTCAAAGATTGTGGCGCGCCGTCTCTGTCACTCCACAGCGCCATTCAACGAATCGACCTGAAGAAAGACTATATTGCTGGGTTGGGCGACTCCGCTGATCACTCAAGCACGGCCTCGATGATTGAATTGACGCTTCCGGGAGGTTTGATCACTTTGGCCACTTTCAATCTCGGATCGGCCGCCTCGAGTAGGCTCTGCCAGTCACCTATCTCTCTTTCTTTGGCGTTGAAGTTTGTCAGCATTTCCAAGTCCATGACCCTTTTACTTTTGTCAGCAATGTGATTTCTCGTTCAGACGGGACAGTAAAGTCTACAACGCACCGAATCTGCCGCTCTTGACTCCGTGGCATGCTACCTGGCTCGGGCAACACTCCGTCCATGATCAGTAACTTTGACGTAGGCTTCAAGGCAGGCAGCAGGTTCTTGAGGATGAGCGTCGCATGAGTATCTGAATAGTCGTGCAAGATAAATCGGAGGAGGTACACATCGGCCTGGACAGGCTGTGGTGTGAAGAAGTCGTGGCTTTGAAACGAGACCCGATCTGTCAAGTGCGAAGGGAGTGCCCGCTGGCCAGCAGCAACAATGTCAGGGAGATCCTGGACGACATAATTGAGCTTCGGATATTTCTCCGCGAGCGCGATGCTCATGTGGCCTACGGATCCGCCGACCTAACAGCACTTTGTTCAGTACCTCGATCATATCAATTCCACCGGGAAAAATGTGCAGAACCACTCACGTCCACAACGGTCCCTGGTGGAAGCTCTCCCCAAGGATAGCCGTCCACAAGATGGCGGGCATGATAGCCATCTGTGCTTGTCAGGGCCGTCATAGTCTCTGCAAACCGTCCAGCACGTTCAGGGTGGTTGGAGAGGTATTGGAATATTGGTAGCTCGGTATTGAAAGCAAGATTCCAGCCGGAATGGTTTTTCTCTTCCGACGCACCGAATGCCTTGGTCGCTTCGACCACTTTTGCAGAGGCCGGAAAGGAGTCCTCCAAGGTATAGCCCACCCAGTTGAGCGTGCCTTTATCGCGCACCAGCGCACTGGAAGCCGCCGTGTGCGCCACAAACCCGGCACGAGGTTCGCAGAAGATCCGGTTGGTCATGGCTTCTCGCAGCATTCGCCGAAGATGGCCTTCGTCCACACCAGCATCCTTTGCGACGTCGGAAAAAGTCCTCGCGTCCTCTAATGGCACGAACGACGCGATCTTGAAATGGTAGATCCACCGTAGACTCGAGCAATCATGGTACTGTCATGCCAATCGTTGGTCACTCCCGAGCAGCACTATGGGACGGGAGGGGGGGGGGAAGACGGGGAACAAACATTGCAGGCTAGCCATCGCAGATACTCGCTTGGGTAAGTGGCCAGAATGTATAGCTCCTGCGCGGCCTCTCGCAAATTCCGGCGGGCGACTTGCACATCCTCCGGCATGCTGGGGGCATCGAGCGGGGCATCGGCGCCGTGCGAAGGCTCCGGAAGGCCATTGGAGACGAGAAAGTTGGTCAAGATGGATGTGGCTGCAGAGATCTGCTGCGACAGATCCTGCATATGTGATGACGGTTGAGACATGATGACTGTGCCAAAACAAAGACAAGGGAGTGCAGAATCTACAATATACATATGCTGCCCGCCATGATACGCGGCGGGGTCGATGCGATGGTCTCATGATAAAGGGAACTTCTGAACGACGGATGACTTGGCCAGACTGGGTCTCATACATCGGAAGCCATCAGCTTATTGGATTGATAACATCCTTCCTAGTGGCCCAGACGTTTTCATGATACCCACCTCCGATGACGGCACCAAAGTCGGGATCTAACTCGAGGTGACGGGAGGTGGTTCACTACTAACTTAAGGAACGGTTATATTCATACAAGCACCGTTTTCTAGCTGCACAAGAGTCACTCCCACTAACTTAGGCCAAAGGGCCCGGCAGCTCCCTCGATTCCGGAGCCGCCCCACTTGGTCCGTGGTCTTCAAGTCCAGCCCAACAATTCAAGCGCTCTTCTCTTTTCTCTGAACATGATGGTCTTGCCAATCACCCACAGTGAGCATGGCTGATCCGCCCGTCGACGAGGCTCATGTTGCGGTGGAAGTAAGTCCGTGAGCCCTGGCGATTTGACGGGTAAATGACAAGTTTCTTTTTAGGAATTATCGGAAGACCTTGATTCTGCGTACGGCGGAGACGAACTGTACGTTGATGGAACCCACTACGAGCTCGGTTCTGTCTGCTGATCACCAGAGGAAAAGAGCCAGTTTCACTGGTTCCCTGAGTTATAGCGCGACAAACTACAAATGGGAACATGGTCGACGGTATCAAAGCTTCAGAGAAGGGAGTAAGACATGATCGATGTTGCAAGATGAAACCGCGAGTGCTAAAAGACCTCAAACAGCTTACAATTTTCCCAATGATGAGGAAGAACAGGAGCGCTACGACATCATGCACGCGGTGTTTCTCACCGCCATGAATGGCAACCTTTTTTTGGCCCCACTGAAACAGGACTTGGGCCGCATCTTGGACATTGGCACAGGCACAGGAATTTGGGCGATCCAAATAGGTCGGCGACCATGCTCCTGAATATAAGAAGTGGAACTGATGTTTGGATCGTGAAGGCGACCTGTTCCCATCTGCCGTCGTGGTAAGTCCCCTTTTACATCATACTGTGGTGTTTATCTCGCCGCCATCATCGCTCACGCGTATCATAGATCGGAAACGATCTAAGTCCCATCCAGCCACGATGGTGAGACAGTTCCCGTCCTTAAGGGGAGTTTCCTTACATGCGACGAGTTTCTGATGGTCTCCAGGGTACCGCCCAATGTCACGTTTGAGGTGGACGATGTCGAAAGCGAGTGGCAATATTCACGGTCGTTCGACTATGTCCACTCTCGCTATATGGCAGGTTCGGTCGCAGACTGGCCTCGTCTAATGTCCCAATGCTACAAGTTGAGTCTTGGTCCATGTACCTTTTTTTCTTTCACATAGATTTGGCCTCTCGCTCGCGCCACTCTATCGCTGCTCTGCGACTCAAACTGACGAGGTCAACTTTTCTTCTACAGCCACCTGACACCCGGCGGATGGGTCGAGTTTCAAGATTTCGATCTACACAACTACTCCCAGGACAATTCCATCCCGCCTGACAATAAGGTGCTGGAATGGTACAACCTGCTCATGGAAGGCTGTGAGAGAATTGGACGGACTGCTTCTCCCGGCCAGCACTTGGAATCTTGGGTCCGAGACTCCGGATTCACAAATATCCATCATAAGACTTTTAAACTGCCGCTGGGGGCGTGGCCGAAAGATGAGAGGATGGTATGTCTTGCCTACCCTACCCTTCACGAGCGAGCGGCATTGTCCTGTGACTTGGGGATGCTGCGACCTTCCTGTGTGGTATTGTGTCCGTACTGACCCGACTTTCGTCCCAACAGAAACGGGTTGGTGCCCTAAATCTTCTCCAGCTTCTCGAAGGCCTCGAAGGTCTCACACTAGCGCTTTTCACGAGAGCTCTAGGATGGTCGACGGAGGCCATTCACGTGTATCTAGCGGCAGTCAGGAAAGACGCGATGAAGAAAAGAGTGCATATGATTCACGACTTGTAAGTACCCGGTCACTGATGACTAAAGTTGCTCATGATTATGCTCGTCTTGAATTGTCTGCTGACCGTGGGTGGTTTTCCTGCTGGCTCAGTCATGTGGTCTATGCACAAAAGCCTATGACAAGCTCGACATCCTCCGAGTGATACGACGGTGTTTCCTTTGCTTCAGCCTACGGGCCTATTCATGCAGCAGGTACGAGGGTGACGGAAAAGTTAGAGAAGACATGGTCGATTAGTCTTTACAAAGGGGGAATGCCATTCCATTCTCTGACAGGAGTCTCATGACCATGGACCAAGATACCTACACATCCATATGCTGTTGTCATTTTTATCTTAATTGAGCTCTAACCCTCCCGGCTCGATACAATGGTCTATCCTTGAGAACGAACCTCTACTTTTATTGCGTCTTCCAGGACGGCGTCTATAGTACAGTAGTGTAGTAGATGTCAACCTTTCCCCTAGAAAGGAGGCAACCAGAAAGGATATCCTCCGTTCTTGATTCTGAAGACTCTCATCAAGAAGCTATACATGCCAAATAGCACAGTGACCCAGATAATGACCGCCACTTGTTGAGTTCTGGAGTCCTTGATCCGGGGCACACGAAGGGCCAGGTTGATTGCGCCAAATGCAAGAAGGGCGTCTAAAACTCTGAGTGTCAGTAGGAAGTCCGGGGCCATTGCCAGGGATGATGGGTGGGTAAAGTATCAGCTTACACATAGCAGCAACAATCTGGGTCTCCATTCCAAATTGATTTTGGAACCCCCCCGCAAAGTATGAAATCCCGCCTCGACCATTTCCAGCCACGTAGGGTGTTTTGCGGATGTGGTTAAACATATGGCCACTGGTGAAGAGGAGGATCAAGATCAGACTGATGCCGGACCATAGGTTTCTGTTCTGGATGATGGGTAGGATATATGGGTATGCAACGGTCAAGAAGGTGAAAACGCCGAGGACAATGGTGATGGTGGCTCCAATCCGGCCATAATTGATCGGTCGAGAGACATTCGGGTAGTTGTTACCAGCCGGCAGGTGTCTTGTAATCCAGGCATGAATTCCTTCCGCCGTTTGTCGTCCGAGGAAGTCGAAACGAACAGGGACAGGGTCGGATTTGGCGTTCGGGCCTACCGTAGGAGGGAAGTACAAGAGGACGGGTGCAGTTTGTAGTTGAAGCTATTATTGATCCCCAATGTTATTAGTCAAAGAACTCGAACGAAACTCGAACGAGAGAGTGAGCATGTGAGTAAGGCATACCTGGAGAAAGACATTTTTGCCCTGATCAAAATCCAAAGTTCCAAACAAGACTCGATGTTGACCAGTCTTGTCCTGTCGATGCCAGCTGCTACCGAGTATTTTCCACTCTGTGTCGAACTCGCGACATATTCCACACGAGTATTTGGGAGCTCGCGCAGTTAGGAGCACGGCGAGCGAGTAATCTCGGGGAGCGGTGGTCAGTTCGGCGTAGGCGGTCTCGTCGAGTTCGATTGGTGCAGCTACTGCTTGCTGGGCCAAGTACGTGTTGAACTTTGTTGCGGAGGGGGCTTTTTTCGCTGAGACGGCCGTCAACGACAATACCGTGAGAGCTAAATACCTGAAGAGATGCATTGCCGCTGGAAAGGAATGAGGGTGAGGTCGAGCGGCGACGAGGAGGGGGTGTGGTTGAGTGGGCAATGATGTCGAAGAAATAGTGACAAAGTGTCGTCGTGGCCTCAAGTTGAGGTGCAGAAGGGCGTCTCCGCAGTTTATATCACGTGACTTGAGACTGGATCTCTACGGAGTAAGTAGGTAGAGTGACTGACTGTAACACAGTCAGCAGAACATAAAACACTTCTCTTCGCCCAGTGTCATTATTCCTCTACAAAGACATCAATTCTATTTCTAAACCCCTGGTATATCTATCTATCTCACAACGTCGGCTTAGCCTTCTTCGGCCGCATGATCCCCTGTTGAGACTCAATAGCGACGAGTTTACCATTCTGATCGAACAGACGAGCCTCCGAATAAGTACGGCCATGACCACCAGCAATAGTCTTCCTCTCCTTGAGATGCCACTCGTTCAGATCAACCTTGGGAGAAAAGACGCGCAGCGCAAAGTCGAGCGATGAACAATCACCAGCATCATCGAGAAACTTGTCATCGTGAATCAAAGGCAAAAACGACAGACCACCATCCATGTTAAAAGCCAATGCAGAAATATTCTCTGCCTGAGTGGTCATTTTGGCCTTTGCCTTCATCCATTCCACCGACAACTTGTCTGTGAGATGCAAGTGATCCTGAGTGGTCGGTTCATGTTTCGCAAACCCCAGCATTTTCTGACTGGAATGACTTTCTGGCACCAATCGTTGGTCGAAGTAGCTGGCCATGAGGCCAAAAGTCGACGTTAGCAGTTCGGCCTGCTTCTTGCTGAGTTTTCCTTCCGCGACGAATCGGTTCAGATGCTCATCGGCAGTCGGTGTCTGTGAAGGTGGCTTGTATGGTCCACTCAGACGCGGGTCGTATGCCATGGCCTCTCCCTTCTCGGTGGCTTGGAAGTCGGCAGTGAGTTCGAGACAATTTCGCTCTCGTCCGTCAGGGAAGACCTGTGAGACGGTGACTCGTCGTGTGGCGAACGTTCGCGTGTCTCGAACGCGGTGGACGTGACATCGTACAGGTCGGTCGATCAGTGCAGGGCCGAGGAAGTATCCGAGGATCGAGTAGACGTTGAAACCTGGTTGGATGGTCTGGAAAGCAGCATTGACGGCAATGGCAGTGGCGCACCCCCCATATGCTATCGGTCGCATGTTGCCCATTCGTTGTGGAAACGTTGCAGACACATATTCATCCTTGCCGACCTGGACAAGACTGATCTGATCCAGGATTGATTTGGCGTGCTGCGTCTGGTGGGCGGCAGCAGCAGCAGCACCCGCTTCGCTCACCATGGTTCAGTCTGGCCTGGCTGCTGGTCTTGATGTCACCGAAGCGAAGGTGGATTCAATTTTAAATGTCGAGGGAAAGAATTGAAGAACTGAAGCTGTAGGCTCGGCGGTCGTAAGGTCGCTGGTTCCTTGTCTGGATATATAACTTCCTGGGTCCCGGAGATCAATTGCCAGCAAAGTAGGTACCTACCTAGGTACATGACAGTGTTATCACCACAGTACTTACTGCTGTCACCCCCCGTGGGGCCGAGCTTTCTTCACAGGCCAAAGACCGAACAGGCCTCGGTATGGCTCCTCATTAGGCAAGCAACGCAAGCCAAGAGGCGAGGCTCGCTCTTTAGGGGCCAAGCACGCCAAATTAGGCATAGCTTCTAGATCGGACCGCCTAAAGAGAGATTCCCGAGGGGAAGGAGGGGGGTGAGGGGAGACTAGAAGGAGGCAGGTACGAGTACGGAGTATACGGGTACGATTACTCCGTACATGCGACGCCAAAGGGAATCTATTACTCCGTATGTACTATGTCCATATCACATGTCAGCCTCATAGGAAACGCTGGCGCATGGATCTCTGATGATGAAGGAAAAAAGAGGACGGAGTCGACGAACGCCACACAAAGTTGGCAACTCTCATTCCAAATCAATATATTGTCACATACACATGCTTGCCTTGGGTACCATTAAATTCTTGGTCTCAAGTGTCGTTCATCATCACAAAATGCCCTCTTCCATCCTCGCAGTACAGTATCCCAGAGTCAACCAATGCGCGCCCCCCCAGCAAATCCTAGCTGAATGTCGCCGTGTTTCGACTGCTCACCATCTCACCATATCGGCCACGCTGCTGTGTCGTGTCGTATGCACTGAGCACCCGCATCTGTTGGCCTCCTTCGTCTCCAGCCGAAAACGCATATCCTCTCTGCTTCCGCATCCTCTGCACCTGTCGCACCTTTCGTACCGCCTTTTGGAACTGCTCCATCCGAGGCCGGTAGTCTTGTACATTGTACTTTTGTATCTCTTGAACGTGGTGGTATGCTTGTGGATAGTACATGCGCTTGGCATATTTCCATGCAAAGTCGCGCAGAAGGCACGCGGGTGGTAATATCAAACACAGGGCGTAGAAGATTGGCGACGTGAACATCTTAGGAATGATCCCATTCAGTTCAGTTGAAAACCCGCCCGCAATATTCGGCGCGGCGTAAGCGTAGGCTGGGATGAAAACGAGCCAGATCACGAATGACCCAGGAATCGCCAGCACCGTATACTTGGTCCACACGTTGGTGATCAGAGCTGCTTTGCCCAGCACCACCAGAAGGATCGCCGTATACGTGGAAGTCCCCCATAGCCAATGTCCTCCGACTTGCCCATTGGTCATAATGAGATCGTTATAGAAAAAGTACGACGAAAAGACGTAGGCAATGATCGAGTGATAGAACCCATTACCCACCCACGACCAAAATGAGTGCATCCGAAAAAAGACACCTTTCTGTGTGAGTTGGTACAGTTGGGGATATCGATCGAGAAGCCGTGCGGAAATAAACTGATCGAAAATACCCATGGCGAAGGGCGGCAGGACGGTGAAGAAGACGTTGTAGAATGATAGTGTCCATGATTCATAAATGACCTGACCTGAGAATGCATTTTGGAACGAGTACTGAGTTCCGTTAGCAGGTGACAAGACAACACATCGAGACAACGACAGCATAGCTTACCCAAAATTGTGTCATGAACATGGCAATGTTCTTATAGAACGAATACAAGATCACCTTGCTGATCCGTTGATAGCTCCATGCCCCGTGCACCAGCAAAAGCTTCCGCAGGTACCGAAACTGCCCAATCGCAACATCAGCACTTCGGGCAGCTTGAAGACCCTCAACACCGCTGATACCGACGCCCACGTGCGCTGCTTGGATCATAGAAACGTCGTTGGCCCCGTCTCCAATCGCCAGCAGCAATGCTTTCAAGTGACGTTTGACCAATTTCACCACAAGAGCCTTTTGCAACGGCGACACTCTGCAACACACAACCGCTTTGCACATGACAGCCAGGTCGAGGAACATCGTCTCCATGTCCTTCTCCAGAGCGTACGTCAAGGACTTGCCATCGATGACCAGCGCCAGCGTGTCGTACTCGCCCGAAGCCGCCTGGTTGCGGATCGCATCAAGTTTCTTCTGGAGATTGTTGCGCGTGTCCGTCGAATTTTCCTCGTTGATAATGAGGAGAGTCATATCCTCGCTAATCAATTTGCAACTCATGCCAATATTGATGGCGGTCTCTTGCCGATCGCCTGTCAGAACCCAGACCTTGATGCCTGCCGTCTGCAACGTGTGGATGGTGTCGGGGACGCCGTCTTGAAGTCGATCTTCGATGGCAGTCGCCCCGAGGAGGTATAAGTCGTGCTCAATGATCTCTGCAGCTTTGTCAAGCTCCTCAGCACGGTTACCACCAACTGTCGTGGCAGCCTTGTCAAACACCTGCTTCCATTCTTGAAACTCTTGCTCGGGAACTTCACGCATGGCAAGACAGAGCGTTCGTAACCCTTCGGTGGCGTAATCTTCAAGATGTTGCAATGTCACATCAACAATGGCATTGTCTTTGGCAAGACGCTCCAGAATGACAGTATCGGCACCTTTGCAATAGACTCTGATCTTCCCATCTGGGCAGCGGAAGATGGTCGACATTCTCTTTCTTGTCGAGTTGAACTCGCACACGGCAAGAAGTTCGTACTCGAATTGCTGTCCATCCACCTGGATGATGACGGACCGCGGTTTTCGAGCCACGAATTTATACCCTAACAGAACGGCGCCTTCGACGAGAGCTCCTTCATCCGGAGATGCGGCCTGGTATTTGATCTCTGACTTCTCATCCTTCCGCTCCGGAATCACAGTGTGGCAGACAGCCAATAGTGCCAGGAAATGATGGATGACATCCGAGCTTGTGTGGTTCTTGAGGTTTTCTGTTAGCTGCTTGAAGTCGTGAATACCTATCGTGTCGTCTGGGCCATTGGCTTTTTTGTCTTCGGGGACCACTCCAGCGTACTGAATGCCCCCGATCGTGCATTGTCGAAATTCCATCATATTGCAGGTCAGTGTGCCGGTCTTGTCCGAGAAGATGTACTCAATCTGGCCGAGCTCTTCCACAAGAGACGAGGTGCGGCACACGGCCGGAGTGTCGGTGTCGGGAAAATATATATCAAGGTCGTTATTGATCAAGAAAGCCTGATAGTATTTCACCAGTTCGATCGTGACAAACAGGGAGATGGGGACCAAGTTCGAATAGAGAACCCAGTAGGTAAAGATATCCAGGAAGAATTGTGATGCGGCATTGAAGCTGTCATAGTACAGATAGGTCAGTTTTGTGCCGGCTCTCAATCGGATAATGATATCTCCGACGGTGCTGATGGCGCTCAGAACAAGGAGAATTGCCACCAGCATGAGGATTTGTCTGTTAAGCATTCTTTCGACGTCGGTACGTTTTATGGGAGTGGCGGTCGCGTTTCGCATGAGCTTGGTCTCGTGGCCGGTGAAGACGACTACACCATGAATCCATGGGGTATTCCGTAGAGTGGCGCCTCGCAACAACAGTTGATCTGGTGTCAGGGGATGTTCTTTCTCAATATTGCCGCCAGCCATGGTCAACGTGGCCTCGTAGGTATACAAGCTACTGTTGGGCTGCTCGGATCGCACTCGGCCTCCCAGTCGCCCAAGTTCGGGGGGACTGACGAGGTGAGCCGTTTCTGGAATGGCCTGTTTGATCTTGAGGTTGGTCTCGCCGTCGAGATTGGCAGTTTCGATATAACACAGTCCCTCGGGTTCCGAACTGGCTAGCAGAACGAGATCCGCAGGAAATGGTTCTTCTGACTCGACTCGGACAATGTCGCCGACAGCAACATTGATCCATTTGGTGTCGACAAAGTCAGAGCCTTTTAGGGTTCGAGCTCGCGAGTCGTTGAGCTGCTTGTCGGAAGACTTGCGCTTAAAGTCCTCGACCAACTCTTTGATGGCCGACACCAGCAAGACGATGAACAAGGGAACAATGGTGGTATATCGGTTGGTAGGAGAGACATTGGGAATCTGTTGCAGGGCGGCGGTGAACAAGAAGAACAGATTGGCGTATTTTGAGAATTGTTCGAAGAGGAATTTGGGGAGGAAGGTAGCAATGTTGTATTTGGCGGTGGAGACGTGATTGTCGACCCATTTGTTGGCAGAATTGACGGGAGCATTGTTGAGGTGGATGATACGAGGTCCTAGGGAGGCTGGGTCGACCTTTTTGCGCCTGAAGATGGATTTGACAGTGTCCCCAAACGACCTTTTCTCTTGCGTATGCCGAGTGTCATCAGTGCCTGCGGTGTCGGCTCTGGGCCGTGAACCTCCTTCAGTCAAGGGGAGGTTCATGTCGGAGTAGTTGTGGCTGTCTCTCATTCCCAGCATACCCTTGGCTCTATCCATAACACCGGTCATGGTCATAATACTCGCCCGATTGTTCTGATGACCGCCCATGACTTTGACCCCGCCGCCGGGTATATGATCGTCAGATGCTCCTCCCCCATCGTAGTAATGATAGCCGGCGTCATCATCGACAATGTCATCGCCATACTTGGAATAATTGTTTAGATCCGACGTCTGTGAATAGTTTCTCGTACCATTGTCCATATATGGCGCAGTAAAGGGTCGAGACGAGGCTCCAGCAACGGCCTGGTGTTGTGCCTGGACGGGTCGCCCGCCGACAAATTCATCATAGCTGGTGGATGGTCTGGGCTGCGGTTGGTCCGAATCATCGATATTGAAGGTGTTGAGGAGTTGGCTGTCATCCACTGGCGGACGTTGGCCTGAGCTATAGACAGGTTGTGTATCGTTCTGGTCGTAAGGATTGGAGTAGGGATTGTGGGAAGCTTCGGGCGCATTCGGCCGCCCGGCCATTGCTGACAGGAAGCCAGGTGCGAGTTTAACAAGTCGAGGCTGGAGTGCAATGAGGAGTGGATGTTGAAGGCATCACCGAAAGCGAAATGTCGGAGGGGTGTGGGAGGGTGACAGCGGTGGTCAAGAAGTTGGAGGGCGTTACACAGGGCGCGTTGGTACGCAGGAGAGGGATCGAGGTTGCGAAAAGCCCAGTGAGAGCCAAATAGCAAGTGTTACGAGAGGGATGGCGGAGTTGAGGACGGATGGTGCAGGATAGGAATGGTAGAGGGATTGTCAGACTGACCAAGTTGGTTAGTCACTTTGGTGGCTGAGGATGAGGATGAGACTCAGAACGGAGACGGGGATGGGGAGGAGTGGGAGGGAGAACGGGGGTGTGGCTTTGGACTTGTCAGAGCTTCAACGCCTATATGACTAGGTACCTAGGTACCTACCAGTAAGCACGAGGGCCGAGGGGCGCCCCGGTGTACTACCGTAGGCATGCTCAGGGACTACGAGGACTCACTTTAGTCATGATCGGCGTATGCTGTGGCTGGAGGATTTATGTCAAGTTGAATTCGACAACTGTAACATATCACTTGCATCGCAGCATCAAGGGTGGTTTTATCATGAATTGCTAATTTAGGAATGATTTGTATCCTGAATCGATCATCATCAACTACCAAATTATTTCTGTTTGATGCAATTATTATTCGAGGACTTGGATCATGAGAATACTTCTGTTGAAATTTCGTATGGGGCTCAGCTGTCGACAAATAAGTTTAGGCTTGCGAGGAGGAGGACGGGTCTCCCTAAGCCAAAAAACTCTCGGCGTCTTCTATTGGTGCATGGAGTCAGCTTCGGGGGTCAGCAATCCCCGTTGGAATTGGCGTTGGCGTGATGCACAAGCTGTCCATAGCCACGAGCAGCCACGGCAGCGCTTACACTAAGTACTTAATAACCAGCAAGCAATAAACACGCGCGGCTCCAGAAGTTACACTTTGTGGCGACAGACGTGGCTTAGAGGCGCGAGGGATTCCACTATCGTAAATTCGTGAGTTCTCCTTGCCTATAAACTCTTCTTCCAGGCGCCAAACAGGAACTGCGCTCGCCTGAAGCCCCTACCTCAACATGAAACTGGAGCGTCATTCTTATTATCAACAGGTACTTAGTATCTGGCCACATACTGTATGCATCCCATGATTCGATGGTCTCGAGGCCCAGCCATTAATTCGGTTGCCTGAACTCGTCATCATCTTGCTATCATCTACAGTATGTGTCTCCTTGTTCTCCAGAGGTATGAGACAACACAGCCACGATCAAGAAAATCCTGTGCCTATCAAACCTCAACCCCGTCTCCTGCCAATGCAATAGAGAACCTGTCCTCTGGCGTCCTTTAAATTCCAGAATGACCTGAAACATCTAAACTCTTGTGGTCTACCAAGACTTAGTTAGACTCTCCGTAACTTAACTCAAGGGTCTCTCATTCTCTGCCCTAAGCTCGGCTATCAGCCCACCAACATCTCGTTTGTTGGCATCTTCGATAAGCGCTTGTCCAACTGCAGCGTTGATTTCCTTGCCCTTGGACAATGCCATGCTGATACACTTCAACAGAACCACAGCGTCCACAGCGCTTCCTCCCAATTTGGCTATTTGACACAGCTCAAAGTCGTTGACCGTCAAGACCACTTCTGCTTCCCTGACTTGTTCCTCGCTCCGAGTTGCGTCCACTAGCATGACGTCTCCTTCATGATAGAAACTGAATGTGACGCACACTGGGTTGTGCATGATACTCAGCGGCACGGGAACCCGCTCCGCCATGGTGTAAATGGTCACGCTTTCGCCATCCACCGAGACATCTGGCCGGCGAAAATGCCGCAGAGCCGCAACAATTGCAATGCACGACGCATCAATGAGGCCTCCGTCGGCATCCAGCACGTGAACATCTGCTCGTACCGACCAACATTTGGCTCCGGCAATGATACAAAGGGACTCCGTGTCAATCGCATTGGATCGTCGTATCGCTTTCTCTAACATCCGTGAAAGAATGACTTCTTGTTCTGTAGGTCTGTCATGGGGCATCTGTTAGTCGAATGGAAGTCGTAGTTGGGATGGGTAACTGTAACATACCTGCCAACTTCATACGCGGGTGACGCTATCGGGCTGAGCTCAGCGTTGATGGTGAACAAGCCTTCAAACTTGCGTTCTTCCAGTGGCTTGGTCACTTCTGCGGATATCTGCACGTGTACCCTGAGATGTGCGATTAGATTTGAGCAATGTCAAATCCATACTCGGGCCATACCTCGTCTTGCCTAGGCGAAGAGTGGCAGTGCCGTACTCTTGTCCAAATTCCAACTCGAGATTTCTCCATTGGTCGAGACTTCTTCCGTCTAGTCGTACATCTTGTGAGAGAGCCTCAAGGATAAAACTTCTCTCAATATTGGAGATTTCGACCTCACGAGGCATGGTCTTGGGCTACCCGCAAACTGCGAGTCGTAGGAAAACCGACGATCTCAACTAGCATCGGATGACCCAAAAAAAGGGCCTCAGAGATTCTTGTTGTCGCAATGTTGAGTCTCACGTCATCTCAAAAGACCCGTAGGGTACTCGTTAGCCGGTTTTGGTTTTTGTTGCGAGTGCAAGACTGACAAGATCGGTATATCACAGAAGTCCCCAGATTTTTCTACGAGGCTGAAAAGACTCGCCGCAAGGCTTCAATATTGCCAAGCCTTTTCACATGGTTGAGACTCTTGGCACGTGATCGACTCACTCCGATGCTTGCTCTAAAGATTCCATCTATCTGTTCTCAACATTTCAAAATATTTTGTCGAATAATCACCTGCGGATGTTCGACCTTATCTGCCTACTTCGCATCTAGAGATATACCTCAAAAGCCTTTGCAGCATCCAGCACACTCTGGTCATAACCGATAAAGGCTTGACCCGTTGCTTTGATGGCCTTGCTACTGTCAACCCCAATTCCACTAAACGGCGGATACACCCCAGGAGAGCCCTCCTTAATAACATTGCGACGTTCTGGGTAGTTCTCTCGTAACACATCGGCTATGCGTTGCTCAGAGCCTGGTTCGCCAAAAGCAATGTATCGTTCGCCATTCGCCTCTTCAGGGTGCTGCACTGCCCACACAAACAGTCTGGCAACGTCGCGCACGTCGACGTAAAACGCACCACCTGGGATCAACGGCGGCGGGTGTTCTTGGCCTGAGAGAATTTGCCATATATTTCGGACTGTTTCACCGATGTTTGCAGGATCCTTTGGGAGTGCGAGCGGAGGGCCAGTCACCAAACTGTAACACTCGTCAGTCTCCATCTTGATCTTGCTTCTATGGCACTTACACTGGGTTTATTGCTGCATATACCGCAGATGGTTTGTTGTCGTCTCTGAATTTCCAAAATGCCTTCTCCGCAGCTGCCTTACTGGCGATGTATATCTGTGGGCCTGGAGCGTTTTTCCCAAGTTGACTGACCAGGGCTTCTGAAACATTGTTCCAATCTTTTTCGGTGTACGTGTACGGTGGCTCATTATTAGAAACAATAGCTGCGATCGAGCTCATGAAAACTACCGTCTTCAGCTGTGGCCCAGCCTTGAGAGATGACTCGAGAATGGATTTCGTCCCGTTGACCGCCGCATGAAGAATAGGTTCAGGATCGGTGAAGCTCATAGAGACCGGTGTGGCCGTATGGGCAATGGCATACACTCCTTTGGCTGCCTCATCAAAGGCACCGGCCACTGTGATGTCAGGCACTTCCACCACCTCGAATCGCCCAGCTTCGAAATCAGATTTCAAAGGACCTTCCGTCAAGATGGCGGTGCTTGATCTTGATCGGCTGGTGCCGCGGACCTTGAAACCTGCATCGAGGAATGCCCGGGCGATTTGGGCGGCGATATAGCCAGTGACCCCACTGACGAGTATAGTTTTCTCCTGGACGCTGGACCATTTGGAAGGTGGACTTGAGGTGAAGATGAGAGATATACTGAAGAAGACTACAGAGGATTTTGGGACCTTAAATAAGACAAACCATCCCTTTGCCTTGCTCTGAGTTCTTCCCGCGTATGCATTTATGTTCGAGTACCTTATTCATGGACCCGTTATGGTTCCACCCTTGTCTTCTTTGGGAAGTCGGTGCAAAATGGGCTCCATCTGGTATTTGGTTGTTGTACCTGGGACACGCCTGTCCATAGGCATAACCCCTGATAGCACGTCATCCTTTGGAGCTCTGTTGATGCTTGATGACTGAATGGTATGCACTTCATAATGGTGGCCAATTGTGCACGGGCACGGGTTCGCGAAGCTGGATGACTTAGCAGAAATGATAAGTAATCATCGAATCTAGGTTGTTGGATAATCACAATATCACGAGCCTACAACATTTAGTCAACTGTCGTTGGGTTAGCAAACTGTAAATTTCGGGGATTCAGAGCATTCCAAGCACAATTCATCTTGAGGCGTGTACAAGATGATAAAATGCCAAACTTTGGGATGCCAGAGTTTGGTTGCTGATGTGAAGTGACCAATTTTGGCAATTTGGACATTTCTGCCTATTCAGGATAATGGTCACGTGAATTCAAAACGGTGCAATATTCACTAAGTTCCGCCATACAATAATTCGGTGGAGCATAAAATGCTAAGCGTCGCATCCAGACCTTCAAGTTCATTTGCTATAACGAATAAATCCAGAACCAGCTATTTCTTTTCAACACCAACATTGGTGTCGCTGTTTCAATCGCCTGAAAGTCTCTACTTCTACCCGAGGCTACCCTGTCCATCTCCAAAATCGAAATAGCAGGCGCTCAAATCCCGATATGACTACAGGTACGACTTTCTAGCTGCTCGACCTCTCACCTAGTCTGACAGTTTCTTCACAGCTCACAGACCAACGTTTGATCCTGCGCGAGGCAAGGAGGCTCAAAGAGGCCCCGCGTATCATCAACGACTCTTGCCCGCCTATACTCTTCTCAAAGTCAGGTAAGACAGCTTCTCGAACATGCCACAGGACAATTTCTAATCGGTGCTAGACAACCTGGGCAAGGCGGCGCAGCAGACACAGAACCACGAGACCTACGGGCGGAGCTTCTGGCAGCGGAAGCAGCTCATTTTGCAAAGACCAGTGGATCCTCCCCCGCCCCCGCAACAAGCCCCCCCAAGCTTCTCAAACGAGAATTGGATGAAGCCGAGAGCGAAGATGAGAACGAAGATCCAGAGGCGAAACGGAGAAGAGTCTTGGAAGAAACCAGAGACATTGACGCAGACTCTGAAGGCGACGAATCCGACAGTAGTGAAGAGGAAAGTGACGAGGAAGACGAAACAGCTGAGCTAATGCGTGAACTCGAGAAAATCAAACGAGAGCGTGCTGAGCAAAAAGCTAGAGAGGAGGCCGAAGACGCACAAAAAGCACAAGAGCAGCGAGAAGAAGACATTGCGCTTGGGAATCCATTACTCAACCCCAAGGCCTTCAATTTGAAACGGAGGTGGGATGATGATGTTGTTTTCAAAAACCAAGCACGTGGTACGGAGCAGAAGGGCAACAAGGAATTTGTGAATGTGAGTCGAGGAAATGCCACTGTCTCAAATTGCAACTAACAGGTACAAAGGACCTCCTTCGGTCGGATTTTCACAAGAAATTCATGGTAAGAGATCACAACCCATCCGAGTCGAGCATTCACTCACCGATCAACAGAGCAAATACGTTCGATGACGCAGGTCGCTTACTCTCTCGACTCGTTCGATTCTGGCGTTCCTGCGCCTGAAACTCATTACTCGACCTGTGTAGTCGTGCACATTTAGCCACGAGGGTATTGTCAGATTCTCTCTACCAGACGACTTGGCTCCTGCTTGCGATATGTTTGCATGACTTGGACAACACCTCGCCGTCTCCTCTGACCCGCCCCCCTTGCCAACCGAGGTGACAGTTGGACGTAGCCAAACACGGCCGGTACACGATCAGATGATCTACAGGAGGCTGGCTTTGGTCTCTACGCCACAAATCTTGCTCCGTGGCAAAGCCTAAACCTGGGCAATTCGAGCCCAGTGTTTTTTTGGATCACCAAAGATTAGGCCTACCGCGCCGAAGGCTCAGTATCTCTTCCAATCGGCACAATACATTCAGAGCGACTTATGTATAGTTGCAGAGTGTCAAATGCCATAATCTGCCACTCTGGATCATCGTCTCCCAAACACACGCCAATTTGACATGCTCACCACCACCACCCAGAGTCCAGGATCAAGGAAGTTCGACATGAAGCGAACATCGGCAAGACTGACAGCGTCAAAAGAAGCAATCACCAGCCATGACGCAGCTACATCCAGAGCGCACCGAGTGTGTGGTCTCGCAGACATTCTAACTTTGGAGCTTGGTGTCACTTGACTTCCAGACCAATGCGGGGAACATGCATGTCGGGAATCAATGCTTGAATCTACCCATCAATGCTTGAAGTCGTATCGATCCACCACTTCCACATGCCGTCGTCATGCTTTCGGCATCTCTCTTTACCGTCATTTCCAAACCTGTTGGAGCCCGCCTTTACAACACCTTATCACGCCATTGCTGTTCTGGTCGATAGCTTTGTTGACATATGCTGGCCACTGGAACCGAACAGAACAGGATACATCCCTGGCGAGAGTCTCCCATCCACCCTGATTCAAACCAAGGCAAGCCTGCTGTGTTCCTGGAGTTTTGGTGCCAGAAGTGTCAGAGGTGCGGTAGGCTTAGCCTCAGATTCAGCTGCGTACGTACGTGTGCACTCATCTTAGTTTACCATTGGCCAGAAGTATAGTTTCTACTACGTACGACCCATAGCAACTTCAACATGAAGAATGATTGACGTGATGAAAGTGGGGGAAGCATTACATCAACCTAAGCTCTCCCAAATGTTTAATACTGTTTCATTACCTGCGAACTCCTCCTCTTGTCTGTCTACAAAGTGACTTTCGAAATCTCCCTTCCCATCCGAGTCTTGTATTACGTTCCATCCTCCCTGAGAACAAGTCCCCGACAAACATGTCTTACAACGACGACGACAACGACACTGTACGCAGCCCTCCCATCTTCAATCATGCTTTTTGAGCTTTGGACCACTCCCAGTACCTATCACTAACCGACAACACCAGCAACGCCGAGGCTATGGCTCCAATGACGGTAGCGGTGACAGCTATGTACGTATTAACCTCATTCCACCCGTCCAGATCACTTCTAGATCACTCACCCATCTGATCCAATATACAAGATCCCATGTCTGACAATCTTTCCCCAGGGCTCTTCTCGACAAGACGATAGCGGGTACGGCGGTTACGGCGGTGGCGGTGATAGTTACGGTGTAAGTAATAAACCTTTTCCCCGATCCATTCCATGACTAACCACCTCCATTTATCAATCTAGTCAAGCGATCGCACCGGCACCGGCTCCGGCACTGGCTTCGGCGGTGGAGACGATAACTTCGCCGGTACTGGTACTGGTACTGGTGGTAGAGGCGACTCTTCTGGATATGGTCAGGACGATCAAACCACCAGTGATGGTGTAGGAGGTAGTGGCGGCGATGCTTATGGATCCTCTCGTGGGGTCGGAGACGATGATAGTTATGGCTCTAGTCGATCAACAGGGCAAGGTTATGGTGGTGGTGGTAGCGGCTATGGTGATGATAGTGGGATTGGCTCTGGAACTGGATCTGGGAACACAAGACAAGGTTATGGAGATGATGATAATATCTCATCTGGTCGAGGAGCCGGTGGTGGAGTAGGAGGGTCAGGAGGAGGATTCGGTGGTGACGATGATATCAATACCTCTGGTGGTGGACGTACCGGAGGAGGATATGGCGGTGAGTCAAGTCCACTCGAATCGAGTCAAGTTGTATGACTGGTTGATTGACTTACTGACATCCCTAATTGTCACCCCAAACAGGCAACGATGATTCCTACGGTAGTTCCACCGGTACCACTGGATATAGTGGTGGCGGCAATGATGACGACAATACGGGCTATGGCGGTGGCGGAGCCACATCTGGACGCACAGCACAGGGCGACGATGGCTACGGTGGCAGCGGCACCGGCGGTGACAACAGTAACGATTCCACGGCAGGAAAATTGCTCGAAAAGGCTGGAGGGCTTTTCAATAGTGATAAGTTACAGCAACGAGGGGCTGAGAAACGTCGTGAGGCTGGGTCGGATGATTATTGATTCATCAGATTTGAATTCTTCGATCAATAAAGGGATTGACGAATTCGCACGACGACTATTGAGCTCTTTCATTTCGTCTGGTCAAACACATATATGGGTATAATGCCACGAGACCTCAGCCAAGATCATGAAAACATCTTTCCTTTCCAGTGGATGTCATTTCACTCCCTAAGCGTCCTGTCTCTTCCTTCTCGTTATGACCAACGTATTCTTGTGGGTGTGTTCGTACACGTGTGCGTCGTGCTCTGTGCCTTGTCATAATTCCTGATCCCCCAGCGATGGGGAATGAACATTGTTGGGTCTCACTCTTTCTGGACAGGAAGCCGAGTGGCACAGAAATGTGGTCATGTGCCATTGTCTTGCTCAAAGTCCGTCTCTAGGATAGTAGAGAGGAGACACTCATCTGACGCACAACTGGCCTATTTTTCCTTCCAGTGCGAAGCGTCAATCAGATCTGAAATGGGTATCATTGTTGAAATGGCGAGACTAGGAAACAACATCAGTGAATGCCGATTTCACCGCCTCTCCCATCCAGCAATCCGAAATTCAACGCCTGCGGTTTCATCCCTAACCCAACCATCATACTCATCTTCATCTTCATGATCAGGATTGGCATTTTCGCCGCCATCATGGCCGGTAGGTTGGGAGGATGTTTTTGGTTGAGGGGCGGGAATGGTCACTCCGTCGACCCAACTGTCCAGTGTCTTTTGACTGACTTCTCTCCATGGACTGTGGATTGAACTGAAAGACAGGTCTTGGGGAAAGTAGGTGTCGACCTCGAATGGGTCGCCGGTGAGTTTGTGGACTTGTGTTTGTAAGATGCGAATGTCAAATGCCGGTGCGTCGGCCTCGGAATTGGCGTCTGAGCCGGCGATTGAAGTTGGGCGGATGCTTGTTGAGGTTGCAGCGTCGTGAGGTTCGTTGTGGTCGCTGGTGGAATCGAGTGTCGTGCCGTGGGAGAGAGCGAGCGTCTGAGCGTATAGTTCGGCGCCGCCCATGCAGAAGATTTTATGAGTGGTGATGTTGGTCCCGACTAGAGGTTCGTTGGACGATAGGAGAGTGAGGATGCTGTGTAGAGTGGTGGTCACTAGCACTGCCGTATTTGCCGTGTTGGCTGGAGATGGACTTAGGAGCACACTTGTAGATTGAACCTGAGGGGCGGCTTGTGGTGGTTGTGTCGGTGATGTTGAAGGGTCGTGAGGAGTTTGTGTCGTCGTCGAGAGAATCAAGTCTCGCACTTCCCATGGAGTCGAGGGATTGGACTGCTGCAGTTGGTCGAGCATTCTTCCTGCCAATTCTTTGGCCTTTGTCCTGGTGACTACGACATTGAGTCGGCCAGCCAAAGGTCGAAACTTCTGAGGGATGCTTTCCCATGTCTTCCTGCCCATGATCAACGCGTTCATGCTGCGCGTGTCACTGTCGCTACCGGGCTTGGACGTAGGCACGTGACTTGTCAGGTTGCGAAAGAAGGCCATATCACCCTTGATACTCTTCCACGGCAGCCCACCACGGATTCCAATACCCATAGGTGGATTCAAGGCGGTCGCAACTACCACATAGATAGGTTTGGGATGAAATGTGACGGGCACTATGGTCGTCATTGTGGTTTTGATAATGGATGTACCGGTGGGGACCATTTTGGCTGCGTCACCCAGCTCGTCTAGTGGGGGTGGATAATTGAATGGATTGTTAGATGGACGTCGATATGTCACGTACTCTGGTAATTCTGTCGGTGATGGCGGGTCAGATAGGCTGGTTGATGGCGGCGTGGGAATGTCGTTGGTCATTGTGATTGTTGGTTTGGTTTGGCTCTCGCTGGTTGTTGTTGACGTTGTTGTTGAGGATCAGGTGACAGTTAACGGCAAGGATCGAGTGGGCGTGTCAAGAATGACGTCCACCAAGGTCCAGCAGGCGCTGATGTTGAAATTGGGCTCGATCATTCAAGTTATAAAAGACAGAGAGAGCGCGATAACATGGATGCAGATTTCTATGTAGCTTCACCCGGTAGATAAGGCCTAAGCGACAAGCTTACCACACGATCCAAGATGCCAAAAAGTAATTTCCAGAGCTGTTAGGGTTTCTCAGTGAAACTTGATGTGTGTACCAAAAAAGGGCCGCGATGGTGATGGCGGCGCCCCGATCCGACCAGCCGCAAATAGTGAGGGTCGCTTCGAAGCACCCCTGCTACCTTGCATCAGCTTCAATAGTCGGGGTTCGCTTCTTTGTCAAAAAATGGAGGGAGGCTCAAAAGCCTACAGAACACTCATGATCCTTCGGAGATATTATTACACGATGGACTGCTAGACAGGTCCTTAGAGCCTCTTGTTTGCTGTACTACTCAAAGTCTAGAGTCTTGGGCTGCCTTACAAACGTGCTGCTATTCTGTCTTTACGAAATCGCGCTTGTAGCTAGGTTTCGCTAAGCAAAAGGCCCATGAGGGGCACGACGGAACAAAGGCCACACGGCCATTTAGTGACAGTTACCAGGGTCGAGACTCCAGTACAGTTGGCACCGTTGAGCCTAAAATGTGGTTCCTCCGTGGCCCAACACCTGCAAACTTGGAACGAGTCAAGCTGGTCTACTCGGTGTTGTGTTGTACCAGAGCATTCTGTTCCTTGATTCTCGCAGGCTCGCAGGCAGGCCTGAATTTCTGGGTTTGGGTCGGTCACGCCACAGGCTGCCTGGACAGTGATCTGTCTACAGAGACAGTTGTAGAGCCACTGCACAGAGACACCGACCGGCATGACCCTGTACCTTGACCACCTCCTGCCACACCAGGTTGTTGACAGGCAAGTCAGGACCTGACTGTCGTTGGCGATCATCCCCACCACTTGAGGCTCAAAATCAAGCTAATGTTTCATTGTCATTGTTGTTTATGATGGTCTCGTATCTTTCAAGAAACCTCTGGAAGCCTTGTTCTACCATCCTCGCATCTTCTTCCATATCTCGTTTCTCTTGCACTGCTCCAGGAGTCTTGTCATCTGTGTCATCCCCAGTCAATGTGTGTAGTCCTCCAAAAAGCCATAGATCTTTCATGTTCCTTGTAAGCATCATGATGTCTTCGCACGCACGGATCAGAGATTGGGCTTCGGCATCGAGTTGAAATTGTTGTACTGCCGTCTCTGTCAAGGAGGGTGGGAGGCTAGCGTCCGTGCTATCTGCCATGGTATCGGGATTGACTGCAACGGCCAATATGTTTTCGAGCCGCTTGATCAATGTCGTGGTAAGTGTAGATATGCGTGCTGCAAAAAGGCGGCCATTAGCATGCATGTCTAGCTTCTTAAAGAATCTCTCCCACCTTGCAGGAATTTGGCACTTGGGGCTGTGTCTGCCATGGTTTTGGATCTCAAGAGCAACGAAAGTTGGTGATGGAGGACGATCCCATGTGCATGTAAGCACCAAGGCTGCCGAACGGAGTGTCTAGTCAAGGAGTGTTTCGGTGGTTCAATGTTGGGCTCTGGGTGGCTACCACATTGAGGTCCCCCGAATCTGGGCGGGTTGATCAAAGAAACGATGCAATAGCCAGGAGACAGGATGGCCAGATGAGAGACGACACTACATCATAGTGAAGTATTGACACAGACATGCATGTCCTGAGTGATTTCTCGAATTGACTTGCCTGTTTGTGTTCAATCTCACCAGCGACAAGATGAACAAAAGTCCCGGCGCAGTCCACGAGTCATGTAATTCAAATGTGGAGGAAGAATCACGAGTCATGTCTTATCAATCTACCCCGCCGTACGCATGCTGCCCTTCGCATTTTCTATCTTTTGAGCCTTCAATCAATTGTTCCTTGCTACCACTACAGAGGATACAACAGACTATCGGTATTCGAGCTGATCGTATCTGTATCTGCGTCTAGGGAGATGCCCACTAGCGCCAGATTATGATCACTTTGACTGACTGTACCTGCGTATCCTAGGTGTTATTTGGTCATCCTACTCCATAATTTATCTCACTTCAAATTGACGTCCTGCGATATCCTTTGGTCAGTTAACACTTCTTGACATGTAAATGTCCAAGGATATCACCTCACTCGCTTCGGATTGCAGCATGAGAAGCCGATCGGGTTCATTGTCCTGCAAATCGATTCCAACTTCCGACGTCTGGACGGCAGAGGTCTTGGAACATGTCATCTTTTTGGAGACCTCTTCTTCGCACTGCTGGTCATCGTCAGCGAGCAACTGCCCCGCCTGCAGCCATTCTGTGGGGATCTGAAGGTCCTCAACATCGCCCCGTACAGAGAATTCCCCGTTCTCGAGTCTCGGCCTCAAGCAAACACAAGATGGTAGACCCAAGTGCTGTAGGCAGCAATGAGTTGTCTTACAGGCCAACTACGCAGTGAGAGAATCCATCACAGCATTATTGCACCGCCCCGGGAAAAATTCAACCTGCATCCATCCTTGTGAGGATCAAGCACTATGAGCGTATATGGTTGGAGAAGCGTGAGAAAGTCGTGGAAGGGTATTCGCCTGCGCTGATTTTTCTCCGCACATCTTTACCCTGTGAGTGAGATTTCTCCATATACATCCGAGACACCCAAGTATGAACCAACCTATCAACACGGTACCGCCAATGTCGCCATGTTCTTAACTTATACACGCTCAACGATCAAGGCTTTGCTGTCGCCATCTGGAGCCATACCCGCAAAATCTATTTCGAGAACACCCTGCTCGCCACACCCTCACATCATTCCCCAACAAGTCCTCCACAAAATCCTGTCCCTATTCATCCCTCAACTGTCTACGACGTTGCAATATTGGCTTGGCCTTCCATCTTGGTGCAGCACTGACGATCGAGTCTCCAAACATCGATCTTTGTTGGACAAGCGCTGGGTCTACAGTACCAACTAACCGAGTAAGTATTGCCACAGTCCACAGTAGTCACAGCCACGTGACACCAAACATGACTCTCGGCAGCGCAGTACGCCTGGGCCTCCTCGGGGTTATCATACAATGCGAATTCAATGGGAATCACGGTATAGTACAAAATAACGTCTGCAGCAAAGTATCTCTCAGCATCAACTAGTATACACATAATTGGAATCAAGCCGCCGCTCGCGAAGCAGTATCGAATCTACAGTTTGCATCAGGTAAGAGTAAGCATAGGCTGACGTCAATCCAAAGCTGCATGTATAACGTGTGGGCCACCATCGTGGCAGCGGAGATGTCTTCAGCCGTCAAGGCCGCCATGACCCTCATCATTCGTTCACAAAACTCCATGGGCCCCGAGACATGCGCATAAACCACCCATACACGACCCTGTCATCCAACTTGCTCCAGTATTGGCATGCTTATACACCAGATTCACGCCGTCTATGGGAACAACCATGCGTGCTACGATCGCTATGCCATTCTTCCGAATCATGCATCACTGCGCCCTGCTGGGTCCTACTATTTGCCATCTCTCCACATCGCCGTCATCATCAATATTCTTTCTAGTATTCCACAATCGTTGATTCAACTTGGCACTACGCAAACAGAAACATTCAATGGCTGTGTTGTTCAACATCCCCACTTGCCAGGTCCTCATGTCCCTAGCATACCTGAGACACCTATCCAATCATGACTGCTGTGGGATGGAATTCCAACCATGATCACGTCTTCTGTTGGGATGACGATATGCAAACAGAAGACAAGACAACCAGGAAGAAGGAGTATAAAGAACCCGATCTTCGTTCCAGGTAGGGCTTTTTTCTTTCCTCACATCCATTCCTACAACTCATTCACTCGCTTCAAGTGTGTTGTACCACTCCTAATACATTTCATTCGTTGATCTATTTGTCCAACATGGCTGGCAAATCGATTGTTCTCTTCACCTTGCTGGCACCCGCCTTGAGCGCTGTCCTCCCTCGAGGCGGCGGTGGTGACGACAAGGCTGTCGAAACCGGAAAAGGTTGGAACGACTGGAAAGGTGATGGCGCCCCTCCTGTCGCTGTAACCACCGTGGCACCCGAGCCAACCAAGAAGCCCGAAGATGGTTCTTGGAAAGACTGGGACAACAAGGACGACAAGAAGGATCAGCCCGCCCCAGCCCCTGGTCATGATGACAAGAAGGACGGTGACTGGAAAGACTGGGAGAACAAGCCAGAGCCAACACCAGTTCCCCTTCCCACGCCTGTTCCTGTCGAGGATGACAAGAAGGACGGCGACTGGAAAGACTGGGAAGGCAAGAAGGACGATAAGCCTGCTCCCACTCCCGCTCCAGCTCCAGGTCACGACGACAAGAAGGATGGTGACTGGAAAGACTGGGAGAACAAGAAGGATGACAAGCCTGCCCCGGCTCCCGCTCCAGCTCCAGGCCACGATGACAAGAAGGACGACGACTGGAAAGACTGGGAGGGCAAGAAAGATGATAAGCCCGCTCCCGCCCCAGCTCCAGGCCATGACGACAAGAAGGACGGTGACTGGAAAGACTGGGAGAACAAGAAGGATGACAAGCCTGCTCCAGCTCCCGCCCCAGCTCCCGCTCCCGCCCCCGCTCACGACGACAAGAAGGATGGTGACTGGAAAGACTGGGAGAAGAAGGACCAACCCGCCCCCGCCCCCGCCCCCATTGAGAACAAGGGCGTCGACAACAAGGGTGATGAATGCAAGCCTGTCACCGTCACCGTGACAGTGACCGCCCCTGCTCCCGCCGAGAAGACCGACGAGGGCAAGCAATGGGGTGACTGGAAGGGAGGTAACAAGGGTGGCAACAAGGATGGCAAGGGACATTAAACCTGTCGTCTTACCCCAAACGTACCCTACACTCTCTCGAAGGATCCCAATCCCAAGATCTCACCATTTTAAAAAATTCTCCCTTATAATTTCGTTCTCCCGACAGCCCGGCTTTTGAGTAGCTGCGCGGCGACTGGTCATGAACATACATACCTACCTCACTCAACAAACATACGACTTTTATTTACAGCAGCATTTGCATGAACATGGATTAATACCGGAATGTGGTGACCACAGAGACGAAAGACAAAGTTTCACCCCTCCCTCCCTCTCTCCGTGTATACTCTAATATTCACATTGTGTGGAGTGGACACACTTTTTGGGATTGTCTCAACAACAACAACGACTGATACGATACATCATTGGTTTGGGGCTGGGACATCAAAATTATTGACATGCATACTTAGTCACTCCTTAGTTTATAATGTATTACTTGATGAAACAAAAAATGACTCTGACTCGGGTTCGGGTTCTTGTTGTGACTGTGACCTAACTCTACAACTATTGTTACTGCTCTGTGGCAGTGCTGGGAGATTGAGAGAGGTATGAGGAACTATTCCTCCTCGCGAGAGGATATGGCCACATACGTTGGGGGGAAGGGGGAGATCAGGCACCTACCTACCTACCTACCTGAGGTAGCTCCCTCCCCAGCATTTTTGTCAGCTGATTTAGATACTAAGAAGTCGGATTCCTTCCCCGGCGGTTAAAGAGAGGTAAAAGTCATCAGAAGGAATTCAGAGCCGAGAAGCAATGAAGCTTCAAAGCTTTCAATAATGAAGTCATGCTTGGAGAAATCAAATACTGTGAGGAGGAGGAGGAGTCGAGTACGAGTAGTACATCACGCAATGCAGCTTCACTATGCTCTGATGGTGATGGTGGTGGTGTGAACCTTTCCGGCAATGCCGAGGTGGCAGCGGCCAAACAACGAGGGAGAGGCGAACATGGGGTATGAGGGAACGCTAAAGACTGGAGATCCTAAGATGGGCGTGCTGAAAAGTGCCCTGTGTGACCTGTTCATAAAAGACATTGCTCCATGGGATCCACGTCTATGTAAGATTCTGACAATTATTGGCGATCCGGCTTGGCCAGCAAGTATTCGCCGATCTTCTATACCCCAAGGTCGCTAAGGTAGCTCAAGGTCGTCGCATGACGGCACCTTGGTCAGGCTTCTCAGATTTTGAGAGCTCCTGCACAGACGTTGATGCTGTTCATCGTAGGACGATCGCGCTTTATGAGGTCCGCCCCCCTCAATATCCACCATAGGTGTGCTGCTTGGCTTCCTCCCCGGCGAATTTGGGGTGGCCGTGGTGGCATCCTCTGCTCAAAGTGTTCATGCAAGCGAGCGAGCTGGAGTCTGGGATCCATAGCACGAACCATTTGAGTCGATGACGATGGATCAACAGTATTGAGAGAGAGGAGGGGAGGAGACTGGCTGGCCCAAGGGTGTGAGGTGCCTTGGCGTCTAGCGAGTTAAGGCGACTTGGACGTTTGGTGGTGAGCATAGATGAATTGATGGCAGGCGGATGATCAAAGGTTAGCCATACAGACCATCCCACTCTTCCTCTTCGTCGTCCAATGCGGCATTCTTCTTAATTTCTTCGAGACGCTTCTTCTTGATGTCTCTTTCCCGCTGGGCCAAGTCGGACCGATCCAGTGGGCATGTCCCATTTAACAGTAACCAAGGTCTGATGCACTCGAGGTCGAAAATGTGACTGGTATGACATGGTAGACGCACCAGTAGTGGGTGAGGATCTTCCACAAACGCATTGCCGCAGATGGGACAATCTGCATCTTTTTTGACTTTTTTGATATTCACCCGCTCCAAATTTGCAATGTACTCTTCGTCCACGCCCTTGACTTCTTGGGGCGGTCTCTCTGCCGAACTCATCAAAGTCTGGATCATGGTCTCTAATAGATCCGACTCATTATCATTATCTCTTTGCATGATCTGGAATGCTTCGGCGAGGGAGCGGAATGCTGCAGAAACATCGCCTGGGACGGGCAAGGCGCCTTCTCGAGTACGGGTCTCTGGGTCTTGAGGTCGGATTTCCGAGAGGAGGCTCATAAAAGATGACAAGTCAGGGCGTCGGGGCCCGTCGTGCGAGTCGTTGGGCGCATCGCTTGCGTGTTCAGCTAGAATCTATTAGGACTTGATGTGGGTGAAACTGCGCTAAATCAACTCACTTTCGTAGCTCGCCATTCTCGATAATGACCCAGGTTTGGAGATGCAGTTCAGGCAACAAAGATGCCCTAAGATGAAGCTCTAAGCGCAGCCAGACGAGGAAGAGACACAAATCTGGGTTGATTCATATACGGAGGGGCAACAGGGAAAATGTGGTGGTGTTGATGTGTGGACGGTCGTCGTGATCCAGGCACATGAACGATGGCGCGGCCAACCGCGTGAGTGCCCCGCGGAAGGAACCTGCTGCTTATCCGTTGGCTCGCGTAGTCATGTGAGGCAGCCTGGGACCTAATAACCCGCTGGGGCTCGGGTGCGTTGGCAATTCGTTCGTTTGCCATTGTTTTCAAACACAGTAGATATTCCAGTTCGAAGGCTGATGATGATTTTGTCGGTTGTATCGCATATCTCCTTCTGGTCACTAGTACCCTATCAAGGGTTGAGATCTCTTGTGCTTTATTCAATATGTATTTGGATCTGCTCCCGTTGGCTCGAGTCACGGGACCTTGGGCGCCCCAGCCACACGTCAGCCACCTTATTCAGCCTCAAACGTGACTTCAGCATCCCGCACTTCAACGACTTGTTGAGACACCATGTCATCTCGATCATCTCTTAACAACATCTATGCATCAATATCAAACCGGATGGACAGACAATTCACTCTGAGCCACTGAACCCCTCAGGCTCTTCTTGGCTAGCTCCCACTATGGCTCGACCCCCGGATAAATGAGAATCGACCACAATACGACCGATGGAGGCAGACTGGGATGAAATTGCTCGCATCGCCGTGCCTCCTTCGGGGTTGCACGCGATATCAAGTCCCGCTACCGCAGTCGCCTTTGACGATGCGCAGGAACTACTCTGGGTTGGGAATGATCAGGTCAGCGTCCTCGATCACCATGGCTTGACACGCTGACATTAAACCTAGGGCCGCGTGGTATCCTTCTATGGACACGAGCTCCAAAGATATGTTTCGGTCAAGGCTCACATCGCGGAAGGTCCAGTCAAGCAATTGCTATTGACAGAGAAAGGCGTCGTATCCATATCATCCACCAGCGTCCACCTGGTCTCGCGCAGAGGCTTGACGCAATGGCATCTGACTCATCCACTCATGACCGATCTGCGATGCATGACCTTTGCAGAAGGTACCAACCAGATCGTTGTCGCAGGCTGTCAAAGCACATTTTTTATCATCGACATCGATAAAGGCGTAGTTGTCGCCCAGCACCCGTCTAAAGCAAACTATTCCCTAATGAGGAAGAGTCGCCATATCTGTGCAGCAACCGACGATGGCAATGTTCATGTGCTCGACCTCCATACCTTTGAAATTCTAAAATCCTGGAAAGCTCATGCCACCGCTGTCAACGACATGGACGCCCACAATGATTTTCTCGTCACCTGTGGCTTTTCTGTCAGGCAATTGGGCGTTCCAATCGTGGATCCACTCGCAAACGTCTACGACTTGAAACACTTAACTTCCCTACCACCGATTCCGTTCCATCCTGGAGCAGCATACGTTCGTTTGCATCCCAAGTTACAGACCACAGCATTTGTTGCCTCGCAAACGGGACAAATGCAGGTCGTGGATCTCATGAACCCCACCAATATCACCCTCAAACAAGCAAACGTGCAATTCATGCTGGGTATGGAGATTTCCTCCTCGGGCGATGCTGCAGTCATCACAGACACAAATGGTCTTTTATACCTCTGGGGCTCCCCGACAAGAGCTCGCTTCAATAATATTAGCAAAGAAACCGAATTCCCTGATCCCACTCCCCAACAACTTCCTCACGTGGACTGGAACGACGCACCACTGAACACCGTTGGCATGCCTCACTACACGACGCCACTTTTGTCCGCGTGGCCAAGTCATGCAGTTTTTGAAGTAGGTGCGCCGCCCATGCCTGTCGATCCAGCATTATTGTTTCACGCAAAGGCAGCAGAAATGGGTCACTACGCACCAAATCTCAACCCCCGAAAACTTCATCGTTACCAGGTGGAAGATAAACGAGGTGGCCTTGTACCAACCTCGATTGCTGCTCCCAAGTTCCTCAGCGAGAAAGCCAGAGATGCCCCACCGAATTCTCATGGAGGCAAGATGTCGGATGCTGCCGAGTCTCTGGCAGGGATGGCATTGAACGGAAGAGCCCAAACAGATGAAGAGCGCATGCTCAAGTACAGCAACGTCGAGATCAAGTACAGTCGCTTTGGAGTCGACGATTTTGACTTTAAGTATTACAACAAAACCCCTCACTCAGGCCTCGAAACCCATATCGCGAATTCTTTTGTCAACTCGCTCCTCCAATTGTACAAATTCATTCCATTGCTACGAAACGTCGCGATTCAACATGCCGCCACCTCTTGTGTCAGCAACAGCTGCCTACTCTGTGAGTTTGGATTTCTTTTCGACATGCTCGAAAAGGCAAATGGCCAAAATTGTCAAGCCACCAATCTTCTGAGAGCCTTCAGTGCCTCTAGGGAAGCAGCAAATCTGGGGCTCTTTGAACATCACGCTCTAACCAATGGTACGCCATTGTCGACCACAATTCAGTCGGTCAACCGGTTCTTTTTGAAGCAGATTGCTCATGATTACGCCAGCATGGCTGGCAAAACCGACGGCATCGATGAGATCCTTGCAAGTAATGCTTTCGAGGTGATCAGGTGCATGTATTGCAGCAATGAAACGACGAAACCGGCCAGCACCTACGTGCATGACCTAGCTTATCCCCAACTAGACCCTAAGCATGCGACTAAGAATCCCATGTTCAAATTCGCCTCGATCCTGAAAACGACCATTGAGAGGGAGGCCAAGAATCGAGGTTGGTGCAGTCGCTGTCGAAGATACCAACAACTCGCCATCCGCAAGACCGTCCGCCACCTGCCATATATCTTGATGCTCAACTCAGCGTTGGGGACACATCCCAACATGCGTGGTTTGTGGGAGAACCCCGGATTCCTGCCGAATGAGATTGGTATCATCATCCAGGATCGCAATGTGTATTGTTTTGAAGGAGCAGACCTGCAACTACACCTGCGCAACAAGTCACCGAACCTGATGGTCTATGAATTGGTGGGATTTGTTGCAGAAATCGACGCCAGTGAAAGGCATCAGCCTCATCTTGTCAGCATGATCAATGTGGAAGTGTCGAATCCGGGTCCAGACGTTGCCCCGAACCATAAGCTATTTCCAAACTGGCATCTTTTCAACGACTTCCTGGTGTCACCTGTGGATCCACGCGAGGCAACTCACTTCAACAAGAACTGGAAACTCCCTAGTGTGGTTGCGTATCAGGTCAAGCAGGCTCATGGAAAACTTGATCAAGGCTGGAGACAAAACCTGGACACGTCATTGTTGTATCACCACTACAGTATCAACGACATCTATCCAACCAGTGAGTGCAAGATGCTTACTCACGAGGACGATCTTCGAGCAGGCACGCCGATCGCGCTGGACACCGAGTTTGTGGAGCTTGAGAAGGCCGAGATTGACGTCAAGGCAGACGGCTCTCAAGAGACGATTCGGCCCGCCAAGAATGGACTGGCACGGGTCAGCGTGCTGAGGGGGCAGGGGGAGCAAGAGGGCGTTCCCTTCATCGACGACTACATCACGATTTACGAGACGATTGTCGACTACAAAACTCAGTACTCAGGCATCCGCCCAGGCGACCTCGATACTCAGGTCTCGACGCACAACCTGCTTCCGCTCAAGGTGGCGTACAAGAAGTTATGGATCCTGCTCAATCTCGGGTGTATCTTTGTTGGGCATGGACTGGCATCCGACTTTCGAAAAGCAAATATTCATGTTCCCAAATCACAAACGGTGGACACACAGTTCCTGTACCTTGGGACTGGGAGAAATCGGCGGTTCTCACTAAGATACCTTGCTTGGGCAGTGTTCAAGGAATGGATTCAAGAGGAGACGCTGGACGAGGGGGCTTCCGACGGCCACGACAGTATTGAAGATGCGAGGATGGCACTAAGGCTCTGGCGCAAGTTTCAAGAGTACGAGGACGCCGGGATCGCGGAGCAAATGATTGAAGACATCTACCGCAAAGGCACCAAATATGGATGGAAACCACCACCTAGAAGCATTGGTGGAACCCTCCTGCCTGAAGCGGCTGGTACCGGGGCGGCCAACAGCGCGATGCAAAGTGGGAGAAACACACCGGACATGAACAATGGAGGGATGCCAACGTCGCCGCCGTCGGTGAAGATGGGTCCAGGTGGGGGAGGGTTCAGGTTGAATGCCGCTGGGGCTGGGACGTTTGTGCCGGGCAACGGTATCGTCAGAGAAAGCCCCTTGAGATAGGAACATGGGCAAAGGGCAAAGGGAGGAAGCTGATTCGAAATATGAGGATCTGGGTCGGAGTGCTAGGTTCACCGAGGGATGAGCTAGGGAAGCAAGTCTAGAAGTTGGGTCGGGCGATAGACTCGGGTGGGAATGCGCGAGGCAAGATCTTATCATTGGATGATTTTGAATTGTGTGTAGCCTTGCAACTTTGAAGGGCGATGATACAGGATGTTGGTTGTACTGAGATTCGTTTCGGCAATCGCTGAATCTTGCCAGGCAAGGGAACGAACGGGGCATGCGAATGCGCCTACAGGTGTGAGGCAGTCGAATTTGTAGTTGACCTCAGCTTCAATAGAAGACTGCCCCCAATTCAGGCCGTAATCCGGGGTCAAACTTCATGTCCATAAGGTTAGACTCTCGGGCAATATGCATCTCCCGGGCCCTGGAGCGAGTGCAGCTGGATGACCATTCAGGCCTAGGAGGTGCCTGGTGTGCCTGGATGCAGATGAGTACGGGGTAAGAATCCACTTTCGGGGATGTGGGGGATGGCCATTGGCAGGCTCCAACAGGGATTTGGCCGCTTCAAAGTCTCCGACTACCGACAAAGAGCGGTGCGCAGCAGTGGCAGCCTCGTGTTGGGTGGCTCACTGTTCGTTGCTTTGGTGAATCCTGGGTGGGCCCGTGGCCGCTCGGCCCCTTGGCCGTGGCTGGCGCACCCAGGGCCATTGGGCTGGGATCGCCTATTTTTGGTCAAGGCGCTCCACCAAAGACTTACCGGGGTCCTTGTCCACGCAAGTGAAGGCTGAGCATCCCAAATGTTTCATAATGAAGACAAATCCTCATTGCTTGTCTGCTTCGTCTGATTGAATTTGTCGTTTTTGGGTATACAAGGCTGGATCTAAAAGACCGGCAATCCCCAGCAACATCATTGGCATTATATCATTGATCTTCTAGCCCATGTCTTTTGTGCTGTCGACGTTGTCAACCACTCAGATCCCCGTGATCCCCTGTTAGGCGGGTTAAGACCTTTGCTGTCGCAACTGCCAACCACCCCCTACCTGCACCCACCATCCGTGCTTCACTCTTGCCTCAGAATCTGCCCCTGCCCCCCCCTTCGCCTGCCACTCTCCACACACTCTCTCTACCTATACCTTTTATCACTTGCTCTGTCTTCTCTTCACCATGGCCAGAGTCAAGAACAGACCACAAGCATATTCCCCAATGTCATTCCATCTCGTTCGCGGCATCGCATTTGTTTGTCAGGCTATTGTCTCCGGCATCCTGATCTGGTTCTGTTTAAGACTGAGAGACGATGGATTCAAACTGCCCTGGACATTTCTCATTGTAAGTACTGGAACCCAGATCCTTACAACTAGACTAGAAAACCGTTCTAACAATACACAGGTCCTCGCAGCCTCACTTCTCTCGATCATCACCCTCATCATCACATCAATCTTTTATTGCTGCTCATTCCTCTCACCATTATTCAATCTGATCATCAACTCGACCGTTCTCCTTGTCCAAATTGTTGGCTTCGGACTCCTCACCTACAACATCTTTGGCACGTTGGGCCACTCTTGCAGTCGATCGAACTGGGCCTCCAGCAAAGGCGTCACCATCTGTCAGATCTACAAAGCATTTTACTCATTCCTCGTCTTCGCCATGCTGGCACAGATTGCCCTCATTGTGTTGGATGTAAGGAGTCGGAGAGAACAGACTCGGTTGGGCAAATACGGCAACATCGAGGAATCCAACTCTCGAGACGTCAAGATGGACCGACTCAACGGCTTAGGCCCGGCCCATGCACACCAGCCTAGCCATGCCAGTTCCGTCGACACTGTGCCTTACGGAATCCAATATGGCGACCAGCCCACCCGCCCAGCTGCATATCAACCACCTTCATACGCTCCACAAGACTCTCGGGTCAGAATGGATGATTTTGGAGGGTACAATAACGGGTATAACGATTACGGACATCAGCAGCAATCCGGATACGGAGGGGCTGGTTATGGATACAGATGAAGTCATGTTTAAAAATTTTGAAAACATGATATAGCATGGCGACGGCGTTTGACCATCCTGATGAGGATTGAATCGTTTCAAAGGACAGGAAAAGACATGACTGAACGTGCCATTGGGTAGACTAGAACATGTGCTATCTATGATAGATGGGTATCTCGAACAATAGAATTTGACGGGTACTCAAGGAATTGAACTCTTCCATGGCCATTGCACCGTGCCACTACCAGTTGTGGTGAATAGGAAACAACAAGTCCGCCAACCTCGTGACATTCTTATCGTTGATCGCGCTGATCTCACCACGAATCTGCTCCAGCAACTCATCACTCAACCCACCTTTCCTCCTCGCATAAAGATCAATCCCTGCCGGTGTGAAAAGCGTCTTTTGGAAATACGTAACCACCCACCCACCATCCTCATCACCATACCCCAGAATCTGCCAGTGACTCGACGCAAGTTTGAGAAAGCCACGCCCTCGCCAACTGTACGCACCGAGCATTTCCGCATCCGGTGTATCGACCCCCTCGATTCTTTTCCTTTTGTCACTCGTCACAGGCTGATACTCGACCAAATCATCAAGCACCTCTGCGTTATTGGGCAACGACCGATACGTGATGGTAACATTACGGTTCGTCTTCCACATCGGCAATGTACTGTGTGTGACATGCCATCGTCCCTGGAGGAATTCGACTGTCGGTGCAGTGAAGTCACTGGGTTGAGAGATCAATGTGCATGGTGGGCGGAAGTTGAGGCCGGTTCGTTCTGTGTTTTTGCGTGTCGTGGTTCCAGGCTCTCCGACTGCCGTTCCGGTTTGGACGTGGCCATGGCCGTTGGTAAGGATGGTGGATTGGGTCGTGCTGGTCGTGTGGCTGGCCATTTTGGGATAGGACGGGATGGGATAACGGTCGGTCGGTCGGTCGGCTTCTAGCCGGGGAGAGGAGAGACGAGTCCGAATGAAGAGCGCGAAGGAATGCGTGCGTGGAGTGTGTTGTGTACCTATGTAAGGTAAGGTTTGGCTTTGATAAGCGCGCGTCTTTATTTATAAGGCTATACAGGGCCTGTTGAGGGTAAAGGAGAGGCGACTGGTTGTTCCTGATTAAGGATTTTCAAATGTGTATATTCATTTGCGATAGAAGAATGAATGGATGAAGAAAGGTCAAAGTAACTCATGTATGTCCATGAACTGCAACTAGTATGTATGTGTTTAGGAACCCATCCTTGGGTTTTCAGCTTATTATTAGTCCCAACATCTTCCTTCAATCAGGGTTTGTTTGCATCAATAATGCTCGACAATTAGTGTTTGGGCGCACCGCACGGAGGTCTTGGGCCTTGACTGTCAGCCTTCTGGGCACAAGAGTCACATGCCACCCATGCCTATAAATGCCCGTCTCGGCCCTGAACTCCAACCCAAGTCTCCGCCGAAGCGGTGCCGTTTGCCCCGAAACTGGGGCCTCTGGCCTATTATCCAATAATAAGAACAAACCAAGAATATTGGACAAGCCTTCTTTGGCTCACTGCCAACAACATCATGTTGATTGAATCAATCCCCTTCGACCAAGTTACAGGACAAGCAATGATCGTGATCAGTGAGTGAGCATCTATAGGACGCCTAAGCCGGATCTCCGTCAGCTCACCTTACGATCACCATCGTCACCGCCATAGTCAGCCTGTCGATCTGAGCCTGACGCATCATTATCACCATTATCATCACCTGCCAGGACACGTGGAACCTTTACCCTATCTGACCTTGTCCTGGGCTCCTGGACATTGTGACTCGCATGACAGCCAGTCTGCCAGTACAGCCTTGTGATCAGCCATGGACTGGCAAATTGGTTACACAGGATCCAAAAGAGTGATGTAATGGTGCAGCGAGGACATGTGACGAGCCACTACAGATGTCTTTAGTGAGTTTCTCGACTCTTTGTTCCTAGTTACCTACCTTTGGTAGGTGCCATAGGTAAGTACCACAGGGCAAGCCAACCCAGTCTCGTCATTCAAGGCTCAGGCAGACTTTGAGTGTTCGCCATGTTCCTACCACATTGGCCGTGCGACGAAAGATACGGCACCGAGGTTACCGCTCGCGACGAGTACGAATACGACTACCTACCTTACACCTGGCGAGCGTCTTGAATCGAAGTGTTCTGCACGTGACACAACTGGTCTTTCGACTTCAATCCTTTCCAAAGCACATGCCACCAACAAGTCAGCAGAACTCGTGATGCACACATGCCATCTATAAAAGGATCAATGCACATCTCTCAGACAAGGACACTACGTGAAGTTCAACATCAACACTGAGATGGCGCCATCACCCCGGTATCAAGATCGCACCAATTACAGCCAGCCTCAACTCCAACAACCGAACAATGTCGCATCTCTTACATAACACCCACCCACGCTGCCAGCCGCAGCACCTGGTAGTGTCTCTAAAAACAAGCCTTACTGTTGCATTCGGGGTCACTGTGTCTTCGAGTATGGAAATATGAAAACAGTGATCGTCTTTCGGCCTTGTGGTCTGCAATTCAAGATCAAGACATGTCACTTGAAGACCATCACACGGACCATATCTGAGTCTCCTCCATCTTACCAACAGTCACTGATCATTCCAACATACATATGTCTGTATGCTGCACCCCTCTGGCTCTCCTTCTCCCGCAACATACATCTATATGTTCCACTCGTACATCCCTGTTGAACATCTCTTCCTCCTAACGCTTGTCATCAGCCAAGCAGTCCTGGCGGAGATCATCAGTCTTGGCTGGTTACAATGACCGAACGCTCCTACGAGTCATTGTAGGATTTACCTTGCATCCTCAGGGTATACCTGGAGTTTCCACCCCGACCATCATCCCACTCTGCATCATGACTTGCTAGATCTGGTCATCATTTCTTGATCCTGCTCCGTCTTGCTACCACCTTGTAAACTGACGCGATTTCAACACTTTATGGCGAGAGAGTTGAGCGTCTAGAACGGTTTGTTGTATACATAATTCTGAGTTTTCACCATCATGTCTACATTGCCATCTAGCTGTCAATCTCGACACCAGGTCTCCTCTATTGAAACTAATAAAGGGGCCCGTGAAAATGACGTCGTCATCGTCCCCCGAAGCTAACAGCCCCAAACAGCCTCAATTGGAAGAAGGTCTTGATGGAAAGCACAAAGTCACTCAGAGTGCAGACTATGATGCTGCTGATGCCTCGTCTTTGGAAGATGTCACTTTTAAATTCGACGATTCCAGGAAATTGGGCACCACGGGGGCGGTGTTCTTGATTTTGAACAAGATGATCGGGACTGGAAGTATGTTATGGAAATCAGATTTCGCTACCCTTTTCTACAACTCGTGGTCAAACTCGTTTAATACTAACCGTGACAGTCTTCTCGACACCATCAGGCATCTTTGCAGCGACCGGGTCTGTGGGTGTATGTCTTTTCTTATGGGTCATCGGTAAGTGCGACACAAACTTCCCATGGAACCCTCCTCTATCTCCTCTACAACCAGCTAACCCTCCACCTTCACAGGTGGTATCCTCACCTTCGCCGGGTTAAGTGTATTCCTCGAGTTCGGCCTCGCCATCCCCCGCTCAGGAGGCGAGAAAAACTACCTTGAACGAGCCTATCAACGACCCAGACTCCTCGCCACTTGCGTGCTCCTCTCCCAAATGATCCTCCTTGGCTTCTCCTCCGGCAATTCTCTCGCCTTTGGACGCTACATCCTCTTCGCCTCCGGCAGCGAAGTCGCCGACGGATGGCAAGCACGAGGCATTGCCATCGCATGCGTGACATTCGCCGTTGTCCTGCACTCCACCCTTCCTAAATGGGGAATCCGCCTCTTCAACGTCTTGGGAGTCTTCAAAGTCGCCGTCCTCCTCGTCATCGTCTTCGGCGGCTTCGCCGCCATGGCCGGCCGCCTCAAGGTCCCCAATCCACATAACTTTGACAACGCATTTACCTTCTACTCTGGCGAAACATGGGGAAATGGCGGCGCATATGAATACTGTACTGCAATCCTGCGTATCGTGTATAGTTACAAAGGATGGGAGAATGCAAACTACGTGCTTGGAGAAATCAGGAATCCCACCAGAACACTCAAAGTTGCGGCGCCGTTGGCGATCGGTGGCGTGACGATTTTATATGTCCTGGCAAATGTCGCTTATTTTGCAGCCATTCCAAAGGAAGAAATGGCCACGTCGGAAGTCATTGTGGCGGGAGTTTTCTTTCGCAATGTCTTTGGAAATAGTGCGGCGGCGAGATCGTTACCGGCGTTTGTGGCCATCAGTAATTTGGGGAATGTGTTGGCAGTGAGTTTTGCTCATGCACGACTGAATCAGGAGTTTGCAAAAGAGGGTTTGTTGCCCTACAGTCGTTTCTGGGCGTCGAATAAACCGTTTAATGCTCCGGCTACTGCGGTAAGTTTTTCTCCCCCCCCCAACCCCCCAATATTATATCCAAGATTCTAACATCCTCTCTTCTGTACCCATCTAGCTCTTCCTCCACTGGCTCATCACAGTCATCATCCTCGTCGCACCACCCGCCGGACCAGCGTATAACTTCATCACCGATCTATACACATATCCCGGCGCATGGATCAATGGCTTCGTGGCCCTCGGCCTCCTCTACCTACAATTCAACAAATCCGAGAATTGGACCTCGCCATTCCATACCTATCTCCCTGTGACAGTGTTGTTCTTGGCCTCGAATGCCTTTTTGGCAATTGTGCCTTTTATTCCTCCCACGGGTCCCAAGGATCCAGAGGGATATCCGTTCTATGTCTTTCCCGTGGTTGGGGTGGGGGTTTTGTTACTGGGAGTTGTCTATTGGGGGCTGTGGATGAAGGGCTTGCCCAAGTTATTGGGGTATAGGATTGTAGCGGAGAGATATGTTTCCGATACAGATGGGAGTGAGACCGTGAGGTATAGGAAGGTTTATGGGAAACATTTGTGAGATAATGCGAGGAGGGGGGAGGAGTGAAAGGAGTGGGAGGGTTTTGATTGTGTGTTGGGGTTTAGCTATCTCAGATACATTGGAGGCGTTGAGGCACGAAGCTCCATAGAAGTTGATTGTCTAGTGCTGATAGATAGATAGCTGGAGATGTCGACACTATATTTCATCTCTTGGAGGATCCAGTATGTCATAGGATCAATGGAAACAACAAATCCTTTGAACTCGACTCAGCCTTGGCTCCTGTCACCTCTTCTTAACCAATCTACCGTTCAACCACGGCAAAACACTCCAGCCGAAAGACGTTTTGATGTCCATCGACTCCCAATCACCGATCTTCTCCAATGTAGCCTTGGTGTTTCTATTCATCTCACAGCCGCCAAGGAAGAAAGGCCAGCCGAGGAAATGGTAGATAATCTGAGCCACTCGGGCCAAAAGACTTCCTCCGTTACGCCAAGGGTTGCGTACGTGCTCGACGATGAGCAACTGTCCCCCAGGCTTCAACATGGAATACAACTCTCTAGCCGCGGCTTCTTGCTTGGGAACCGAGCACAGAACACGGAGACAGATGACAGTGTCGAAGAGCTCCTCCGACTGGGTGTTGACGCCAGCTTTGGCAAGGTTGAGTAGAATGGCTTTCTTTTCTGCTGGACATGGGAGCACGTGATATTTGTCGGTTAAGCCGGCTTCAGCAATACGCTCTCTTAGAGCACTATGAAGACCTGTGCTGGGCTCGGCGCCATAGATCTTCTTGATGGCGGGGAGGTTCTTGAAGAACTCAATCTGAGCTCCTGACCCGGGTCCAATGTCGAGAACAACGCCTTTGGCTTGAGCGATAATGCCAGGAATCAAAAGTGCAGACCCAGATGGAGGCTCCTGGCTGGCAACCGGGGCTGAGGATAGAAGGGGGGGTTAGTGGAAGGCGCTAGAGCAAGAGAGGAGGGTGAGCAGGCGGCAGAGCTATTTCTCACCTGTTAACCAAGCCCAAAACTCCGAAAAGGACGTGTCCTTGATTTGGGAGAAGTTCGAAGGGGTGGGAAAGTTTCGTTCTTGGATGTATGTTTTGTACATATTACGGAGCAGGTCTGGGGAGTGATTTTAGCTGAGGGGAGCTTCCCTGGGCGTTTTTGACAGGAGACTTACATCCAGCACTATAGTACATCATCCAGAAAGGGATGATCATACCTGCCAGTTGCTCTTGTAGTGGTGGCCAGTCCATGTTGAGGTCGGATCGGACGTTACAGCAAAGGAGCACGAGACTATTGAGGAAATGCAGTTTTAACAGGACTGACGGGGGAGGGGAATGTATGAATGAGAGATGTGGGAATAGAGAGTTTTCCAAGTGCAAGCTAGAGAGCAAGGAGGGATTTTATATGCTCGGAGACAAACCAGAGAATTATATGTCCGATTCAAGAAGTTGATTGGAAATGATATTGGTCGGACCGAGGGTGCGGGGAGGGCGCGGTCACGTTTATGTAATACATACCCTGGGAGAGTGAGAGGTTGATGGCTTTCACTTAACATGGACTCGCAGACGATGCTTATGGATCAATTCATAACATGTGAGGAGAACACCGGGCAGCATCAGGTGAGGTCTGCCTGGAGGTTCCTGTCGCCTAAATCTCAAGTCTTGTGTGTGCATATTGTGAGAGGACGTCAATAGTGAATCCTGAGGTCCATAGACATGATCTCCTTGGCCAGGCGCCCTCGGGCACCAGGGCGGAAATATCCGAGTGCAGGAAGTCCAGGAACAGAGCAAAACAAAAATTACAAGGTCAGAAGTCTCATTGTCTTGGCCCCATGACCACTTAAAACGGTAGAATAATGATCAGAGGCTCTTGCCAAAAACACAGAATTTGTAAGTGAGATTGTGTCATGCGTCATCAGGTTTCAGATACCGTGGGGGCATCTGAAGCATGGTAAAATGGAAGGCACGACCTGTATTCAAGTTATGTTGTCATGTTGAAATCTCACGGTGCTGTTGATAGCCTCCTTCTCAATCTATGCCAAGCTTTCATCTTTATCTTCCGGCCTCTCTCCCCTCTCCTTACAATATCTAATCTCCCATCTCCAACCCCTCCATCGTTCCATTATCGATAGGCCCAAGGGCCCCTCGGCCAATCACTCCCCAATGGCCAACATATCTCCCCTCTCCGCTCACCAGCCCCACGCCACGGTTTATCTGTTTAATTATCAGCTGTCCATTAATCACAGTCTCTGCCAGAGAGCAAGATAAGTTTCTTCGCACCTCCACTGACTCAAATATAAGTGTGCCGATTCACCAACTCTCTCCTCTTCCCGTTGAACGGCGCCGAGGAACTTGGTACATTCTCATCATGGACTCAACTACTACACCTGTCGCCCTCCAGCCGACCAAGTCACGTTTTGCAATCTTCAAGCAATCGACCCATCGTCGTTTCTCCAGATTCCATGGCCGAATTCCATACCTCAGGAAGCTTCCCTTGCCCGCCATTCTGATCATTGCCCTTTTGATCTTTGTGAACCTCGTCATCTGGGCGATATGTGGAATCATCCTCGCCTATCACACCGAACTCCTCTCCACCGCAGCATTGGCATACAGTCTGGGCCTCCGACATGCCCTGGACGCAGATCACATCTCTGCTATTGACTTGATGACTCGCCGCCTGATAGCTACTGGACAGAGGCCCGTCACCGTCGGAACCTTCTTTAGCTTGGGCCACAGTACCATTGTAATTGTCACATCCATCGTCGTCGCCGCTACTGCCGCCGGCGTTGCCGACCATTTCGATGGCTTTGGGAATGTCGGAGGCATTATCGGCACCTCAGTCTCAGCGGCCTTCCTTCTTCTGCTGGGTATCATGAACGCCTACATCCTTTACAAGCTTGTCGTTCAGATTAGAAAGGTCATCCGCATGCAACCTGAACAGGCTGCAGAAGAGGCCTGGAAAATCGAGGGAGGCGGCGTCCTCTTCCGTGTACTTAAAAAGATGTTCAAGCTGATCGACCGCCCCTGGAAGATGTACCCCTTGGGTGTCTTGTTCGGGCTGGGGTTCGATACTAGCTCCGAGATTGCCCTACTCGGCATTAGCAGTATCCAAGCCGCCAGAGGAACCAGTATCTGGCTGATCCTCATCTTCCCAATCCTCTTCACCTCCGGCATGTGTCTGGTTGACACCATCGACGGCGCACTTATGATGAGTTTATACGTCGCTCCAATGGACATGGGTGGTGATGACAAGAAGCAAGATCGATCCTCTTTCGATGTCACTACAGCCCCGGCAACCGTCGTTACAACAACCACCGAACGCGTCGGCTCCGAAGAATTCGAACAATCCCCTGCGACAGAGCCCGCCCCAGTCCAAGGAAATCATCGCATCAAAGATCCTCTGACATTTCTCTACTACAGCATCGTGCTAACGTCGCTGACCGTCGTTTGTGCTGTTGTGATTGGCGTGCTGCAGCTCCTCTCCCTCATTCTCAACACCGCACATCCCACCGGTGCATTCTGGGATGGCGTCGAGATGGCTGGCGAATATTACGAAATCATTGGCGGTGCAATCTGTGGTAGTTTTGTCGTCTTTGGCGGTATCAGTGTGCTGTGTTACCGCCCTTGGAAACGTTGGGTCGCTCGAGAACGAGCTCGGCTGCGAGCCCATGGAGAATTAGGTACTGGCAATGGCACAGGACCACCATACCGAGACGACGAAGGCCCTGAGCCTCGTTCTGACCTTGAAGATGCGGGTGAAGGTGGCATCTATCTTGATCGGGCTAGCCCAGAGCCATTGGTCGATATTGGAGGCAAGCCACAGATCCAGAAAGCCAGTCCAAAGGCTTTTGACACAGCTCCTCCTGGAACTACCCCTGGTGGCAGCGGCAGCGCTTTATGATGAATTTGACAAAGGTATATAACATATAGGTTCCCCCATATCGAGGGCGTGGATACGCCTTTGGACTATCGACGCCGTTGTACGGCGCCGCAACGCTACAAATATATACACTTTATATTCATTGCGTGCATGGCGCTGTGTTTCATGCAAAAGGTCCTAAGTCACCAGGTCTAATATCATGCGACTGTGACAGCTGTGTGCCCAATACCATCGTAAAACACTCATTTCGGCCACTTGAGAACCTTGATTGAATATCCATCAATAACCCGACCATGCTCCGATTCAGAAATTTCTGTATTGTCCAGTCATTGTGTGCGCACAAATCAAAAGCTCCATCATCCAGGTAACGGATTTAATATCAACCGTTGCCATCTATCTCCCTCAGTCCCACCGAGTGGTCAATGCTCACGGTCGGTCATTCAAAATCCAGAGTCAGAGACCGAGACCTGTCTGAGGCCGTTGGCCAGATGGCCATTGATATGCACGCCACTGTCACCGTTGGCCAAACCTGCAGCAACCTTGCCCTTTGCTTTCGTGGCGGCCGTCACCTCTTGCAGAAGGCCGGCGCTCGCGGCTACAAAGCCCAAATAAGGCGGGCTAGGTTTGAGAACTCGGCTGAGATACTCAGGGTGAAACTGAACACCCACGAAGAAAGGATGGTCCTTGAGTTCGATAATCTCCATCCGTTCTCCTTTGTCGTCTTTGCCGATAAAGGTGAGCCCAGCATCTGACAACTGTGAGATGTAGTCTGGGTTGACTTCGTATCGGTGACGATGTCGTTCATGGACACTCGCCTCATCGTTGTACAGGTGTCTCAGCCGCGACCATTCGGTGTCTTCCTGGAAGATGGTCGGCCGAAGTCCCAGACGCATATTGCCTCCCATGGTGGCTTTGTCGATCTCTGGCATGAAGATCACCACCGGGTCTGGTGTCTCGCCATTAAGTTCCACTGAAGATGCTTCTTTCAAGCCGCAGACATTTCGGGCGTATTCAATCACTGCAATCTGCATCCCCAAACAGATTCCCAGGTATGGCTTCTGCTTAGTGCGTGCCCAGTTTGCAGCTGCCATCATTCCTTCGGTGCCTCGGAGCCCAAATCCTCCGGGTACGAGAACCCCGTCTGCTGTGCACATCTCGTGCCATGCTTTGTGATATGCCTCCGGGGATGAATCCAAGGTCCCCTTCTCCAGGTCAGAGGCGTCGACCCAGACGAGATTCAGTTTCCGGTGACAAGCCATGGCGCTGTGTTCGAGGGATTTGATGACTGACAGGTAAGAATCGTGGAGGTTGGTGTATTTGCCCACCAAGGCGACCGTCACTTTCTCAGACTCGAGGAAGCGGGATTGTGAGGTGGTGAGGGCTTTCCAATCATGCCAGATGGACAGACCTTTCTTGACGAGGGCTGGTGAGATCTGGTATGATTCAAGACCAAGGAGTCCACGCAGCTGGATAAGGAGACCCTGCTGCTCAAGCAACATGGGCACGTGGTACGTCGAAGTCACGTCATGGACAGCAATGACTTGTTCGGGTTCGACTTGACAGAAGAGGGCGATCTTGTTGGTGGTGGACTCGATGAGCGGTTCGACGCATCGACAAGCAATCTGAGAAAATCGGTCAGCTCAATCGTGATACCGTGGTCCTGGATGAAAAAATACCAGGTCTGGGGACAACCCAGCGGATCGTGCATCTCGGATGGCTTGCTGGGTTGGTTTTGTCTTTTGTTCTCCGCTGATGACCGGCACCAGGGAAACGTGGATCTGGCAGAAATTGTCTCGACCGGCTCTTCTTCTCAATTGTCTCATGGCCTCGATGAAGGGCGCACTCTCAATGTCACCGACAGTACCACCAAGTTCGATGATACAAACATCCGGCTCTTCCTTGGTATCATCCACAGGGATTCTCGCCACCCGCTCGATCCAATCTTGAATGGCATTGGTAACGTGAGGGACCACTTGGACAGTCTTGCCCAGATAATCACCCTTTCGTTCCCGCTCAATGACATGCTGGTACATTTTGCCCGTTGTGACGCTATTTTCTCGTGTCAAGGTGATGTTGAGGTATCGTTCGTAATTTCCAAGGTCAAGATCGACTTCTCCGCCATCATCCAGCACAAAACATTCTCCGTGCCTAAAGACTGTTAGAAACGAGTAGGAAAGGGCGCGGTGATTTCGGAGACCAACTCGGTCGGAGCCATAGTGCCTATCAATTAATCATATTAGTCAATGGCGTCCATTAATACCAATCAATTCAAGAAATATTCACCTGCGTCGACATTGATATAAGGATCGATTTTGATAGCCGTGACTTTAAGACCCAGAGTTTTCAACAACAACCCGGTCGACGAGGCTGTAATCCCTTTTCCAATGCCGGAAATCACACCACCAGAGACCAAAATGTACTTCATCTTGAAAATATCAACTCTCTTGTCACGCCTTATCCTTTGTTCGTTTTTGGCACGTAATTTGTCGCCTCTGAAGCCAGGAAATAAGAGGACGCGACAAAAACAGACGAAAAAAGATAAATCGCGACAAAAAGGTGAATTTCAGCAGGCTCAAGCGACAATCTGGAAATAAGACCTATCGACAGGAATGTCGTCTTTGTTAGAAATCAAATCGTATCGTAAAATGTAGGTCGCCGTCGCTGGTGCAGCCCAGCGGGGAGGAGGGGGAGAGATGAGATTTCGGAGTCGAGAATCCATGATTAAAGAAATTCTGGCGCTGCAGTCTTGGCACAGCAAAACACTTTGCATTACAATGGTACTTAAAGTCGCGAATCTATGTTCTACTTAAGTTTAGTACTACTTTCGTGTCACCCGTAAAGATGGACGCGTGGATTGGCTAAAGTGCCTGAAGACAGTGGATCGCTTACCTAGGGACGGGCTATTTGTACCGCGATCTGGCAGTACGGAGTACGGAATAGCACCTAAGGCAACTAAAGGGAAAATTCTTCTACCCAGGCACACCCCGGGCTGTTGCCGATATTGCCCGCTTAAGTCACTACACGTGACTAACACAGGGGCTTCACACCTTACTTGTACTCGAGGACTGTATATCACGGCGAAGCCACATCAAGTCTGAAGTCGTCTGTTCGTCATTCTGCAGAACAGCTATATTGTTGTACATTGATCTTGTGTTCAAGCCCAACCATGATCAAGCTATAGAACAATCATGTTTTTCATCTCATCTCATTACATCCATAACCATCAACCCGTGCCGCAATATATACATACACAACATGATCATTGAGTCTGGCTCTCAACGAAATCAAGGGCATTTTCAATCGTTTCGACGCGAATACTGGAGACGTTTTGTGCAAATGTCACACCATAGACTTTGTCGGCAACACGCAACATTTCTGGTCTGAACGTCGTGCAAATGAATTGTCCTCCAGTTGCAGCTTCATCTTCATCTTCATCGTCGGCCTTGTTGGCAAGATAATTCAAGTGATCGGCAACTGCAGTTCGATATTGGGCGTCTAGATTGGCGTCGATCTCGTCGAAAATGTAGAATGGGGCGGGATCGGTGGCTTGGATGGCAAAGATGAGGGCAAGACTGCACAAGCCTGTAGATCAGATTAAATTAGTCACATGCATTTTAAACTCGTTCATGGGGTGTGTGGGTGTCATACTCTTTTGTCCTCCACTCAATTGCTGGATACGTTGCTGATCATCGTGCTTGCTGTTGAAGCTGACGCTGATTCCAACTCCAGTGTAGCTTTCCACTCCGCGTTTGGCAACGGGTTCTTGGTCGGATTCTTCTTCGTCGTTGTCCGGATCTTTAGCGTCGGTTTTTCGTTGGATGATCAGTCGACCTCGTCCAGCGGGAACTAGCTTTTGAAACACTTCTGCGAATGCTTTGCTGACTTGTTTGAATGTTCGCTCAATGGCCTCGTCTTTTCTCTGATCGAGGACCTCAATTAGATTCTGAATGGAGGTTTTGGCTGATGAGAGATCACTTCTTCGTGCCTCGAGTTCTTCTCGCTGCTTGACCGATTTTCGATAATGCTCAAACGCATGCTTGTTGACGGAGCTGTATTTCTTCAAAGCTTCTTTGGTCTTTTGCAGCTTCTTCACAATCGTGTTGGAATCTGTGGACCGATACTTGATACGTGATTCTTCCGGAATAGGCCCAAGTTCCCGGATATTGTCGAGTGCATCTTGCTTGGATGCCAACAATGCGGCCTTCTTTTGTACAGACTTTTCCAGTCGTCGCTGTTGTTTGTCAATGGCTTTGGCCAGCTCGTCTTGTCGCCGACGGATCTCGCTTGCTTGAGACTCTAATCCTGCTGCTTCTGATGCGGCTGCCTCAAGGCGATCGTCCAGTTCGCTGATCGTCTTTTGCACCAATTCAAGGTCTTTGGTCAGGCGGGCCAAATCTGCACGCTTCGCACGAAGAGCGCTGGAAGTATCGCCTTCCGATTCCCCTTCGTCAGCCTCTAAAGCGTTGAGATGTGGCCTCAAACTTGAGTTCAGCTTGACTTCGAGGTCAGCTTTACGGGCTTCGGTTTCAGCACGTGAGGCTGAGAGCTCGTTGTATTGCTTTCTAGCGGTCTGAATGATCCCGGTCAATCTTTCCAACTCGGCCTCTTCCGCTGGTGTCAACGCTTTCTTAAATTCCGAAGCCACTTCTGCCTCATATGCCGCTTGTTGTTCTGATAGAGCCTTGACATTTGATGCAATGGTCGCTTCTTGTCTCTTCTTGGCTTCGATGTCGTCCTTTTTCCGCTGAAGAAGGTCAAACTTGCTTCTGATATCCTGCTTCTGCATTCTTTGGTTGCTTTGAGACTGGTTCTTTTTCTGTTCGAGCTTCTGAACCTCACCGACTGATTTGGTCACCGTCTGGTCAATTTTCTCAATTTTCTTCTTGATGTCATTGCTCTCCACCTGGAGCGCATCGAACTTTTCGCGTGCGGCGAGAACGGCCTTTGTAGCCTTCAACCGTGAGGACCGAACATCGTGATAACCTCCAGTCAATGCACCTTTCTTGTCGGAACGGTCTCCTTCTGGCGTTACGGCAGTCAGACCATGGGTTCTCGCATACTGGGCGGCGACACTCAGGTTTTGTGCGATGATAGCTTTTCCAAACACCTGCTGGACCGCCTTTTCATATTTGGGATCGTAGTTGATAAGAGACATCATCGGCCGAGCATCTTGAGCATTGGGGAGATTAGCAGTCTTGGAATTGAGGCGGTTAAGCGGCATGAAAGTAAGTCTCCCAGAACGTTCACGGTTGAGTATTTCCATGACCTTGGTCGCAGTGTCATCGTTGTCAACCACATAGTGGAACAGTGATGCACCAGCAGTGACTTCGACCGCGGTGTGATGCTGGGGGACGTCAATCAATTCTGCTAGAGTGCCGTAGCATCCTTCAAGGTTGTATTGCTGCTTGATTCGCCGCACAGCTTCGAGTCCACGACTGGTGTTGCCATCCATCATGTGAGAAAGATTGCGTTCAGCTTTCCTCAACTCATCCTGTGCCGCAGCAAATTCGGAGCCCAGTTGGGCTTCTCGTCGCCACAGAAGCTTCCGCTCATCCATGAGATGGTCCTTGCGTTCATTTGCTGCTTGAATTTCGCGATCAAAAGAGTCGTCGTGCTCGCCGGTCTGATTCTGAAGCTGTTGGATCTCTTTCTCCAGCTCAGCGATCAATTTCTCGTCTTCGGCAATGCCTTCAGCGGTTTGCATCCGCGTCGCCTTGAACCGTGATAATGACTCGAAAGCCTCGCCAATCTGAGCCTGCAGCCAATTGTCGCGGTCCTTCTTGGACTTGAATCTCGCGCTCCGACCTTGCTTTTCGTAGAGCCGCTGCTGCGACGCCACGGCGTCTTCTAACGTGGTTTTCACCTCCAACTCCTTTGCTTTCTCCGCTTCGAACTGTGGGATAATTTTCTTGAGCTCTTTCTCGATTTGCTGGATTTGAGATCGAACTTGCTTCAGCTCTCGATCACGACTTTCCCGAGTCCGCTGTGCGGCTGACTGGCCATGGGCAAGGTTTCGCTCTTCTAATTCCACTTGTGCTCGTGCCTTTGCCTTTTCACGTCTTTCGTCTTCAAACTGTTTCTTCTCGAGGCGCGCAGCTTGGATCTGCTGATTTAGAAGCTGGATTTGTTGAGTGATATGGGCCAACTCCTCCTCCCCTTCTGCGTGACGCTCTCGACTTTCATCAGCATCATCAATGCCGCCGACTCTTCGATCCTCCAGACCTGCAAGGGCTTTGTTGATCTCCTCCTGCTCTCGGTGAAACAGTGTATACTCCAAGGCACGCTTCTCTTTGTCTTGCTCTTGAAAGTCACGTAGTTCTGCCTGCTCTTCTTCCAGTTCTGCCAAGCGTTCGCTGATCTGCTCAAAGGTCTGATCTATCGCGGCGAGTTTGTTGTTGGTATCGGCCATGATTTTTTGAGATTCCTCTTTCTTTGCAACGAATTGTTGCGTCCCTGCAACGCTCTTGAGGACGTCCAGACGCTCCGAGTCTTTCATATTGGTGAGTCGTGTAATGCGACCTTGTGGGACGATATAGTAGGGGTTTGCGCGAGAGAAGCCGGCATTTTCAAGGAGTTCTATCACATCCTTTTTTGTGGCGTTCTTGCGATCCAGAGAGAATTCGTCCTTCTTGAGACCGATGGTACGTCGCAGAATTAGTTCGTCATTGCCATTGGGGAATCGGCGGTCGGTATTGTCAAAGACGACCTCGACATAGGCCGACATGACGGCGGATCCAGAACCTTCCTGCGATAGATCAGAGTCGAGATTCTATGCGAAGGAGTGACATGCATACATGTATAAGAGCCTGCCGCTCTTCGCGGCCCATTTGAGAATAGGCATCACTCAAGACAAAGCGAATGGCGGCGAAGAAGTTACTCTTGCCAGAGCCATTGCGACCCACGACTACATTGAGCTTGGGGGAGAAGGGGTCGACAATTGTCTGGTTCTTGTAGCTGCGATCGAGGTTAGATCATCCCAGAAGTGCGAATGGGGCGCATGAATACCTTTTGAAGCCCTGGATGGTGATCTGTTTGATATGCATCGTTGCGCCGATTCAGATCTCAGCCTCTGAGAGGAAGATCGTGATCATACAACTAATAAGTTGAGGCATCAGAACTCGCGGGACGCGGTGGCCGACGCGTCTGAGGGGGAGTCTTGGCACATTTGCCCACTCCCGGTCACGTGTCTGGACATTGACCACGTGATGGACAGGACAATGGTTCTCCTGAATAAATCATCTCCTGTCTGGATCATGATTAGGCAGAGCGTCTATGCAAAGGGAAACCGAAATACTTTGTTTGTGTGGACATGTTATTACTACACTGCTATACCTAGCGCCTGTCATGGCTACTCGTGCTTTCAGTAAGACGCCAATAGATTGGTGAAAGTGCCGAACTCCATGGACTTCACTCTTGACCTCATCGTCAATAATATTACATATTTGTGTCCCTTAGAAGGCATAACATCTATGCCTAGTAAGGTCGAGTAATGTTTCTTTCCGCATAGTAGGCTGCCAATTCCCAAGGTCCGAGGTTGACTTCACATTCGGTACCTTCCTCGGGCAAATCACCATCCACAAAGTAGGTCTGAATCTTCTCGGCCACGCAATCGCTTGGATTGGGGAAGATTCCGTGCCCATATCCGTCGTGAATTAGGACAACACTATCCTCGAATCCAGCGCTTGCGTTGAAAGCGCCGATGGCGGGCGTTCCGGCATCGTATTCGCCATTGATGAGGAGGATCGGGTGACGAGTTTTGACCCTAAAGTCACCTTGATACTGAACCACATCAGACATATTCCAGGCTGCGCATGGCCATAGTGCTGAATAGATGACACCAAATCCCTCTGTGGAGTTGAGCTGCTCAGCCAGTGTTGGCAAGTATTCTTCTGCCGAAGAAACTTGGAAAGTCGCATCGCTACAGCGGATGCCCATGATCGCATCAACACCAAGGTTGTATGGTTCAGGAGCCGATGAATCAGTATCTCCATCTTCTTCCTCTCCCTCCACCTCGCCTAGCAGGATGGCTGCAAGCTGTTCGGCTAGGATGGGCCATCGTGATGGATTGTACAATCCCGTTTGTATGGTGTTTTTGAATTCAACATATGCTGTAAATACCTCCAAGGATGAGGCGGCTTCTGCAGTGATCGGTAGGAGAAACTCGTCCATAACCTCGAATATCTCGGCAGAGGTGGTGGCGTTCGTTGCATTTACAAGGGCACAGGCGTCGGCGTTTGCGACACACTCGTCAATGAATGCAGCAAAAGTCTTGTCGATCTCCGCAGCGAACTTGGCATGGGTTCCCATCTGAAAGAGAGTTGGGTTGACATTAGCATCGAGAACCATTCGGTCCACCTTCTCTGGGAACATGGCAGCGAAATAGCTTCCTAACGCAGTGCCGTATGAGTATCCATAGTAGCGGAGCAGGCCATCCTCGTCAAGTGCATCAATGATAGCGACCATGTCATATGCTGAAGAGCTTGTGCCGATGTATCGTCCGATTTCACTGTTTGCTGCGTAGCATGCTGCAGCCGTCTCAACCGAAAAGTCCCAGCCGACGTCCAAAAAGAGCTCGGTGAGATTGGTAGAGGGGAGGACTTCGTCGCGACGCTGAGGTCCGCTATTCTCGAGCGCATCGGCTAAGCCACAATTGAATGGCAGAGTCTTGCCTGTACCGCGATAGTCCCAGGCAATCAAGTCGAACTGGCCACCAATATTGAGGTGTAAATCCTCAGCGCTGAATGGTAGCGTTTCGGTTCCCGAAGTTCCTGGGCCACCTGGGTTGTACAACACACTACCAAGAACTGGCTCCTTGGTGGCGTTGACCTTTATGAGGCTCAGTTCAATCAGCTCCGAGGCGTTAGGGTTGCTATGATCCAGAGGGACCTCAAGTGTTGCACAGTCAAAAGGGGCCATCTCAATAGTCGGGATCGAAGCAGCGATCTCCTCATTGAGTTCTGGACATGGCCTCCACTGTAGTGTAGCTCTTTTCTGGTGAGGCAAAGCTGTGATTCCAGCTGTTACACTGAGGATCAATAATGCGGCGGAGAGTGACATGGTGATTTTGATGAATGAAGTCGGGAAATCAATCCTTGGTGATTTGAGAGGCTTGACAAACAAACTCGGGGCATTTGAGGCCCTTTTTTATGTTGCTTGATCGTAACTATGAAACCTTGGTAGACCGTATGATGTCGATGTATCCACCGACCGTGCAGCCCAAGCATTTTGAGCCATCTAGTTCTAACTCAGATCCTGGGAGAGGCCTGATCGGTCAAAGAGGTAGGTGGATCGAAGAACAAGAATGGAAGTTGAATAGTCCTGTGATCGGATCGGCAAACTCGACTCTCCAGCTTCCAAGTATATCCTGAGAGGAACCTGGTACGCCGAGAGGCTTGGAATTTCCCATGTGGTATGTTTCCCGGCACCATCGTGGGGATAGAGTGACTAGAGGATAGTAGGTGTTTTGATCTTCGCTCAATTCGTACTCGTACTTTAAGGTGTGGCTATAAGGTACAAAAGGCTCGGCTGACGACACGGCCTCGGGCACCAGGTCTTCACACGCCCTGATTCGCTCAATTATCTACAAGATGAGTTTCCCGACGCAGGATCCGCAAGGCTTTCGATACTCGAATATCACATCATTGCCTATAGCAAGCCCACGAGTGCCACAATAGCTTAAGTGCACAGCCTTACAGGCGGTCATGCACATCAAGCATGCAGTGGCACAGCGGCCCATGTTCCAAACTTAGGCATCACAGCCGTTCGAGTGTTGACGATCGGCTATCGAAAGGCGGAACTCCGCGTGTTCGTGTGCATTGGACACTACGGTACAACTACGAGACGCGCCATAGAACCATGCTGCACTGACGCATTTCATCTCGCCTGGGGGCCCTATAGTATAGTGGGTCTGTTCACATGGTCAGCATAAGCTGCCAATGGCAGAAGAGCGTTAGCAATCATTACATCAAGAGCCAGCAAGGTGCATCACCCACTTGAACAAGGCGACCATCTACGCCGACATAAAGGTCTGCTTACCTTTGAGTTTTTTGGGGAAACAACACCCAAGATCGAAGGGAAATTGGTCCAACTCGTTTGATCTCGAAGCTGATTGACCCTAAGCGAAAGAAGCACCATAATCACAGCTGGATAGTATATTCTGCATTTAAACTACTTCTTCAGTATGGTCTTCTATGGGAGACGGCCTATGTGGCAACTACTTTTCACTGCCTAGGTCTCCCAGTCGCAGATACTTCGCAGTTCTAGCGCAAGGAGGCACTTCGGTTATGCTGCAGTGACCTTTGACATCGTACGACCCCCAAACTTTCCTGAAGGTGGTATTGAGTGGCAGTGAATGCTGGGCTTCAGGCAAAGTGGACATTGTCGGCGACTGTAACTGACTCTCTCCGTTGTCCAACCTGAGAAACCTCGGGATCTACCATCTTGGCTCTTGTGGCGGGTCCCCCACATTGCGTCATGTACGCAGTATTCCACCTCTCCGCTTGTTCTGCCCAGGCTGACTTTGCTCTGACCTGTTTCCTCGAGATGTTCTCGGTGGTTCATGGTCAGTCCCTTGTGAATATAGAGCCCGCAGGATCGTCATCAGAGAATCCTTCGGCTCCAGCAGACTTGAGGATTGTTAGGTGATCTCCATAGTGAGCCCATACCTGCTTCCATCTCCGGGGGGCAGTTGAGGTCAAGTAAGGACACAACATCACTCAAATAGGTCGGCACAAGTCAATATTCGAAACCTTCACACGGAAATACCTTACCATTAGTGATATAGGTCAAAGTACATAGGTTCTCAGGTACCTTTGCCTGTAAATTTACCTGCCCGTAGTCGACCTACTTTTTTTGCGGAGCAGATCAAAAGGCCAAGAGACACCAGTAAAAAGTGCTCGTGAACGCTAGCCTCTAGGAGAAAGATGACATAACAAAAGCTCCGAAAAAGTGAATCTTGCTATTCTCTAACATTAAGGCAAGTCTCGAGGACAATGCTATATACATAGGTGGCGGCTACCAATGATGTGCTTCTTCTACACAGGAAATCAGGTAGCGTCAGCCAAATTCGTATAGCTTGAACAGCGTGTAGATCGGGACTTCCCTCTGAAGTCATAACTCGCACGGAAACAAGTATTTGTGTCTTTGGATCCAAAGTGGAATCACGAATTGATGGTCTGCAAGCTTTGCCATTCATGTATCAGGCTGAATAAGGACGGCAAGTTTCCTGTTGCAAGTCACACCATGTGACTTTCGCATCCCTCCTCAGAGAACTTGGCCATTTCACGCAAGAGGTGTGCTCATTTGGACTGCTTTATCGTCAGTTCTGCTCGTAGGAGGGTCTTCGGTGACTGCCGAGGCGCCAATTAGATGAACATCTACTGCTTCGTCTGGAGAAAATGGGGGCTCACTAATGTTCACCTGCGAGCAACTTTTTGACTTGCGATTACAGAACTACTAAGTCTCTCGACAATTGTCGATACTGCGAAGGAAAGAATTGGGACCCTAGCAAAGGACGGATATCTCGTCAAATGCTGATGAAATGTAATTTGATTGGTTCCAGCGTCTCTGGGCCGACTAGAGCCTTGCAGACGACACACCGACTACATATCAGGTATTTGTGCAAGGCAATTGAAAATGACAGTGGCTGATGATGAATTGCATGATAGTGTCTGGCTGAATAAGAAGAGTCACTATGGACACCAACCACTCTTATATGACAAGCATAGTGTAGAAGAAATGAGTAGTAAGATGACAAATCATCTCTCTCCCGGATCGATGAGTTACTCACGGGGTCAGGTAGCCCCTAGAGTCTCTTTGAGAATCGGAGCTCCAAGTTCCACCATGGCGCCCCCGGCCTGCGGTTTAGAGGGTGTATCTGAATTGCGGATTCTTCAAGTCGGTGAGATCATCGTCGTATGCATTGTCGAATGACTCGGCGCCAACTTTGTCGCGAGTCTTATTCTGCCAAACACAGATGGCACGATAGACCTGTGCGAGTAGAGCAGTTGCGATAGAAGTGACAACAACGGTGATCCAGCCGGTCTTGTATCCTGGCGCTTCATCCGCCTTGAAGACCATGGGGGCTAAGATATTACCTGTAATGATGTTTAGCAGTTATTGAGCTGGAGGGACTTTGAGTACCACATACCGCCACAGTACCCGACAAAAAGACCAGACGACGCGAGGGACTTTTTAGTATAGCCAGCAGTGTTGGCAATGGCTAGACTCATCATCACAGCGTATCCACCGCCGTATGATGCAAGGATGTAGATAGCGAATAGGCGGCCACCAACCTGTTCTATTGGCAATTGCCAAAGAAGAAGCGACGCCAGAATGGTACCACTGACACAGATCGTGACTAGGTGAGCTCTCCACCCTGGGAATCTGTATGCACAATATGGCGCCACTAGTGAAATGGTTCCAGTCACGAAGCCAGCAGGCAATAGTAACAGCAGCGAGTTCAGGCCACTGAAGCCAAGCTGACTAATGATGATTGGTGCAAATGTCGAAAAAGGTCCGTTGGCGACGACAATACAGAATGCCATTGCGAACACCAGCCAGAACTTGACGTCAAGTAATATTTCCCACAGCTGTGCAATCTTGAAATGGGTGTTGCGCACCCCAGAGTTGTTGGTTCGCATGCGAGAGACGGCAATGAATCGCTCTCGCTCGGTGAAGCCCTTAGCACGGACTGGATCTGGGGGCATAAAGAAGTAGATGACGAACGCCCAGATGATAGTGATAGATCCCGCAAAGATATACATGTATCGCCAAGGTGCAAGAGCACCACCAGTGATATGGCCTAGTCCGTAGTTAAGTAATGGCGAAACCATTGAGGCATAGCCTGTGGAGCAAAACCAGATGCTGTGAAGTCCGCGTCAGATGCTGCTCCCAACCGAGTCTCCAATACTGTCCTGGAGTGCTTACCCCATACGAAGAGCCTGTTCTTGTTTTTTGTACCACCTGAAAAGGATTAATGCCAGGTTCAGAATGTAGCGCAGGGACAACTCACAGTCCAACCACCATCATCCATGCTGGGGATACGCCTGATTCGAGGAATCCCAGAAAGAATCTTTGGACATACAGGCCTTGCCAATTGACACAGGCAACAGTAAGGATGAGGCAGACCCCCCATATAAAAACGATACCGAAAATGACTCGCTCAATTGAATACCTTTGTGCCAAAATAATGGCAGGATAGGCCCCAGCGATGAACCCTAGGTAGAAAATTGAAGACGACATAGAGTATCGGTTGCCGATATGGAGGTCGAGATCCTCTCGCAAGCCAAAAAGGGCCTTGCTAAAGTCAGCTATTGGTGGATTATGCGGATTATTGGGGAACAAACTGCTTGAGAAAGCATAGCCTTGTCGTAATCTGTTTCACGATTTCAGTACGTAAGACCAATAGTGGAAACGACACAGAACTTACACTGGAGTCCGTAGGTCAAAAAAAGGATCAGCAACAGTCGTTTGTCGATTTTCCTAATGAGCAACTTCTCCTCTTGCTCAGTCCATTCTCGATCGCCATCATAGTTGACGATGACTTCGAGCGCCTGATCATTATGAACAGTGTCAACTTTGCCCTCTTTTGGAAGGTCCTGGTCGAAGCTCTCGGCACGTTTCTCCTCAGAGTTGATGTTGTCGGTTTTTGTCGGTTCTGCCATGGTAGTGATACCGATGCTTAATCTGGAATTGATGTGATCGAAGGCATGATTGTGGGAGCGAAATGCAACTTCATATACTCGGTAATGGAGGGTAATGTGAAACTGCAATAGGCCTGAAGTAAAGCGAGGAAGCCATAGCGACGCTTGTAGTGCGGTGATAACGACAGCCTTCTTGGCAATCCAAGAGATTCTGGGGTAATTGGGGTATTTGGGATAGACAGACACGACAGAGAATCCAGACGCCCAGCCTCAATTTCCTTGGTTTTGGGTCGCGTCTGAGCACTGATAAGGGATGCTGGTAAATATGCTTGCGCAGAGGGAGTCGATGGCGAACAAGTTGCTGGGCGGTATTCAAGCTGACGAGCCCGTATCGGAGGTCTATTGTTGCCGCTATCTATTCCAGCATAAGGTCAAGGATAAGACATAAGATATTTGAGTATTGAGGATTCTCTTATCGCATTCTGGAGCCGATAGGGGAGGTCAAGTCCGGTTGTGGAGATGTGGCAGCAGTACGGAGTAGTTGGGCAAACTTTGAAGAGGCTAGATCCAAGCAATCGGTCCAATCCGGCGCGTACATTGTCGAGATATCAGTGTGTTTCATTTCCAGTCGAAGTTGCTTTACATAAACAAAGGTCGTCGAGTTGACACATTGCCTGACAACCGCTTGACATTCCAAGAACGACAAACCACCGTTTGATTTACAATATGATCAAGACTACTGATCAAATTCACCTCCGCTGCACCATTGCAGCATTACTTTCATTGGCACTGCGATCCACTGTTGAAGAGAAGGCGCTCAAAACCCACTATCCTCAGGTAAAGTATGTAAAGCCATTCCGGGGAGTCTAACCGATAACAGCCGAGACGATCACGTGTTGGCCCTCGGCATAAGTCAGCGTAACCCACCTTCGCTATTGACTTCCAACTTGTCCAATTTGGGCGGCAATAGCTTCGCTCCTGTAGAGACAAGGTATAAAATGAATGAGTAGGAGACAACGCGTCGAATATCAAGACAGCAAGATTCCGCACGCGCTTTCCAAGGCAATTATCGTATCAACTAGTGAAACATGGCTCTCGACCTTACTCAGCTCAAGGGGCTGTTCTTCGATATCTATGCCACTCTAATCGATTGGGAGGCGGGAATATACCCTCATTTGTATCGTTTGAGTCAACGCGCACCACAAAGCCAACGCCTCAGTGACAGTTCGGAAACACGAACAAAGCTGCTCGGTCTCTACGAACACTACTGCAAGAAAATATGGAAGGATCATCCCGCTATGTTGTTTCCTGAGGTTCTCGAAAAAGTCTACGCTCACATAGCATCTGATCTGGGTGCTGAGTTGGACCTAGAAGCCCAGGCAGCCTTTGGAAGAAGCATCGGAGAATGGCCTGCCTTTCCAGATACCATTGACGCCATGAAAGTACTTGCCAAATACTATAAGCTCTTTGTGCTGAGCAACGTTGACAACGCGAGTTTTGACCGGACTCGAACAGGACCGTTGGGGGGAGGACATTGGGACGGGATCTATACCGCAGAGATGATCGGGTCTTACAAGCCGGACCCCAGAAATTACCAATATGTCGCCAAACGTATGGAGGAGGACTTTTCCATCGAAAAGGACGAGCTCATCATCGTTGCACAAAGCTTGGATATTGACCACATAACAACCACAAAGCTGGGATTTAAGCCTGGGGTTTGGATTGCACGCAGCCAGAACTCCACTATGGGAGGAAAACGAGAGGAGTTGGAAAGTCAGGGGCTGTTGAAACTAGGTGCCGTCTACGAGACTCTGGGAGAATTTGCCGCAGCTGTAGAAAAGGCCTTTGCAGACAAAAAGAACTAAGTTATCATGTCAACTGAAAGAGCAGTGAGTTAGACGACATGTTATAACAAAATATATAAAGAGCCGTCATTCATACCAATCATGACAACTCATTCTTACGCGGATCTAGATTGTGCATGGCAGATATTCGTTTCTTCGGTTGCCATACTGATTTCCAGTAACATCTGCTGTCACCACTCTGTTGAAATCTAATATCTAAGATCGAGGTCTGGACATTGGAGGCACATCTCCAGGCGCCCTCAATAAGCTTTTTTGAATAAGCTCTTGAATCAGGGATCAGGTTCAGTAGTCTGGTGCTTTCGCTATTGATTGCCCTCCTCACATCGACGTATTAAACTTACTCGGAGTTCTCGAGACGCTCCGGGTCCCCACCAAAAGTCAATTCCACTTGGCATCTTCCAACCGTGCATCCTCGTTATCAGGATCTCGACGTGTGGCACTGCCTTCAACTCACAATCAACTGACGAAGCAGGTGATATCTTTGTGTCTCTGAGATCTGCGTAATTATTTCGCGATCAACTGCCGCCGACTCGATGACATGTCACGCGACTGTATCTACGGTACGCTGTGACTCAAGTTAATCGATTCTCTGCAGTACAGCAGGCTTGATAATATCCAGCCAGTGTTCTCGAGAATTTGGCGACAGCGTCTGTGGACATTAATGTCAATGACTCGAGGGTCAATTTGCCTACTTAATATCTGTGCGGAACAGGACTTTGCTTGATCTGTTTCCTGGCTGTTGTCGTTATTTTTACACAACAGGGAGAAAATGGACCAACATTGGAATTTCATACAGGATCATCCCTTGGTGGTAACCGCAGTCCTAACAACGCTCGGTGTTGGATATGCTGCGAGGAGGAGGTTCAAGAATCAGAAGGCGAGATCAAAGTATGCTGTTCCGGCGATCGATGCGCAGGAGAAGGCTTCATTCGATGCTGCAGAAGTCGACATTGCCACAGCCTTTGGACCTGTCACACCGCTCAAGGACTTCGACTATCAGACATCAGAGCCACCAAGTATCTACAAATTCTCCCCTAAATATTTCCTGACAATGGGTACGCCTGACCATTATTCTTCAGTGAGCACGTTGTGGTTCTAACTCTCATGGATCAACAGGCATCCAGAAAACAACAATTGACAACATCATCAATATTGATCACAGATACCTCTCTCGACTCTCGGCACGTCGAGCCATTGCAGCAGCCCGACCAGAAGTGATTGCCTGTCTTCCCGTTGCTGAGCCTGCAGTTTTCGAATTCTATACCTATATTGTTCAGAACTGGCTACCACAGCGATATCCCACGATATTCACATTGTCTTCTGAGGAGCAGGTGTTGCACAACAGAGTCACGGGTGAGACTCTGCCACTGGCACATCCAGTCACCGGAAGGGAGGCTCTTGAGCTACTCAATCGCAACCTTGATGATGACTTTTTGTTCATGATGCCCACTGGGAATGAGGAAGGGCATGGCTTCCTCCTCCAGGCTCTGATATGGGCGTTTCCCGACCACACGGATCCTGCAAAACGTCTGGGTGCTACGTTGAACGATTTGCATGCCCGTGTGCCCGGCTATCGCGAGAAGCTGGAAGGCAGCCTCGATCGCTTTTTTAGAAAATTGGAAATTGGAAGGATAATCTGCCGTTCAAACGTGAGATATTCCTGCCTTCTTACTGTGCTACGATGACTGAGAACATGAAATAGTGGGGTATCTCAATAAAGGCTTCGCAGGACGAGAGCCAGCTTTCAAAGGATTATCTGTCAGCCGACAAGAAAAATGATCTCAGTCCATCAAAGGTATGTACTACCGGTGTGATCTCGCTTTCTTCTCATTCTTACCCATCTTCCAATGTCCACAGATATTCGTTCGATGTGAGCTTCAAACTCTATTTCGACTACCAAAATCAGGTGCACGTATCTTTGTCATTCACGAATACGTCTATCCCTTACAGAGATTGAAAGACGAAGGGAAAGGCCCTGAGCTGATAGAAGCTATCGACGGACTGAAGGAAGGAAACGTCCCTGCAATGTGGAACTACAAAAAGTAAGTGACGGACCATTTCTTCAAACCATATACTGATGTGTTCGTTTCCCACCTAGAGCGGATGATTGGCATGTTCAAGTAAAGGAATTTCTCCGTCAATAGAGGACGCGAAGAGTGTAAAGATTGTGGTCATGAGCCGAGACTTCCTGGCGTCTGATCATCTAGACATCAAATTTAGAATTTCGAGAGACGTTGAGTCTCAATCACCCTTCAATAGAATACAGTCACGAGGCATGTCCAGCATTATTACAGGAATAGAAACACATCCATTGAAGCTGTTAAGTGTAACAGCCAATAGATGGAGTAGGGCGGGTGGGTAACCTTGAGCGATCGCAGCCATATTTCAGTCCAGCCTACCTGGCATGAGTCCTCCTTTATTGTCTTGCTGTAGATTTCTGATTTGCCTTGGATGGCAAAGGTAGGAAGTATGCCCAAATCAAAGACTGCAGTCCCTGTCACATAGCATTCTCTGTAACACGTGGGGCTGGTCCGAGTCCCATTATAATTCTAGAACTTCCACCATAGATGCTGGGGAGGCCCACTTCGCTATCGCCTTCCACTCCCTAAAAAATGGTGTCAATCTTGAGTGACCTTCAAGGAAAGACAACACCTACAGCGATGACACATTATGGATCACTTGTGGTAACATCCACTTCGGTCATCGGTTAGCATCGCTCTGGGAAAATAGGTAGAATTGAATAAGCAAGATGTCATAGGTTCATGCCAATGAGGCCGGGGATCCTTCGAAGATGTCAATAATTTTTTTGATGGAAGTGCGATCTACATTGTTAGACATTAACTGCACCAATGTCATTTAATGGGACGCATCGTTTTCTGTTCTCCAATATTACGAGACCATTTTCAAAAAGAAGGCTCAATAGAAATCTAACCCACACAAACTACAGGACCATGAGTGAAGCTCGTTACCTAGATTTTGAGCATGTCCCAGACGACGAGGTTTCCCCTGATGGAAAACCAATCCTCAACCGATATTCAAGACACTTGACAAAAGACCATGACTACCCCGGCGCGCAGGTAATATTCTCTTTAGCGACGTGTCTAGGTCAACGCAACAGCTGACGCGAATGAGTTAGGCAATGCTCTATGCAGCCGGCGTGCCAGACGTGGCGACCATGAGAAATGCTCCCCATGTCGGTATCGCTAGTGTGTGGTGGGAAGGAAATCCCTGTAATATGAGTCTTCTGAATATGGGCAAGGAAGTTAAGAGGGTGAGGTGCTCAGAGTTGAGTTTCGACATGAGAGCTGATCATAACCTTTCAGGCTGTTGAGAATCTCGGATTTCTTGGTTGGCAGTACAACACGATCGGGGTTAGTGATGCCATCACAATGGGACATCAAGGTAAGGATATAGATGGCTCTAGAGTATGGGCATGGGCTGACGTTGGTATTCGAGGCATGCGCTTCTCACTCCAGTCCCGCGAGATTATTGCCGACTCGGTTGAAACGGTCACCAGCGCCCAGTGTCACGATGCCAACATTACAATTCCCGGATGTGATAAAAACATGCCTGGGTGTATCATGGGAATGGCGAGGCACAATCGACCCTCGTTGATGATATTTGGAGGGACTATCAGCCAGGGTTACTCCGAAACGCTTCGAAAACAAGTCAACATCAATACTTGTTTCGAGGCTTTTGGGGCCTATCGTTATGATAACCTCAAGCAGCCGGATGATGGGGGTGATCAGTCCAAGACGAAAGACGAAATCATCATGGATCTAGAACGCCATGCTTGCCCTGGTCCAGGCGCTTGTGGAGGCATGTACACGGCAAACACCATCGCCACTGCCATCGAGAGTATGGGTTTGACTCTTCCTGGGTCCAGTTCGACTCCAGCAGCAGCACCAGCTAAGATGAGAGAATGCGCTCAGGCCGCTGAGGCCATCAAAGTCTGCCTAGAGAAAAACATCCGACCACGCCAGCTCTTAACTAAACGAGCGTTCGAAAACGCTCTAGTCATGACCATGGCTCTCGGAGGTAGTACAAATGCAGTGCTTCATCTTCTAGCAATGGCTGCGACCGCGGAAGTCGAGCTCACCTTGGATGACTTCCAGCGTGTGTCCAACAAGATTCCTTTCATAGCAGACCTGGCTCCAAGTGGAAAGTATCTCATGGCAGACCTATACGAAATTGGTGGGATACCCAGTATACACAAGCTACTGATTTCCGCTGGCTTAATCGACGGAGATATTCCCACCGTGACAGGCAAAACTCTAGCGGAAAATGTCAAGAATTGGCCAGCACTTCCGGAAGATCAAGTCATCATTCGGCCTTTAAGCAATCCTATCAAAGCGTCTGGCCATCTCCAGATCCTGCGAGGTAATCTTGCTCCGGATGGATCGGTGGCTAAGATTACTGGCAAAGAAGGACTCAAGTTCACCGGCAAAGCTATGTGTTTTGACAAAGAGGTATTCCTTCACAAGGCACTAAGTGCGGGCAAAGTTCCCACGACAGAGAACATGGTTCTCATCGTCCGATATGAAGGTCCGAAAGGAGGACCAGGAATGCCAGAGCAGCTTAAGGCGTCAGCGGTAATCAAAGGCGCTAACCTCAAGAACATTGCACTAATTACGGACGGGAGGTACAGCGGAGCTAGTCATGGCTTTATTGTTGGTCATATCTGTCCGGAGGCAGCGGTTGGGGGGCCGATTGCATTAGTCCGAGATGGTGACACTGTTGTGATCGATGCAACAACGAATAGCCTCACCATGGAGGTCAGCGATGAGGAGTTGGCAAAGAGGAGGGCAGAATGGAAGCCACCCAAAGCACCTGTGACGAGGGGAACCTTAGGGAAGTATTCCGCACTGGTGGGTGATGCTAGCCATGGCGCGCTCACCGACTTATTTTGACCCCAGTAGCATGATCGAGTGGAACATGGACGTTAGATCAAGAGAAAAATGTAAAAGCAATGACTTTCCATACTGCTATTACTTATTTCAAGCCTCCGCTGATTAGGATGCTCTGCCCTGTCAAGTATCCAGTTTTGCATAGCATGGTGACCACATTAGCCACCTCATCTGGGGCGCCCAACCTTCGCACAGGAATATTTTGCACATCTCCTGGAGTACCTTCGACTCTCTTAGCATCAGGAATCAAACCTGTACTCCCTATCATGGCTGGAGCCACGTCATTGATAGAAATGCCATCCTTTCCAATCTTGGTCGCCAAGTTCTTCACCATTCCCATTAAGCCAGCTTTTGATGCCGCGTAGTGGCACCCGTTGATCCCACCACCATGGCCCGATATGCTACCAATGAAGACGATCCGACCCCATTGCTGTGCCTTCATGTGAGGAATAGCTAGCTTACACAGAAGAAATCCGGATCTGAGGTTGACGGTCAATGTGTGATCGAACTCTTCTAGTGAGATGTCCTCGATCATGGGGATTGGGTTCCCGTGGCCAGCATTCGCGACTAAAATGTCTGGGTACCGCCCATGCTCTCGGTAGATGTCTTCGTATAGGCGTTCTAAGTCCTGAGAACTAGCCATATCTGCCTGATGAACAGAAATCTTGAGGTTGTTTGCACCAGCAACATCATGACTTGAGTGTTTGACTCCATTTGTCTGAGACTGGTTCGGCCGGCGGGACACCAGTTCTTCCAACAATGTGTCTATGCTGTGTTTTGATGAGTTGTACGTCAGAGCCAGATGTACATGCTCCTGGTAGAGACCACGAGCAATTGCTGCTCCAATTCTATAGGTTGCAAATTAGCTGGTCAGCATTGTCTCGCCTGAGGAAAATCGCAAGTTGTCAACGTCTCATCGAGCAAGCTTACCCTCCAGATGCTCCTGTGACCAGGGCAAGTCTACCACGTAGCTCATTGTCTGCGGACATTTTGAAGTATCGATGGGCAAATGAGTGTCACGTGGTGATAGGCTATTATTTACTAGAAGCACCGATACTGAAGACTGAAACAACACATGCGATGTACTTTGCCTATATGAGACCAAAAGAAGCGACTTTGACTTGTGCATGCTCATTGCTAAACTGATATCGTAATGTCTGGATATCTCGCAATCGATTTCCTCGATGAACAGTTAGCATACCCTGCATTCCCCAGGTCCGAGATTTGCCATGCTGGCATAGAAGCCACTAGGCTGATATTTGTTCGGGTCTGCGACCTGGTCAATGCCCAGTCCTTAAATGACTGACGTTTTTCTCCGCAAAATCATGACCATCATGACCATCATGGGGAGACCTCAAGAACTCCGAGATAAGTGAACAAACCCTGAACGAGACGCAACGGGTTGCGACACTAAAGGCGGCTTGGAAGTAAAAGTCCAGATGTCGTGGAAGTTACATTGAAGGAGACTAGTTCGTTTTGATACTCAAGATGCTGTCATGGAGCGAAGGCAGAGAAATGGAAGTCAATGGCGAAAGTGGATCCCTTCCACTGGCACGAGCGGACTGACCAGGATTGTTAGCCTCGGGTGATCGTAACGCGTGAGATAAGAGGAAGATCCGAGCACTTGGAGTGGCGACGGCCACCAGAAGCGACTTGGCGAATCTGGATCCGTTTTAACGGCTTTTGCACGACTTGGAATTAATAGGAACATGAATCTCTGCACAACCCCATCTTCCAGCCGCTGTAGGGTTGTCGACATGAATTGAAGAAGTCGAAAGCGACAGCGTTTCCTAATTCACTATCGAATGGTCGGACATGCAGGACGCAAGAGAGGGGAGCCCAAGGTCCCAGAAGACTCAATTTCGTACCCACTGACTGGCACCAAGAGGACCTTCACGGTACGTGCAGCATCTAGGGAAGAAGGGGGCCCCTGTTGCCATCTTGTACTGACTACCGTAGGGATGTTGGACTTGTAGATCACGTAAGGTCAAGGTATGAGGTCGAGACGTGATGGAAGTCGAAGGCGTCTTGCTGACGACACATGGCTTTAGTGTGATGACAAGGTCCCATATTGCACGCCGTGCACCAAGACTGGACTCGAATGCACCGGATACCAGCAGAATCTCGTTTGGGTATCAGCAGATCAGAAAACATACAGACACAATGCAAGACGTCTGCTCAATCCCAGTAAGCTCGATGAACGTGTCTTAGGTAGTTTGTGGGATGACACCCTTCTGACTTGACCAATTTTTTTTAGCTCTAACCTGGGAGAACATTCCACCTTTGAGTGAAGTCAAGCTCGAAAAATTGATTGATCAATGCGATAATGAATATGGATCTGAGACGGATCGTCAAGCCAGCAGTCCTACGGCGGACAATCCATTTCATGTTTTTCGAGCAAAATCCTGCGGCCCGTCAGAATCACATAGTGGTTCGGGAGAGTCGGCACAAGAGTCGCCAGAAAGCATCCAACTCCAGACTTCAATTGTGATTCCCGACATTGGGTCCGATACCGATGTCGTTGAATCTGAAATTGATGATTATAGCTGGGTGCCGACTGTGGCAGTCGAAGAGGGCGAGGAATCGCTTCCGCTAGCCCTTCAGACCTCGCCGCAGTTAGATATGGTCACCTCGGAACATGCATATCTTGTTCACCACTACATCACCCGTGTGGTGCCTATGCTCACTCCAACTCACAACACGAAGAATCCGTGGCTCAGGTATCCCACAATTGCCCTGCACAATTGCATGCTTGGCCAAACGTATCTTCTTCATGCCATGATGGGGCATGCTGCAATATTCCAGGGGAACACCGAAGAGAATAACGTGTCCATGCACAAAATAGGTATCGAATTCTATCTCAAAGCCATGGCCGAACTTCGAAAATGTATCGACAGTGACAGAGGAGGGATCGAATTTGTCAGCGTGCTAACGACAATGCTGACGTTTTTATTGATCGAGGTAAGCATGCCCAAGCCGCAATCCGCATTCTATTCTATTCTATTCGGCCTCTGACCCCAAACAGACATTCCAAGGCAATTCCAAAAACTGGAAGCTTCACTTCCGAGCTGCCTGGAAATTTATCCAGCAACATCGACACCACAAGCCCTGGGACAAGTCGGAAGATGCATGGTATGTGACGCAGAGTTTCTGCCTGTTGAGAATCCAGTATGGCACCACAACCTCGTTAGAAGACGACCCGGAGCTTCGAGATCCCCTGGAATTGAGCGGCGACCCAGATGATTTGTACGGAACCGTAGCCAGCAACCCATTATTCGGTGACACGCTGGGCTCTTGCAGCTTGATTATGGAAAGCATCGCCGAAGTCAATCGACTTGCCCGGGTTCAATCACGCGAGGCAGACGCGCAGCCCACAGCAAAGCCTCTCCCATTTCGTCTTGTGCGCATGTTAACCGCGAGCCAGGAGGACCTTGAACCTTACACCCGAGCCGGACCAGAATATGGCGAGGTCATGGCGCTCGGTGCAGTAGCCACCGGCGCCAAACGTGCTAGAGGAGCTCACTTACAGGCGTACAAGGTCGCCACGCTGATCTACTACTATCAAGTCTGTGAAAGACTTGTGCCTCGAGACCTGGCTACCTATGTCACCGAAGTTCTAGACTGTCTGTCGACATATGTCGATGGAAGCGATGGGAATCCAACCCTATGGCCTGCCTTTATCGCAGGTGTAGAAGCATACACCGATGAGGACAAAATCAAAGTCTTGGATCTGTTCCAAATCACCTCGAGAACGGGCATGAGAAGCCGCGTCAAGATGCTCAGCTTGCTTCAGAGGATCTGGGAGATTCGCTCACTCACTGCCATGACTACAGGGAAAGATCCCGGTATGGTCAGAGTTGACTGGCGCCAGGTTATACAAGATATGTCTGTAGATATTTTGATTGTCTAATAACGAAGCGGAGTTTGTGCCCCTGGCATTTTTGGTTGTCAGTCCCTTTGGAAGATCATATCTTTGAAGCAAACCACCTTAAGACTCGGTATCTTACTAGATAGCTCAATCCCGGAATATCGGCACTCAGTGACCTTATACTACGGATCACCCAGCTGTGGCACCCATACCTATTTGTCCGGGGATTGGGGATATCTCAGTCTCTCATCCTAAAAAGCAAACGGCGGGGCTCCAATCCATCGATCTCGGGGAGAGTGGAACCTACAAGCGGGAATTCGCCCCTCGGTCTGCACTCCCAATCGCAGTGGGATGGGATGCCAGAACGCAAAGTCGTAAGGACGTCTCGCCATCGATTGCTTACTCCAGTGTCCCACCTCCAGGTTGCCAAGACGATCCACTACAGGCATATAGACCTCCCCCTTTCAGCCAACTTGTCTAAATCTCAAGGCTTCGAAGTGGTTTCTGGGAGCAGAAACTCCATTTATCGTGTTTACAGAAAGCGCGAAAGCATCACAAGATGGGAGAATACATTCCGAACGGCGTATCCGCGCAGCTGAGCGCAGAAGAACGTAGCCAACATTTAAAAGAAGCGCTACAAGTCGCTAAAGAGCGGTATGCAGCGTCAAACCCGCAGTCCCAGAAGTACTTCGAATCCAACACGTCGCACATGCCTGGAGGCAACACACGAACCGTCATCCACGCATTACCGTTCCCTCTGACGATCGCTCGGGGCAAAGACAGCCATTTGTACGATGTCGACGGGCACGAATACCTAGACTTCCTCAGCGAGTATTCCGCCGGTCTCTACGGCCACAGTTGTCAGCCGATCAAGAAGGCCATCGTGGAAGCATTGGACAATGGATGGAACTTTGGTGGCAAAAACTTGTATGAGATGAAACTGGCCAAGATTGTCGTCGACAGATTTGCCAATATTGATTTGGTCCGGTTCTGCAACTCCGGAACCGAGGCCAACTTGATGGCTCTTTCCGCCGCTTTGAACTATACTGGGAGGAGTAAGGTAAGATGAACCTCATAACCCCGATCCCCTCCGGGAATCTTCTTTACACTCTTGTGTCTGACCTGGTTGTCATCTCTATCAGGTCCTCGTTTTTCTAAAGGGCTACCATGGCAGTTCGTTGTCTTTTCCGGAGCTCAACCCCAGATACACCATGAACCCGAGTTTTGACTTTGTTATTGCACCCTACAATGACATTCCTGGGACTGACAAGATCATCGCCAGCTTACCGCCTGATTCTCTCGCAGCCGTGATGGTGGAGGGGATGCAAGGCGCTGGAGGCTGCGTTCCAGGTCGCAAAGACTTTCTCCACCATTTGCGAGAGGTCGCGACTAAGCAGGGGGCACTCCTCATTCTTGACGAGGTTATGACATCCAGATTGGGATACGGTGGCCTTGAAGAAAAGCTGAATTTGAAACCTGATCTCACGACGCTGGGCAAATGGATTGGCGGTGGCATGAGTTTCGGCGCATTCGGCGGTCGGAAGGATATCATGGATATGTTCGACCCTCGGAAGTCTAAGCTGACTCATTCTGGAACATTCAACAATAACGTTGTGACGATGGCGGCGGGGATTGTTGGGTGTGGTATCTTTGACCGTGCTGCCGTTGATGGCTTGAACGCCCTCGGCGAGACGCTGAAGCAGCGATTATCAGAGTCGATTGATGCCAGACTTCCGTCGTCCAGCGAGAGCAAGGTCTTTGTCACAGGTGTTGGAAGTCTCATGAATATCACATTTGCAGGAACAGATAAAGACGCCCTGCAGGCTCTGTTCTGGCACCACATGATCGAGCGGGGCATCTATATTGCTACCAGGGGTTATATTGCTCTCAATATTGTTTTGGAACCACGACATGTTGATGCCTTGGTTGCCGTCTTCGACGCATTTGTGGATACCTACAGAGACTATTTACTTTAGATAGACTCCATTGCGGGGATATATTTTAGCATTAAAGGGTAGCAGAATGTCAATTGCCGAGTCTCTTATCAATGAAGACCGTGGAGTTTCCGCGGATGGATATCAGTGACGCTAAGGAGTGCATTGTTCGCGATTACTGGTATAGCAATTTCGATTCGTTGAATGATCTGGCAAATGGTATTAGCTCTCAGGACAACGAAGGCGAAGTCGGTGTTCATGAATTGTCATCAGACTTCATCCAAACTCGAAGAGAAGAATGGAGGAATTATGCTGATAGGCTGCCTGCTCCTTTTGTCACACAACCAGAATCCTTAGCTGAAGCTCCGTCCACAGGCAAGCCCGTTTTGGGTTGATACATCTTGCTGCTGGCGGTAACTGGATGTGGAAGATGAGAGGTCGTTTTAGAGACCAGCAACGCCTGGCGATTAGTATGATGGCGACGGAAGCAATATCAGCAACACTCATAACCAGGCCAACGACTTGACAAGGCTGATTGGAGTAGGTTGAGGGCAGGTTCAAAGCCTGATATCAGAAATAAGGCCACTGCCAAAATACGTATTGTGACAAACAGCCATTCGGGGCACACTCAGTCCACCAAAGACCGAGTTCTGTGCTCCGAGTCCGAGTGCCAATCAGCTCTGCCTGATGAATTCTGAGTGTTGATCCCTTGACCCAACTTTTACAGCTAGACGAGAACTTTGACGGATGCTCCTTGTACCGGTGACATAGGTAACCACCAAGCGAAAGTACTGAGTAGGAGTGCAAGATTGCGCACTTGAAGTTAATTATTGGTAGATAGAAATATGCATACAGACACATGTGCAATTTATGACAAGGCTCGTATCGACATTTTAACCACATCGGTGCTTAGTGAGTCATGCCTGGAAGCTTGGTACTTTGGTTGACGAGTGCCCGTAGGCCAGATGGAGATTCAAAAGTTGAGCGCCGAAGTCGGCGACAGCACACCACCCTTCACCTAGGCAATTATATAGCTAGAGACAGAGAACAGATGGGCGCGGCGCCAAAATCATGAAGGTAGTCTGTCACCACTCCTACCAACACCACTGAAACCCTTTCTCACGTCACAAAATAGCGCAAATCGTTGAAAAATGTCACTTGCTGGCAAAGCATGGGCTGCGTTACAGATCCTCAAGATTCTCGTGACCTTTTCGGTGCAGAATCTGGCTTTTTTCATCAGCACGCGCCGGCGAAAATATGAACTAGGTGACAACCCCAAGAATGTCGTCATTATTGGCGGTTCGTTTGGCGGATGGACTGCCGCCCAACGACTCGCTCAGTCACTGCCCAGTGGTTATAGAGTGATTCTGATTGAGAAGAATTCGCATTTTTACTTTACGTGGAACTTTCCTAGGTCGACATGTATCCCCGGACATGCAGAGAAGGCTTTCATACCATATCCGAAAGAGTCGCCGTCGTTGCCAGAAGGGATTTACAAATTTGTCCGAGGAACTGTGACCGAAGTCAAGGAGGACAAGGTGATTATGGAGGATGGTTCTGAAATCGACTATGAGTATTTGGTGGTGGCGACCGGTTCGCACAATAGATATCCCTCGAAGTTGGTGGCTCTCGACAAGGTGGATGCCGTGCAGTATTTCCTAGACCAACAAGAACGCATCAAGCAGGCTCAGAATATCATTGTCGTGGGCGGAGGGGCTGCTGGAATGGAGATTGCGAGCGATACCAAATCCAAATATCCGGAAAAGAATATCACGCTGGTACATTCGCGGGACCGGCTTCTCAATACCTTTGGCCCGCTGTTGCACACTGAGGCCATCGGAGCACTGAATCGTCTGGGGGTTACAGTCTTGCTCAACGAGCGGGTGGTCGGGGGCTTGGATGTGGAAGATCCAAAAGAGATTACTCTCCAGAGTGGAAAGGTGCTTCAATGTGACACACTGGTAAGACCTACCGAGATACCCCACCGTTGCCATATTCCTCTGACGAAAACGACCAGGTTCGGTGCACTGGACAAAGCCCACGAGGCGATTTGATCCAGACCTTTTCGCCGAAATCCATCGCATCCTCGGGAGCGATTCTTGTGGAGAAGACCTTGCGCATCAGCAATACTCCGACACCCAGATGTTTTGCAATTGGCGACGTAGTGGATTTGCAAGGACCAAAACTCGGGAGAGGAGCGTCGACGCAGGGTATGTTCATCGCGGACCAGATTGTCCGAGCCATCAAGGGCAAAGCTCTGAAGCCATATCATCCTACCGTCATTGACTCTTCAATCGAATTGACCTTGGGTCTGGTGAGTCTAGTCTGTGGCGGAGCACCGTCGTCCCCATCCCCCTGCGTTACTAATTGAATTGCTCTCCGGAATAGGGTCGAAACACAATGTATATAGGAGACGGCGAACGGGAAGCGTCGTTCGGCAAAAAGGCAGATGAGGAATTGTTCGTTCGACGAATGTGGCAGGTCATGGGCATCAAACCATACGAGGATCCCGAATATGAGGCTCTTGTCAAGAGCAAATCCAGCAAGGAACCATCAGATTCGCCAGACAACACCACTGTTAGCAATGGTCCCAATAATGTCACCACTGCAGCTGTCATATGAGATGTGGACATTAGAGGACAAGTCGATGGTATTAATAGCCATGATAGCTTCGCTTCTTGAAACGCGCCGGCGGGGTCACGGGCTTGCAAAAGAATCCTGAAGGAACCTTCTTTTGATCGGGGGGATATTGCACTGCCATGACTGCTACAAGTCGATACTCAGTACCAGAAAGAGGAAAAGCTGACAAGGCGCGGACTGGCGGAGATACATCTGTGGTCTGAGGGTCTGGCGTGCCTGTGTTTCTACCTGTGCTTATGCCTGGAATCTGTGGGCGAGAGGCCTGGCGCGAATCGTTGAATCTTGGAATGGACCGTGGACGCGGACCGTGGGACCCTGAAGAGCCGGGCAACTTTGGTCCCCATAATTCAGTCTTCGACCAAGACGGTGCACGTTTTGATCCTGAAACAAGGGATCGACACACGGAGTTACACTTGTGATGTACGCACAGAGGATGCGGCAAATTGGCTTGCACTGCAAGTTTGCCTACTCGTTTGTCAAATTGACAGTGACTGGGTTCTGTCGAGGGCCTCACTTCGAGGGAAGATGGGTGGCTGGGTGGCTGCGCATGGTGGCATGTTTGAAGTGATTGTTTGAGTTACGAACCACAGATTGACTGTGAGACTTTGAGCGAGAATTAATGTTGCCTGATTTTCCGGAGCGTTCGGTGGGGCGGTGCCACTGTCGTTAACGACAAGCTCTTGACACTTGTACGAGTACTTGCCATCCTGTAGCATAAGGTATCTTCGGTAGATGGCAAGACTTCGGGGTGGTGCTGGACCTACTTGAATGCGTATAGGTAGCTGAGATAGCTTCGGGACATCCGATCCCCACCTATTCCTCGATATTTTCAGTGGTCCCTTGTCCCGCACAATGCCCCTACAACGGCCAAGGGCCGTCGACCCAGCGGAGTCAGCACCCGGGGCTGTAACCTGTAGGCTATAAAGTACGAGTGCGAATATTCGTATGCGTAGGGTTGGGCATAGGTATGCGGCAGGAGACTTCCCCCTTCCAAGGACCCCTGTGGAGGTTTGACTCCAGTAAACCTCCAACTTCGAGGACCCTTATTTAGGCTTTCACGCCTTTCTCCGTAGGCATATGCGATACGTAAATCACAAATCGTGATGGATCTTCGACACTCTCTAGCCCTGAACCTCAGCCCGGCAGGGCTCGAAAGCCGACGATCCACCCACTTCCCGAAAGACAGGCATTCGCAGGGTCAAAACAGGCGAGGAACAGATGGGTCGCCTCATGGAAGATTTGAGGAGGCCATTGAGGCCCAGCACCAACGCCCCATTTGCCCTTCATCAGTCCAATGGAAGAGTGCGGTCCACGACGGGCAGTGGCCTTGGTGTAGCCAGGCACGAATTGTGATTCGAAGATGAGTTATTTCGGTGTGAGCTTGTCTGGATTCCCTGATTGCCCGTGGCCCCAGTTTCTGGAGAAGCCTACCATTCAAGTCCCAACTTCTGGCGAGTGACGCCTTCTAAAATCACATTCCCTGAACTTCCGGAAGGTGTGTGCCTGCGCCTCACTATTGGGTAGACGCGGCACCCGTGCTCTCTCCTCTCCTCAGGATTCTGGTGTCTGTCCAACTCCCTGGTTAGTCAGTCATGCCAGGCTCGGTGGTGGGCGAAGCATCATAATAATATGAACCTGGCCATGTGTGTCTCTACGTCGATCCTTCCAACTTTCCCCGTTCTTCATATTTTGAATCCTTATTTTCTTGCCCACTCTGTCTTGAATCAATATCCTCAAGAGTCGACAGATCATCATAAGCACGGTGTGCTTGTTTGTGACAAGCTGTTGATCTTGCATCCACCCCCCGTCAGGTCCCCAGGTACGCCAATCTTGCTAAGTCAGCAATTCTCCTACCGAAACCCGGCAATCGTGGGCCATCTCACTTGCGTGGATTCACCTTCCACCGCCGCCCCAGCCATGTGTTACAGTCTGATCACATACAAGTGCGGCCACACTCGAAAGTCGTATGCTTTGGACTGCAAATGTGAAAAGCAACGAAGTGTTGGTCCTTCGAGTTTTCGGTGCAGCGACCATTGTCCTGGATAACACGCGCCGGATGTCCATGGCAGATGACATAACGAGGTTACGAAATGACTGTATAGATTAGTCCAAACTTGTGCCACCATGCCGGATTTTCCTTGATGTCTTGATAAATGGTTGGAACTTTTTCTTTACTTGTGGCAGAACAATCTTGTATTGTGTTGTCGAGGGTCGACGGCACCTTCTAGAAGCCGGATTGGAGGAGGCTGCATCAGGGACGGTGAACCACCATGGTTCAAGGAATGCGTGGCGGGCTCAGGATCAAGAAGAACAAACAAACAACGTGCGATCGCCGTGATGGCCACCTCAAAGACGAGTCCTCACATTCGGAAGACATCGACAGAGTGCTACGCTCCACTACACAACCACAACCACACGGCACGAAGGCGAAGAGGAACAAAATCAACATGATCCTTGTTTTTCAAAGGCCACTTGGGAACGACGACTCTTGATATCCGCCGCTCCAGAAAGCCCACGTCGTATGCTGGACAAGGGCTTCATGCTCCTAGGTTATACAAGACCGTCGTCACCCACGAGCTACCGAACAAGACTTTTCTGGCAGTGGTCTTCATTCTTTGGAACGAACCAACACGAGAATCCCCATAGGCAAGGGAAGACAGTTTGAAGCGCTCACACATGTTCTCATCATCGAACGAGCCAGACCTGGAGCTAGGGGAATTTTCTATGAATTGGATATTGTATTGATCGACAACACTGGAAAAAAGGGTGTCGCATTCCTGAGATATTTCTCCTCAACAATCTTTAAACGACCAAACGAATAGCAAGCGAATGAATTGACAGGCGCTCAAAGGGAAGATACGAAAGAAGTTGGCAGCACACCATGTCTGCTCATCGAGGACAGCGTTTAACTTCTTCTAACCCCGCCGTATCTCCTCCAGCCAAACACGAAGATCACATACGCAATACTTTAGAACTCATGTCTTATTTTGTTGGTATAGCTAGCCTTTGATGAAATGATAGAAGCGATTTTGATTATATTAAAAATTGACTTCATGTACTTTTGATGACATTTGTTGGTGATTAATGGGGTTGAGGACTGTCTATGAGTCGCTTGTACCACAACTCTTCAAGCCTAACATACGCTGTCACATGTCGAAGACGCATGGGTAACCTCGCCATGGCCTTTGCACATGATCTCCGCACATGAAACTTGGATCTTAAGGAAACATGTTCGGTTAAAACGCGGCAATCAGAAAGTGTCGCCCAAACCCGATCGATGACGCTGTAATCTATGTATGTACATTCCAGTGCCTAAAACCAGGCTTGGGGTACCTTCTAATTCCTCGGCTCAGCCTTGTACTTCCCCACTTGAAGGATATGTACATGTTGGTAAGCTATATGAGATATGCCAATGTGTGAATGTATGACTATAAGAATATCAATGTATTGATGAATACTTCGAAACATATGTACATGTAATAAACTCCAAGACCTAGAACTTACAACCAACATGGGCGACAAGAAATCAGATTCACAAGTCTTTCTCTGGGACCATCCCATGTCGTCATACGCACAGAAGGTCCGACTTGCACTGCGCGAGAAAGGAATTGCATTCCAATTCGAGACACCCAAAGGCATCGGCACAGGCTACGAGACATCAACTGACGCCGCGTTCTGGAAATCCAGCAATCGCATCGAAGTCCCCGTGTTGATCGATGGCGATTTAAAGATCTTCGACTCTACAGTCATCCTTGAATACCTGGAGGATAAATGGCCGGAGCCGGCGTTGCTGCCGCCACGAGATCAGGCGGCCGCTAGGGCAAAAGCACGGATGATCGAGGATGTGTGTGATACACAGTACGAGGCAATCAATTGGGCAATGGGTGAGGTTGGATGGTTTAAACGTGCAGAGGGTGAGCTGGCGGAGAAATTGAAGGCTCAGGCTGCGCATCAGACCAGGCAGATTCAAGATTGGCTGGCTCAACAGCTTGGATCTAGTGAATGGTTTGGTGGTGATAGGTTTGGATGGGCTGACGTTTGTGTTGCTCCTATGCTCAATCGTTCCGTGCTTGCTGGTATGGGTCCGGAGCCGGGGAGTCCACTGGCAAACTGGCATGCGAGACTGTGTCAGAGACCTGCAGTGCAAGAGACGTTCAATGAAGTTGCCGCGGCGATTAAAAATGCCGCCGGCTTGGGCGACGCCTTGAAGAAGGGTCTTCTGAAACGTGAGTATAGAGATCATCGCCTTGAGTGGATGGTCAAGTCGGGGGGCATAGAGATTGTTTTGGAAGGGCTCAAGAAAGATAATATCAGGTTTCAATGGCCTGATCCTCTACCTTGAGTTGTTGGCACGGGTTGAGCTTGGGACTCGACTGGCGTCAGTGGGGCGAGCTTCCTCGTGGTGAGGGAGTTGTACACTGAATTCTATACCAAAGAGACAGAAGTGATTGTATAGAATGCTTGAACATTGGTATCGATAATTCACACGTCTCTCCGTTGCCTATTGACGCCATATAGTAATATACACGCTTCAAGCATAAAGATGCCGTTCATTCCCAATCCTCCTCGTCACTCTCGTCGATCTTCGCCGATGATTTACCCGGCTCATCTTTGGGACTGCCTGGTGCTCGGCTCGTTGCTCCGCTGACAAGGTCGTAGCTAGCGTCACTGTCGGCAACCGATTTCTCATCGTGAGATCGGCGAGAAGCGGCTTCGGGCTTGAGCGAGGTGGCATCACGTCCTCCAGCAGGGATTTGGTGGAGCGTTGTCGAGGAGTCGTTGGTGTTTTGCGCCACGAGTTTCTTTGCTGGCGCTGTTTCACCTTGCTTGAGCTGTGGAGTAGCGGAAGAGTCTTCATCCTCGCTGTCCTCATCCCAGGCAACCTCTTCAGTCTCGTCGGCGGAGGCTTTAGTTGCGTCAGTTAGCAAGAGAAAGCATCACAAGTCCGAGTCAAGTGTGCTTACCTTTCAACAACTCCTTTCTCTTCTCTTCCTGCACCCCCACAACATGTCTGAGGAAGTAGTATCTTGTCCAAAAATCCTTGTACTCAACTTGTTCAGGCACAAGCTTCTCCATCGACTCCCTCAGTTCTTTGTACTTGTCCAAATCTTTGGCAATGTCGGCTGTCTTCTGGTCAATGTCAAAAGCCTTGCTGAAATCACTCCATTGGTTGCCAGCCCCACTAGGATCTTGTGTAAAGCTGGTGGTTGTCGTGTGAATGACGTGCAGCTGAGCCTCAAACCTGCTAGTATGGATGACTCTCTTGCCTGTCGATGTATCTTTGCTCTCGAAAAGCACTTGGCCGGGCTGACGCTCATCCTCGGGGGCGGTCACAGACACAGCGTCGCGTAAAAAGTTCCGTATGTTTGTTCCGAACTTGAGAAGTGCCTCATCAGCCGCATCTTCGGCCTTCTGAACCTCCTTCAATCGTCTGGCGGCCTCGGTTTTGAAACGCTCTAGAAATGTCTCGGTCTCTTGAAGGTCTTGGCCAGTGGATTTCTGGATGGCAGATGCCTCAGGTGTTTCATTGTCGCCTCGAGCCTGGTCTGGCTGGGTTGTTGACGGTTCTGCACCAAATCCGAGGCCTTTGAAGCCCTTTGTCCGTAGCGCTTCTACCTCACTCGCCACTTCTGCGGCTTCCTTTCTCGCCTCCTCATAGTAAGTCTCGCCTTGCTTTCTCACATTTCCCCAAAACCCTCCCAATGTCGCAGCCCATGGTGACTGTTGAAACGTTCTAAAGGTCTCTTGAAATTCGCTTTGCAAACTCTGTCGGGGAGACGCTGGAGCGGCTCTAGGGGTTGGGGGTTCGCCGTCGACAGCGCTGTCAGAGGTTCCTGGCGTGGGTGTGGCGGCGCGATCGCCGGGTTGGTACGTCTTTTCAGCAATGTGGTCGTAGGCAAAGTCCATGATTGACCGTGAGAGGGCTGAGGCGGGTGATGTTGGTGACTGCGGGGCTGAGGGTCGATGGCGTTCGTTCTTTGGCGGTGGCGGGACGTGCAATCTCCTGCTATCTGGGAGACCTAACAGTAATGGGAAAACGAGGGACAATTCGAATTTCAGGTCTCTGGAATTCTTCTCAAAAGGCCCAGCTGACGTCAAGAGTCTGAACAATGAATGTAGAGAGCTAGATTTAGATTGTCCAAGGGGCAGGTCATGTTGATGTTGGGAGCGTCAGTGCACGCGGTAAGCCGTGGCTTTATCGTTCATCATGTGCCTCACACGTGACCTCAAAGTGTGTCATTGTGTCGCACCAAAGATGGTCTCCTTAATACCTTGTCTTATAACATGCCAGGCCAGGGTGCAGATCGCAGCTTAATAGTATCCATTGCGCTGAGTGATGTTTACAAGCTACCTATGTAATTTTTTAATGCGAATTTTTGAATACTTCTGGCCCATAGCTTTGGCCCGTCGATACACGAGTTGTTTGGGCCTCTCCCTCTCCCCTTCTGCTCCCGTTTCGCTGATGTAGATAATCACGGTATGAACATGTCAGTGTTAGATATTATGGATTTTCTTTGAATGAGGACGATTTTCGCCAAGTCATATCTGACAACAGAATCTACAAGGCGCTGAGAGTCCTCGGAAATGGATACAACTTCCACTATAGCCTTTGGTGCAAAGAAAACAACCTCGCTGAAATCATGATATCCAATTTTGGCATTGGTGACTCGATCAACAGAATCATCCCCAGGAGGGGCTGCTATCCAAATGGAACTGTTCAGAACCTCTATAATGCCTTGAGCCCACATATCACATTCTTTAAGAGGCAAAGCAGGAGAGAGTGAGTTTTTCGCAGTGTGGAACTTCTGTTTATCCTGGAGAGCGATGGGCCAGTTGGGCGAAAGCATACTCCGTCGCTGACATTGATGTATATGGAGGTGGTCTATGGCATAAGCTTGTGTAGATTCATGTCATGAGGGCTCAGAGTATGCCGCGAGTAGGTTTTTGAAAGGACAATTTGTGGACTCGAAATGTGCGTGTAATGTATTTTCATCAGTTCTACTCGTATATAAGACTCAAGTCGTCCGCATCAAGATGAATTCGATTGCGATGAAGACTTGTGGACTGTTATACTGTTTCATTGATGGTGATGTCAAAGAAGTTGGTGTTGAGGACGTGGTCTTGGCAAGCCTTTCCTATTTAGGGATAATGTCAACAAACGCACCCTCGTCTGCGCCGCGACACTCGACACTCAATAACCTGTCACTTATTTTCCACCACCACTGTGCATTCAACATCCAAACGATAGCCGTCGCCGGGCTTATGAAGCATCCCTTGAACTGGCATCAACAATAAGCACACATACGACCAATATGAGTACGATGGAAGTAGCACAGTCGCTCAAGACCGCCCACCTCGAACTGGTGTACGAACGCGCCTTGCGACAGGCAGAACGCATCTATGAAGAAGAACGGGTGCGCGCCCTCCGTGTTCAACTATTACTGCTTGAAGATGAAAACGAGGAGTTGCAAGAGCACGCGATGAAGCAAGAGGATCAACAAGTCTTCCTGGAGGAAACCAACGAGGAACTGCTCGACAGTGTCGCCGCAGCCGAAACTGAGCTGCTGCAATCACAAATGGACTTGAAGGCTCGAGAACGCGATCTTGACCATCTCAAGGCGGAGGTCAAGGCCCTCAACGCTGCTAGCGCCGACGCGACAAAGCTTCTGTCGGAGAAATTGTCGCTCTCGAGAGAATTGAACGCCTTGAAACCCGAACTCGAACACCTCAAGTCCCAATCATCTACGCAACAGAAGCTTCTATCGGAAAAGCTGGCACTCCAAAGAGAACTAGCCTCCGTGCAGGTCGAACTTGAAACAGAACGACGCGCCGTGCAAAGGATCAAGGAAAAGCAGACAGTCCAGAACGATGCGGAGAGCCAGGCGGAATTGAATGAACTCACAAAAGAGCTTGCAAGAGCCAGAAGAGAAGCCCAAAAGATGCAGCGTGAAGCTGCGGCCGAGATTGATGACTTGAAGAACGAATTGGCGCAGGCGAAACGAGGCGCAGAGCGATCCAACGAAGAAACATCGGCCGAAGTTTCGGAAATGAAAAAGGAACTAGCCAAGGCGAAACGGGAGGCTCAAAAGTTAGATCGCGAGAACCGGAGGAGAGTGGCCGAGTGGGAAGAAGAAAAAGAGTCGCTGGAGATCAAACTTGACTCTTTCCGCAACAAGTTGAAAGCAACCAAGGATGAGCTTCAGGAGGCACAAGAAGAAATTGAGAAGATGCAGGCAGCGAAAATGGCTCAGTCTGCTGAGCTGACCAAAGCCCGAATCAATGGAAACGCAGTACCAAATCCAAGAAAGAGAAATGTCGCCCGCTTCGATCCTGACATGACAATTGGAACGCCTGGCCACGGCGGAGCTGCGGCCAAGAAACAACGATTCTCTGTCAATCCAGGAGACAAATCAACATTCTCGATGACTCCATTTCTGAACCGAACTCTCAGCATTCTTCCTGAAACACCCGCCGAGTCTGAAGAGCAAGACTCGAACAACAACAAGGACATGTCTCCAGACCGAGATGAAGACGCCGCCCAAAAGCTCACCACCAGAAAAGTAGAAGCACCTAAGCAAAAACCAGCCAAACCCCCCGCTGCCCGCAAACCAACTCAGAAGAAAGACAAACAAGTACAGCCGCTGAAGGAAAGCACGAACAGCAAAGCCAACGCAGCGGCCAAAAAGCCATCGCTTGAAAAACTAGTCGAACAAGACTCAGACATGGACAGCGACCAGGAAAATAACGAGACAACCAAACAGACAAGTGAAGACAGCCGAGACTCGAATGTCTCGAATAGCGAACAGCAGCCCAAGAAAACAAAAGCATTAAAGCGAGCCAACATCTTCGACGAGGAAGACACGGCCCCTCCAGCACCAAAAGTCAGAACCATTGGGAACTCGACCGTGGGAGCTCTAGCATTAGGACGCATCTCTCTCAAGGCAAAGCCAAACTCGAAGGGGAAAGTGCTGGCCGAGTTTTCGCCCCTTAAGAAGGATCGAAGGGCTATGGTGTAGCATTCGGCTGCATGATGAGCCTGGGGTGAAGGGCCCTGCTTTTAGATGTTTGATGAAGAGGTAGCCCATTGATGAGTGTTTATGTATATTGTGCACTCACATACGAGAATGATAATGATCATACAAGGAAAAAATCAACGCAAAGTAGAGATGATATCCAAGACAAGAACTTTCTCCATGCCAAAAGCCACTTTTTTTTGGCTCGTACCGACAAAAATGTCCGAATAAAGTGCTCTGCGTCATTCATTGGCAAGTGATGCTATGCATCCTATGATTCTCATTCACTTGATGTTCTGTTCAAGACTTGGACACAACATTTGTTGATGTAAATCGGTATAATATCGTTACAATATAAGCTTTATGAGACCTCTCACCAAGACTCTATTCTATGCCTGAACCGCACCCCATGCTCCACCGCCAGGTGTATTGATTATAACACGATCTCCAGCCTTGACCTTAACAGTATTCTTCCCACCCATATTCACCGTCCTCTCCTCTCCAGAGACATCGTCCTTGGTGATCCACAGATTGAGACCACGCTGAGCCTGACCACCTCCTTCCATTCCATAGGGCTGGAACACTCTCCTTTCGCTGAGAATAGAGCACTGGAGAGGTTCAAGGAACTGAATGTCGCGAGTGACACCGTCACCACCACAACGAGCACCCACACCGCCCGAACCCTGTCGGAGCGAGAACTGGCGAAGCAGACAAGGATAGCGCTTCTCCAGGATCTCTGGGTCTGTGATGCGGGTGTTGGTCATGTGGGTGTGTACGCCGCTCTGGCCGTTCCATGTCGGTCCAGCGCCTGAGCCTCCGCAGATGGTCTCGTAGTAGCCGAAGCCGTCGACATGTTTGCCGTCTTCTGTAGATCTGCCACCTCGTCCGAATGTCAGGTTGCTGGTGTCGCCCTGCGATGCTGCGGCGGCGCGGAATGCCTTGAGGACCACGTCGGTGATGCGCTGTGAGGTGACGACGTTTCCTCCAACGACTGCGGCTGCTCGTGAAGGAGATAGAATTGATCGTGGAGGGACCTTGATCTCAATTGGGTTGAGACATCCTTGATTCAGCGGCACGTCTGAGTCGATCATGCATCGAAGGCAGTAGATGATGGCTGAGTTGGTCACTGCAACTGGTGCATTGGTGTTGCCGAGCACCTCTGGGCCGGTACCGTCAAAATCAAAGACTGCCTTGCCAGCCTCTCGGTCAATCGTGATCTTCAGCTGAATGGGTGTTCCGTCATCCATGTAGTCCAGTGCCTCCAGGGGTTCCCCATCAAACCGGTCGTACAGGTCTCTCAGAAGGTGACCAACGGCGACTGCGGCGGTTGATTGAATCGCATACATGTATGCCTGAACGACCACGAGGGTATACTCAGATATCAAGCTCTGAATCAGCTGAATACCCCTGGTATTGGCGGCGATTTGTGCCTTCAAGTCTGACAGGTTGTCCGCAAGACATCTCGTTCCTGAACAACCTTCTAACTTGCTTGGCTCTTCGAGCAGGAGCTGGATAACCCTCTTTTCGTCGAAGATTCCGTCGCTGACAATTTTCTCGGCCTCAATAGCAGCCCCTTCCTCCCATAAGAAGGTTGACTTTGGTGGCATGGACCCAGGTAACAGACCGCCGATGTCTGCATGATGACCACGAGCGGCGACGTAGAAGACGATTTCCGTTCCTCCAGGTCGGTCAAACACTGGTGTAATGATGGTGATATCCGGCAAGTGAGTGCCTCCACAGCTTGGGTGGTTGGACATCAGGACATCACCGTCCTTTAACTGCCCAAGCCATCTCTGGTGTTGATACTTGACTGCAAATTGCATCGATCCAAGATGCACTGGGATGTGAGGTGCATTAGCGACCAATCCACCGTCTGGAGAGAACAAGGCACATGAGAAATCGAGTCTCTCCTTGATATTGGTAGAGACAGCGGTCTTTTGTAGCGTGCGACCCATCTGTTCGGCAATGGACATGAAACGGTGACCGAATATGGAGAGGCGGACTGGATTGATGGGAACTTCTTCAATACCCTGCACCTGGGTTGTCACTGCTGACTTTTGAGACTTCTCTACATTCAAGTCGAGGACAATACAGGTTTCAAGGACGTTTGCAACCGCGTTGGGGACGACAACGATGGTCTGGGTCTCATCAATGATGATGGCAGGACCCTGGATGCGGGTGTTTCTCTCGATGGCGTTCAGCTTGTAGATCGGCGTGTCCATGTAACCGGTACTTTCGAAGTAGACCTTCTTCTTCTCTACGCCTCCAACAGATATGTCTGTGAGATGGGCGTTCTTCAACTGCTCTGCTGGACTGACTTCTGACACGTCGTTGGACGAAGCTGTCGAACGCACCCGCACATCGTCGACGAGAAGAGGCTTGTCGAAAGTGAAACCAAATTCTCGACGATGTCGGTCGGCAAACTCTCTGGCAAAGTCTCCATCCTCTGGCTTGAGGATCATAAGGTTGGAGTCAGAACCCACATATCGCATGTTGAGATATAACTGGTGTTGAATTTGATATGACCGAAATCCTTGGCCTTCCAAATCGACTGTCGACCGTTGGATGATCCCATGGAATCTCTCCTGCAAGAGAGACTCCGATTTAGTATATTCCACAGCCACGGGCTCTTGTGCTTCCGTGACTACATCTGCTAGGGCGAGCCCGTAGGCAGAGAGTACGGATGAGTACTTGTGAATGACAATCCTCGAGATATCGAGTACAGCTGCGACTGAGCAAGCATGCTGACCTCCCGCACCTCCAAAGGATGCGAGATGATGTGAAGAGGGTTCAAAGCCACGGGCTTCTGTCAAGTTTCGAATAGGACGAGCCATCGATTCGTCAGCCACCCTTAGAAAACCCATGGCAACCTCTTCTGCTGTGAATTGAGGTTGGCCTTTCATGGCCTGTTCAGCGTTGATGTCTTTCGTCAAGGATTCGAACTTTTGTGTTGTGACTTCAGTGTCTAGAGGTTCATCCTCGTTTGGCCCAAAGATCTTAGGAAAGTATTCTGGCAGTAATCGACCAAGGAATAGATTGGCGTCAGTGACGGTAAGAGGGCCACCTTTTCGATAACAGGCAGGTCCAGGGTGTGCAGAGGCAGATTCAGGCCCAACCAGGAAGAGGCCATTGCGCCACGAGAGAATCGAGCCTCCTCCTGCTGCAACGGTGTTGATATCTAGTTGAGGAGACTGCAGTGAGATACCTGCAATAGTTGCTCCAAAGACGTGTTCGAAGTTGCCATCAAACCTACAGACATCTGTTGATGTTCCTCCCATGTCGAAGCCGATGACGGGAACGCGCTCGTTTTGATCCCAACTGGTTGCGGCGAATCCTACTACCCCTGCAGCGGGACCTGAGAGAATCGCCTTGAGACCACTAAAGTTTTTAAAGTCGACTAATCCTCCGTCGGACTGCATGAACTCAAATCGAGCGCCATGCGAGTTGTCCAAGCCTCCTTCGAAGTTTGAATCAATTGAGTCGATGTAGTTCTTGATGACGGGAGTTAGGTATGCATCAGCTGAGGCAGACATTCCTCTAGGAACTGCCTTGATCATGGGTTGCAGTTTGGACGACAGAGCAACGGCAAAACCCATGGAAGTAGCGAGGTCTCCGATCTGCCTCTCGTGGTCTGGGCATGCATATGAATGTAAAAAGGCAACAGCAAGAGATCTGTAGCCTTGATCCCAAAGCTCTTTCAAAACTTTTTGAACGCTGTCCAAATCCGGTGCTTGTAGAACTCGAAACTTTTCACCAGTTGTGCCCTCCACCAGCTGACATTCTGGAAATCGATCATCTTCAAGACCCTTGGGTACTGGAACTATCCTCTCGTCAATCTCGACGACCTTTTCGTACAGTACACCTGGCTTCTTTGCCGAAAGATCGAAGATTTTTGGTCGTTGTTGATTGCCAATCAACAAGAGATCTTTGAATCCCTTGGTGGTGAGAAAAGCAGATTTGGCGCCTTTTCGTTCGAGAAGCGCATTTGTGGCTACAGTCGTGCCCATGCGCAGTCTGTCGATGTGTCTGAGGTTGAGTGGGCGTCCCCGTGGGAATTTCTCCCCCGTCGCAAGTTCCAACACCCTTCGAATACCTTCAGTGGGTGCATCTTGGTAATTTGAAGGGTCCACGGATAGAAGTTTGAGGACGATATCGGGTTTACCTGGTACAGAGGCGTGGACGTCGGTGAAGGTGCCTCCGCGATCGATTGAAACTCTGATCTTGCTTTCTTTTTGAATCATGGTGAAAATGGAACTAATTCCTCAGATTGAAGGCCTGGCCTCATGGTGGATAACGCGAAAATATATATGTCTTCACGCTCAGAGCATATGTTGTAATATCGGAGGCCATTTTCGATAGACAAGGCTCTCCGAATCCACTGACCCGACGTATATTTCCTCACTTGGGTTTGGAGTGGACAAGGCGTTGAGGTTCATGATGAACGCCTTGACTGTTATACGGAGACAGGCATGATTGGATCCATGGTCGAAGACGCTAGGGCAAGCCACCCGTCACTTGCAACCCTATACCCATCCAAGTATCCACATCATCGGGACCCACAAGCCTAGCGCATCGAGAACCCCTGTGTGTGACGCAACATTGCGGAGAGTTTACAACATATCAGCCTGACGACCCCCGCGAGCTGCGAACGCCCGCGTGGGCAACGACCGGAGAAGTGCGTGCAGACTGCGAGAGGGCTCGCCGAGAAGGGCGTTCACAGATATGTGGGCAGAGAATACAACACGTGCAACTGCCCTCCGATATGATCTTGATCCTTGTCGTTCAGGCAATCTTCACATTGTGCTGAGTTCTCAATGCGCCTCATGATCAATACTTAACCTATCTCCTGGAACCGAGGATGCCACCGATCGCCGTAGACAACGAGGTTGGAAACACAGGATTCAAAGCGAAATCGGTCGAGGCCCCGGAAGATACACAATCAGGACAAAGTTTTCGACGTGAGGCGAGAGCTGGTCGATTCACCGGTCAGACGGCTGGAGCGGCTCCAAGTTATGTTCAGGCAAACTTGATAGTGTTGCCCTCCGAGTACGCATCGGACTTTCGATTGCTTTGTCAGAGAAACCCAGTTCCCTGCCCACTACTCGCAGAGTCCAAGGGGCCAGGAATCTTCCATCAACTCAAGTCATGGACGACCAATCTCTCGGGCGAGCAGATCGCGAACGATATTGATCTCCGAAACGACTTCCCGAAGTACATGGTCTACGAGGATGGGAAGCTGACGAAATCACACTGCGCCGATGTGGAGCGAGAGTGGACAGACCGACACGTTGGTTTCCTGGTTGGTTGCTCCTTCAGCTTCGAGGGTGCTCTGGCTGAGGCCGGTTTGTCCCCAGTCCATGTCGTGCGTAAGAGGAATGTGTCCATGTATCGCACAAAGATTCCACTGTGTCCTGCGGGAGTGTTTCAGAATTCGACCTATATTGTTTCTATGCGGCCCTACAAGAGAAAGGACATTGATGCGGTTCGTAGTATTTCGAGGCCGTATGTTTCAACACACGGGGAGCCCATTGACTGGGGTTGGGACGCCGTCGCCCGATTAGGGATTGAGGATCTGGGAAGTCCCGCATACGGCGACGCGCCTGTCAACATGGATGGCTCACCTTTCGTTTGCAACAGTAATGTCGAAGGAGACGACGAAGTAGTGCCAGTGTTCTGGGGATGTGGTGTGACTCCTCAAGAAGCCATTCAAAGAGCCGGCCTTGCTGGGACGATCATGGCTCATGCACCTGGCCATATGACTGTACTAGACATCAGGGATTGGGATATAATTCCTGATGTAGCGGGAGTTGAGAGTTAGAGGGTTGTCAATCATGATTTCATTTGTCTCTACTATGTGGAGTTGTTGTCTCTGCGGATTGCATTCTCAATCCAGCCCGTGTCCATATCAATGTCTATGTTTCCAGAAATCTCTTCCCAAATCCTAGAGTTCTCCTCGACATCGAAATTGAACGACATCTCTTCCAGCGGTTGAAAGGATGAATTCTGCATCATCATTGAAGGCTGAGTCATAGACCCTGCAAAAATTTGGAGATCGTGCTCGTTGGTTGTGCTCGTGGGTGAAGGAAACTGAGTGTTGTATGAGACTGTGGATGTAGTGCTTGCGTACGGCATGGCTTGGAGCTCCAAGGAGGTACGTAGATTCAAGAGGAGTGTGTAACGAGCCTGAATATACTCATTTCCCTTCTCAGCCATACTTCGCAGCACGGCAAGGACAGTTTTCATCGCCACTGCGTCTCGTTCGTTGTATGGGAACGCTACGTTGACGATAATCAGAGTTAGTGCGCAGGCAAAGGAATGTTCTCCGTCCATGAAGCCGTATGTAACTAGAAACAGGCATCGTTAGCATATGAGAATAAATCCAAGTCCTCTTGGACTCACAATATTCATTTTGCATCATTGCCATACTCATTGTCATGGCACTTCCACGAGCTGCTGCAATTGCATTTTCGATGACAGTCAATATGTTGGGTGAGAGACCTTCTCGCCAATCTGGGGTGGCTGTGCCTAGTGACAGTTCTCGTAGGCGTTTTTGAGCGACGTAGAGGAGGAATGGTCGAGCAGTCATATCGATACAGTAGTAATAATGCAGAAAGATGCATACGCATTCTCGGAACTTGTCAGGGGTCGAAGTATCAATGCTGAGTTCAGGTGGCAAGTCCTTCAGCCAATTGGAGAGGTCGTCCATGATGCTTTGGACAGAAGAGAGGAGGCCTGTACCGGACCTATTCTTCTTCCGATAGATGCCCTCACCAATCCTGCCTAGGATGCGTGATAGTTGGGTGTAATGTTTCAAGACCGTCGGGATTGAAGGGCTTGAGTCCAACTCGGCCATGACAGTTGGCCAAGCGACATCGATATCCTCATCATGGATGGAAATGGGGTTTCCAGATTTGACGGAAATTATGCGATCCAAACTATAGACAGACCACCATATCCTTCGGCGGGACTCACGCTCGACGAGGTCCATGCTGAGGTCTGTAACCTCCTGATGTAGTCCCAGTGAGATGGCCATTCTGATGGCGAGGCCAACGTAGAGGAATGCAGCGTCTTTGCGATTGAGATTTTGCATGAACCATGCAGTCAAGCTCAGAACTTGCACGAAAAGCATGGAGCCTTCTTGATGAATTTCCGGAAGCAGCCATAAGGCATCCTTGAAGAAGTTGAATCCTGGCGGACCCTCACTCCCAGACCACTGATTCACGGAGAACATGTGGCCGAACGTCAGGACAAGCAGGACGACGCAGAAGTTGAGACGAGCTTCTGGGTCATCCAGATTAGGCCGGCTCGAGTAAACAGCTCGTAGACGGGGCTCGAAAGTATGGCGAGGAGCAAACCAGAAGATGCTCCCAATGTACTTGTTTTGCGTCAAGTACAGCCGGCGAGCAAAATCATAGGGCGGTAGTTGAGGTAAAGTGAGATTCTTTGGCCGCTTCAAGGATGAAGAATCCCTATACATAGGGCGGACATCCCAAGCAAGATCAGTGGCAGGAGTAGGGTTGAGCTTCTGGGCGAGATAGGTAGAAGACCCACTGCCCACGTAGCGACGTTCGCCTGAGCGAGTTAACCACAAGTTGTCCATATCCTTGTACCACCAATCATCATCATTACTGAGGCGTTCGTCTCCAAAAGTCGAGGGAGATGTCGCACTGCCAGAGTTTGACGTCCCGTGCGTGGTCACTGTGGGTGGTCAGAGATCCTAGCAAGACCGAGTATTTCGTTCGGACTTACTGGTTTGGGCCATTTGTGCTCGGGCCTGGAGTTCCTGTAGATAACTAGGAAAGCCTGGTAAGTATCAAGAGGATCATCCTACTTAGTAAAGTCGAACATACCTCTCTGGGACATTGATCCTCCTCTCACCCTCAGAGTAGACACATTCCACCCCAACAGCCAGGCAGACCGAGCAAGGATGGGGAGATGTGCCCGTGCATTTTGTTTTGCGACCCCGACAGCGGTTACAAGCAAGTGCTGCCCTTCTGAGCGTGTCTTGGTTTGGCTGTGGTGCCTGAGTTCGTAGATTTGACGCTTGCATGGTCATGGCCGCGGGGTTGTAGCCAGCACCATTTAGCAAAAGTCAGGATGGATTGCTGGAGACAATGAAAGGTGTCTTATCAAGTGTCGCTTGCCTGGTTGACCCTGAGGCGATGTTAGATTGTAGTCCAAGGCGTACTTGTCTACTTGTCGATTGCAAATCATTTGCCAGAATGTCACTTAATCCAGAGATCGCCGGCGACCTTGAGTTCCATAACCCAGGCTTCGTCAGCCGAAAAGAAAATAAATGTACAGAAACTCACACCCTATAGCCTGAGATCTTGCGAGAGATCATGGAGATAGACGGCAGAGTAATCGTCTTGGACTTCTGTCCGATAGCCTTGGGGAAGTGGGTACTCACACGTGACCAGACGGACATCCACGTGATCCCTCTTCTCCTCGTATTTGCCGCCCCCACCACATCAACATCAGGCAAATAAACTTGAACTTCGTCCCTCCATCCACCACCCACCTCTTCAACCGAGGGACCCCGGGGCTTACCCGGAAGATCGACAGAGAGTTCAATGTAGGTATGGAGTTGGGCATGTTCCCGGTGGGCTTTCACACTTACTTCTGGGGATGTTTTCCTTCTCCAGCAAAGCTAAGCCTCTAGGTCATGATCTACCACAATCAAGGCATCCCACCTGACAGGCCGCTTGGGACTATCAACAGCAAGCTATCATGTCGATGATATGTCAAAAGGGCCTCTAGGAATGACCGGCTGTGATATAAACTGAACATGGTTACTACTGCTGACCAGTCCATGCCATGTTCCACACAGCCAAAAAATCACAACTGGTCTCCAAGTCCCGGACTGATGCTACAGTAGACTCGAATGCGGGGTCTTTTAGCGATTTTGATCTTTGATCTCGACTCGAGACACGAGACACAAGACACGAGACACGAATGGCGAACTGCCGGTTCAGAGTTGAGTGGCCATTAAAAACATGTAAATGTTTGCCGTATGCAGCGCCCCTTTCAGGCTAAATTCCCCCCAATATGGTTGTTTCTCCACTTCATGTCATGTAATCGACTACACGAACCATTGTCAGGCATGCAACGTCAAACCATGAATTGAGAATACAAGAAGTCTGGAAATCTTCTAGGATTTTTCCGGTCTCAATTCAGGAAATCCTCTTCCTCGCTTTCCTTAGACGAGGATTGTATATCAAAGTGAAGTAACACCATTATACTATTCCACCATCAATCATGGCAACCGGAATCCTCAAAGTCAATGGCACACAAGTGGTGGACAGCAACGGCGACTTGGTATTACTACGAGGAACAGCAATAGGAGGATGGCTCAAGTAAGTGTAGCCTGGTCTACTTGATCTCTGTCGTGCATGCATCCATGCATATATGGGACATCCGCCAATCTCCATACCATATCACCACTAACCTGCCCCCCTCTCAGCATGGAAAACTTCATCACGGGCTTTCCCGGACACGAATCCAGCGTTCGCGCCGCCATGCTCCAAGTAATGGGACCCGAAAACTACGAATATTTCTTCGACCGATGGCTGTACCATTTCTTCACTGAATCAGACGCGAAATTCTTCCGACAACTGGGACTCAACTGTATCCGCATTCCGTTCAACTACCGACACTTTGAAGACGACATGAACCCACGCGTGCTCAAAGAAAGCGGCTTTAAACATCTCGACCGTGTCATCTCCCTGTGTTCCGCCCAGGGCATCTACACGATTCTCGACATGCACACCCTGCCTGGCGGACAATCACCGGGCTGGCATTCCGACAATACCACCAGTTACGCCGCATTCTGGGATTACAAGGACCATCAAGACCGGACGGTGTGGCTGTGGGAGGAATTGGCCCGTCGATATAAAGATAACGCATGGATCGCGGGATATAATCCCATCAACGAACCCTGCGACCCGCAACATACACGGCTCCCGGCGTTTTACGAACGACTAGAAAAAGCCATTCGTGCAATCGATCCACATCATATTCTCTGGTTGGATGGGAATACCTTTGCAGCGGAATGGAAGGGGTTTGACAATGTATTGCCGAACTGTGTCTACTCATTGCATGATTACAGTATGATGGGATTCCCCACGGGTCGACCGTATAAAGGGACAGAAGAGCAGAATCAAAAGCTCGAGGCGCAGTTTTTGCGAAAGTCGGAGTTTCAACGGAGTCGTGGCACGCCGATTTGGAATGGTGAGTTTGGGCCCGTGTATGCGAATCCCAGGTGGGATAAGGATGCGGATGCGATTAATGCCGATCGGTATAATATGTTGGGTCAGCAGTTGAGGATATATGATCGGTTTCAGATTCCCTGGTCGATTTGGTTGTTCAAGGATATTGGGTTGCAGGGGATGGTGTATACGTCGCCGCAGTCGCCGTGGAATAAACTGGTCGAGCCGATTTTGGAGAAGAAGAAGAGGCTTCAGCTTGATGCCTGGGGCACGTATCCGTCCAAAGAGGTGGAGGATTTGATTGATCCTTTGGTTAAATGGATTGACTCGGTCTCGCCGACAGCGAAATCCGTCTATCCTTCGACCTGGAACACGTCCAGACACGTCCAACGTGCTGTTCTTCAGACCTTCTTGGCCGAGACTTTTGTTCAAGAGTTTGCTGAGCTATTCCGTGACAAAACCAAGGATGAATTGGAGGAATTGGCCGCGAGTTTCAGTTTTGAACAGTGTTTGCAGAGGGAAGGCTTGAACAAAATCATGTCTAACTATGCTGCTGTTGAGCCAACGCAGTGACTTTCATCTTCAACATACTACAATTTGATAATAAACCTTCATCTGGTGGTATACCCCATCCCTGTCGCGAGACATTCCACTTCTGAACTCGTGTCTTCTTTGGTCCTGCGTTCATGCCAGGTCTGAGAATGTACAATAATATGCTCTGAAAACTAACACATATTTCCACATATACCTTATATCTTGCCATCTGTCTTGCGGCAATACCGTTGCTTGTCCCCCGCTGAATGTCAATCGGTAAACCACTCCCAAATAACAATCGGCCTGGATTCAGATGATGCGTGCGTCTTGATCTGAGCCTGCAATTGGTCAGACCCAAAAGCCGGGACTTTTCTGTACCCGGTCATAGCCATGCACTCGTAATAAATGCCAATCACAACAAACAAATTCTGAGGGAGTTGACTCCTGGCCATCTACCAGTCCGTCCATCAACCTCTTCCATAGTCTTCCCCAAACTCCGCCAGACAGAAAACTCAACTTCCAAAACAAAAACAAAAAGCGGCCGTAGGGTATCATAAAGTCATGACATAGGAAAAGAGCAAAATACAACATGACTCATTAAAAGGACACATCGTGCTGCTCGGCTGCATCATCCAGACACCGAGACAGTCTTGTCCTTCTGGAGAAGGCTGGACCAGTTAAATAAATCGAAGCCGTCCTTTTTTGCTCCCCCATCAGGATTGGGGGATTTGCCGCCTTGTTCCTTTGGTTCCAGAATCAAAGATCGGCGATAATGGAGATGAAAGCTTTTGTCGCCGGCAGATCTCACACGAATCAACTGATCCTGCATCCAAGTTTGCATTTCAGACACTTCGGTGAAGCGGTATGGGAACTGAAATGCTTGTAAGCCCGAGATGATCTTGGCGGTTTTGATATGCTTATCGAGATTGATGACGGAAATTTTGCCATTGTTTGTGGCCAGAGGTCGCGTGGATGAATTAGCAGAATCCACCATGGTCAAATCAGTGAGATAGATTCCAATAAAGGGTAAGCATGGAAGATCTTGTGCCTGCATCTGCTGTCGCAATGCGGAATAGTTCTTCGATGTATCGAGGACTTTCCGCAACTCCTCAAACACATTCTTGGTCTTTTGAGGAACGGCCTCCCAAGTCTTTCTCATTCTTTTGATATTGGTGGAGTCGAGCGAACAAGTGATGGCCATCAGCGTATCAAAGTTGTGCAGATCAAGGCACTTGTTGGCGATTTTGACCCACTGTTTGATAATGGCGGCTCGTTTCTTTGGCTCCTCTAGTTGAAGAATGGAATCAGAAACAAGATTAGAGATGTCTGTCGAAAGAGTTGACATGGCACGAACATTGACGGCCAGCGAGCTGGTGCGTTTGGTCCATTCGGTAGCGAGAAGCTCCTCCGGCAGAATGGAGCAGAATATCTTGGACGTCTTCAAAGTGATTTGTCGGGCAAGCTCGAGGGCGTCAAAGTCAAGAATACTGACAGGAGGACCGCCTTGCTTCCAAGCCTTGAGCGATGAAAGTTGACTCTTTGATATGATCGGGGCAGGTAAAGGCGTTGCGGGGTCAATATATGTTGCCGCCGAGGTGCTTGTCCTCCCAATCACAGACACGACCCGAGGCACGTCCGGTTGACCAGCTGTAGATACTTTCTCGGCCAATTCAAGTATTCTTCGACTTGCCATTGGAAGGACAGAAGCCAAGTGATTCCGTGCAAAGCCGACAATATCAGGCAATGCAGTGTCATCAGCGTCATGTCGCCAGTGTGATTCCATCCAACCTTTGAAGACATTGTACACTCTCAGTCGGACTGGGTTCGCCATGGTGGGGCAGTCCCCGATGTATTGAAATCTTCGAACCAGGGCTTGGGCAAATTCTTCTGGTTTCGCGAACAGACGGAATGTCAAAAACATGGTTGTCACAAATAGTGCGTCAGGGGTAGAATCATGCCCAGTCAAGCGTTCCACTAGGGCGTTCAACGTGCCTCCGACTACAACGCCTTCTCTGTTGAGGACCAATTCTTGGGAATAGGTATGAGTCAAGATCTCGGCTTCGACAATATCGTCGTCTGTCGCAAGATTGTGTGTGCCAGAGGTATTCGAGGGGAAATCGCCAAAGGAACGGGTCGTGTGAATTGAGGGGACCCGAGTGGAGGCCGAGGACATGTTACTAGGGTCCGATAGGCGGTGGCTATGTTGGTCGAAGCTACCATCACTGCTAGTGCTTCCGCCGAGCATGTGGCCGGGCGACTTGTGTAGGTTAACCTCTGTGAGCGACCTGTCAAATTTTGGGGCGAGAGGACCTGACCGCCGATCGGGTGAGGATCGAACGATATCGACAGCGGGGTCATCCTTCGGGGTGACGGGGACACTGCCAAAAGAGGTGGATGGAGAGTCGGCTGTGTTGGCGGACAGCGGAGGAGTCATCATACCCATGGGGACAGATAGGCGAGGATTCTTCAAAGTCGACTGTCGTTCTGAAGGAAGTGGTGTGGATGTGGTGGGACTGCAATACGATTGCCTGTCTCGGGTGCTTGATTCTTGGGTACTTGAGCCCTCTGAGCTGCGACCCAGAAGTTTGCCCAGGTTCTCAGTTTCGAAATCACCAATTTCTTCTAGGGTTGCTTTTGTTCTGGCCACACATCTGCCGGCAGCGCTGACACAAGCGGTCGCTGCTTGAACAAGATTATGAGCTTCGTCTGGGAGATAGACCAAATCGTCATCCATGGAATGGAGGGGTTTGAAGACTTGTCGAGCAGCATGAACCAGCTCTGTTATGGCATAGTACATGGCATCCTTGGCTTGGACCAAGGGACGTGAAGTGTTGTGATCGCGGTCAATGACAGCTTCGACAACGGTGAACAAATGTCGACAGGATCTGACAGCATTTTGGGTGGTCAACAGTAACTCAGACGAGGATCGTGACTGCATATGGGAACCCAAAAAGGAAGCTAGGACGGTCAGAAAGTCGTCGTAGGACCTGTGTAGCAGCTCGGAAATCAAATTAGGATTCTGATGACCTTTTTGGGCCGAGTATGACATGCGATGAGTGAGAGACTGTCTCCTGACGTGGGTCGATTTCCGTGGGGAGTTTATTCTGACTTTTTCAGAGATGAGAGCTGTACTGTTGGGTCGAGCGTTGGGTGGTGTTTGCTGCTGCGAAATGGACGGGTTCATCTCGAGAGCACCGGAAACGGGGCGAGGCAAAGGCTGATTCGAGCGTGACAAGGGAGAAAGCTCCTCGCTCGAAGTGGGCAGAAGGACGGTTAGATGGTCGGTCCAGACATCTAGGAACAAGGCGGCGCGGGTGACGATGCGAAAGGCTTTCAAAAGCATGTCGTCTAGTCTGATGTCCAAATCCGTGCTGGGGACAGGCGTAGAGATAACCTGTTGAAGCTGTTTGGCGGTACGAACAAGGAGAGCCAGGTCGGAGAGCAAACTTTTCCTTGTCCTTCGAATATCCTCATGAGACTTGACCAGGGTCGAATCGCGGGTCAAACAATCTGATTTCTCGAGTAGAGCGCGAACTCCGGCGACCAAACCCCTCATATAATCTTGATTGCGGAAGATGTTCCAGTTGCAGTCGCTACTACAACGAACGATGTCCCAAAACTCCGTCAGGGCCCTCAATAAAGGTCGCATAGCAGGATAGTCATAAGCGTCGCAATAGTTTGTAGGAAGCCAGCCCCGAGCACCCGTGTCGAGGAGGGTGCCATCTGCCCAACCATTAACATGGATGGAATGAATCAATATGATATCTCCCGAGTTGAGTGGCAAGGTGACAGTGGTTGAGGAGTGAGGTGAAGATGGTTGGAAGGGGTACAATGCCCTGAGGTAGTCATGGAATTTGCCTGGGTTGGCGGTCGAGTCGTCTGAGACCGCAAGGTCATGGGGAGAGACACGAAGATTATCTGGCTGGACGTGGTCATTGTTGCTGTTATTGTCGCTGTCGTTGCCGTCTGAGGGCGTTTTACGAATTCGTAAGGGAGCCACAAACATTGAAGTAGGGTGGTTTTCGCGCATGGTGCAAGAGGCAATCTTGGAGCATTTCGCACACAATTAGGTTGACGACGAAATGGCAGACGCGAGAGGCATTCTTGGAGAATGATGTGAACAAGAGGCGCAGTTGATGGAAGGGATAAAGTTGAACTGAGAATAGGTTAGGCGAGAGGAGGATACGTCGCTCGAGGGTCAAGAAACGGGCCGCAGCGAGGATGACCTGGAGAATTGGCTGAATGTACAAAAGTAAGCGACGGACTTGAGGATGGCAGTGAGGCCTGTAGGCAGGGGTGCAAGTAAGGGCGTCTGTCTGGATCGTGGTGGTGCTTCAAAAAATGTGTCCAAGTGTCAAGGGGTGGGGTTGTGACGGCGGTGGTGGTAGTTGATGATGATGGGGCGTGTGATCTGTGATCTATGATCTTTGATCGTGTGTGGTCTCGTGTTTGGGTAGCAGTCAGGTTAAAGTGAGGTGAGGTGAGGTGAGGGATGTGTCGATTCGACGGAGAACGCAAGGGCCTCAAGGAGGTTGCAGCTCGCGTCACAACAGAGCTGAAGGACGGAAGGCAAACGGTCAAAGGACGTCAAAACGAACGAATGGAAAAGGTCCGGATTATACAAGCAAGATTCAGATGAAGATCAGAGGAGTAGATGGCAGTAGATGTGAGTCGATGTGCAGTCAAAAGCCAAGAGAGCTTTTTGAGGATTTACAAGTAGAGGAAGGAATGAAGTCGGAGTCAAAGCTGGGGAAGGTGTGAATATCTCGAGAGCAGGTGCGACCGACCATGACGGAGTCACGGAGGCAGTCACTACTGGTTTGCTGTTACACTACAACAAAAAACTGCTAATCCTGCTAATGCTGCTACTAAGTTAGTCTATCAGTCGTGTCCCAGCATTGCAACAAAATGGTTCTGTGATTCGGAGATATGCTGATCCAGGGCACGCCAGGGCACGAGGTTATGCATACCTAGCCAGGTAGGCATAAACAGGGGTTATTATGTTAGGACAGTGGGGTCGCTCGGGTCATTTTTGGGGGAGAAGATGGAATGATTATTCCTAATCAGAGTTTGGGGGGCATGGCCGAGGGGCCGCCACGGACGCTAATCGAGTCCCCGGGGCGCCTGTGAGGCCAGGCCTTCTTGGCTTTGAATATCTCGATAATGATAACTTTTACGGTAGACGGCAGTGGTGCGCCACCATGATGTACACTGCTTGAAGCTTTTTCAAATGGAGACAAGAATAATCGATGGGTTGGCAAGTCGTCGTTGAACCATGGTTGAAGGGATACAAAGAACGGTTGAACGATGTGAGAATGTCAATCCATGTCACACGACAAATCCCTTGGACGGTAGGGGGGTGAGATTAAGATGCCCCGGCAGCCTGGGTCCGGAGGTTGGAAGGCAGTGTGGCAGTTCTTTAGGTACTCCGTAGGTACCTAGAAGGCATGGTACTATCACAGTAGAAATGCATGCACCCTTGAAGATCCTTGACAGAACATTCAAGTTCAGTGTTACAGGTGTGTATGGACACTCGTATTTAGGCATCAAGGTCTATATCTAGATGTGTATATACGCAAACACGAAAGCCACGCGTTACAGAAAACATAGATGCTAGAGGTACCTTGGTAGATAGGCACCTGGCCTTCTTTTGTTGTTGTTGTTATTGTTGTTCCCTGGTAGAACCGTATCGGTGCACAGGATTATCATGGGATCAGGGTCTCGGCGCGTCTATCGCCCTGGATGAGACTGAGCCATCAGTGCCATCCATGTCCACAATACATACCTACGGAGTACCTACTTTGTTGATCACAACAATAACGAGAACACCGTGAACACTCAAGTCTTTCCATGACATTATTCATTCTCCCAAAGCGTCGATTGGATTCTCTAACTGGACCCCTATCCTCACACGCTTCTGAAACCCAACAACGCCCAAGTTCAAGGACAAGGGGGTCCGAGGGGTCTATGGGGCGTCTTCTAACTTCTCAGCCGCCCCGCCAAATGGTTTTAATTTCCATGGTTTTTAGACCCTTTTGAGGGTTCCACCAACCAAAGACGCGAGTGAGGACTTATCCGTAAGTAGAGTCGCAGCAAACACGTGGGAATAAATTGAAGAAAAATCAGTGCCCCAGTTCATCCTTTGTGTTTCTTGTTTAGTCAAATCCACCCAAAGGGGAAATTCATCGCGTCGCTCTAACTTTAACTGTCACTGCAATTACTCCGTACTTCGTAGTATTGTATGCCTATTTCATTTCGACTCTCTTTCAGACAGTCTTTTCCAAAAGGTTCATAAGTTTGTCGATCAGGAGGTGGCAGGTACATCAAGAATCTCTACCACTGCCACTGTTCTCGTATGTAGTTTTACCAATTCCTCTTGTGCACAACCGAGCTCGTTATGGTTCCCGTCCTCCAACGATTTGCCGTTACCTTCCTGCAGACTATTTCATGTGGACACGTTATCCATTCTACCGCTATCTGTACCTAGCATAAGCGACGCCTCGGTTCGAAGATATGCAACGCCACAATCATCCATGTTGTAACTTGTTTGAGAAGCTGGCAACAGCTGGTTTTGGCAGGCCTTGTCGATCATGATGATAACATTTTACATCCTTTGTTCCTACAGTACCAAGGTATGTACAGAGTACTATAAGCATGCACATGCGTGACATATTCCCGAATCACATGGAATTATTACTTCTGCATTCTCGAGGGTTCTTTACCCCCTTTCGATACCTCCTTTCGAGACATATACTCTGTACTGTATAGAAACTCTCTTTTTAAGCCTCTCTCCTCATCAACTTATAACTACTGATCTGCATGAAGCTCAACCTTTTCTTGACAACCTACACATCTTCTCCCGTGTGCCAATGTACACATTAACCAGTTGACATCAAGTTTGAAATCACATTCTCATTACTGCTGATGTTCGTGTGACATGTGTACGTACATGCATGCATCAACTAACGCACAGCATACGCAGTCAGCAATGATTGACGTTTCCTTGTTCTTTTTCTTCTTCTTATTCTTCTTCTTCTTTTTCTTGATGATCGTCAATCAGGTGTCTGCATACATATTGTACCGTTCAATTCAAGTCCTGTTGACCGCTGACATGGCATATATTCTTGAATAAAACGCACAATCTGAGCCTCCCACACACGTAGATTCCGAAACTCTGATGCGTGACAGAATCCTCCAAAACTCAAAATCCAGAATCCTTGTCGGCAACAAAAATCAAAATTAACGCGAACTCGACGCGAGCGCGGGGCCTAAATTCATGAGACAGACACGCGCTCGGGCCGCAAGTTGCAATTTCTGTTGCTAAATCACGAGCCAGCGATCGTCGACTATCAATGGTCGTCGATTAATATCGACGCTGAACATGATAAACAAGTACTAATCCATCGCCTCCTCGAATGCTCACGCTGTGTTTGGTCTAATCCCACAGCCATGTCGTAGCCATGTATTTCTCCGAGCATACAATCAATCTCATGATCAGCAGGTATCTGGCACTGTGAGAGATCCCATTTCAAATCCCCCTCCATTCAATCGACATGGTCATCAAACAGGAATCGTACTGTTCCTGGCCCGCGACGAAACGTCCAGGCCCATCTCAACATCTTATCTCTTCCTCGGCCCCTGATAAGCACATTGCCTTTCATATTCTCCCAAGTTTTCCTTGACCAACGCAAAAGGTTCCACCGTGGCACCTTTGCCGATGATCACGCCTGGACAGATCTTGGCCCCTTCTCCTATCACAACTTCCGATGCAATTGTCACGGGACTCGCCTTCCATGATCCGCCGCTTCCCTTGCGGTCGATCATTTCTTCACTCACTCCCGTCGTCACAATGGTCACTCCGGGACCAATCCAAGTGCGTGCTCCAATGTCCACTCGTCCTGCATCGTCAAATTTGCATCCACTGCCGATGTAGACGCTGTCCATGATCTTGATGTTGTACCCATACGTGCACTTGAACGGGTACTCAATCCTCACCCCGTGGCTAAGTGTTCCCTTCTCCATGGGTGCAGCTAAAAACCGGTGAGTTGTGTCCTTGCTGGGATCAAACACTTTCAACAGGATATTGCGTTGCTCTTCCACGCTCACCCCGCTACCAAGTTCCGCCGCTTGGTTGAATCGTTTGAGAGCTTGCTGACAACGCTTCCGATCATCCTCCAACGTGGGATCAAAGTGGTTGTACGCCGTATGCCGCAGCATCTTGGAACGTTCCACATCCTCCTTGTTGAACGTCCTTGCCGTGGATTTGTGCGACTCATAGCTCGCCGATGACATCCTCATGTGAGTCGGAGTGTGGTGTTCCGGCGGCGGGGCGTGGTATTGGTGTCTCGTTTCGGGTGGTGGTGGCGGCGGTCCATATCCATAATGAGGAGGCGGAGGTCCAGGAGCCGGGTGTGCATGTGCATGTGGAGCGTATGCTGATGGAGGCGGCACTGGGGGTTGATGCGTGTTAGGAGACGGCCTGCTCGGCGGCGGCGCTTGATGGGATGAAGGAGGTGGCGGAGGTGGCGGAGCCTGAGAGGACGGTAGAGGATGGGGAGGTGCTTGGGAATGAGGAGATACTTGAGTCGGTGGTCGAGACATGTCTCGCGATGGAGGATTTGAATTGGTGTCAGGACGGTTGAGATCCGAAAGTGGGGGAAGATGTTCTGTTGTATATGGAGACTGACTTTGTTGTGGTGGCCACTGTTGAGGTTGAGTTTGTGGTTGAGGGGGCGGTGGAACGGGGTACGGGGCCCGACTTCTGGTCTCGTTGTAAGCTGGTCCAGGAGGATAGTGTTGTTGACGTTGGTGGTCATGCTCTACTGAGGAGATGGATCTTCTCTGACCGCCATCAAATTGGGCAGAAGGGCGAGCAGAATTGGGTGAGGCGTCGGCGGAGCGGTCAGGCTGGTACGGCGATGACTCTGACACGTCACCACCCCCATCCATCTTGGACTGTAAACGTACCGGAGGCTTGACTGGCGTGGGCTTCGCCGGCCACAGACCTCGGGTCACACTATATCCACCGCACGTAAAACTGCCTTTTTGACAATTCAAGCCTGCATCAGTCTCATTAGATAATCATGCCGACGTTTTCCACACAGATTTCCTGTCATCAGGTCTTCACTTACAGATAGGATGCGCTTCATCGCATTTCTTCTTCCGTCGACGGCATGTCAAGCATCCTGTCTTGGTCCTGTTGCTGAAGTTCCGTTTGCGCTTAGGGCCTGACATGGAGACGCCGGATTGTGGGTCAGATGCAAATCGTTCTTGATCTGCCTCACCGTTTGCCTGAGCCTCCGCATCCCAGCCTTGCGACTGGCCTTCTTGGACACTGGTTTCCCGCTGCAAGGCCTCGGCCAGTTGCGCATCTGACGTGGGGCCACTCGTGCCATTCGCCTGCATTGATGGGTGTCCAGATCGGCCAGGAGGGGATGGCCAACTGTGGCCATTGGAGTCGGCACTTGTGCCGTTGACGTGGTAACTTGAGCCGTTCGGATCCGTGTTCCCTAACACTCGTAGGGCTCGATTGGCCATGTGTTGTGCTTCGGGTCGTTTGGGTGGGGTGTAGGAGTACTGGCGATGTTGGTCGTATTTGGCGACTTCCTCAGAGCTGGACCGTTTACGTTTATGGTGGTTCTCGTCATGGCTTTGTGGATGCGGATATAATGCACCGCTTGGAGGGCGAGCTGGCATATCGCTGACTTTCTGGACAATATCCTGGGGAGACGAAAGGCGACTTGAGACATCGCTCTCTACGATCATGGTAAGTAACTGCCCGTCGTCAACATGTACGGAGATGGAGGGGGACTTACCATCGGCCGACCCGTTGTTAACAGCGACGAATCCTCTGGTGGCATTCTCTGAGCCCGACATTGACTCGCCGATGGTGATTGTGTCATGCGTAACGGAGGCTGAGACGGCCATGTCGCCCGCCCAAAAATGAAACTTGACTCCGCCGCTCGATAGGGCTTTGCAGAGGTCGGAGGATTTTATGTGTACCCCCTACTCTCCTTTATCCACCCGGTCTCCTGAAGCAAAAGAAAGGGATCAAACAAGCCTACAGCCCTGATACAGCGATGACGACTGTCGGGCGCTTGGACGGTGAACCCCTTGGTCGGGTCTAGAGCAAATGACGTATTGCCGGAGCGTAAGATCGGGGTTGGTTTTGGCGTTGGACCTCCTGAAGCCTGGAGAGGAATGGTAGACGCGGCCGGGGGAAGATGTGAGCGGGCGATTAAACTATCACAGGACCGTGAGGTTGAGCGCTTAACCTGCCGAGGGCGATTGGACAGAGGAGGCAGCTTAGGCGTGACTCGGGGGATAAGAATCGACAAAGGCGCCGTCAAGGGCGGACCAGGAGTATGGTCAAGGCAGATATTCGATGAGTCGATGAAGGGAACCAGTGGGTTGCAATTATGAAGAATAATCAAGAGATAGAGATGTCACTGCTCATGCATGGTGGTAAGCGGGAGCCGCGTGAAGCGCAGACGGGTCAGGTGTGGAGGTCTTCTCGAGGGTCAGGCGGAATGGCCCGCAGCTGGACAGGCACGACACGGCACTGGGAGACAGACCGAGCCAAACCCAGAAAACGTGGTCGTTGGAGTCAGCTGCTGATTGAGTAACAATGGTCCACAGCCAATGCAAAGCCTCAGAATTCAATTGAAATAGGCAGGCTGTGAGTTTGAATAATTGAAAGTGAGCAGGAGAAGAAGAAAGAGAGAAAAAGACTGGTGAGCAGGGTGAGTAGTGGAGAGGTGCGTAGTGAGAATCTGGGCACAGGCCGGAAACGCAATGAGATCGGGAACTACACCACAGTTGGTAGCCTCGGGGCTTGGGGGATGCTGGTCTTGTAAAGTGGGAGATAGAGATAGAATGTGTGTGTGAGAGAATGTGTGAAAGAGAGAGGCGGTGGGATGAGTTGAGTCCAGACACAGACTGCGCTCATTCAACCTTTGGGGGGAGAAGAGAGGAAGCTGCTACCGCTTCTCGACTTGCTGCGCAGGAAGGAGCAGGTTCCGTCACTGTCGAAGCAGGAGCCCGAGGGCCCCTCGGCCGCTTCTTGCAGTGGAGGGCAGCCGTGGCAGCGTGGCAGCGCATAAGGAAACGCAGAATAGCAGGTGGTAATTAGACCATTCATCCACACGTATCACATCCGAGAGCCTTGGAGGCGCCATCATCTGCCAAACTCCAGTTGCCTGGATGACTGAGTCATGGTGGGTTCAAGGTGGGCGATGTGGGCGTGGTTGCCCACCATGCCACCATGTCCAGCTCCCCCTCTGGTGGCGGAAGGGATGCGGTAGTGACTGGTCAAGGGTCGAAGCCGTTGACCTGCGCCAATTAGTCTCGAGACCAATGGCGACTCACAGCCAGTCAGAGGTCATGACGGGCGATTCTTGGATCGCTGGGCGCTTGAAGAGGGGCCGGGGGACGGGCTTTGGCGCAGGCGGACGGCGTACGGCGTATGCGTACGAATACAAGGCCAGTAAAGGCCCTAACCGGCACCCTTGCAGGCCGAGAAAGGCGCTTGCCGTCCCACTAGCTGTTCACCCCCCCGGCGTCCTCAATCGCAGCATCGCTGACAAGATGGCTCTTGCGCTTCCTGACTGGTCACAGCCGCGGTGTCTCTTTTGGGGCCAAATTCGGGGAAGCTGCAGTACAGCCGAGGCCACCCTTTCCCACCTCCACCACTCTGCTTCACCTGCTTCGGAAGTCGCAACAGATGCCTACTCCGTACCTGCCTACCTTACGCAGCTATGGTGCATCGGTTCCTCATCAAACTAGGCGGCAATCAATGAGACCCATGTTGCAAACGCACCCAGCCACCATCACGAGTTCCCGAAAAAGGTTCCAACAACTACTCCGTAGTGAAACATGTTGTGCGCCTTGTATTTTACTTTGTCGTCTTGTTGTGTTATCGGTAGCGTCCCTGAGATACATACACATACTCCGTAGGTACGCAAACTACAGTAACCTTATAAGCGGCATTGTGGCCGTGACACTGGACATAGACCCCTCTAACCATAATTACCTAGGTACCTAGGGTACGGAGTACTTCCTTACCTGGCCTTAGCACCCTTAGGTCAGTGCCTACGGAGTACTCGTACAGGTACCACTGTACGTACAGAACTTACTCCGTATGTGTAGGTACCTTACTTGGGAGGTAGTTTCTACATCAGGACCTGCCAGACACCATTACTGGTTAGGTACCTAGGTACCTAGATAAGCACCAGGCAAACCACAACAGAACACCGCCTTTTACGAAATGAGTGAGTGCCCGACGTAGGGAAAGTCCGTGCAAGATACGGGCGACGCACGCCTTTGCGGTTCCTCACTTTTGCTTGTTGCACCTAGAATGGTAAGCTGCATCTCTAGACTGGCCGTCATCCTTGCATCAGTTGCAGGGGTTGGGCGGGAATTTAACTGGATGTCCGATGATCATCTCTAGGCGCTTCACCTCGCTTAGAGAAGGTTGCTCCAACTGATCCTGTGCGAATCATATGCGTCTGCGCGTCACATTGTTGGTCCCTCAGAAGCGACAGACGCCCCGGCCGCCAAATCTCCAGGGAAGCTAGGCGCTTCTACCGCCTGTGCCGCCATTTCTTCCGACCATCTCTCGACCCCTTCGACCCCCTGGTGCCCCTATAATCAATTATACTTTTGCGTCTTGTAGGCTGAGCAAACACGCCATCCTTGCCAGACGTTGTGGGATCAAATCCATGCTATTAGGAGTACTACTCCACAGGTACTAGGTACGTCTATCATCACCGTACCGATTATTAATGCATTAATCCCGCGAATCTTCTTCTTTCCAACCTTGCCATGCCACCCCAAATCCAACACTCTCTTCTCCACAACCATCGATCCAATCATCCAGGCTTCCGCCCTGCTTGCTATCCAATTCTGCGACAATAGCCATGGTGGGCCTCCCGTGAGCGCACTGAAACGGCAAGTCACACCGTGATAACGCATCAACAAGTTGCTGCCCCTGCTCTTTATCCAAGATATCGTTAAACATAATTGCCGTGCGACATGAGCGTGATTTGAGTAGCTCAAGTATACCAGGAGGGCACTGAGCCGCAAACGAGATCCATGATCCGCTCTTGGATCCCGATGAATCTATTGATGTAGCTTTGTCGTAATTCGCGTCTTCCTTCCAAACCTCGCCGCGAAGAAGCTCTATTAACACACCCGGCTCGGCTCGACAACGTTCGGCGATCGACATTGGGAGCGTAGAAGTTGTTACGTTGAATATCGTGCCGTCCAGGGTTTTATCAACCCGCTCCACGCTGTAGCATATATGCCACACTCCAAAGTAGTCCCGGGCATTTTTGAAAAGCTCCGCTTCAATTTGATCCACCTCAAAGACAAGAGGCTTTGCGAGTGTCACTGGAGTCGACGCAAAAAACTCGTGACACAGCTTTTCCAGTTTTACTCTTTCATCGGCCGCGTGCTGGTCTATAACCAAGAGACTCAGGTGCTCTCCAGCGGTTTGCCCATGCGAGCCTCTGCTGGGGGTTACTGCCAGAAGGAACTTTCGATCCACCTGACCAAGGACCTCTGCACAAGACAAGCTGGCTCTAGGAACTTGTTTGACTGAGCCGGATGAAGCATGCAGCCCACAGTGCGAATTCCATGTACTCTCATCAACGCACCTCTCTGTAAGCTGTTGAATAGGACTCTCAACGTTTCCTTGCTGGTTACTCCACTGCCTCAATATGGTTGAAATTTCATAATTGGTTCGGGACCTCTTGTTGCCACGTTGACGCGGAACAACTGTGCTTGGGCCTCCATGATCCCTACCAGTTGTAGTAAGAGTTGTGGTCGAGTCAAGCGTCCGCCCAGTACGAGAACAAACTCGGGTCGACTGATTCGTTTGGGGATCTGTCCAGCTAATAGCAGAGTCATCGACTCCAGCAGCTTGATCATCACTAAGACAGTGATTGGTTTCGTGAGTCGTCGGATGCAGAGGTATTGTTCCAATAGCCTCATTCGCCTTTTCAGGATTGTTGCTCGTCTGTTTCTGGACTGCTAGTCCTGGTGAGGCGGGAAAATCGGCACGTTTGGTGAAAGGGAGTCCATGATCTCCCCGCTCCTGACTTAAGTGCCGGCCACTTTTGACTCGGTGCCAATGTTGCAGATGGGGATGGAAACGCCTATGAGCGGGGGTTTCCGATGTTGGGGAGTACAGACGGCCTTGTGGTTGCGGCGATGTTTTCGTCGTCCAGTCTAGATTTCGGCGGGTTGGTTTTGTTTTGAGCCCGTGAGAATCGAGAAATTGTGAGACCAGCTGAATCAAAGCCTGAGATAATAGCTGCATGCTCGTAGTTCTGGTAGATAACAGTTCCGGTTGCACACGACCCTGTGACTCAGCTGTTTGAATATCGATACAGATACTGAACATTGGCCATCGGTCAATCTTGTTTCCTGAACGGCCTCGTGATTGAGGTGAGTCATCTTCAGCTGATGAAGACTCAAGCGACAATTGGGCATCGCTATAAGTTGATTTGTCAAACATGTCATTGACCTGATCGTATAGCCATTTGCCGCCAAGAGACGGATCGACTGGAACTATTCCAAGGGATATAAACTGATTGGATTTGGAAGGCGAAGGATCCAGCGAAAATGCCGCCCAAATAGAGCACTGGTTCATTCGTAGCGTGGCGACGTTCCAAGAGCTGGCATCTAGTCTAGGGGCAAGGTTGGCCTGGCGAAGAATGGAGACGATGTCTTCCAGCACGTTGTTGTCTCCTTGAGGTGCCATTGTTGGACAGTGGTACTTGAAGCGTTGAGAGCAGTCTTGGGCAGAGAAATCCACATTCACTTTCCGGGGTCGAGCCAATAGATATCGCACGAGCAGCTTCTTCAAATTGTCGAAATCCTTTTGCACTTCCTTCGGTGAGCTATACTTGTTGATATTTTGTCTGGAGCGAACTGGCAAGTGTGCGAAAAGACCATAAACTTGGACATTTGTGCCATATCCTTGAAACTCGTCGTCTTGAATTCGAAGTCGTCGGAGCATGACTTGGCCGCGCTGAAGGACGAGTCGATGATGCCCGGAGTCATGAGGACATCGTGACCTGATAGACAACAGTGATAGGGTAGATAGATGGGCTAAGAAGCGACCGCACCGGCCGTACATCCCCGATGTGACATCCGACTTTGAAGAACCTTCAACCTGTCAGTTGGTACCTCAATAGACATGTATCATATCACTCTTACAATACGGCTGACCTATGAAGGCATCCTCGGCAAAATCCGCTTCACTGATGCCCAAGCCATCATCTTGTACCATGAAGTAACCTGTTCGTAAATTCACGTGGATCTTGATGGACGTAGCATCTGCATCGAGGGCATTTTCGACGAGACCGGCGAGGATTTGAGCGGGGGAGACGAGATCAGCAGAAGAGCAAATCTGTGCACGGGCTTGTTCAGGGAGCGGACGAATTCTCCGCGAGGGAATCGACATGTCGATAAATGGGTACAACTTCGCCCATATGAGGAGCAAATCATGGAGGACGCTGTTGGTTGCGGACAAGAGGAAGAAGTGACGCAGTTCCCATCTTCAGGAGAGCAGGAGGGACCAAGGCAGGCCACTATCTCTAGTTGTATCAGATACTCGAGGCAAGGACTCGTCTACCAATAAAGGTGATCGAGTCTGTAGAGGTTGTCATGTAATTTGAATGCTAGGTCAATAAATGTTGTTGGTTGTTGTCATTTCTACTATTGGAGACATATCAAGAGGCTTGCAGTCTGAGGAAGTAAACATGCCAAGTACTGACCCAGGTATTTGCAGTGTTTGCAGTGTTTGCATGTCCTATACAGTTTCCAGGACACGTGACAATGTCTCGTCGACTCCCTTCCATCAAACTCTTGAATCAACACAAGACCAACATATTTACTCTGGCACTATCATCAACATTCTCTACAGATGCGTCAAGTCGTAATCACAGTTCTACCTACGGACGTAGTGCGACTGAGATCAAGACGCGACTTAACCTTGGTGAATGCAACCATGCTCTAATCCGCACACCTCCAAATTAGTATGATGATATCCAGCTTTTGACGCCAGCAGCATCCAAGCCGCAGTATTATCTATCTCCTCAACTGTCGAGTCATTCTGTCGAGTCCAGATGGCGGTCACCAAATGGATGACCGTGGTACAACAATGTCTTCTTCGACGGACCTCAGCCTTCGAGTTCGCGCGCTTTCTTGAGGCTCACAAGGATGAGGTCGACGGCATTCGTCTCTTCGCCGCCTTGTTTGACTGTCGGGAGTCATTTTGTGTCAAGGGCGACCCTCTGGTATCTCTTTACATTGATCATGTTGGAACAGCCGGCATTGTCAATATGTCGCAAGTACTTGTCGCCCTCATTCGGAAGTGGAACCTAGGGCGACCACCTAAGCCAGCCTCCCTTCTGGATGCGTTCACTCAAACACTCCAAGACCTCACCATGATATTCGTCTCCCCGAAATACAAAGCAGAGCCTAACGAGGCTCTTACTTGCTTGTACCTCGCCACGAAATGGTTGGCAATCCTGCCAGACAGTCTGTCCGAGACTTCGGCGGAAGCATCAACTCAAGAACAGAACTATGTCCTAGAAGCCCTTGCATTCCTTGTTACTTCTTTGGCGGCAACAGACCGTGGTCTGGAGGCCTTATCCCATCCCTCCCCAAAATCAGGCTCCAGCTCCAAGCCTACGGCTAAACTCCAACTATCAATTCGCAAGTCAATCGAACAGTGTCTAGCGAGATCTTCCACCCTGTCGCCTTCTTCTGTTGATCGTCTTGGTGCGGTGCTCAAGCACATTACAATGACGGATGATATATCCTCGCAACCAGGGCCTTCATCTCAAGCATCTGAGATGCAAGCTCTACAATTTCAGGTATCAATCACTGATACCCAGATAGTTGCGTCCAAAGCAGCCACGATCGTCTACCTGGAGTCGCTACTTCTGACCGGTCAAACAATCGACGATAACATCCTCATCAGCTTCTTATCTGCACGTCATCAGAACGACTACCAGGCAGCCCTCATTGACGTGTTTACCTCCTCCTTCGAGATTCTCAAGTTTCAGATGGCTTCTGGCGACTCTGCTCGTGGCCAGGAGCAATGCACAGTCTTCATACAAAACAAGCTTCCGGTCATTTTATCGATGATAATGGCATCTTCATTCAACAGTTTCAACATCGAGCAGACCCTCACAGAGTCATGGCATCAAGTTACATCAACATCACCCAGCCAAAAAATTCTGAATGTAGGCCATCGTTGTCTGCACACGTGTTCTTTGTTACACCTAGTGACCCAACAAGCTGTCTCCCAGCTGATTGGTGATGGCAATACTGAGACTTTGGCTCTCAGCAAGGGTCTTTACCTCAAGGATGATCTCGTGGCTCAAGTGCACGCCAATGCCGCACGAGGCCCAAACCTGGTGCAAGAGCTGGTCCGCAGAGATGGCAGCGCAGATGGCAGCGCTGGTCCAATCAGTCAGGCCATCATCGAGGCAAGTTTTGAGCATTTCTCCTCGAACTAAGGCTAACTACATCCCAGATTATGCATAGTTATTGTCAAACCAAAGAGACTCAATATCTCAAAGACCTCGCCAACGCTCTTCTCAAAAAGCCAAGTGCTATCACTTGCATCTCTCTGTTTGTACGTCCATCCTACTGGCTCAGCCCACTTTGCGTCCTCCTTGACGACTGGCGCTGGGATGAAATTCACGGTAAATTCGTCCCTTGAACCAGTATTTGTCCTCCTTCTGACATTCAACAGGCGAGGCTCAACCAGTATATGATCAGTTCGGTGCAGTATTTCTTCTGGTTCTAGTCACTAAAGCAGTTCTCGGCCTGAAAAAGTCCGATCTCGGAATCCGCAAAAAGGACGGATTCCTTGCGGAATACCTAGATCGAGAAAACAGCGAATATGCTTTGAGCGAGCTTTCTGAAGAGAAATCGAAGCTTCTCGGCGATTGGATCAATGCCCTTTATATCGCCGAAGGTCTGAGCGACGATCTTTTCACGGACTGTAGTCCCCATGACTTCTACCTCCTGATTCCCACTTTGCTCCGCCAATCTATCACGGCTCATCAAAGGGAAAAGCTGACTATGGAGGCATTGTCTGCTGGACTGGAGTGTAAGTTACTCTGACTTGACCACTATGTTCACTCTGACTCTAACCGACCCTAGATCTGTTAGAACCGTTCTTACTACCATCACTTGTGTCAGCATTGAACTGGGTCGGCAACATTCTCTCAGACAGCCCACCGCTTGCAGGAGCTGTGCTTCAAGTATTTCTCAAATCCCCCAGCAATCCAGAATCACAAGACATACATCAAACCATTCTCGCAAAAGCGGCACCCACATTGAGGAAACGGATCGAACATGGCCACTATCAGGAGGAATCTTTAGACACAGCCCTAAAAACCCTCCTGAAATTCCCCGAGTTTTCATTTGGACCTGAAAGCCAATTAGTTGGCGCCTCTCCAGAAGGAGTTTTGTCCAGCTTACGAAACGCCATTACAACGATGCTGAGTGTTATCAGTACACTGGACATTGACAACACCATGACCTCATCTGCTCGATACTCACCCTCGTTGGTGAATCAAGCCATCCGGTTCACGAGCCCGGCCATGACACTGCAAACCCTGATATCGATACTACTTCAGTTCAGCGAGTCACACAACTTCGTTCTAGCACTGGACCTGATATCGACCATCATCAGCACATCCGATTCAAACCTACGGGACAATTTACGAATACGATATAACACGCTCAGCCAACTCCTTCGACGAGGCGACACGCTGACTGCAGAAGCGATTGTGCGGCTATACCGACAGGTAGAGGCGTATAGCACGGTTCTAACGGTGCAGGACATGAGTCTGGATCCGTTTGCGTTCGCACAGCAAATGGCAAATATCGACACGGCAAATCCTAGTCTGGACCCAGTGGTGGCTTCGACGACGGACCAGGCGCCCATGGACATGGATAATCTCCCAGGAGCTAGTCAAGGAGACGTGGTTCCAACGGAGGACGGTATCGACCAAGTCCTCAATGAGGCGGCGGCTATGGATGGATTGAAGGATTCTATGGATGGCTTGGACGGCGATCTGAGTTGGGATGCCCTGTACGGTGACGGGAGTAATGATATGAACCTTGAGGATCTGGATGCCTTGGACCTTGACATGTTCTAGTGGGTGTTACTGCGGCTGCTCCAGTACTGGTGTCCATTGTGGGTTCTTTATTGGTGGTGATCAGCCGGCGGAAGACTATAGATTATGGGTTGCACAGATAGAGATGTCAGAGCCTCTGTGAGTGGTTTAGATTTCTGGAATGGATTCCCACAGACCAGAGGTTGTGGGAATATTTCTATTCAAGTCTGCAGCATCTTTGCCATGTCGTAAAGCTAGAATTTCGCTGACGTACACGTGTACTGTAGGCCGTGCAACTATTTTTTGACTGTATAACGTTTGCCAAATCGCTCCGCTCAATTACGCTCAAAATAGATTTCATCCACCAGTGTACGAGAAATCGGGGTGGATAAACCCTCTTCTGGTTCTTGGGTGTTTTTCATTGCCTCATTCCCCGCATCATATCATATCGGAGTCTTCATTCACGGAAGGTGATTTCATCGATACTTATTCTCTCAAGTCTCATCTGTCATCATCTCAAAGAAAACTCGGCTCTGATCCGTTGCAAAGCCAGGAAAATGGCCTCCCTCTGGCCCGGGCCTAGATCTTTGAGCGAGACCAAAAATGTTAATGGTGGCTCAATCTGCAAAACGGCAATAACATCGATGCCTCGATGCTCTCGGGCTACACCGTCGCTGATGTATGGGGTAGGCGTGGGGCGAACACGGCCCTTTGAATCGACATCGCCAAATGCGTAGCCAAGGAGGCCTAAAAATTCGCGTGTTGTGTCGTGGATAGTTTCAATGTGTTCCCAAATCAAGCTGCTCACATCTCGGTCATCGAACACTAGGTCTGGAGTGATGTCGGAAAGAACGTCGACGATGGCAGCATGGAGAAGGATTTTGGTGACGAAATATCGATTCCAATGGAAAAATGCCGGGAAGGATGTAAATGAGGAAAGGCGGTAAAGATTTCCCGATGTCCATGGGGTTCGGTATTTCGAACGAGGGGTGGTGCTGAGATCAACCTTTACCGGCATCCATGGTGGAATGTCGCACCAGCCATCAACCTTCTCTTCTAGGCGTGCGGCAGCTTTGAGGTAGGATCCAACGATGCCTTGGACGTCAATGGGTTGACTTTTGTGACGTAGGAGAAAGTTTTTGATACGATGGCGGAGTTTACACACTCCGTGGAAGAAGGCTCGAAGCCTGAGTGCTGCGGGAGGCACAAACATGGCTTTGGAGGTCTGGGCTTCAAGCACGAGATATTCTGGAGCAGGCTCTTCGCTGTCGAATAAGGGGTTCCAGTGCTGCGAGAAGTGTTAGTCGCGGAGGGAGCGGTAGCATCAAGGAGAGAGTAGGCTAACCATCGACGACAGGAGGGTCGCATAAAGGTGACGACCCTCTGGAGTGGCAAACTGTGCATCTCCACGGGCTCGGAGTAACATCAAGATGCCTTCAATATGTGTTACGTGCATAGAGGAACGATACGCGGAGCCAGTTGACGAACCGGTTGCACCAGCGAGAATCTGGATAAAGTTAGTATGATACGAGGGGTCGATGCTGTCATCATACCTCTCTGATAGACAACAAGAAGACTGCCACTAAGGTCTCATCCTTGAGGCACTGTTGAGGATCTGCCAAAGCACGTGTGATGCCCGAGATAGCTCTTTGGTATGTTGAGTCCACGATCTTAGAAAGATCGACGGTGGGTGAACGATTTGCTAGATTAGTCGTGCCGACTGAGCGCATTGCTGCGTGGAGGTAGGAGCCGGAACTCGAGCGGGCTAGGAGCTCGGGGATGAACTCAAAGGAGGTGTTGCCATAGAGCACACTGGAGTTGATGTCGATTTGACTGAGAGAATACCATACTGATTGCTCAATAAGGCTAGGGACATCGCTGACAGAGCCAGGTATGGATACGGCGGAGTTCTGAGGAAGGAGCTGTTTAAAGTCGACGGGTTCACTGGTGCTGGATTGTGACGAGTCACTGCTTTCGCTGGTGGAGGAACGTTGACGATCGGACGAGGAGGTGGCGATACTATCTGGTGGCGAGGACGTCCTATGAGTCTGACTGGCGACAGGGGGAGTAAAGACGGTGGTGCGCACTAGGCCAAAGCCAGGCTCACGATAACCAGGGCATGGCTTATTGAGTCTGGTACAATTACGACAAGAAGGGCGGCCTTCGTCACACTGAAGAAGAGGAATAAGCTAAGGGCGGGGCAAGGTACAGGGGTAATATCAAAATCATACCTTGACTCTCCGTTTTCGACATAGACCGCAGCCGGAACTGGGACGGCCAATGTTGCCCATTGGAGAGGTGAGAAAGAAAGGTTGGCGCGTCTGGAATGAGGTTGAATTAAGGAGGCGGCTGTGGCTTCACGAAGCGAGACGTTGTGCCTCAAGATCAACGTAGTGCTGATAGGCGGTTGCGTTCGAAGACACGTGGTGAGAGATCGGCGGTTCAGCTGTTTGACTAGACCTGCATGTGGGTTTTGATGATTCTTGTATCTGTTATGAAGTGGCCGGATTCGACGTCGTGATCTACTCCTTGTTGGTGGAGGCGATCATCGCTGGAAGACCATCGTCATTCTGCCTAATTTATCTCAGAGTCGACGTTGCATCGTGAAGCTGCTCACCACCTACGTAGTATGGAGATGGTAGAGACAATTCTCTCACGAGTCCCAGGGACCCGAGGAATTTCGCACCGCCTGGCGACGATTAAAGTTGAGGCTCAAGTTCACCGTCGAGGGACGAGTGGTGGTGACAATAGAGTAGAGCCTTGTGTGCTGGCTAACGAGAAGAGGAGTTTTTAGGAGACGCAGTTCGCATGGCTAACCCCTTTTGGGTTAGGCTGACACGGGGAAAGTGGTGCAGTATCAGAATGAGAGCCAATCTCAGCTGGTGATGGTGATGTATGACAGTTCCAGAGGCCTGGGAGAACCACGTGTAGGGCTGGAATCACACTGACCGAAATAAAGTCCACATCAAAAGGACGTTATAGTGATGAAGATAAAATTGAGACGAGGAAAAAAAAGAAGAGAAAATTCTGATGAGCGGGGGAAGTTGCTCAGTCAGTCACTGTCAGTCAGTGCAGGCACATAGACTCACAGTAGCTCCTGCGTCTTAAATTAGCACTTGCCGACTACAGTACGGTTCGTTAGGCAAGAGGCAGTCACGGCCACAGAAAGCACACGCGAATTTTCTCCATTTCTCTCCTTCTCCACCCCCAGACGACAAGATCTAACGGGGCCAAGGGGGCGATAGAGGGCTTATCGACCCTGGGACGGTGCGTTAATTTCTTGTCCAGTGTCTTGGTCTGGTTGGACTTTCAGGCCACTGGGCGGTGAGCCGAAGAAACGCTGAGGTGGTACAGATTGAGGGGCAGTGTTAACCGAAGGAGTCTGTGCACTCCGCCCGATCTCCAGGCTATCGTTTGTTTTGATTGGTTGACGAGGAGGGACCATGGTCTAGACCACACTATTCCCTTTTAGTCGAAGACGTCTCAATCCAGATTCTCCCCAAAACTCTCTCGCCCATTTCGACATCACAGTTATGCTCATTTTGGCATCTTCAACCAGAGTACTATTGATCCATAAGGTCCTTATTACTTCCTTGTTCGACGTCGTCTGGTGTTTCATGTCTCCTGGCCCCAAAGTACAGTGGCCTGATGATACCTCCTCAGCTTGATCATGCGAGATATCCGAAAACCCACTTCACTATTCTTAACCTCTGACCCCATACTTGTCCACTACCACCATCAACTACAACAACAAAGTGATCAATGATGATAACACAAAATACTGTTGATATGTGTTGTTCCTGTCGAGATTGCTTTTCTGATGTGGCTGCCGTCCCGGCTCAACTCTGATCCTACCGTGGTCAATGCTTCAACGGCAAGATCAAATAGTCATGAACTCTTTTTTATTCTACCATTGGCCATCAATCTTCTTTATTGCACTTAAGCTTTCTCTCGCTCATCTGCACCAAAATGAATCCCTTGAGTTTACACTCAACTGACGTCCAGCCTGTGACTGGTTCGCCCAGACTTCTAGACTCATGGCTGACTTCGTATTACCGGCTGCCATCAAACAGCCACATGCTGGGTTTGAGGCATATTACAACCTCAAGACAACGTAAACTACTCCAGCAGTTTGAGATACTCTAGCATCCACCAGATCTCTATCAAACAAGTTGTAAGGATCAGTGATACTGTGAGCCTGGCGCCATGGACGAAAACGCAGCGTCCGATGCTGTTGACAGCATCCTCAACAACCTCAATGAATTCAACATGTCCAGTATTGCTTTCAATAATGCAACATTGTTGGTCCCGACGAATACCACGGGCTGTCTACGCCCTGGGGCAATGCCAATCCCAATGTACAATTTCAATTGTGAGTTATCCATTATTGAGGCCGATTGCGGACCTTAGCCCTACTCCGTAAATTTCATATGTGCCTCGTGCTCGTGCTGAGCCCCGTACGCGAGCTAATGTCCCTAGGCTCCCTACTTCAAATGCAGAGCACCACACAGTTCATGAACAATCATTGTGCACCAAACAATACCGATGTCTGCCTATTGGGCTTTTCATGTCCACATTCCAATGCGACCAACCCTCCACAGTATTGCCCACCAACCGAACAGTGTCTACTGGTTCGTTCCACCAAAGGGACATGCCGACCTCAAGGGACCTATGAACCTCGAGTTTGTCCACCAGGTCACTATTGCCCCTTTGGTGGCAAACAACTCATCAGATGCCCTAGGGGTACTTTTTGCCCCATGGGCAGCTTCGAGCCGACCCAATGCGGCCCCGCTTCTATGTGCCCAGCAGGAAGCCGCAGGCAAGTTGTTATGCTTCCTGTCTACATTACTGCTGCCATTGATTTCCTCTTGATTGTTGTTGCGGTGGGGTTCTTTTTCTTCTCCAAGCGTTTCATGGGCAAGAAGATTTTACCTAAACAAAAGCCGACACCCGTAGAGAAAGATCTTGAAGACACGGGGCCACCGCGTTTGTTGTCCATACAGCCTATCGAACCACATGAAATAGAAGAATCTCCAGAGATTCAAAGGCTGATGCAGTCTTTCCGCAATTGCATCGGCACAGACAATGTCGGATTGGCATTTGACTTTGACAATCTATCCTTCGAGCCGAAGCCTGGGAAGAAGATCCTCGACGGTATTTCTGGTTCTATGCGGAGTGGGTCATTCTGGGCAGTTATGGGCGGCTCAGGTGCCGGGAAGAGCACATTCTTGAACGTTCTCATGGGCAAGACTGACCACACCAGTGGGAGTGTTCTTGTGAATGGTCACGACGAGAAAATGAAAAAGTACAAGAAACTGATAGGCTATGTCCCTCAAGATGATGTTGTTCTCCCAGAGTTGACCGTTCGAGAGAATATTCTGCACTCGGCGCGCATCCGTCTTCCGCGAACTTGGTCTGATGAGGAGAAGCAAGAGCATGTCGATAATCTTATCGCTTGCTTAGGGCTATCTCATGTCGCCGATTCCCTTGTCGGAGACACAAGAAAACCTGTTATTTCTGGAGGTCAGCGGAAACGAGTGAGCATTGGATTGGAGTTGGCTGCTGCTCCTATGGCGCTCTTCCTGGACGAGCCGACTTCTGGACTTGACGCAACTTCTGCAGGAACCGTCATGGGCCTGTTAAGGTCCATTTCTCGACTCGGGGTGACCACCATTGCAATCATTCATCAGCCCCGCCAAGAGGTGTTTGAATCGATTGATAATCTCCTACTATTGGGCAACGGCCAGCAGATCTATGCTGGAGAGACCAAGGAGGTGGACGAGTATCTCAACAAACTCGGGTTCATCTTTCCACAAAACAGAAATCCCGCAGATGTCATCATGGACATTGCAACCGGTAACGGACAGCAGTATAATCGTTCTTTATTCTGGAGAGAAGACGGTGCACAGAAACTCCTGGACAAGTGGCAAGAGCATATTTCCAAATCCAAATCCACATCTTCAGATGAAGATGAAGTGGAATCGAAAGAGGTCAAAAATGCGGCCGCAGAGGTTCATGTCACAGCTTCCACAGTCGCTCAAGAGCATTCACTTGCTCATTCAATCAAGAAAAGAGGCGCTTCTTTTCCACTGCAAGTGTGGTATTGCTTCAGGAGGGCTATGCTTCAGCAACTGAGAAACAGAGGCAGCTTATTTTTTGAAATTGGAGTTGGTGCATTGGCAGGTGCCGTGATCGGTTTGTCGGCATTCTCTGCAAATGGGCAGTTGTTTCGAGGAATCTATCATTTCCCTTTCACCGCGTTGTCAAGTGCGGTTGACTACCAGTCTGCGATTCAGATTGGTTTGCTTGGAGGGCTTGCCATTGGTAAGCAGAGAGATATCTCGATTCTGGAGGGTTGCTAATGAATATTCAGGTCTTGCAGCGAGTGCAGCAGGCGTCAAGGTTTTTGGTGATGAAAGTGAGCAAGCATCCCGCCTTTCCAAACAGTTCCACCTGCTCATACGTATACAGAACTCATCTACTGGCGAGAAGCGGCTGCTGGCCACAATCGATATGCTTATTATTTGGGAAAGGTCATGTCGACATTTATCAGAATGACTTTATCATGCCTTCATTTCAGTGTCTTCCTAGGCGTGTTGGCGACTCCACTAATGTCGTTCTCTACGATATTTGCGGCAAACCTTTTGTATTTTTATTGCATCTATGGGTTTTCCAGCTGTATCAGCATGGTCACACGACGCGAGGATGGTCCATTACTGGCCGTGATGGGGAGTTTGATTCTAGGAATCCTCGGAGGTGCTGCTCCTCCACTGAGCAAAGTCAAAATGTGGCATATGACTTGGCTGTGGAGGATGTCACCTGGGGTAGGTTGATCACTACTATGATTCTTCGCACGAGCTCATACTGACATGATACTCCAGACGTGGTTTACTGAAATCTGGTTTACTAGGAACGTGGTTCCGTTGAGGTATCTCTACATCATAGACCTAGCGGCAGAAGCCACTGGGTTTAGCTTTAACCACGTTACCTTAGATCTCTGGTAAGTGGAGTGGATAGATCTTGATGACATCGACAGGAAGCTGACCACAACAGTGTCATGTTCGCTATCGGAACAGCTTATCGAGTGATAGCATGCGCGCTCCTCATTCTTGTCAAGCGGAGCAAGCAGAGGTAGATGGGCATTAGGAGTATGAATGGATGGTGTGACCATTTCTTCACTTCTCGACAAGGATTAGTGTTGAGAAAATTAGATTACTTTAGAAGTTTTACACATCGTTGGCTGTTTCTACCACAAAGTCGTTGAACATGAGCTGATCGTTAGGGGAGTCGTTGACCAGGCCGCAGATACGGATGCTGTGGTAGCGGTGCAAGTCTAGCCGTTGAACCCCACCAATCCATCAAGTCCATCTCGAGCGGATCCCAACGTGCGAAAATCGTTAGATGTCCATGACGAAATGTGACGTTGATCCCATCCTAATCATGAGAGCAAAGTTGATCGATATTAACGCATACCATGTGATTCAAACGGAACTTCAAGTTCCATCCAGCTTTCCGCGTACTGTAGTAGACACCAAAGAAATCCAACCATTCAGTGACAGGACTGAGCTTTGTCCACAGCGGGTTCCAAATATAGGTCCATGGATCCATCGCTCGGCTCCAGGGTATTTTGTCCGTGTTCCTGCGTTACACTGGGGGCGTGGACTAGGATGGGATTCTGCCTATTCGCACCTAAACTCTCCGACGCCCTGACCAGCTCCAACGGTTGCGGTTACGCGTGCCAGAAATGCCCCAGCTAGCCAGGGTAGTAATCAAACTTCTTCCAAGTACTGCCTGTAAAAAAGGTGGCACGCGGATGACTGGGGGAGGGCCCAAACCTAATGACTTCGAGCGGTCTAAGGAACCTCCCATTTCCCTCTCCTCAGCCCAGGACCTGACCCCGCCTACTGAATCAGAGGGATTGAGATACGACATCCAACGGGGCCACGCATCCCATCCTGGTTTGTGACGTCGACGAGCAACGTCCTGCATACCTACCAATTGTTCTACAGGTATTCGTGTGATGTGCATACCTATCTAGAGATGGCCAGACAGACCCACTCACCAACTACAGGTTCGCATAGTTGGCTATTACAACTTTTCCTGGTAGTGAAATCAACGTGCTCAATTACTGCAGATGTATGTACGCCACCTTCACACCATCGGAAAAAGATGGCTGGACGAGGATGCTTCGCTTAGCTTACTTTGCATCTTCGGCATGTTCCTGAAGCCGAACAGCAGAGCTGAATCTAATTTAGCCAATTTGGAGCTTTGATGTTGACTTCTTTGTTTCTGTCCTTGTTCTTCTGTGTCAGGCGCAACCAACAACTCGCAAGGCGACAGATACCAGACACTCGCTACTACCATCCAAACTCGGATCAGCAGTACAAAATTGGTACTCCCTACTAACCTCATAAACCTCATAGTTTGAAATAGCTCACTCAACGTAACAAGCATTCTTATCAAGTGACGCATTCGAACTTTGCATCGTCGCAATCGGCCTCGAATCAAGGGTGGTTGCGATCACTTGCAACCACGCCCCACCTATCTCCCTTTCCCCTGCACACCACATGATGAAGTGATCGGATGCATAGGAAGGCCAATCTTCAGGTGAAGGAATTGCAGACGCTGGGGTCGTTGTCACCGTCGCCATCTTCGGTGGGCGACACACGCGACATCCGACCAGGATGCCTCGAGCCCTTACGATCCTCGTCATCATCGCCACTTTGTTCTTCTTCCTAACACCACCAACATGGGCACAGTCACCGACCGAAACAGAGACAGTGCAAATCGTAGCAACAACAGTCACACACTACTACACGGAAACACCAGCCGCAAGCGCACTTTCAACACAATACACATCCACAGAGGAATTCCGAACCTCAATCCTCAACGCCACAAACTTCTACCGGTACGAACACTCGGCGCCATTCCTCTACTGGAACACAACACTAGCCGAGTACGCACAGCGCTACTCTCGAGAATGTCTCTGGAAACACTCGGCCAACAACTCCAACGGCGAGAACCTAGCGCGCGGCTACAGTAACGTCACCGCGGCCGTACAGGCATGGGGCGACGAACGATCCATGTACGACTTCGACTCGAAACACCCAACGGGTTTCACTGAAGCTACAGGACACTTCACCCAGTTGGTCTGGCAGTCCACATATGCGGTCGGATGTGGTTGGACAGATTGCGATGGCCAAAACGGTCTTGATGGTGTTTTCCTCGTCTGTGAATACTGGCCACCAGGGAATCTTATCGGGCAGAATGATTTCTGGTTTAAAGAGAATGTTAAGCCGGAGATTCCTAGCGATGATGATAGTGGGTTCAATGTTTTCGATGCGACGAAAGGTGCGACTGGTGGTACTCCTTCTCCGACGAGTGGATCTTCTGGTGCGACTTCGTCAAGTGCTGCCATGTCGGTCGTTCGTGGTCAATATCTCATGTCGATGAGGCAACCGGTGATAATGGTGGTGCTGTTGGCATTGGTTTTGCCAGCTATCGTCTTTGGAATCGGCCTGTCTCCCTGAAGGAGGCATATGGGTATGGGCCATGGTCGACAAGGTGCGATAGATTGGCCTAGGGCCACAAGGATGTCAGATAGATCAGGGCATTGAACACTGGAGTGCTCCTAGATCGAGCATGATGACGAGGACACGAGGTGATACCCAGCTAGACATTGATAAGAGGTCAGGTCACGACAGTGTCCGTAGAGTGAGTGTAGCCCTGAAGAATTGGACACATTAGTTGTACATAATAATAATAACTCAACGTCTCAACCGTATATAACAACGCCTTCGCTCACAATTCCTCCCTCCCCCCCCCTTCATCCCATCACGACAACCCACCCAACTCCCTCAACTTGACATTCGAAAGCGTATGTCCCTCTCCACTCACACCCACGCCATCATATTTCTCAATCGTTTGATCACACGCCATATCGACCAAAACCTGACCCAAACTCTCCGTCGGCGAATGCATCGACCGATACAAAACCCTCGTCGGCGCCATAAGCGCCACCAATTGCGCACGTCTAAATGCCGACCGTTTCTCATGCATGACATGGTTCCAAATCCACGGTTGCGCTGCACCGTCAATACCCCCCGGTCTCACAGAGTAAACAGAAAGTGATTTCTCAAATGCGGGACTCTTCGACATGGCGAGTAATGCCGCTTCCGTCTCGCCTTTTACGCGGCCGAAGATCGGTGTGAAGCGCCCGGGAGTCAGGGTTGCGCCTTCGCCAGAGACGTAGATGAATTTGAATTTGCTGGCAGTACCGTCGGCCTCCGGTTTTGATGGTGTTGATGTTGATGTTGTGGTTGTTGAATTCGTGGCTTTCAATTTCCCAAAGGCTTCGGCCGCGGCAAGTGCATAGTCTTTGGTGATGCGGACATATGTCTCCTTGTCGACGTCGCTTTGACTGATGCCAAGGGCCCAGATGCATGCGTCGGCGCCTTTGAGTTTGGAAAGGAGATCGTCCGAGTAGGTGTTGAAATCGTCGTGTTTGAGGACTTCGATCTGGGTGACTTTGTTGGCGGTGGGGGTTCCTTTGGGAGGTGTTGGTTCTAGGAGGGGGATTGATGTGTTGCGTGTGAGGATGGTGAGTTTGGATATCGTTTGTGAGGCGGCGGTTTTGCCGGCTGGGAGGGAGAGAATATGGCTGATGACGGATAATCCGACGAGACCGGTGCCCCCGGTGAGGATTAGGTGGATGCCCATGATGGTGGTGGTGGTGTCGGTGCGGCGAATGGTGGTTCTCTGGCTAATTTGATGATGGTGTTATATTTGTAGTTCAAGGTGATGGGTTGCCTTGGTTGGAGGGTCTTGCGAAGTTGCGCTGAGGGCTGTAGTTGACGATTCCAGGAATTATATATCAATGTATCCTTTACTCTTACACCTTCATCAACACACTAGATGACGTGAGAAGGTACACTTCTTGTTGACAGTTGAGTTGACTTCGTGATCAAAGGATAATGTACGAGGACATACCAGGAATATAAGTATTAAAATATATTCAAAGGCATTTCAGCTGATCAACCAGCCGCACAAGCTCCCTCCCTCCCTACGTAAAGATGTTACGGCCTTATTGATGACCCATGACACCGACAAAAACACATGAAAACCATACACAGAAACACTATCCATTTCTCAACCCACAGATTTCATTTGTTCGTTAAATTGTTGCCTACTTTTCCATTGCTGCCACAATATTTAATAGCTGCGTTTGTATTCGGTCGATTTCGGAGGAATGAGATTTGTTTGTTTCTCCTGTCGATGTAGACGTGGTCCTATCCGCTTTGGTCGAGGGATATATTGGCATGGCGAATGAGATAAAGCTTAGTGGGGATTGGCGTTATGCAGGTTGAGAGAGAGGAACGGCGACAGGACGCGGAGTTAGGCATTTGGTCATGGAATTTATTCTCTGCCCATACAAATCCGTGTGTGAGAGAGTGTGTACCTTGTTTGGAAGCCAACATGTTGGATGCCTAGGCATGATTGTTACATCCTATGTTCCTCGATCTTCAGTCAAGTACAGCTATCTGCTTTAAGCTGAAGCAACAATATTCAGTCTGTAGCTTAATTTCTTTTCCTTCTCCTGCTATTATCTACATTCATGGCAGAATTTCACGACTTCAGAAATAGCTCAAGTGATGCATGATGATCATATTAGGTGTAAGATGTCTATCTTCACAATTTCCTAGTCGAATCGACAGGCAGTGAGAATGGCCTTCGACTTCTGTAGCCATACCATGGCCAAGTCAGACACATCCAGTCAATGTAGTTAGGTAAAGCAGTTATTCAAGAATAGAATCCAAGAATCAACGTCTCCATCTCTGGAGAGTACCGTAATTCCATCGTCCATCGTCCAGCCAAGGGAGAATACCATCTCGACCGTGCTGATGAATATATCCTGTCATAAACATTTTCGTCACAGTATTATGTTGGTTTTATGCCAAAGGGCTGCTCGACGTTACTTCCCACCAATACTGTTGTCAGTGGAAGGAGAAAGCTAACAAAGGAGCTTTGCGAGTTCATTTCCAAAACCCTCGAAGAATGGTGCGCCAAAATCAGTACAAGTCATCATCCGTCAACCTGGTCATCGGCCATTTACATCAAGCGTCCCAGCAAGTCGTACTTCCTCCATAAATTTCTCTTCATCTCCAATCGTATGGAGATTCCAGTGTCCGGATTTGGGCTGTCGGTTGAATGGGCCCCATCCGAGCATCTCCTGTGTGTTGCGGCGTTTGAGATCGATGTCGCCTCGAATATCAAATAACTGTGACTGGAGGCAGCCGAGGATGGCTACGGCGGCTCGGACCAATGCCCGATCGCCTTCAAATACCCAAATATCCCATATTCGGCAGAGACGATCAACATCGAGGCCGTTGGAAAAGATGGTTCGGAACATGGGCTCAAGAATCTCCCCCGGACTGAAACCCAGGCCGCCTTGCTCGATCGATCCAAACAGATATTCGTGAAGCCGAGGAGATTTGATGCTCAACGTTGAGATCGCATGGTGGTAAATCTTCAAGGTCGCACTGCCGTCGCTGGTCTGGAAAGCCAAAGGCGCTGACCGATTCAGACAGTTGGCCATCAGAATGAACGCATCTGCAGGCGTTGGAAGTTGGAGAAGCATCAAAGCTGCCATCAGTTGCATGCCGTACATGTAACCAACGTCACTTCGATAACAAGCATAGGCCTCGCAGACATCTACGAGGTCTTGCCACATGGGCCCATGTCGCTGGAACAGATTCAGTTCTGGGAATGCTGTTTCTGCGTCCCTTTCGATGTCCACAAACCATTGACCCATACTCTGGGCGTGCCGATCAAGTTGAGCTTGGGGCCGATTCTTGATTTCTCGCGCTCGCCCCAGTGCCTTTTCATAGCTCTGGACAGTAAGACCCAAGCTGTTGCCAATGGTCCTCTGCCACACTTTCCCGCGCAGACTCGGCGTAATCCCACGCCAGCAAAGGTCATAAATTCGTTTGTCGATTATACTTAAGTCGGTGGTCTCGTCGATATAAAAAGTCCAGATCCGTTGCAGGGACTCGTTTGTTATTTCTCGGTCCGTTTTCTGAGCCTGCACCTTGGATTGCCGTTTCTTCTCCGCCTCGAGAGACGCAGCCATCATCTTCTGATATTCCCGTAGATGTTTTCGTTCCTCTTTGGGGTTCTTGGGCGGTAACCACGACGGTCGCGTCCGAGACAGGATGGCCTCTTTTTCTCGGGAAATAGGCATGAAATCCAATGTGCTCTTTTGAATCTCTGGTAACTGAATAACCGATTTTTGCACCTTGATACTTGCTGATGTTGACAATTCCTCCCGAGATGTGTTCCAGGTAGGGTCATGAGACTTTTCGCGCTTCTCGGTCTCAGCATGATATTCCAGGGCCTGGGAGATGACTCGCGCCTCTTCACTAAGATCAGACATGACAATGTTCCATGACTTGGTCCGGGTACTTCGAAGATTGCGGCGACTGCGTGGAGATGAGGGGTTCGAAAGAGAAGGATTCAACGAGACCGTTCTCGAGCCTTGAGGTCTGTGTCGGGGGAGGATCTGAGAATGCATGGGCTGGCGAGGAGGTGAATCGGGGGCTGTCTTTGCGTGGGCAAGGGGAATGGGTCCAGGACTGTGCGATAGAGCTTCTCGGTCAGGACTGCCGCGAAAGCTGGATCGGTGGGACCTCTGTCCAGTGGTGACACAGGGAGATATTGGGACGTTCCATAGACTGGCGTCATCAGGCAGCTCGTCGTCCGAGTCATGGTATTCGTCTTCCAGCTCTTTAATCGTTTTCCTCTGGGGCTGCCAGGACGATCTTCGAGATGGTACACCAAGAGATGCGGGTGCTTGAGGGATAGGGCGAAGTCCAGAAAGGTTATGGGATGACATGGACCCCGAGCCTAGAGGTCTTCTAGTTGGAGGAGAAGAGGAACGCGTCCTCATGCTGTTGGACGCGAAGAGACCTTCCGGGGCAGTGAGCCCACGCTTGAGGGGATGCTGACCCCATGCTGGTTTCGGGCCCCCTGAAGAAACACGGGTGTGAATGTGTGAGAGTGTAGGTTTTTTATCAAAACTGAGGTTGTCTTTGCTCCTCATCAACTCATGATGAGAGGCGACAGACTGCATAGAAAGGTCGCGGGAATGGTATGCCTGGGAGGAAACATTTCTGTCATCTTGAAGTCCAATCTCTTCGAAATGTGTGTTGTCCGACTCCAAACCCTCGGGGGTTGAAAAAGTGGAAGAAAGTGACGAGGATTTCGAGGACCGCGAGCCAGAAAGATCAGGAGGCGAACCAGGGATACTGCTGACGATGGTGGTCATCTTCAGTTGATGAGCATTTGAAGGCAAAGCCCACGAGGGGGAATCGTGGTTGACGGCCAGCAAGGGATGTGGAATTACTGTCGATGCATTGAGTCTGTCGTGGTGGTGGTGATCGTGGTGCAGAAAAGTGGTGCAGGGAAGGGAATGGGGAAGCTGCGCAGACGCAATTTCCGGGCCAGGAGGGGTGTTGTTATTGACACACAAATTGTGTTTGGTGCTCGAGCGCAGCTGCGAGGTCACTGAGATGGATCCGAGAGGGTATTGCTGTCGTTGAGAATCATCCACGAGTGTTTGTGGGATGCGACAGAGATCATGGCTCTGATGGTCGAGATGATCGTGAGGCAGGTTGGACACGTTGAATGTACAACAAGCTTGATAGCAGCCAAGCAGCAAACTTTCTAGAGAATCCCGTCCTGCAGCAGCCACAATAGCCCCTGGGCGAAGTTGGTGGTGGAGCTGGGTCTGGCGATAGTCTTGACAAATGACGGGCATCTGAGGAGTTGGTGGATCGACAGTCAGGGATTCCATAGGTGGTGATGATGGTGACGCTTGACGTTGGCGACATTGGCATGACGCGGGAAGAGAGGTTGAAAGGGCGACACCATCCCCAGAAAGGCCTAGGCGTGAGATCTGGCTTGCTTCCAAGGGGGCCGTTATGGGCTCAAGTGCTTGATTCCGAGGACTAGCTGGCATCTGTTCGGGGGCCCCGGGGGCAGTTCCAGGCCGTGCAGGCCTCGAGAATAGGGATGAGGGAACCCGTAGGAGCACAGGCAACAAGCAAGGCCAACTAGCCTCCCTGCCTCCTTACCCTGCCACCTGGCAAAGAGTGCAAGCTTCCGTGGCTTCCCAACCCCGGTGTGATAGGCCTGGCCGTTAACCGCACAGGCAACCTTTTCTCTCTGTCTTCCAGGCCTCCACAGCCTCTTGACCGTGGGTTCGGAAAACTTGGAGGACGGCTCTTGTTGCTCACTGGAGTGCCAGGTATACGATTGGGGAGGTTTCAACAGTGGGCCAATATTTCCCGGTTTCGGTCCAATTGTGGTGTTCACTCTTTCAAGTCCTGATGTAATCTTGCCAGTGCAACATCTATCCAGGTATCATAGACTCCCGTGATCAAATTTTCCGTAGTATGATGCGCTGTCGAGGGTTGAAGGAGGGGTTCAAGAAATCGCGATCAGTTGCGAAAGCGTTTCAGGTATCGCAAGGAGATTTGATTGTTTAGTGATGTAGTGATTGTGTCTCGCCTGTCATAGGAGGCCTCGGTCGCTAGAACAGACGAATTAAGATGGTCGGTGAGGATAAGGACGTATGGCTGTTTCATGCTTAACTTGGGGGTCACGGGCCTGGGCTGCCGAGGGGTCGAGAGCGTCGCGAAAGGAGCCTCCAAAAGAACGTTTTTGTCGACGTGACAGTAGGGTTACAAATCCCTCAAGATGAAAAGGTGATGGTGTTGCAAGAACACAATAGAATTTCCCAAGCTACCTAGTACCATGCGATTATTATGAGTGATTCCTGCAGCTATGGCCCAACCTCATCATCTTGGTGTTGGTGATAGCGATGCAGCAAGTTCCTTGGCTTAAGGTCGGTGGCTGGGTGTGACCTGATGGCCGGTGATTCTATCAGCAACGTGTAGTCGCGGTCAGATATCGTCTGGAGGAGCTTGACATAATGTAGCAACATTGACCTAATCTTCCATCAACATTCACATCAAGCCTTCTATCTGCATTCCCAAGCTTGTGGAATTTGACCGTTCCAATTACACCTGGCTCGTGTTGTTGTTGGCTCTGGAGGAACGTGCAGTTAAATCAGTCACGTGCAGTACATCGATCTCTTTCTCAGCCTTATCCTGTCTGTCTGTAGCTAGTAGATGTATCCAGCAAAATCCTTCTCAGTGCGCCTCAACATGACCTCTCGTGTCGTCTTGGGGATCAAAAGCCGTGATTCTGCATCCATTCTCAGGCTGCTCAGCCACTTTAGCACCTCACCGTAGTGGCTCTGCTTGCGGACTAATATTCGTTCAAAGGCACACGACCCAATCCAACACATCTCTGATCGTCCAATCTGTCCTTTCGAATTGCAGGTGCCCTTGACAGAACACAGCTTGACCGCCGCTGATATCAGATCTTCAATCAACTGTTTGATGAACCCCGTCGAAGGTCGCCTTCTCGAACCTAACTGTACCATATACTGATGGAACTTCATCGCTGTTTCAGAAAAGTTGGAGATCAAGGTCGACACCACCTGCTCCTTGCTGTTGAGCGACATGTCCAATAACATGCTATGCATGTGTAGCTTGAGCGAGGTCAAGACCTTTCTTCGAAAAATCACGCCCGCTTTCGAGCATCTGTCGATCGTCAACGTGTTGCTCACGTACGCATCCTTTCGATGTCGATCTTTGCTCAACTCCAGTGTTTTCATGTCGATGCCCATTCCACAGTAAGGAAACCAATTTGTTCCGTGGATCCGAGGTACTTTGCGTCCCTTGATAGTCACTTCAAAGTTCGCAAGCGACTTGTCCGCATTCACTTGGATCCCATATCGATTAGATTCGTTTCCCATCACATCCAGAAATTTTCTTGCCAGGTTTTGATCCGTGGTCAGCAGTAAGAAGTCATCAATTAACCTCAAGAGCAAACAACACTTGATCTGGAGAAACCCCAGCTCCTGCTTCTCGAATGTCCCGTAAAAGTAGTTGCACAACAGACTGCTCAGGATCGATCCTTGAGGTATCCCATCCTTTTGTATCATATGTTTCTTGCCAACCTTGACCATGCTCTCTTGCACATGGCGCTTGAGTTGCTTGAAGAGATAGCTGCGACTCCACACTCGCTGATTGCCTGTTTCAGCAAACACCACTTCTTGCTTCTTGGAGGCCAGCGCCGCCGCAGCCATCTCAGTGAAGACTGCTTCATCGTCTGCTGGACGTGCTGTCCCGATGAACCGGCGGTGCGGCTGGCCGAGCGATCCCGCCACGACCCCTGACCTCGCCTTGAATTCGGCATATTTGGTCGTTCTATAGTCGGCCTGCTCCAGGAGCGTTGTCACCACCTCCAGTAGTCGCTGCTGTGGTATGCTGTCAAAGCATGATTTGATATCCACCTTGGCAAAGTACACAGGTGATGCTGTTGCCAGCCCACTTTTGAATCCAACAAGCTTCTCGTGGATGTCTCCCACTGAAAAGAGCGCGGAACCAAAGTCTGGCACATGCTGTGAGCGTTCGTATTTCAAAACGCTAAATAAGGGCGCCAGTTGGGTGTTGATGCTGGCTCCAAGGATGCGCCGACCCGAAACCTGTTTGACCTGTCGTCGCCTCAGATTAGTGATGGGCCGCGCCCCGACATCTTTGGGAAGGAGTCGTAGATGACTGTATCCAAACGTTTGCCCCCTGAGAGCTTCCCGAACCTGGCTCGGTTTCAATGCGACGTACATAGTCAGTCGCAGCGAAGCTAAGGTAGGTTCGCTCAATTTGCGCCAAACGTCATGGCGAAAATAAAACAGTCGGTTGCGGTGAGTCGAGCTTTCCGTCACGTAAAAATTCGATCGAATTATGGGAATCAAGATCGAGTCGAAGATGAAATAGACAAATTCCTGCAAAAGCTCAACTCGTTTCATGTATTCACTCTTGCACAAACTTGACTGATCGGATCCGGGATGCGGCCGCAGCCATACAAGTGGACGGATTTGGAGATGCTGTATCACTTCGTGCAAGCTCATCGTCTCGAAGCGGCGCATATGTACAAAGCGATCAACATGGTGCATGATCATGTTCAAGTTATGCCTGCCGTCAAGACCAGTGCCAAAGGTCGTCGCGGGGAGCAAATGCCTCAAAATGGACCGACAGAATGCTGAAACGCATTCAGCTCGGGTGGAGTGTGGCAGGAAGGAGGTTTCTACATCGATTTTTGGTGTCGGCGATTGGGAGATCAAGTTTGTGATGCCACTCGAGGCGGGAATCTGACTTATCAGACTTCTGGACCGTGCTGGAGAAGAGTCTGGTTGACATGCATCGACCTTTGGCGGACCCGAAGATGATGGGATCGGACAATAGTGTCTGAGCAATTGCGAGTATGCACATGCCTTGTGATGTCGTTGGATCTTTTGTATGAGACGAAGCGCACCTCCTCTTAGTCTGCGAGGAACCTTCGTGGCTTTTCCGCGCAATGCTGAAATCTCAGCTTCTCTGAAGGTATAATCTTTCAATGGCTGTGCTGTCTCCATTGGATCGACCTTCGAGGTGAAAACATTGTGGAGCCCAAACTGCCGCGGGAAGACATACTGGAGAACATGAGTTGTATGATTGCTTTTGTTTGGGTCTGAGAATCTTTCCAATACATGCTCGTGTTTCAGACCAAACTTGATCTGGCCGGATTGGGTTGTCGAGGGCCGGGCATACAAGATGCGATTTCGAATGAAACGAATACTTGCCGGCCGATTCAGAGTCTTGTGCAATGGAGCTATTGGTTTGTGCGGGACAAGGTTGGCAAGGGGTACTCCACTTAGTTGAAAATAATTGTCCTTGCCTGCATCCAGGTGGATGAAAAGTCCACAGTCGAGCAGCAAGCTTGATAGAATAAGCTCCGCGTCCTTGCCGAGCAAAGGGACGAGTGAAGTCCATTGATTAGTCTTGAGCGTTGCTATGCTCTCATTAGGGTGCTGTTGCGTAATCCCCGGCAAAAAGGTGGTGTCATGATCCACTTCGTTACCCAGAGTTGGAAGGGGAGTCATACGGACTAGGCCATGACACAGGATATGCTGAGGTTTTTGGGAGCGAGAAGCTTGCTCTTTGAAAAGAGACCAAATCACAAAATCGACAATCTATCAGAGTTAGGATATGTTCTTTGCACAGCTTGGTGGTAGCTGATAACGCACCTCGCTCATAGAAACGCGTGAAAGCCTCGCACTCATGGCACCCGTACCACATTGTTGACTTTGAGTAAAAGACTGAAAATCGAGCTTGCGGTCTTGTTTAGTCGATGGAGATGGTTCTTTGAGAACGCCAACGAGACAGGTGTCTAGAAGACATGACCCCTGATCTCGTCCATGAAGCATGAGCCTTCGCCGTCGGACTCGAGAAGAGACGGGTAGGTTTGCAAGGAGGAATGCTCGCAAAGTAAATACTGTCTTGTAATAGCCAGACAGCAAACGGTGGGGTGTGAACCCTAACTTGGCTGTGAGCTCGACTCCTCTTCTGTGGTGACCACCATCGTTGAGCCGCGGCTTCTTGGTTACCGTTGGATTGACATCCAGATCATGCCGCCGCTTCTTAGCCATTTCGGCAATGTGAGCTATGCTTCACAGCCTCGATGCATCGGGGCATTGGATCTGTACAGTGTGATATCAACGGAAGTCGAACTCACATTGGCCGAAATAGAGACTGTGAGCGGGCAAACTCGTCGAAGAAGGCCATACTATCGCCTGGAGGAACTCGTATGGAGACTTTCTAGTCCATTGTTGTCTGTGGTGAATGAAGTTGATGTGAGATGCTAGATGGGATGTAATGAATTAACCGAATTCGGCTTAGTACATCAACACTTGGCGCGTTTTGTCGTCATCCAACGGCGCGTCGAGGGGAACTGGACCGCGTCAGGTGTTTGCAGGCAGGTGCATAAGGTGGCAAGCCTGAGATTCCACTACTAGTTCACCAGTGCAAATTAAAGGTATCAACGTTGAGGTGCTATGAAACTATGTTCTTCAATTCAACTCGACAGGACTAGGACAATTTGCTAATCATAGGGTGAGGTGAGAATCGGTGTCACTTGAAAAAAAAACCATGACTTCTGCATAGACGTAAAGAGTACAAGGCGATAAAAGCCTTTCCCTATCCCCTGGAAGACGACAATGATATTTGAAGCGATTCGATGGAACCAGCAACTTGGCATCATTAGGTTTTCATCAAGGTACAGTGCTTTGCATCTGAATGGCTGCGGTAATCAAATTGGAAATGAGTGATGACTAGGGTTGTGGTAGTTGTTTCACGCATATCCAATTGAGTCTGTATACCTACCCTGTCTCTCGTTCCGTGTGCCATTGGTACACTTTACACAGAGATTTAAGGCAACTTAGGAGATAGAGTCCCCGGACACGCCGGGTCAATGATCTCAAAACCATAGTCGATGTCGAGGATAATCAATAATGTCTTTCTAACGTACCAAAAATTAGGTGGTTAGGTAGGTAGTAGGCAACGTAAGCGACGACTGTACTTAGATGAAGTAGGTTGGTCTGCTGGCTTGGCCTTCGGAAGAATCTCCGGAAGTTGGAGGGACCATGCATGAGACAACACGTTCCAAAAACATCAATTGACGTATATAGAGGTACCTTGATGCATGTACCTTCTGTGTTCGCCAGAGGAATTTCAGGCGGGAGCAGAAACGCAGAGCCCAGTCAAAGTAATTTATTTGTATGCTTTTGTTTTAAATTGCCTCTGTTATCATCAGTTGTTAAGGGTTGATTCTGCAAGGCATTCCTGGTATTTGCGAGCAATTCAAGGCACCGTTGGCAGGCATCCCTGTTGAAAGACTGCCCCCAAAAGCTTGACTGTGCCCGCTATTATTGTCCGACAGAGGGACTGGTTGATGAATGTCACCCTGTGCTCCGCGAATTTCACAATATGCTATAATTTCAGGTACCTGTTCCTCAATGCCGGTGACATTGAATGAGGACTGTACGACGTGTTGAGACTTTCATTGTTACAAGGACTGCCTGTAGATATGCAGAACAACACTGAAGAATATTGTGGAGGGGACTAAGGAGTTTCTCCAGGAAATCTCAGCGCCTGGACGGAGCTGATCGCTGAAGAAAAGCCGGAGAGATACTGGGCCTGGGCATTATAGGGCACCCGAAGTGGCAAATTTTCTAGGTACCTAGGTAGCCACACCCCGGTAGAGTTGGGAGGCTGTACGCTTGCATGCGCATAGTACACCAGAAAGAAGAGAACAGGAGCAGCAGAGAGCCAGCTCAGGTCAGCCAGCCAACAGTTGTTTCCTCCAGCATAGTAATTGGACGATGGCAGCGGCACTGCTACCTAACTTCCCAGTAACTAAAGGTAACCACCAATTCCTTTGTTCCCGGTACCTCCACAGCCCCAGTTGCCCCCATTCGCTCACTGTAATCGCCTAGGATCGTACCGCGTTGGGACATTTTGTTGATCCCTTGTCGGGTACAGGCAGTAGTAACTCTCCGGATTCATCACAGGCTGCACCCGCGCACCCACGCACCCACGCACCCTCGCATGTTTTCGCTGGCTGACCGACTGACTTCACCTTGGCTTGCATGAGGCAATCGTCGCCCTCATCTTCGCCTGCCTTGCCGTCGTGTCGTCGCGTGGCCTCACCTCCAGCATCTACCTACCAACTTGTCCTCTTCTATCAGTGGCACCACCAATCTTTTACCACGATTAAACCTCAGGCATACTCTCGCCATCTCTCTCTTCCTCCCGTGTGTCCAGTCTTCGTCTTCACACGCAGTTGCACGCCACTGCCACTTCGTCCAATCTCCAGGGCGCAGTCGACCTACCCGCGTTGATCTGAACCAGACTTCAAACCACTCTCTAGCCTTTCCGCTCCCTACCTTACCTTCCTTCACAGCGGTCATTTTAGACAAGCTTTGTCGCTTTGCAGGTGTCCGCCCTTCTTTCTGGCCCCAAGACCACGACTTTTGCATGATCAAAGTGCTTTGACGGCCGCCAATTGACCTGTCAGTCTGGTTACCCCACAAAACTCTATCAGCAAAGTCACAGATAAGTCACAATCATCGGCTGGCACCTCTCACCTGACCATCACACGGTCCGCTGCCATAGAAGATGCGCACAGTGGGCCATGCCTCAGCGCCGTGACCATCACCCACCAGGAAGGAAGGCCTCGCAGCTGGGCGCTGGGTGCTCACACCTCCCTCGACGACATGCCCTCCGCCCTTTCTAACCAGAACAACTATTATGCGACACATCATCGACGACAGTCCTCGTTGTCCCAAAACCACCTTCCCGATTTCGTCAGATCTCCCACCCAACTCCAGTCCCCATCGCAGTCTCAGGTGTTCCTTCCCTCCACCGCCTACTCACAACCCTCTACAACCGCTTCTCGACCCCGGTCCCCTTCTTTGACCGCCTCGAGTTCCCAAGTCCGACTCGATCTTCCTGTTGATGAGCCCCTGTCCCACGACCCTCACGAATTCTACCGCCAGTACCGTGACCCTTTTGCTACTCCGGCCTCTCTGGCCCTACATCAGGAGGGCATTCGTGCAACCACAAGTAGGGAGGACGACGACCAACTCCACATCTCTCGAGAACTTAGTAACACATCTCTACAATCTAGTGAGGAACATGGACTGAGACAGGCACGCGATCCTAGCGCTGTCCGGAAAGCCTCCTTACACACTATCAACGGAGCCTACGAAGGGGCCCAACCAAAGTCTTCAGGTTCCGTACCAAACAATCCGAGGTCGAGAAAAGCTTCTTTTAAGGACCTGGTGGCCCGCTTCGATGCCTCACCGGAAGATCTTCCACCACTACCCACACAACAATTATCTCGTCCGGGCTCCAGAACTGCTAGTCCTAAGCCCTTTGCGTCCGGCGAACAAGCACAATTAGATGGAGGCCCCACCCATCCCAGGCGGCCATCAGCCAGAACCTCTGACGCTTACCGAAGAACAGGCGCCGCCGTCTTTAATACTGATTCCGTCCTCGCCAAAGACCATCCGACGTCTCGTAATCGACTTCCTTCTGCAGAGCTTTCGGCAAAGGCCCCCGGTAGTGTTGACGTCTCTCAACCTGCACGCAAGTTGTTGTTTGGAGAGATTTTGCCCACTGTCGTAAACGCTTCAGCCGGCGCCGGGTACGGAATTTTACGTCGAAGAGGCTCTGAAGGCTCTCCCATGCATACCCCAAACGCAATGTTTCCATCTGGCAACGCCAACTTCTCCACCCAGGACAATTTGACCTATGACATGCTGACAATCGCTCATCAGTCTCCCAGTCCCGCCCTCGTTCAGACATCTCAACAACCTGTACCCCGACCGACCCACCGGAGGGCACACAGCGATTTCGTGCATTCGGCCTTAAAGGGACCCCCTGGACCCGACCCTCTGTCGCCCGTTGATATAGAATTCATGGCGCGAACATTGCACTACATGGAACACCCTGAGCCAAAGCAGGAGCCTCAGTCACGGATTCCAGTCATGAAACGTCATCATCGCATGGCTTCAGAACCGGCAGCCACCTCTCCTACTACTCGATCCAACCACGGGTCGCAGCTACCATTGCGCGTCGCGGATCATAATTCCCCTTCGTTAATATTGCCCCAAACACAGCGAAAGCCGCAAAGTCCCCGGAGGAGACCCAAATCTCCCATCCAAATCAAGAGTCCTGGTAGGAGGGGAAAAGATCCAATGTCTCAGGGATCAAAAAGTCCATCTCTCCGGGCCAACATTATCGCCCCTCCACCAAAGATATCTCCCCCGCTCAGGAGCTCACGGCCTCGTCTCCCTGTATCCGCAGCCACCACAACAGCGTCTCGATTAAAGATGGCGGAAAAGTTTCAAGCTTCGGCCAAGGAGCAAAGTGATCGAAAGCTTTCTCGAAGACAAAGACCTCCGGAATTGAGCGATATTGATCTGAAAGCACGCCGCCTGAAGATCACGCAAGCGTTGAGCAGGTCCCGCGAAGGGGATGACTTGAGAGTCGGTTCGGAAGCTGGTGTCCAGAGTCCCATCATAAGTCGGACCACAAGTATCGTCCTTTCTGCCGGCGAGTCTGACGCTGATAGCGAGAGCGCAAAACGACCAGGCGAGGTCCCTGCAGTAGTAGTGGAACCTGCTGCAGATGCAGACGCGGGTGCACCTGACGAGCTTGCCTTTTACGCGTCTGGAGAACAGCACTCTTCAGATCAGCGAGCATTTACTCAAAATGCTGTCAAGATTGTCCATGACCATTCTCCAGAAGGTGGTTATGGCGTGGATTCACCAACATTGGGCCACCCTGAGAACGGATTCGGCAGTATATCTCTGTCTCTCAATACTCATTTGTTGCCACGCCAGGACGAGCATGAGCCCCAATCGGCACAGACAGTAGCAACAGAAGCTACCATCATCGATGCTGAGCCTCAAACCGATGCCACACGGTTGCAAACTCCTTCACAATCGATACTGAGTCAGATCAGCGTGTTGCGCAACCAAAGCTCGTATTCGCCACTGTCCGCGCACTCACAAACCTCCGGAGAAGCCTCCAACGATGCCGACGCTGTATCTGTACAGCTGATGATGCGCGACACAACTTATTTGGACGATGACGAGGCAGCGGAAAAGGGTTACCGGCCCTTTCCTCCAAGCGCTGGGTCTGACCTGAATCCCTCCCGGAGCAATGAGAGAAGCTCGTGGAGCTCTTCGATTGAGGACCCTGTCGAGTCGGAAAAGGGTGGTGTTGGTATGGTTCAGGTGAATCTAACGCCCGACTACCCAGGCTTCAGCATCAGAGATGTCCCCGCATCGATGGCCAGTTCCATTCATTCTAGCGATGATGATGATCAATGTGACTCGGCGCCACGAGACACCTATACCATTGTCAACATTGTGCTTCAAAAGCAAACGCCATCTGGAGTGGTGGACCAGCAGCTTGTGGACGATATCTACCACCGTATTATTCGAGGTTCACCGGACCTGGCGGAAGCAGACAATGTGGATGAGGAGAGAGTCGAACAGCTGTGTTTGCAAGAACTGGAAAACTACAGTGATCACTGGGGGGGACAGGATGATTCACCGCCTGAGCCTGCCCAAGATCTTCACCCTGAGACATTATCTGAGTCACACCAAGTTGAGCCATATGAGACATCCGCTCATTCGGCGACTCACTCACAGAACCAAGCTCCCCCACTGCCTCCAAACAGTTTCCGAGGGCACCGCTACAAATCTAGCCTTGACAGTGCCGAGGACTGGGCGGAAACATCACCTTCCGTGGTGGACTGGATGAGATTCGCGCTCACATCACCAAAAGAACTTGAGCGCAAACCTGAGGGTTCGAGTGATTTAGTGGGTACGCAAAGTCAAGAGCCACCTCCATTGGAGAATGCAAGAGACGAGTCTTCAGCAGATCAAGTTCGACCATATGCGTATGCAGACTCGCCGACTGTCGGACTAGACGCGAACACAATCCCGCCGTTGCCGTCTCATTCACCTCCAGCCCCTCCGACTGCCATCCTCCCGGCGAATGACATGAGCTCCTGGTCAGCTCCTGTTGGCATACGTCCTCCAAACGCTCAGACTTCCAAGAGGGCGAGACCACTGACAGCAGCGTCACAATTATCAGCCAGATCGTCCCTAGACCAGCAAATGACCCCATCCACCTCCAGCGTGACCCGACCATCGGATGAATCGGAGATCACGCCGGAACAACGGCGACTGAAGCAGAGACGAAATGTCATCAAAGAGATTGTTGATACCGAGTATACGTACGAACGAGACATGCGAGTCTTGTGCGATATCTACCGACAAACGGCGATCGTGGCAATCTCGGACGAAGACATCAAACTCATCTTTGGCAATGTTGAGCTTGTGCAGCAGTTTGCGAAGGAGTTCCTAGGCTTCCTCAGACAAGTGGCTGCACCCACATATGTCATGGAACGGTCAGACCGGAAAAAAGATGGGAATCGCAACTCGAGTGTACAAGGCCCTGGTGCGGCGGACGAATATTCTTCGCTGACTGAGGTGCAAAGGGACCAACTGACCCGGGTGGGACATGCGTTTGAGGTGTCAATGGTAGAAATGGAAAGAACGTATACCGACTACATCCGAACCCGTCATGCAGCAAATAAGAGGATGGAGGTGCTGCAATCGGCACCAGCCGTGGTAGAATGGCTGCGGGAATGCAGTGAGAACTCTAGTGACATCACCAATGCGTGGAGTCTGGACGCCCTGTTGGTCAAGCCGATACAACGGATTACCAAGTATCCACTATTGCTGCACCAGTTGTTGGAAGCGACGCCGTCGGATCACCCTGACGCGGAGTTTGTGCGCAAAGCCTGTGCGGAAATGACAGAGGTTAACATGCGGATCAACGACGTCAAAAAGCACACAGAGATTGTGGACCAAGTGCTGAACCGAAAACGAAAGGAATCAGACGTGCGAAATGGGCTGACCAAGGCGTTTGGACGTCGAGCAGAGAAGCTCCGGCAGCACGTGGGCATGAATGAAATGTTTGAGGATGAAGAGTTCACCAGGATCAAGCGAAATTACGACAACAACATCGCTCACTTGTACCTCGTGACGAAAGACGTCAAGGACTCTGTCGAAGTGATCAGTACTTGGGTGACTGGGATGTGCGGATTGGCCAACGTGGCAGAAGCATGGGTGGACGTGGGGCACACCAACTACCCACAAGCGGAGAGCAAACTCCGTCAACTGGCGATTGTGGTGCGAGGCATCCATTCAATTGCACTTCCGGACCATGTGGAACAGATGACGCGACGTGTGATTCAGCCGATGGAAAGCACGGCGACGATGCTTGCCAAATTCAAAGGTGACCCCAAAGGTCTGATCCAAAAACGAGAGAAGAGACTTTTGGACTACAATCAATTCAAGAACAAGAGGGATCGCGGGGAGAAATTGGATAAGAAGATGATTGAGCGCATGGAGCAATGGGAGGCGCTCAACATCGAAGCCAAGGCGCGAATGTCACGACTGCAGGAAGCGACAGGACGATTGGTGCGAGGCTGTCAAATTTCAGTGATGAACCTGCATCAAGATTGGCTCAACATGTGTAACCAGAAATTCTCGGCGGCCATGGGGATTGATGTTTCGCGTTTGGAGTTTCCAGACATCATCAAAGACTGGCAAGAAGAGTTTGATCCGCAGCACGCATTTGCGATGAGCCTGAGTATCTGTAACGGCACACTGCTGACAGAGGCTGTGAACCTGCTCACATTTTTGACGCCAGGATCGACGTTGACTGGTGAAGATTCCCCGCGGCAAGCATCTTTAAGCAGCGGCATGAAACGGTCAGTGTCGACAAATGATGAGACTGTACAGGCGGTGGTGGCAGATCGACACCATCGTCATAGCGAAGGCCCTCAAGGATCTCACATTTACCACAGCGACGGCCGGGCTGATCTTCATACGTTTTCATACGGCAGTAGTCGGATGGGATTGTCCAGCGCGGGTTCGGGCATGGCACCCAGAACTCCCGAGTCAATGAATCGGGGTACGGCAGCATCGATGCACAGGACCAGCAGTAGAAATGCGTCTCGACCTAGCACCAGCTCTCGACCTTCAGAAGAGGTCACCCTGTCGTCACTTTCAGCGCCTCGGGTTAGCCTAGAAGCGCCATCCCCGACGATTGGCGAATTGTTAACAGACCCGAATGCAGTGGCAGCCAAGCACTCATCGGGGTCAACATTCTACTCGGCCAGTGCCGGAGTGGGCCAGTCACAGTCTGGAGCAGGCACAAGTACAAACAGAGGGAGTATCTTTTCATCCGCGATGCCAATGGGCGAGACTGGAGGGGAGGAGGGAGAAGGAGCAGGTCGACGCGAGGCAGGCAAAGAGTTGGGTGTATTATTCACAGCGGCAAGTGTGTATGAATTCAACATTGACCGGTCGCGGCAACAAGGGGGATTCCGGTACCTAACATATGTTAGCGGTGAGATTTTTGATGTGATTGCCGAGCACGGAGAACTATGGTTGGCAATCAATCAGGATGACGAGAGCCGCGAAGTTGGATGGATATGGAACAAACACTTTGCAAAATTGGCGACATGAAGGGGAGAAGAAATCAGAAAGCAGATCTGCAAGGTGGTTCAAGGATATTGGGGATGTACGTGTGAGCAACATGAGGGACAGATGGAAAGAGATGCTTGGCATGGCGGTCATTTTTTCAGCTTTCAGCGTTTAAGCGTGCAAAATGGACAAAGGCAATGGCAATGGCAACGGGCGTTGTGATTGTCCATCAGGCTTGGAAAGTTTTGGATCAAAGCCAAAGGCAACCAAGCCATGGAGGACGAAGGACTGTACATTATGCGTACACATACGCACGTTATGGATGAGCATGAAACAAGGGAGATCAAGTTTCATGTGAGGCTTTCTTTGAATGCCTCTGATCCAGAACAAGGATGGTTAGAATTGGAAAATTACTGTCCTGAGGTCCCAGTCCTGTGTAAGATTCTTGCTTCTTATTGATTTCGAAAGTCCAAAGTATGAGGATCTGGTGTACTTGGACGTAAGTAGGTACCTATTGATCGTAGGCATCTGCCGATGTGTCAACGTCCAAGTAACCCGTAACCCGTTTGCCCCTTAAGGCCCTGGGCCCTCAGGCGCCCCTCTGGCTTCTTACCAGGCCCAAGCCGCCCAAGGTACATTTTGCGGGGTGCGGGGATTAGTGAACAACTCAAGTAGCCAAGGCCCAAGGATCGCAAATGTGATTGAGGAATCGTAGGCGGCATCTGGTCCGCTCTGGGTGTGGCTTGGCCCGAGGCACATCTAAGTAAGGATAAGTAAGGTCCTGTACCTAGGGTTAGTGGGTTCGGAAGTGCGGTAGGCTACCTACTCACAGCCCAGAAATACGTGTACAGAGAGGCTTGAAGGATGATGACGTTGCCACACTTGAACAACCGCTAATCGGACGTCTGGGAAGTGGGAGCACGGGAGGTACGTATTCTGTACTACCACTGACTACCACTGACTACCACTGACTACCACTGACTACCACTGACTACCACTGACTACCACTGACTCCTCCTGACTACTCCTGTACATCTATTGTCCTCTCATCTGTTAGGCCTCGACTCCAAGGCTGCTACTGTTGCTGCTACTACTGTGCGCCTATCCACCCTCCGTCCTCTCGTCATTCCATCTACCGGCCTGATCGCCAATTCCACTGCGGCAACATTGTCCTCGACCAGTCCTCGACCACCAGACTTCATCGCACACCCAACCACCTACACCTACGCCAGTCTGTCGAGAAGCAGTGTAAGAGCAGGATACATCGTGCGCGACCTGCGACCTGCGACCCAGCCACACCTCATCTCAAATTCCTCTCCGTCTACTTCTTGAATATCATCGCACACCATGACCAGGAATTCCAATTCTTGACCATCGACTGCACGGCCACTCCGTTTTCAACCTCGACCCCTCTTCCTCAACCAATCTTAGAATTAAAACATCACCCGCCCAAGTGCTGATCATAGAATGCCCGATCTCCATCCGTTTGGCGGGCGAATGAGTCGACATTTTTCGAAAGTAGGTGCAACCCATCCTCATTCCCGACGCAGGTGCCTTGTTTCCTCGACTTCGGCGATGCCAGACACACGCCCCTTGCTTCAACCATAACAACAACAATTACCCAAACATCCGTCCCAGTTTGTCCCGACTGACCAATTGTGTTACAAAAGCTGGCTCCAGAAGACGCTTATCTCAGTTGTAAGTCATGACCTCTCAGCCGCCAGTCGCCACTTACTCACTCTCATGTTCTCTACAGACTACGAAGTTCGACGTCAGTACTCCCTGTGCAATCCTCTTTGCGAATTCCACTGACCCTCACCTCAGTCACCAGAGAAGATGTCTCGGTCCTCAAGAATGATTGGCTTACAGATAATGTTGGTTCCCCTTTGTTAAGAAGATCCGAACCTAAACTGACAACGTTCAGGTCATTGCATTCTGGCAAGAGTAGGATGCCTCCAAACTCTCCTGGCCATCAAGCAAGCCCATTCATCTGACTCCCGGCGCATCCATAGATATCTCGAGAGGGAGTACCTCAAGAACTACAAGGCCACAAATATCATCCTACTGCGCCCTTCGGTGACATTCATGCTTATGAGAGCCAGAGATGATTCTTCAATCAAGGTTTGTCACCTACAGCCTCGCCAGTGCTCACCCCCGCCTCAACTCCTTCTGATTCTTGATATCTAGGATGCCCTTCCAGATTTCAAGGGCGTTTCTCACGTTTTCCTTCCCATCAATGACGAGAGCTCTGTTTCGACTGCCGAAGGTGGTTCCCACTGGTCTCTCCTCCTCGTTTCCATTGTCGACGGCGTCTCCTTTCATTACGATTCGATGCATCAGAGCAACGCCCAAGAGGCTTATCTTGCCACTCAAAAACTCTCAAAGGTCATCAATCGACCCTTGCGTTTCATTCACCTCAACGATAGTCCACAACAAGACAATGGTTCAGATTGTGGAGTCTTTGTCTGTCTGAACATGCGCCATCTCCTCTTGAAAAGGTTACTCATGGTCCGAACTGATGCCAAAGTCAGCATGAGCCTAGGAGGAAGGATGGTGGATGCAGCGGCAGGTCGCAAAGAAATGTTGAGACTGATTGACGAATTTCGGAGAGAAGGCGAACGAAGAAGATCGTAGGTCAAGTCGTCATGACCCCATTTCCACTAACATGTCGATGCTGATTCAAGTGTCTCGCAGGCACAGCCAATCTCCTCATCCTGGCAGAAAGTCAAGGAGTCCGCCAAGAATAGATTCCCCATTACCATCGAGTAGAGACAGAAGGTGATTGGGGTTGTCGCTGTCGCAAGATTGATTTCAGCCAAAGAGTAGACGATGATTGATGACATTATTGATTCTTTTCGGTCGCTATAGGGGTTGCCATAGACATGGATGGAGACTTGTCTAGGGGCGCAAGGAATCAATGAATTAATGAAGGGAAATGATGGGAAATGACATTAGGTTTACGATTTCCCTTCAATCGACTAGTCCAGACATAATATACTGGATAGATATCATGAGGATTCCATCAAATGTCGTTGTTGAACTCGAGTTTCTCCATAGCTGTGAATCCTCCCTTGACATCACCTATCCAACTCCAATCAACTTGGTTCAGATTGGGTTGGTCAGTGTCAGGATTAGAACTGGAAGGCTCTTGTTGTCTCGTGCTTTGGACATGTTGTAGGAATTTGTCTGCTGCAATTTGACTGTCATTTCCACGATGACAGACAAAATAAAGAGCTGGTCCGGGGGGATTGTTGGTATCGTTGTCGACATAATCTCCTGAGATTTCCTCGGTCGTGATATCCTGGATATCAATCTCATCATGACTCTTCTTCCCCTTCCTCTCCATTTCTCTCCCCTTCATCCTCCTCCTTTCAATCACCTCCCTCTCAAATTGCTCAAAGACCTTTTCACCGTCAAACCTCAAGATTTTCGACATCGGCAAATTAACACTTCCGCGAAGTTTGGCACCTAATTCCACCTCGTGTTTTTCTCGCACGTCGATCACTAGAACCTCTTTCTCCTCCTCCTTTTCCTCCCTTTTCTCTGTCTCTCGACTCATCAAATCAAGAAACATCCTCGCATCAATGCGATTCTCATCCTTCAACACCCTGACTTCCTGCTCCACACCGCCACAGAATGCCACGTAATCAAGTCGACCTTGCTCGATAGTTTCGGCTGTAACACGTGTGATTCCCTTGGATGTAAGGACTTCGTCGTCTCCACAGGCAGGACAGTCTTTCCGTCGGCCGCGTAACGTGATGGTGCGGAATTGTTGGCGTGGGTCGCTGGCGAAGGTGTTGTAGAGGAGCATTGTGTGAGGTTGAGATGGGGAGGATGGTTTGGAGGTCGTGTTTATGGCGAGTTTCAAGGATGGGTTCACGCCATTAACGATGGATGTCGATGTCGATGTTGATGTCAAATCAAGATCCTCTCGTGTCGGTGTCGGTGTCTGTGTCTGTGTCTCTGTCCGTCGCGGAAGATGTCGTCCCTGACTAATAATCTTAACCACCTCACCGGCCATCAAAATCCCAATTGTCCCAACCACATGACCTAGAATCCCAATCTCTCCACATCCACGCACCATCTCCGGAGGCGGCGGACGGGGAAAAACACATCGATAACAAGGACCCTTTTCCCTTTCTCTTCCCCCTACTCCTCCTCCCTCCATCTTCAAAGGAGGATCATTCAAAACCACCAACTGGCCCTCCCCCCTCTGTGCCGCCCCACTCACCAACACCAATCCCAAAACCGTACAACAATCACTAATCAAATACCTGGTGGCCGGATTATCCGTACAATCCAACACAACATCATATCGATATTCTCTCAATACCTTCATCAACGAATCCGAACCTGAACCTGAGCTGGCTGTAGCGTGCATTTCATGAGGGATATAAGTGATTTCAGAATTCGATTCTCGACATCGATCGAGGAGACTAGATACCTTGGATCGGTGGTTCAGGGCACTGGCTTCGCAATGGCCGATTTGCCGGTGTAGGTTGCTGAGTTCGACGGTGTCGCCGTCCATGAGACCCAAGGTGCCGACTCCAGCGCCGCTGAGGTATAATGCGGCGGGACAGCCGAGGCCTCCGAGGCCGATGATTAGGACGCGGGACGAGAGAAGGTTGGTTTGGCCGGATAGGCCGCCGAGGGAGGGGACGAGGAGTTGCCGTTGGTACCTACTTCGTGAGAGGGGTGGGGTTGGGTCCATGATTAGGTGGATGGGTGGATGGGTGGATGGGTGGTTTGTTGGGTTGGTTAGATGAGGGTGGATGAATGGTATGAATGTTGTGATATGGCACAATCCTGGCGACGAGGTGGGAAGGAGAGTTGAGGGTTAGAAAATCAATAGCTTTGTTACTCAATGCTCTGAAAATCGATTGGGTCCAGCCTCGCTCTCTGTCCTTGGTGGGTGATTGGTGAAATCACGGATATGGCATGACGATTGTAAATAGTAAATGTGTTATCTAAGTAACTAGGATGGAAAGATATATGTTGACAAGGATGATGTGGACAAGTTAAAATAAGGCCAATACTCGAGGATTGATATGGTTGAGGATAATATATGAAAATTAAACTTTATGTCCTTCGACTCCGCTCAAAAGCCAAACATGTGACGAATCATAATGTGGAGTTCGATCGCTATATATCTCTCACACAAAACTTTCCATCATTCAACAATGGCAAGTCTGTTTCTACAATTCATCCACTGTCATTCTAATGTCTGATATAGACGAACAAGCCAACATGGCTCATCATACAAGGGTCATGATCAATCGCCACCCTCTCCCTGGGTATCATGCATCGTGCTGACTAAAACAAGACAATCATTCAAACGAACGAGGCCCACCCGTTGTGATTGAGCCGTGGCAGAATGTTTTCCCATACGTGGGGACCAAACTATTCATCTGCAGGCTCAATCAAATCAGGAAGATCTTCTGCCTTGCCATTACCCTTGAGAATGTTGTGGACCGCCGTCATCAGAGGGAAATCCTTTTCGGCGCCTTGACTCTTGAGGAAGGTGTTGACTTCGACGGCGGTCAATGCGCCTTGTAATTTCTGTCCGTTCAGTTCTCGCTCCTCAATCTCCTCAATGGTCTTTCCTTCTTTGATACTCAACATGGCACAGCGGTGATTTCGACCTCCTGAACATGTGGTGATCAAATCAGCCACACCAGCAGATTCAACGGTAAAGGTGTCAGGGTTGACAGTGTGGGGGAAGAAACGATTGCCGAATTCTCTCATTTCCAAGAGACCAACTCTCATAATAGCGGCTTTGGCATTGTCACCCCAGCCCAAACCGTCGACCCAACCAGCGGCGACGGCAATGACGTTTTTGAGAGCACCACCCAATGACACACCGGCGACATCTGACACTACCCGAACGTGAAAGTATCGTCGATGGAAGAGCTTTTTCAGGATGTAATGATCGATGGGACGGTATTCGGAGGGGAGAGGTCGTAGCTTGACCTTGGATGGTTGACCAGAAACGTCCTTGTGTGCAAGCTTTGACAGGTCGACGTGGCTGGACACGGGACTGGGACCTTGAGATGTGGCGGGAGTGGGAGCTCGAGAATCAATGGGTGGGGGAGCATAGGCAATTGTGGTTTCTGAAAACTTCTCCTGGGCGACTTCACCGGCAATATTGGCTCCTGACAGAGCACCAACATAGATGCCGAGCTCCTCACCAATAGTCTCGGAGAAGAGACTGATTGACGTGTCATGGACGTTGACACCCTTTATACAGGAAATGCCACGAGCATAGGGGAGGATATGCCCTTTCATTTGTTTGCAGAGACCCATGATGAACTGGTGAGGAAGGTTGAAGATGAGAATAGACGAGTCTTTGACGGCGTCGGTGAGGGAGGGATTGGCAATGACGTTGGGAGGGAGAGGGATGTCTGGGAGGTACTTGATGTTTTCGTGGTAGGTGTTGATGATTTGGGTGAGCTTCTGGGGCCCTTTGCTCAAGGGAGAGGATTCATTGTAGTGTTTTGACTTGGGGTCGAGTTGGACTTGTTCTTCATACACCCACATTTGCACATCTCGTTCAAAGAGGTCAGGGTTCTCGGCGGTACTCTCAGCAACCATTTTGGCAATGGTAGAGCCCCTAGTGAGGTGTTAATGGAGGGAAATGGAAGTCAGACGAGGGTGCCAAATACCAATTACCCGACCCAATGACGGTGACTTTGTGTTTCTTCCCAAAGGGGGTCAAGGATGACATCTTTGCTCCAACGTGATCCATTCTGGTGGGAGAGGTAATGAATGGGAGAGAGGTTGTAGGTCGACGAAAGGCAGTCAAGATGGAGAATTGAATACGACGAGAGAAGGTGGGAAACAAGAGCATTAAATGGAGAAGAGGAAAGGACAAGAGAGTAGGTGTTGGTATTGGTGGGATGGGAGTTGATGGGATATGAGAGTCGAGTCGGTTGGACCAAAGGAAGGCAATACAAAAAATGTTGGTTGTTGAGGCTGCGCGCGTGACGCAGGTACGGGGAAGGGGACGGAAGTAGGAGGTGCAGGCGCAGGGTAGGCGGAAGTGCCTACGGAGCGGTGGGTAGCTGGGCGTGCAGGGTAAGATAGCGTTAGCGTACAACTACCGTCGATTCAGTGGAGCTGGAACTGGAGCTGGACCTAGAAGAGGGAGTTGAAATGTCAGATTTTGGTTGTTAGTTGTTCTAGCGTTGAAAAGTGATCGGATAGATCAGTCTGAATGATACGCTAACAATCTGATAACCGATCTTGAACCGCATGGCCAGCCTCCAAGTGGCAATACAACCGATCATAGCATCAGAGATCATCATCACCTGGTAGGCTGTCATAGCTGTCTTCGCTTGCTCCCGAGGTTAACTGAAGATTCACCCCGGGGGCATGGCATCCCTAGAACCCTAACCCAGTTCGCCCCCAAAAAGGCCTGGATTGCCCCTCATTCTTCCCCGTATGGTCTATCGATAAGCCACCTTTCTCCCCCAAAGGTACCCATTGCGGAAATATACGAGATACGCACTCACTACCACCTACCTACATCGTACCTCCCACCCACAGATGTCATGCCTAGAAAATTTATTACCTCTTCTCCGCCTCGACGAAGCTGGGCATTGTCACGTCAATTCGGCCACGCCGTGAGAACGTGGAAATGGATATTTTTCACCGAGGCTGTCTTTGTTTGCACATGCCCATAGCGAATTGATGTACATATTGTAGGATTTGTACCGATTCTTGATAATACTTCACATGAGGTACCAACACATGCATCCGAGATTCAAATCTCAGATCTTTTCCCCAGCCTCGGCCACACACACATCCACCCGTAAATCCAAGACACCAATGGCCCCTCCGGCCGAGGGACAAAGTTTTAGTTTATTCTAGCACATGTAGGTAATTCTTAGGCTGTGAAGATATTCTCGGGGTAGCGGGATTTTTAGATGGAGTACGGCTAAAGGGATGAATCATGTCTGTACACACACAACGTGGTATCCTACTATCATCCACTGCACATTCATCTCGAGCCAGTGACATGATCATGTAACTTCAGCTCGCTGTGACCGTTTGCCCTTCTTGTCCCAATATATCACATGAGCTAGTCTGGCACTACTGGCAATGTCACCGATATATCATGAAACTAAACTGTTTATTCTCTGTTCCATGCCTCTGGGCTATATGAAGGACAACACCGCCGCTCCGAGCTATTATATCCATGCATATATTATCCTTATGAGCTGTCGTCACCTCAAAGTCTCTGGCTGAATCCAGCCAGTACCCATACCGAGCACTGCCTCGCCTTAACCGCTCTTAGTTTTAGACAAACCAAACTTATTCGACAAGTTCCGCCTGCCCATCATTCTAGACAAGACACTGCTACTACTCTTCTTTTGCATCGAGTCGTTGGTCGTGCGTGTGCTTATCTCATCTTCAGGCGACACTGGTGATCCAAGTGTCGTGTTCGCGCACATTTCGTCCTCACTGAGACCTCGTTCGCTCGACCGTCCTGACACCGAGTCTGGCGTGTGAATCCAGCTCGGCGTATCTGAAGTCGTTGTCGTCGCACTGTTAACATTCTGTGGCGCAGTGTGGGATCGAGTATTTCGCAAGGGCAGGTTCACTTCTGCGGGCAATTCTGCAACCATCCGAGAGCCTTCCAGTTCAGCAAACACCGGTGTGCTGCCCAGCTCTGCGATCTCCTTGTTGGGGAGTTCTGGGACTGATGGTGAAGAAAGCTCGCTGCGCTGATCGTTGTCGGGTTTCTCGAATCGGTTCTTGTACACGATATCTGCAAATCCGTCGCGTAGTCTGGCGAATCGAATCCCCGCTCCCACTTTGGTCAGGGGAATCAATTTATCAATCTCTTCGTGCACATGAGCCTGTAATAGTTTCTCCTTGCCCGAGAACGTCGTGAACGTGGTTGTCGTGTAGTATATCGCGGCATCTTCAATCTGTTTGGTCGACACATATTTCCCCTTGTATCGAAACGATCTTTCCAAGATCAAGATAAGATCGGCCGCACATTTGAACATCATTCTCGCTGTTGGAGGGGCGGCCAAAATCGTCAAGGACAGAGCCACTGCAGATCCAGCTCCCATACTATAAACCCAATCCCTCTGATTAGTACCTGTTCTGACGAATATATGTAAGCCAAAAAAAGCAATTCGCGCCTCACTTACGTGCCAACAATAATCCCTGCCGTCACCAGACTGATAGCGGTAAATTCAATCAAAGTCACCGTCATGAACTTCTTCATGTGACCCAGAAGAATCCGCTTCATGATTTCCTCAATCTCATCTGGAATGGTCTTGGGGAATCCAAAGCACAAAAGCATATGCTCACAGAGAATGCGAGCCACAGTCGGGGTGCCAATCACTCCAGAAAACGGGAGAGGAACCATGGCCGTCCTGACCGCGTGTGTCGATAGTCGCATACATTCTGTAATGGCCGAGTCAATTTTCTGCTCGACATCCACAACTTGGGCGGCTACGCAGAAAAGACGGACCCTTTCATCACTGATCAACTCGAGCGTTTGTGTCAGGAGATCTTTGATGCCTGGTTTGTCGTCTGGAGATTGGTTAGTAACCCCCCCTCTCACACTATCATTTAAGGGATAATTGCCCTTACCTTTAGAAAGACAGACAAACCCATCTGCTTTATAATGAGGGACCTTGGCCAACTCTGTGCGTAGTCGCATAAATTGTTCATCTGCTTCTTTTGATGCTGCCTCCGCCGCTAGTCTTTTAGATTCCTTGAAATCGTTGGTCTCTTCCATGAACTTTTCCAGCAACTTGACTTGATGTAATGCTGTCAACTTGTCCTTTTTCGTCCCAACCACGAAAACCGGCACGTGGTTGGAATATTGCGCAATTGTTGCAAATGTCTTTCTATCCGCTTCTTCAATTCGACTCACATCGGCGTCGACACAAAACCTTTTAACCATTGCATTAGTCGTGTCTTGAATGGCTTGCTATACACGTACCATATCACGTGCAATGACTCGGCAGGATCCTTTTGATACGCGCGATGGCGTAGGAATTTCGCAATCAGATCCAATTCCGTGTCCGTTCCAGCTTGCCAGCCTCGTGAGTCGTGGAGTAAAAGACCGGGATGGTTAGGCGATTCAAATGCCTGTTCGATATCGTGCACGCCCTGTGCATACGAATCGGACTCGTGGGTCTAGCAGAGTCAGTATGGGACCGGAGGAACTTAACCATGGTCGGAAACTGACCATTTCCACTCCAAAAACGGCGTTGATCAAGGATGATTTGCCGACACCTGTCTTGCCACAGACCAGGATGCGGAATGCCTTCACTCCGCTGGCTTGTAGTTCAAACCCTTCAAGCCAAGGCGGGACAACCGATCCAGTATCTTGGAGACACCGGTCTCGGAAATCGCCAATTTCGGTCTTGATCGATTTGAATCGAGGCTGTTCATAAAACTGGGAATATCGGTCGAGGATGTAGAATACAGACGGGTGGATGATGGTGCCGTAGCTCCTTGTTTGGAAATCAGTGCCTCCCCAAGCACTCTCCGTCGCATGAGACATACCAGATTCATTCCAACCTATCAAGCTTCCGACAACTGATGACTTTGGCCCCAAAACATTCTTGGAGGTGAACATTTTGCGAGGACTGTTGTAAAAGTACTTGGAAGAATTGATTTGGAGCCCGTGATATTGGTTATTGACACTGCTTTGAAGACCATGCACACTCTGGAGATCAAACAACAAGGCCTGGATCCCATTGGTGTAGTCGATTTGCCATTCCACCTTTTCTTCATGATCGAGCGTGGGAGGATCGCCTCCATAGTGGGGAAATGTTAGAGAGAGAGGGTTTTCCATCTCTGGGGGAGATTTGCTGGAGGCGAAGCCGACACACAAGCCGCACTTGATACTTTCGAGGATCATCCATTGAAGTGGATACAAAGAGAGTCCATCTTCTAAGGTGCCGCCTCGAAGATCTTGATGTGTTCCAACGAACCATGCTTGAATAAAGCTTGACACTTTTGCTTGTGCAAACGGAGGGTTCTCGATGAATTCAGGAGTATATTGAGAACGAGCCTCGTTGATGGCTAGTGCATGCCTGAGATTGGCAATCGACTTGACGAGAGATATATCGTGCATTGGACCTTCTGCAGTATACTTGAGGGTTTCAAAAACACCCACGAACTGAATACGAGGCAAGACGGTTGTATGAGCAGCCAGAAATTCAATGATCTGGGGACCGTTGCGATTGTCATCCTCGTGACGAGCTTTGAAGACATCGATCGTGCTTTGATATAGAACATCAAAGTGCTTCAGGTCTTTACGCAAGGGAAGACGCAGTGTGTTCAAGACACCAGCGACAGCGCGGACGATGAAACCTCCACGACCAAAGCCGTAGAGAAACAGTTCATCTTTGGAGTCTTCGAGGGTTTCGCAAATTTCCTTGACGATTTCCTTGATTTGCTTTTCGAAATGCGGCACCGTCGTCTTGTTCTTCAGTCGTTCAATGCGGCTGGGCCCATCTTCGGCAGCGCGATAGTAGCGCACAACCTGATCAAAGGCTTGTCCTTGTGCGTCATGACAGACTCCAGTTCGGACGATGCTCTTGAGTCGAAATATCGTACTTTGGTTCCCAGTTGCTGAACTGTGTCAGTGCGCGAAGAAAGTAGATCGCTTAGTAAGGAGAAGCAAGCACCTGATTTGCCATCATCTCCTTGCTCGGACGAGTCCACACATATTATCAGCCTCTTGAGCGGTGTCCCTAGGGACATGGTGGTGACTACTGATTAAACATACATTATTGTCAATTGGTGAGCGGAAGTAGAATTGAGGGCCAGGAAGTCAAAACAAAGTCGCAATGAAATGAATGATTGAGATAGAAGTCCACCAGGGCTCACTCGAAAACGTGGGTCTTGTATGGCTGATTAAGGGATCGTCCCATCAGGCACCCAGCGCAGATGTCGGCCGTACGCCAATCATAACGGCAAGGTTGAGGTTGCTCAACTGTATGCGGCCAAGTGGATCAGTCAGTCCTGCTTTTTCATCACCACGAGCAGTTGACCCTTGGGGTATTGTGACTCTTGATCACGTCTGTAGCACATCAAGCTCAGCCAGTGCCAGTCTCAATGTTTAGCGCAGTGTCTTCTAACAGGGAGAGCAACATCCCTGTAAGTCTGTAACGGTTGAGCCCTGGAACTAGGCGTCGGAAAACAGTTCTCGGCGCCCTCTAGGGCTAATCAACCACGCCAACGTGACGGTTGGCGGATCGTTTCAACTACTCCGTAAACTCTTGCTCGTACTCGCGAGAAACAACTGAAAAGGGAAGGGATGGGGCCAAGATCTGGCTGTGACCCACCCCATCGTCCTTGTCACCAAACTATCCCAAAGTGCCCAAACCCTGTCCTCGCCCAAGTCCCATAATACGCATCGTAATCGCGTGTGGTAGACATGGCAAAATGATAGCCCTACGTTAAGATACCCCTCTTCGCCTGCTTTTGCAGACTTTCTGATGGCGTCCATATCACTAATGTTATCTTGCCACGGGGTGCGACAATATACGCATTTGACTTGCTGGCCTCGTTGAGTGGCAGCCCATCGTTCGAAGCATGAGGGTACGTAGTGGTCGTTGCAGATGGACTGTGTGAAGGATGTGGAGGCAAGAAGCGAGACGAGAAGCCAAGGAACTCCTGAATAAAAAAAATAAAAATGTCAACAAAACTAGAAGGAGCTAAAGAGCCACGACTCGGGATTCAGGGAAGGAGTGACACACTAGAGCATTGCGGATGGAGATCTGGGGATCGTCCGTAGAACATAGTGGCAACTATAGAGACTATATGTGCAGTGCAGTTCAGGATTTAGATTACCATTGGGTTGACATGATTCACTACTTAGAGCAGCGACTTGGGATTCCTTTCTTGTCGGAAATCATCCAAAAATGGCATTATAGCCTTCAAGAACAACTGGGGCTGGTCGATATTGACGGCATGGCCAGCACGAGGGATGACGACTTTCTTGGCCCCTGGGATCTTCTTGAGCATGTACTCGCTCGCAGGTAGGAATGGGGTGTCGTCCGCACCGACCACGATCAGACTTGGGACCTTGATTTGGGGCAAGGCATCAAAGACGCCGGAATTTCTCTGCGCGAGCATCCCCCTTGCCGCCAATGCCAGGCCAGTGGCGTCACGATGCGTGGCGGAGGCTCGCTCGGGGCTCTCTTGCTGGAGGGGAGCAAGACCTTTGGTCTCAAATGCTTTTGCAGTCTTGTGAGCAGTCTCGTTCCAGGCATCGCGCGCTGAATCCTTTTTGAAACCCGGGCCGGTCGCGATGATCAGAAGTGCTCGAACGCGGTCGGGGTGATCTCGGTAGAATGCCTGCGACATGTATCCGCCCAAGGAGAGGCCACCCACAATTGCCGAGCTGCCGGGTCCGCAGACATGATCGAGAATGGCTGCCATATCGGACACGGTCAATTCCTCACTGTATGCTGACTGGTCGCGGGGATAGTCGCTTTGTCCATGGCCTCGCATGTCCCAGGTGATGAGTTTGAAGTAAGTCGATATAGTGGAGACTTGGCCTTTCCACATGCCAGACGTAGACGAGAAGCCATGACTTAGGAGGAGCGGTGGTCCCTCACCGTGCACCTCGTAATAGATCTTGACTCCATTGTTATCAAGGTGTGGCATGCTGGGAAGTTGATATCTAGGAGGTCTTATTGTAGCTGGCTCAACCTGATCGAAGAAAAGTCAATACTGATTTGGCCGTAATTCTTAGGGAGGTCCGAGGAATAGTATTAAGTGCAGTGATCAATGATGACGGCGCAGTCAGGGCATTGTCAGCTTTTAGCTGCCAGGAAAGTGTGGGGTAGAAGGATTTGGAGAGGAATGTCACATTAAGTACCTATTAGGTAGTGCTATCGCAAAGAAGAACCCGTGCCGAGGCATGGATTAGATTGGGAATTCTATTGTGAGCGAAGGATCAACACTTCTATCAAGCCTACCACAAAGAACCATGTTCTCAACGCCGACAATGACGCTTAGTCGCTAAATGATGCATGAAACATGTGATGTTCTCTCCCCGTTCTAAGTCTTGTCTACAACGCGTCGGTTGCATGACCCCCGGGATTCTGAGCAGAGTCTAGAAAGCAAGATTAGTGACCAACTGGAGGAAGAATACATCTGGAGACTTACAATCAGTCGTCACAAAGGCACGATCCACCTCGACCAGGGCCTCGGCACAGTATTGCAATGTCTCAGCAATATCGTGAGTTCTGCGCAAGGGAGTCTTCTCGTCTAGCAAGATATCGTACTCCGCCCATACTCCATCCCCGGCATGGTAAGCAGTCACGGCTTTGATACCCACCACGAGATTGCAAAATCGGTAAGCCAGGTACATCAACTTGTTCTGCACGTGGTCTTCGACGGTCAGGCCACACAGGCGAGTGATGTTTTCAAAACACGTGTCAGCCCAGTCGTAGATGATGTACAAAGACAAGATTGCAGCACCAACCGGATCCAGCCACCAAACGCCAGCATGCTTGCCAATCAATGGGAATAGCAGAGAGAGGGTGTTGAAGTAAACATCGGTTTTGCAATCCTGAGCCAACGCCTGCACTTGTGTGGTCTTGATTTTCATGCACCCAAGCCCAATAAGCCCTTTGATACCGACTGTTGCGGCCATGGCAGCAATTGCGACGGCGGGAAGATTGGCGACTTGGTGGTGGCCACCCGGAAGCAATTTTTGTACCGATTCTTGAAGGATCTGGGCGAATGAAATGACCATGATGATACTGAACACGAGGATGCCCAAGGGCTCTAAGCGTCGTCGGCCGACTGGAAACTTCCTGGAGAGGGCAGACAAGCGCCATGAGACAAGGCGGTTGGTCGACCATACAATGACAGTGCATAATAGGTCTAACGCCGAATCGAGAAGGGATGCAATCAAGGAGAGGGAGGAGGATTTCATGGCGGCGATGCTCTTGGCGAGTAGTAAGATGATGTTGGCGACCACATTGATATTGATGGCCCATCGTGCGTTTCGAGCAGCCCGTCTTCGATCGGCCTGAACTTGGTCAGGAAGCAAGGCTTCGACATGCTCGCCTTGGGTCTGCAGCAGACCCTGTCTTTCTCTGATCCCATCGTGATCTGTATCGGTGTCCATACTTTCCAGGATGTCATCAGCCATGGACAGCACAATGCTGTCAACCTCGGCAATGTCATTCAGTCTGGCATTTTGTTTCTCGTAGAAGCGGCGGACGTTCTTGTTCTTTATTTTCTTGAGCTAGATACAGCGTGTCAGCGTGCTACCAAATCATGACTCTTCACCTTCTGGCTGACCTCTTGGTCGGATTTTCTCGCTCTTTCGTACTCTCCTCGTGTAATGCCTGAGGCCAGGAGTGTCTTGAGGTCCGCAGTGGTGCGTCGATCAATTGCATATTCGACGGCATCTTTCAAACCATTGAATCTTCTTGGTCGTGGGCCACTTTCAATATCTCCTTTTCTGCGGTCATCTTTGGGGTTGGTGAATGTGTCAAAATTTCGTTTACCGACCATGACTAGGAGACATTAGGTAAATCGCGACGTCAATTGGAGGAGGGAACTGGAACTCCCACGAGAGATGAGGGCACTTGGATTGACATGAGAATAAGCAAGCAGAAGGCTCTAAAAACAATTAGAAGATATCACATCAAGGAGTCCAAAGCTTTGTGAAAGAGTCAAGGAATTGCTTGGATTGGCTGGGCGATGCTTCGATGACGGCATAGAGTTTCAGTGATCAGCTTCACTTTTGGGGTGCGTGGAAGCATGCCGAACTTGAGATTCCAAGCTTTGAGTTGGCACGGTTGGTAGCGATGACGGTGGGATCGGAGGGGTCACAGGAGTGCAAAACGCAGGGGGGGGGGAGTTTGTTGGTGGCGAGGGGATCGTCAGAGGCTGAAGGCTAATCTGGTTTCCGGAAGGCGCGGGTGCCCATGGCAATTGCCCATTTCCCATTATTGACTATGATGCGTCGCTCCTTCTTTAGCTACTGGACCGGGCACTTTGCCTTTTGCACCTGCCCCCTCGGCCCTCGTTTGATGCATTGATGCCTGTTGTTTGACCACTGAAGCTAACCGAGTTCAGTTAGAGAACACATTGCCCTGCTCAACCTCCCAATTCCAACATTGAATTCTTGTTTTATTTCTCCATTTCTCAATCTTTGTTGTCTCTGCTAACCACTTCGTTCTCAATCGACACCTTCTGTGCTGGTAATTTGGCCAGTAGCTGCTCAAACCGTCCCTTGAGTCGACAAAGCCGAGCCTTGAGTTCGGTAAGATCGCTTGCACCCACGGAAGAGGTTTTAACACTGGCACTACTGGACGACGAAGATTCTGATGCATTGGTTGATTCATTTCCTCCGGCTAGAGCCGAATTGTCGGACTGGACACTCGAGGTCGATGAGTTCTCATTCGTGGCAAAAGTACTAGACTCACTCTTGCTTTGTCGAGATTGTTCTTTCCAAGCCCGAACAAGATCGAACTTTGCCCCTGGCACTTTGGCGATATACTCGGCAATCACATAATTGTTCGATGACTCGCATTTGTCGCAGACCTTGGGAAAGACGTGAGTTTTGTCAGGAGACTCATCACACATTTCATGTGAAGTTGATGTCTTGTCGCCACATTTCAGCAGCTCCTCCACTTTCTCGGAACACTGCACCACAGTTTTGATCATGACATGACCGCAAACGAACTGGATAGTATGAGACTCGCACATTTTCAAAATGGTAATTGTATCGTTGAGATTGAGCAAGGGCACGGTCCCAGCAGCATGGCCTGTGTTTATTGCCTTCATCTATGTTTGTGCCCAACGCACATGCAGCTTCAAAATAGACATCTTGACAATGGAGACGAATGCCTTCTTGGTTTTCCTTTGTTACCATGATTGGCAACGAGGCTGTGATACTTGAGCTGTGATACTTGGGCATTCAAGGTCTTTGTCCACGGGATCCTTCCATTCATTGTAAAGTAGATGTACATGAAGTACCATTATCATGATGACATAATGTTGAAAGGGAGTTGTCAGTTGGAATTGGCATCCGGATTAATTATACCGTTCACAGATTGCCATTCTGTATCGCTCTTCAGTGTCAGCCTGCGTAATCGATGAGACGAGGCAGGAGCCCTGTCAACGGCCGAGGGGCCCAAGCCCGCCATTGGACGGAAGCAGGGATAGGCTTCCATGACAAGCTTTTTTACGTGTCTTGTGTCAAGTCTTATCATTCTGAACCAACATTTTGGGAAAGAGCTCCTCCTTCGCTCCTCCCTCACTATGTCATCCTGCATGTGCCTGCCAGATCGACAGAAATCGTAGCTTCCACCAACGTGTCTGCTCTCATTTCTACTAGACTTCTCACTATGAACGACGCATTACTCCGACAATCGGGGGAGACTAGATTCTGCTACAACTCTTAACCATGTCTCATGGCGTCCATTCGGAGGATCCAGCAATGGCGCCATCGACTTTTATTATTTAACCACCACCGCCTCCACCACGATGGAGTACTCCCGCGACTCATCCCACTCCATAACGATGCTAATTGTTTCCCTCTCAAACTCAATTATGTAACGTGATGATCAATAGGAGCTCGAACGTTTGCTGACTACGAATGTCTAGGGTCTTGCGCTGATTTCCGTAAAGCTATAGCCGCACTTTCTTGTATTGACGGAGTCAGCTACTACTAGAGATCTTCTACCACCCATGAACTCTCTCTCTCTCTCTCCTACACATCTCTTAGCACCACCGTCATTACAGCTTGATATTACACATACTCGTAGAGCCAACGCCGTCCCTGCCCTTCTCTCTCCTCCTTCTCCATCCCCCACGTGTCTCCATTCATCATCCAGAAACTCAAAATGGACGTTCGACGAAGATCAAGCTCCAAATCAGAGGCCAAATTCCAACGTCGGCGAACGAGCGTGGTTCATGATGACGCCGCTCTCGCCAATTTCGGTATCAAGCAGGAGTTGAACCGTAACTTTGGCTTCCTGTCTATGCTTGGACTCGCCTTTGCCATCCTCAACTCCTGGACCGCTCTCGGCGCCAGTATGTCTCTGGCTCTTCCCTCCGGTGGTCCCTCTAGTGTCATTTGGGGTCTCATCGTCGCTGGTGTCTGTAACTTGTGCCTTGCTGCATCAATGGCCGAGTTCCTTTCTGCATATCCAACGGCGTGAGTAAACAGAGTCCTCACACATGTCTTATGGTCGTCCTGTACTGACAAAGGCTCTTTCGCTCATATAGAGGAGGTCAATACCACTGGGTAGCAGTCATCAGCTGGAGGCGCTGGGTGCCACTTCTGTCCTGGATCACTGGGTGGATCAACACCGCCGGCTGGGTCGCCCTCTCGGCCACTGCGGGTCTTTTGGGAAGCTCTCTGATCATTGGAATCATCTCCCTCGCCGACCCGTCCTACGAGTCACATCGATGGCACCAATTCCTGATCTATATTGCCTTCAGTCTGATCGCCTTCCTCGTCAATGCCTACCTTACTCGCATTCTTCCCTATATTACCCAAGCCGCCTTGTTTTGGTCCATCACAGGATGGGCAGTCATCTCAATCACCGTCCTCGCTTGCTCCTCCCCAAACTATCAAAGCGGAAGCTTCGTATATGGAGACTTTATCAATGAGACCGGCTGGCCAAATGGTCTAGCATGGCTCCTTGGATTGCTGCAGGGAAGTTTTGGTCTGACTGCTTTTGACGCCGTTGGTATGTCTCCCTGGGCGCCCTTTGGTTCGCTGTTTATCGACTCACATTTTGCAAGCCCACTGTGTTGAAGAACTCGCCGATGCTACCCGGGATGGGCCCAGGATTATGATTGGTTGCGTCTTGATCGGAGTCGTAACTGGTTTCATATATCTTTCGGTACTGCTGTTTGTTTCCAAAGACATCGATACCGTCATCACGTCCCTGGCCGGCCCCATGTTGCAAATCTTCTATGATGCCACCGGCAACAAAGCTGGTGCCATCTGCCTTCTCATGTTTCCCCTGGTCTGCCTGACCGTAAGTAGTCGTCCGTGTGTGACGAAGTACCAAGGATCAGCTGACAAGAGTCTAGTTCGCCGGGATCTCCATCTTGACCACAAGTAGTAGGATGGTGTATGCATTTGCGAGAGATGGAGGTCTTCCAGCCTCTCCATGGTTGGCCAGAATCCACAAAGGACTGGTGGTTCCGTTGAATGCATTGATCTTCACTTCAATCTTGGTCGTCATCTTCGGCTTAATCTTCCTTGGATCGACAAGTGCATACAATGCCATTGTGTCGGCATCGGTGGTGGCACTTGGAGTGACATACGCCATCCCGCCTGCCATCAATTGTCTTCGAGGCCGCAAAATGCTACCTGAAAACCGTCCCTTCAAGATGCCCAATTGGTTGGGATGGATAACCAACTTGGTGAGTATCAAATACGCCCTCAAATGCATCCATCTTGCTGACAGAATAACAGATCGGTATTGCATATGCGATTCTCACCACAGTGCTCTTCATGTTTCCCCCATATGCCGAAGTCACTGGAAGCAACATGAATTACTGTGTGGCAGCATTTGCGATTGTTTTGGTGGTGTCTGTCATTCAATGGTTTGTTGACGGTCGCAAGAATTACACTGGACCGCGACTCGACGTGGAAGCGTTGAAAAAGGGGGAGATTGTGGGAATGGCGCCAGTGGAGAGTAATGCCGAGGACGAGAACGGTCTGATTGGCGTTGGTTCGCGCGATAAGAAAGTCCAGCCAGCTGTATAGTTCGATCGGACTGCAGTTCCTCTGATGTATGTCGTACACTCAAAAATGGTACACATTTGTCGTGATAGCATCATACCATCACGTCGGCCACGCAGGATCTTCCTTCCTTCGAAAGATGGCAATATACTTATTCCCACCATTTCGCGTAACCTTTTTCGACTCTTCAGTCTCCTGACTCATGATCGCAACACACGGATCATCCTTCAACCAATCCTGACCGTCGACACGCTCCCACAACTCAGCAGCATCGCCTGCCTCAGAACCCACGAAATGCTTGACCATCCAACCCGACAACTCCTCGACGTCAGTAATAGTGTAGACCAACCCACCCGGACGCGTCACATACGCATACTCTGCATTGAGTTGTGCCGACACGATCCTTGCTTTATGCTTGCGCTGTTTGAAATGCGGATCTGGGAAACATAAAAACACTTTACTCAGTTGTCCACGAGAGAAGTAATTAGGGAGGAATTTCATCGTGTTGGCTCGAAGACAGGAGATGTTTTGATATGGTGCATGTGAACTTGTCGTCGTTGTCGTTGTCGTGGACATGGACGTGGATTTGGGTACTTGATCGGCATTCTGCGCCCGTAGAGCATGGATCCGACGCACGACATATTCCGTTACTTGGAGTCGTAATTCCATACCTGTACACAAAAGTCAGCTCAACTTACATACCAAGTAAGACATTGGAAGGGACAAGGGAGAAGGGGTTAGATATACCTAGAATCAATGTATCCGGAAAAGCAGGCGACAGAGCCACCAATAACCCACCAAACCCACACCCAATATCCGCAATCTCAATATTTTGGGTCAAGCTCATGTTTCTTCTTGACTGTAATGCGGTATCGTTCCCATCATTATCATCATCATCATTATTGTCCAACTTGACGAAATCAGGATAATGAGTCGACCAATCCATATCTTCAGGCGATGAAGGACTTGATGAGTAAAAATCTTGCGTTAGTCCATAATCACAATCGCCATCTTAATCTCAATCTCCACATTCAAAACAAACTACATTTCCAAGATATCGATCATCAACTTACTAAATCAAAGCATGGTCCGAAAAGGGATTTGCATGAGCTCGTTGACGGTAGAATTTCTTCTTTGGTAATTGAATTGGACGGCCATTGTTGTTGGATGCACTAGGTCCAGTCTCGGTCGAGGATGTAGGTTTCTTGTTGGGGCCTTGGTATTGCTCTTGTGCTTTACGGTATTCGTCCCGTTTTTGCCGTTTATTAGCAGGGCCGACCATGGTGATGGTTAAGAGGGGAGTTGGTGAATTGGTTAGTTACTAGGTAGGTTGTTGATGCTTGAATTTGATATTGAAAAATATGGGCGGAGAAATTGAGAGTATGGTAAGGGAATAATGATTCGCCGAGACCGACATAGTTTAATAGTTCGAGAATTGTTGCCAAGCGTCAACACCACAAGATCTTGGTACCTACACCCATACCGTCTTTCAAGGATTACAATTTCTGTCTGGTTGAGTTTCATTCTTCACTTTTGAGGCTCGTTGATGGATGTCGTTATAGTCTCATGACTCTATGACCCTACTTGAAGTGGCGTTCCAAACCCATAGGGCATCTACCAGGCCGGAGCTAGAGGTCAAGAATGCCTCCTAGCATCTATTCTGCAAGTACCACAACTCTCACCCTTCTCTTCCCCTTTTCTCTAGCCCCTCCTTTCTCCTCTGAGCTCACACGGACTTTGAGCTGTTGGAACAATTCCACGCTCACCGCCTTACTCTCATTACCCTTTTCAAAGACAGTCAAGCGGTAATTGTCCGGTTCGAAATGACTCTCTGGCTTGACGTGATCTGTGCGAACCGCTTGGAAGTCCTCCAGACGCACCAATCCCTCGATGCCAAATTGAGGAACAAATACCACTACTCCATTCTCAAAGACACGCAAGACGTATCCTTCAACGTCGATCGCCGCATCTGGTGTCTTTTCCGCTCGTGCCTTGAGTGCTTGTCCCACGTAGTATTCAATGCTGGCTCGTCCGGCTAGTTGAGCATTTCGATGTCGCAGATTCAGGTTCTGGCACACTCGTTCCAATTTGGTCTTGTTTCGGAGGCCGTCGTCCACAATCTCACTGCCTTGACCATCGTATCCGATCGCATACGCCAGCTGACGGTGAGCGAGAAGATCTCCGTATCGTCGAATGGGACTGGTGAAATGAGTGTAGATTTCGCTCGCCAAACCGTAGTGACGATACTCGGGCTCCGCGTGTGAGCCACTGCAAAAGTACTCTGCCGATGTCATACACCTCGTCGCCATGATTCGAATTAATGTGTTGAAGAACGGGTGCTGAGGATCAACGCACAGATCCAAAGAGTCTGCTAGGGCTTTAGAGCTTGAAACGTCTAGCTCGAATCCGCGCATTTTCTTGAGCTGCTCACTGAGGTCGGCAAAGTTTGAGGCGGGGGGAGTGGCGTGTCTTCGTAATAGGGCTGTCTGTGGGAATACCGACTGAATCTTCTTGGCCACGGTGATGTTCGCGAGAAGCATAAATTCTTCGACGAGGGAGTTCGTAGCCAGGTGTGCTTTCGTCTTGACATCGGCAAGGGAATCGGATGATTCGCTATCTGCCTCGATCCTGACCTCAGGACTCGACAGGTTCAGCGCTCCTGCATCCATTCGCTTCTGCCGAAGCTTTTGAGATAGAGCCAATAGTATGCGCATTCCTTGAGTAAGGTCGTCCGTGGCATTCTTGTCGTCGATACGTTTCTGCGCTTGCTCGTACGAGAATCCCTCTCGAGACAAGATGACAGATTTCGTAAATGTTGCAGAGACCACATCGGCATCTGGGGTGACTTCCCAGATTGTGGAGAAAGCGTAGCGTTCGACATAAGGCTTGAGAGAACACAAGTCAGTTCCCAGCAGCATGGGCAACATGTCAATACGTTTGTCGACAAGATACACAGTAGTGCCTCGGGCTGAGGCCTCGGTATCCATGGCATTGTTGGGTTTGACAAAGTGAGACACATCTGCAATATGAACTCCAACTTCGAAATTTCCATTGGGTAGTGGTCGCGCGTGCAACGCATCATCAATATCCTGACAGTTTGGAGGGTCGATAGAGCAAATGAGAAGATCTCGGAGATCTCTGCGGCCTTTCCAACCAGGATCCGCGCTATCTTGGGGAACTTTCCAGTCGTGCCCTTCGGGCGGGAGACAATCCAACACCGTTTTTGGGAACGGTCGGTATTGGACATCGTATTCGAGCAAAAGAGCCTCCGTTTCGGCTTCCTTAGTTTCAAGTTCGCCAAGAGATCGGATATAATGACCCTCAGGATATCGAGAGTCTCGGTTCCATGAGTCAATCGCAGCAACGATCCGCTTCCCAACCAATTCATCCACTTGACGGGTACGTATCCGTATCTTGGGAATGCGTTTGTCCATTGGAACCAAGAAGACAGTGGTTTGGCGATTGCCAGACCCTTGCGAGGCCGAATCAATCGTCCCCACAAGTTGCCTCCAATTCCTCTTCATCACACCCACCACTCGGCAGGTAGGTTGGGCACGGGTGTCTGCTCCAGCCGTGTGAGCTCGTCGAACTTCTTCTTGCAAGGCACGCCTTTCGCTCTCAGTAACCACAGCCTCCTCGTGTTCTTCGTTCTCGGCATTTTCGTTCTTATTAAGGGCATCTTCATCTAAAATTTGGTCGGAGGGTGACCTCCACTGGTCTTTGGGGAGAATCTCAACAACGACGACATCGCCCGAAACTGAGCGGTTGCTGCTCTCGCGGCCAAGGATGAGGAGTGGTTTGTCAAATGCAGGAACCTTGACAGTGCCCTCGAGATAGTTGAAGGCTGAAACATGAAACACTCCTTGATGGAGTGTGCCCGCCTTGATACCAGTGGTCATACGTGACATGGAGTAATATTCTGGGTAGAACAATTCACCAGACGCCACACGAGCTTCGTGGCTATCGGCGCTCGTGCTGACCATATCGAGGAGACGATCAGCGTCTGTCAAACCACCAACATATTCTCTCAGTGAAAGCGCATTCAACCCTTCTTTCTTTGACTTGGATCTGTTTTCCTGGTCATTGGTGAGGACCACAATGGCAGGCGCCTTCTTCTTGACTGCGCTGGCCAAGTGGGCAGTGTACCAAGACGCAGCTCTTCTGACGGCGCGATCATTCCTGTCATTGATGGTTTCTCCCTCATCTCTCTTGACTGCAGTCTCAGCACGGAATTCGTTGAAAAATAAGTAGAAACGTTTCTCCTCGCTCTTGGTCAGGGCCATAAGTCTGTTGAAAAGGGGAAGACTTCTATTCTTCAGCTCTTCGAGGACGGTTTGAAGGATAATGACGTCGTGGAAATGGTCGGGCTCTTCGAAGAGATCCATTCCACTGAGGAGGACATTTGTGTCAGGCAACAGGTAGTGGCCATCCGGGAAGACTGTAGTACCGACGGGTCGTTTCGACAGGATGAACTTGGGTACTGTTGACATTAGTTTCAAGGAAAAGTCAGTGATAGTAGTAGAACGGAACTCACCATTTCCATTGGCATCTGTCGCCGCGGTTGAAAGACAAGAGGAACATAGTTGCGACGAACAGGCAATGTCTTTTCTCAGATATTGTTCCTTGACAACTTTCTGCACTCGGCCGCTTCGAGTGGATCTGATGAAGACTTTACTAGTGATGTTACTGGCATTCGGGTCTGCTGCGAGCCCTCTTTTCAGGCTCTTCATGATGTGTATGTGTCGGTGGAGGGATGTACACCGTGGGTTGTTGTTTCAATCGAAGTCAAGATCCACGAAATCCGACCATTTTTTGTTCCATGCGGAGAAAACTGCACATGCATTACAGCGAAGCATCGGATACGACGTTATACATTTTATGATCCGCTGAAGAAAGGACCCCTCACGTGCCCCGCTCTTCGACGGCGGAATTTCCGTTCTTCCCCGCAGTTTGATATCAACCAGATCAACCAGATGTACCAAAAACATTGAGATGGATGAGTCTCGCGGAGGATGACATTAATGACAGCTATTTGTTGAGATATTATCAGGTGGGCTCGGTATACACGTATCTACTAACGATTACACTTCACCAACTGCTGGACTGAAACTTGCATGGACCCAGTCACTTCCTACGGAGTACGAAACCAGTCCACATCTCGACCAAGAGAACGGTCGAGTTTGCTCCATATATCATGTCAGCCAAACCACCGTATATCGTGGAACCCAACGGGCCCTCAACATCCACTGACCGACCGGCGACCATCATCTTTCTACACGGCTATGGAGATGACGCCGAAGGAATTCCACTGGGCCTGGCGCAACAGTTTCAGTTCTACAACAAGATACCATATGTGAAATGGATACTCCCCAACGCTCCCCGCAACATGGAAGCCATGACCACTGCATGGTACGCAATTAAAGAATTGCCGAACCCCATGAAGCCACGGATACCGGGAGACGAGGATGCCGAGAATGAAGTGCCCGACGATGAAGAGGGCATTTTACAGAGTACGGCCGTGATCGACGAACTAGTGGAGCAGGAACTCACCAAGGGAACTCCGCCAGATCGAATCATCGTCGGAGGGTTTAGTCAGGGTTGTGCGGTGAGCATGGTATGGGGATTAATAGGGAAATATCGAGACCAGGTTGCTGGGGTGGTGTGTTTGAGTGGATACTTTCCTCTGGCTGAGAGAATTGAACAATTGAGGCGAGAGAGACCAGCGGTCAGTGGAGAGAATGTTGGAAAGAAGAAGTGGTTCTATGTTCACGGCACGAAAGATATGTTGGTGCCTACACGGCTATTCACGCTCGGGAAGGAGAATTTATTGAAGTGGATTAAAGTAGATGACATGGAGGAGCATCTGTATCCGGGAATGGGTCATTCGACTGGTTCGGCCGAATTGAGGGATATGTTGGGGTTCTTCAACAAGGCCATTCCTCCATGATTTTGAATGAGATATCACTGGTCTGTGTTGAGGCATGTTCTGTAGAGGCGACGGAAACGATTATAAGGGATGTTGATGATTCCTTGTGATTCATTATCGTATAATGTTGATAAAGAGTGGCTGAAGGCGGGTTCTTCTTCTCCTTCTTCATCTTCTCCCTCTTGTCCTTCCCAGCATCTTTGATATCTCGAATATTCTCTCCATCATTTCAAGTCGTGATCATCATCGTCGTCTTGTCATCGTCTCGTCATCGTCATTGCTATCGTCCCAATCCGTCAAGGTCCCTTCGTAACTGAATCAGCTCATCAAGGCTGACAGGCCTGGAGTTCCGGAGTCTATCGCGGACAGCTCTATCAAATATATCAAATGACGTCAGCCATCAGCCATCAGCCACCAATAGTGAAATATAGAATCAATCATGAATGACAAGCCGTCTCTTTCCTTGACTTACCGCACCACAACTTCCGCAGGTCTTGCCGCTGCTAATGGAAGCACCGCATTTGGGACAGCCGTTGTGACTCATTCTGGATAGACTGATGGATAGTGTATAAGATGGATTGGTGCGAGTGGACGTCGTAAAGTTGTTGCACGGTTGGTGGGATGGTTGATGGTAGATGTTTGTAGAAGGTTTGGAGAGGATGAGGAGGGTGGGGGAGGGGAACAAGTGAGAATAAATTGATTATTAACAGACAGGCGGAGGACTTGGGCTAGCTCTTAACTAGGTAAGTGGTTATGCTCTTCACTATTAAATAATTGGCTAGTAGGCACCTCTACGTAGTAATTCTACCTAAGTAGCTAAATACTCCCGAGTCCCCTCACGCTTATACTCGTGGATATAGAGCGACACTCCCCCATCGCTCATTGGAAGAATGACTCAACCGACGACAACGACGAGTTTTCGCGGCAGCCTCTGCTCACTCCGCCCCTCTCAAATCTGTCTCCATGTGTCCACGCCGGCGCTTTTAATCTCCTGGTCTCTGTCCTGGTGACTATCATTGAGAGCCAGTCATTGAGGAAGCATTGTGCCACCAGCGGACAATGGTGTTTCAATTTCGATACAGGCGGACCAATAGAGGGTTCACTCCAGGTAACTCCTTCCTTTGTCATGCAGCAGTTTCAGATGGCAAGAATCCCCAAGTCCTATTTGCCTCTTTGAAGGGAGTATGCCTCGATCAGCTGCTGTACCAAGTGGACAGCTTTGATCAGTGGTCGCCTTCCTGGTCGGTTCAACGCCTGGGAGACGCTCTGTCTATGGCTCTCCTCATTAGAGAACTGATGGAATGATCTAGACATTCCGCAGGAGCCATGACCTATATGGCTAGTGTGGTGGGTGTTATTGACAGCAGCACTGTCCCTGGGAGTATATCTCGAGGTCCATCTCGGTGGATCTAAGGCAAACTGCTCCGGTAGCCTGTCGACAGAAGATCAGTGTCCAGAGCTTCTCTCTCACGGCACGGAGGTTTGAATCCTCTGTCAGAACGCCGTCCTCACGGCTGCTTTCCGGTGTGCTACTTCCTTGGCCGTCTCTATGGCAAGCTGTTCACATTTCAGCCTCCAATTTCCAGTGTATTGTGTTATGTTATCTCTCGGCCTTTTCGGTTCTGGGTTCCCAAAGAGAAGAGTCAGCGGATTTTATCGAAGCTACTATCTCATGAAACTTACTTAGGATCAGGCTCAGTGGCATTGTCATTTCGATCACATCAATGTTGGAGTCAGTGTTTCCAGTACGGGCCCACTTCTAGTGCTGGACGATCGATGTTATCGCTCGACAGTATTCCGAGCTGAGACGAAGAGTCCGTCCAATGGCGGCAATGCCTCCTGGGATGGTCTGAATATGGGCGAGGCAACACAAGAACTGGGACACAGTTCGATATCTTTTGATACATCATGACTAAATGTTCCGTTTTGTTATCTTCTTTCCGGATGATCTGAAGCTTTCGACGTCGTATTGTCTGGAACCGGGTACAGGATGGGTACTAGATTGATAAGACCACGAAACCTCGTGTCGCGCAGCCCATTTGCCGACTTTTGAAACATCAATCTATGACAACCTAAGTCGGGTACGGAAGATTTACACTTGAACACGGCTTCATGGTAGATACGGCTCTGGTTTTGCTGGGTCGCCCATTGGCGGTGGTATTAAGACGCCGAAATCACGGACGCCTTGCGCCCGTATTGCGGGGTCATTTTGAAGATAGGTGTTCGTGGACTTGCGCCTGTCCCCACCATGCTTCCGAGGCCAATGTCAATCTCTGTGACACATCTGGTATTTAGATATAGCGAGCAGGAAGAAAAGGGGTCCGGGTTGGTGGAAAACTGGGTACGGTTGCTATGCCGAGCTTCGGACCGACCGTCCGTCCACTATCATGGTCCAATATTGGCCAATAATGCAGCATACCAACCCCCTGTCTTGCCAGAAATATAAGCCATATTAGTTTGAGCCTATTCTCTCCACGCAACCGCGCTATTCCACTCACAGCGGGGTCTTTGCTCACAGGTACCTCTCGCTCACGACTCCTACGATGGCCCTGAACCGCTCTTTCAAGTTGAACACAGGAGCCAGTATCCCTGCGGTGGGATTTGGTACCTGGCAGGCAGCGCCCCGAGAAGTCGAGGAAGCCGTTGAGATTGCTTTGAAAGCCGGTTATCGTCACATCGATTGCGCTGCAGTCTATGGTAACGAGGCTGAAGTAGGAGCGGGAATCAAGGCTTCCGGTGTGAAGCGCGAGGACATTTTCATCACCTCTAAGCTCTGGAACACGAACCATGACTCCTACGTTGATGTAGAGCGGGCCCTGAATACTTCTCTCCAGGACCTCGGCCTCGAATACCTTGATCTCTACTTGATGCACTGGCCGGTCGCCTTCGCACCAGGTACAATACCATTCCCTCTAGATAGTGAAGGCGTGCTTAAACTATCCAACACATCCTACACCAAAACCTGGAAGTTCATGGAGGATTTATTACAGACCGGCAAAATTAGGGCAATCGGGGTCTCAAACTTCAACATTCGCCGTTTAAAGAAGATCCTCGATGTCTGCAAAGTGGTCCCAGCGGTTAACCAGATCGAGGCACATCCATATCTCCAACAGCCTAACTTACTAGCATTTTGCAACGAACAGGGAATTCTAATCGAAGCATACAGTCCTCTCGGCAATAATGTATATGGACAGCCCAGAGTGGTGGATGACGAACTTGTACATTCTATAGGGAAGAGCTTAGGCATGGACCCTGGTCAGGTGTTGGTGAGCTGGGCAGTTCAGAGAGGCACGATCGTCCTGCCAAAAAGTGTTACAAAAAGTCGGATCGTTGGCAATTTTCAAGATCAGATACTCCCTCAACAGGCTTTCGCCGCGCTGAATGGCCTGGAGCGCCACAAGCGATACTCCTTCTTCCCTCAGTGGGGGTTCGACACCTTTGACGAGTTCGGGGCAGAGAAAGTGAAGATGGTTGCACTGGACAGTGGAGCGTTGAACAAGTCTACATGCATCGTGTAGTGCAATCAACTTTTGTACAGATAGGCCAACAATCACGAAGTCTTTGCTTGACAGAAACTACTTGTGGCTGTCAACGGGTATGAGTACCCCTTTATAGATTTTTAGCACCTCTCGTATCGTGTGCCGTACATAAGCTTTTTCACGGCGTTCAAGACTCTATTTCCTCGTGGCATGTATTGTAGACTATGTTGGAGAGCTCAAGGCTGGTGTGGCAACTCTCCCAATAAATCTCCCATGAACACTGTTCTCAAGATCATAGATCATCCTGTGGTATTCGTCCCGTCTTCGTGGGTCTGAAAATCCTTGGAACTCGCATTTTTTTTATATTTTTATATGGCTGGAAGGCGATGAGAGATACTGAAAACGACTCGGGACAGTTCTTTTGATGGTCCTCCGGTCTATAACGCCTCAGCTATACTGCCTCCGATGTCTGCTCGGTCTACATCGAGTTCCCCATCGGATTTCAGAAACACAAAAAGAGCATATCAAATCACTGGAGTTGAACGAGTGAGGCCCCTTTACTTCTGGACCTGCAGTGAGTGCGCGTGAATTGAGGGAAAAGTGGAACTGACAGTGTTGGGCCGATCCTCCGCCTGGGGCTCCTGCCGCAGGGGAGGATGCGGCCAGAGTTGAGGCAGGAGCCAGCTGGAATGGCTCCTGGCCTACATCTCTCTGAGTTATCTCTCCCCTCCTGTTTTAGAGCTTAGCTAGAGAATAGAAGACCTTTACAGACAGGGTTTGGCGGCGATAGAGCCATCAACAATCCTTTTCAGCATCTAACTAGATTGGTGTAAGATGTCTATATTTCAACTGTTTTACAGTGTTAATAAAAGCCTGGTAAAGTAGTAGAAACTTGTCAGGTCTCACCTTTTACTTCTTCAAGCACATGAACTGTACGAACTAAAAGAGAGGTCTAAGGGAAATACACCAGATTGAAATCACTGCTTTCACTTTTCACTCCGCCCCACATGCTCTCCCCTTACTGTGAATACACGCAAAACTCTGTCTTCGCTGTCGATCTGCTGGCTCTGTAGCTTGCCTTCATGATTGGCTTGCCCTCAAGATACACGAGACAACGCATCTGTTTCATTTGGCGGCTTCGACGTCAGATTTCGCCTCAACTTTGATGGGAAGTTCTTCAACAGTTCCCTCCCCATGGAGAAGCTCGACTTGATCCTATCCATTGAATTAGTCACAATGTGTCTCTCCAGAGCATCTAGCAGTTCCAGTATCTTCGCTGGGAAAAAGAGCGGATGTTTGACTGCTTGCGAGGTGGACTTACTCCGAATATGGCCGCAATTTCTTCCAGCGGCAGCCCCAGTGTATCCGGAAAGTAGAGAAGGATGATAATCGCCGCCACAGTGCCTGGAATGATCAGGCACAGGTAGAATTTCCATCCAATATTCCTAAAAAAAGAAAAACACTCCATCAGCGGCGTTCATCAATGATATTATGATGTTCAGGATCGGATCATACGCAAAAGCAGTCGGAGCGGACTGTAGCCAAATGACGTTCATCGCTGCCAGCGTACTGCATCCCATTGACACTCCTTTGGCGCGGAGGTGGTTCGGGAAAATTTCTCCCAAGTAGACAAACATCGTGCTGTCCATGCAGAATTGATAGA